GCTTTAAGATTACTTAAAGTAGTTTTTAGCTCTAGTATACCTTTATACGCTTAAGTAACTTATATATAAAGTATAATCTCCCCCTAAAAACTTAGGCTAAGTACCTGTTATATAAGAAGTATTTTATCTAAAAGTATCTTTAATATATCTATTAGATTCTTATTTAAATTATTTTATTTAACTTATATAAAGAATAGACTTATCTAATCTATTTAATAGAGAATATAGTTAATATTAGTATTAAAGTATATTTCTAATATATTATATATCTTATTTTATCTTTTTATTAGTCTAATATAATAGAAATAAAACTCTTTTATATAATTAACCAAAATATTAAGAAATACTATATAGTATTAGTCTTTAGTGATCCTAAGGCATTAATAAAAACTAATAAAGACTTTTACCTTATTATATAAGATATTATATAGCTTACCTATATAATTCTTGTTTTTTCTCTATTCCTTTTAAAAGATTAAGATTATAGTTAACTTATATAATCTATTCTAGACTATTTATCTTAATAATAAGTTATAAATATTGTCTCTTTAATATAAAAGTGTTATATAACCCTGGATTTATAAAAAACTCTTAACCTCTTATATAAATCTTGTTTTAAGAGGTATATTTCTTAAAGCTAATTATAACTATTCTTATATAATTAATATTTAAGTTATTAATATATTATATAAAAGTTTAATTAGCTCTATTATTAGTTTAATTATATTTTAAAGTAAAGTTAATTTAAGGTTTTAAATAAGTATTTAAGTTATTATAATTATATAACTTAGTATAAGTATTATATAAGTAGAAAGCTATTCTTTTTACTTATTAAACTTTCTCTTAATCTCTTTAATAAATTTAATTAACTATTAATTCATATTTCTTATTAATAGTAATCAAAATCCTTTTAGCTTAATAAGTTATATAAACTTTACCTTAAACATATAATAGACTTTTTTTTATTAAAAAATAGACTATTTATTAAAATCTTTGTATAATAATATTATTAGGTTTTCCTTTAATTACTTAAAATAAAGTATTTTTATGTTAATATATATAATATATATAGTTATTTCTTTTTTAAATAGTACCTATATAATATTAACTAGATTTCCTTAGTATTTAAGGTTTATAGTCTTCTTTTATATATATAATAAAACTTTGCTTTTTACACTTATTTCTTTATATATTAATAAGTATTTATTAATATTATTATATTAGCTTTAATAATTATCTTTTAGATCCTCTTAAAAAGCCATATTATATTTAATAGTTATTTTATATTATATAACGTTAAAATTAGTTTATTTAGTACTATAATATATACTTTATACTTTATATATAGTATAATAAAGATTTTTATCTAATTTAGTTTAATAAATAATAATAAGAATTTATCTTATATAATAATAAAATAAAAGTTATTTTTATCTTATTTACCTAATTTAGCTTAATAAGTAATAATAAGTAAAATTAAGGCTTCTTAGCATAAAAGACTTTCTAGTATAACCCCTTAAATATCCCTAAGGATTTCTTACTTTACATAAAGTATAAGACTACCTAGTAGCCTAACTATAAAGCCTAAGTCTTATCTCTTTACTTTTACTAATTTATAATTATATAAAGTAATTATATAGATTACTAAATAACTACTAATTAGTATTAAATAGATTCTCTCTTCTTAAAAAAACTTATTTATACAATTATACTTAAATTAAAGTTAAAGTAAATCAAAAATATATTTTCTATAATTATTTTCTTAACTATAAGACTTAGCTTTTATACACAAGATATATAATCTTATATATCCCTAAGTTAGTTTAGCATAAATATACTTTTGATCCCCTTAATAGATAACTAAGAGCCGAATATCTAGTCTATACCCTCTGCCATAATGTATGTCCCTAAGTTATGCGTGTCATACAACCAGCTAGTGCTATTATTCTAACAGTATTACTATATAAATTCTATTATTATATAGCTCTTATACTTATTTAAGACTAGTAGTTTAGCTTAATTAGGCTAAGAGAAAGTAATCTATAGTAAAAAGACTTTTAGTAGCTACTTAATAGTAGTCTTATTAGTTATTTATTTATTCTCTATTACTATAAACTCTTAATTATTATAAAGGCTAAGATCTAAAAGAAATAACTACTACTAGACTATTTTACTTTTATATAATATAAAAAAATATAATACTAGGCTATTAGCTAAAATATACTTAATAATAAATACTTAGGCTTATAATCTAGGCTATTTTTTATATATAGACTTTATTTTTATTTTACTTAGTATTAGCTTATTTACTTTTTAACCTTTAAGAATATTAGTCTTATTTATATTATATTTATTAATTAACTAAAAAGCTAATATTACTATAATTATAAAATACTTAAACTAGTCCTTATAAATCTTAATAAATACCTTATTAATATATTTAAAATTAATAAATTAACTTCTTTAGACCTTAATAAATAGGTTTTTTTTATATAAAAGTATTTAATTATTTCTTTTTTAAAGGCTAAGTATTTCTTATAGTATTTAAGATATACTAAATAAATTTCTTAACTTACTAGTATATTAATATAAACCTAAAGTTAGCCTAGATTTATACTTAGCTAGTTAGCTTAGCCTCTTAACTAATAGAGAGCCTCTAGAGGTCTTTAAATGCTGCTGCTCTAGGTTAAGTACCCTTTAATCGGCTTTAAAGTGTTAATCGTAGTACTCCTTATCGCTTAGAGGTATCATAAGTAAATACCTTATCTAAAATATCAGTAAGCGCTTAATAGACTTCAAATTCTGTGTACTAGGGCATTAAGCTATAAAGAATAGATACTAAAAAATAAGGTTATTTAGTAAAAAATAGAAAATGTTGTAATAGTTAGAAGTTAAAGGGTATCTAGAAAATGGGTGGCTGGGCGGCATTTTCTGGTGGCCGAAATGCAGGGGTGGCCGAAAAGTGGGTGCTTTGACTTATATATGTATATATATGTTTGTTTGTTTGGTGACTTGTCATGCCACTTCTCTTTGTACATGAGTTATCAATGACCAATTCACCCGAAATGTTCCCACCTTAACCACTACGCAACTCGGGACATATTACTAACCACGCACGGTTACATCAGCTCAGACCTTACAACTACATTCTACAAGCTACGGTGTACGATTCTTATTGGTAAGGAATAGCCCCTATTGAGTCTGTCAGCTGTTTCTGGACTTTAACTAAGCAAAGAACCAACTGATTCTTGGACGTCTATACCTGTCCATGGATGTACCAGAATGTTACCGAAAGGAGGAACGGAGTTCGCTTCCAGGAACTGATTTATTTTTTCGGTATTTGCGCAAACGTGTGGTGCGTGGTGAATATCGACTGGTCTCTTCTCATCCTCGTGCCACTCAAAAACCATGAGAGACATATCGGCGTGGCAGAGCTCTGACTGACGAAGTCTACTGGAGGATTAGCAGTTTATCACAGGTGACGATAGTATATAAGTCATATCGTACATATCAATGCAATGGTCTTCAATTGACTTGTCAGCATACGTTATAAGTGGCATGTGGGCTCGAGGTACTCACCAATGTGCTCTGGAATGGGCTCTTCTGGCGTTGCTTTGTACATTTCCGCGGTTTCCGGGTAAAACTCAGGAAGCATGTATTGTCGAATTGTTTTCTATGTGATGATGTCAGGAATCTCATCATGTAATCGGGCTGTTTGAATGGCGAACCAGGCAATGAAGATTGTGTAGGAAGCTGAATGTTCCCATGATTCCTCCCCTTTCGTCTTGGAACTCTGTCATGATTCTGGTTGGGGAGCTTGTGTTTCGCCAGCCAGGCTTGGGAACGCGAACAGTGTAGTCTATTTGGTATGTTAGAATCAAAGCAAATACTACTGACTAACTCAAGAACTTGCTTCTAACTGGTTCTGCCCAGGCGCTGTTTAGTTCTGGACGAGGTTTCCCACGGAAGGGTCCGTGAATTCCGAATTGGTCATCGAATGTCCGAAGCTCCAATTCTATTGCAGACGCAACCCAATCTGTATCTGTATGAGCTTCCAACTGTGGAAGGGGGAACTGAGACTGATGCACTGACCATGGTGCGGTAAACGAATTTCGTGGGTGTGCTCAGACACCGCTGCAGTGCTTGGTACACTCATCATAAGAATCAACCCGATGTTAAGCAGAAGAATGAAAGCATTCACAGCCATAAACGCCCAGTTTCGTTTTGTCTGCTGCCTCTCTTTCTGTAGAGTATGCTCGTAACTAAGAAGGCAATCGTCATCAGAGTCATAACCCTCCTCCGAATCATGAGAGGGGGCCCGGCGGTCCATTGCAAGTGGTTCCTTTGAAGGCATACTTCAATCTAAAGGAAGGTCCTGCAGGTTGACAATGCTCAAATGAAAACAACAAAAGAAACCCGAAGGAAACATAAAATGCCTATGAAGATGGCACTACTTTGGTTAAGTCATAACTTTGTTTGAATGAGCAACGTCGAGAAGGGGGTGGCAATGACTGACCCAGATGGTGTTGTTGAGGGTGACCGGGTTTTTCGCAAGCTGACATTGGGGAAATCCTGAGTAAGAGTAAGCATGCTTTGGTTGACAAAGACAGGAGATGGTAATCCCTGACCATAATAATGAGCGGCCAGGGGGAGACGAAGCTTGATTGCCTGTGTCAAGTCAGCATGCATACGCGGCGTAAGAAATGTGGGCCCATTACCAAGGCCGTGTAAGAGCAACTCAGCATGGCAAGAATTAGGGAGCTGCATGCTCACTCCGTTGGAAGTGTCGTGAGTAGCGCCATACAATGGCTGGTTGACTCTTCGTAAATGAGAGATCGTGGTACGATATTTATACTGCGAGTTGTTTCAAGAGAAGTGTAGAAATTTATAGATCAAGTCATCACATCCTCATCAGATCCTAGTCGCCTTGAAAGGTTCTTTAATCTTGATCACACAATTCCTGACAAATTTATTCGATTTTCAAATTTCCAGCTATCAAAATGCACTTTGCCAAAGCCATTCTGCCACTCCTGGCTCTAGGGGCCGTTGCTTCTCCTGTCCCGGGTATGTCTGAGTCGAAGCCTTGCAGGAATTGGAAGTTGACAAATTTTAGTTGAATCAACTAAATTGGGCGAGGTTGCCAACGGCAGCCCGCGTCGCCGTGACGTCGAGCAGCTCGGCGACGTTGCCAACGGAAGCCCTCGCCGTCGCGAAATCGAGCAGCTCGGTGAGGTTGCCAACGGTAGCCCGCGTCGCCGTGACGTCGAGCAGCTCGGTGAGGTTGCCAACGGTAGCCCGCGTCGCCGTGACGTCGAGCAGCTCGGCGACGTTGCCAACGGAAGCCCTCGCCGTCGCGAAATCGAGCAGCTCGGTGAGGTTGCCAACGGTAGCCCGCGTCGCCGTGACGTCGAGCAGCTCGGTGAGGTTGCCAACGGTAGCCCGCGTCGCCGTGACGTCGAGCAGCTCGGTGAGGTTGCCAACGGCAGCCCGCGTCGCCGTGACGTCGAGCAGCTCGGCGACGTTGCCAACGGAAGCCCTCGCCGCCGCGATCTTGATCATCTGAACCAGATCGTCAGCACTGGCGCGAGCCGTTAAGCTGACTTCCTTGTCTACTGTCCTTATCTCCAGTTGGTAGGAATGAAGCAACATGAACCTGGAGATATTTTCGGCTGGAGAGGACAGAGGGGTGGTATGCAGACAATTCTTTTTTGATGACCGTTTTCTACTATGGCTTGTGTTCCTGATTTGCATACGGCAGATGGGAAAGCAGGCAGAGTACAACGCTCATTGATGTTATGTTGCTTTTATCATTGTATTCACCTAAATGGGCCAGGACCGAAGCCATTGCTGGTGATCTTCATATAATAGCGTCGAGAACCGTAGACCAATATAGGTGACTATCAGACAGTCTTGATGTGTTTCGAGTCCTACTTAGTGGCTAAACGCAGCATCTGTTGTGAATCCCGCCAATTCTGTATATTGCGATCCCAAAAGACACAGACCCATTTGTCTTACATAGCAAGGAGAGGTGCGGGAGGTACACCCTTAAATGGTGATAAGGTACAAGCGGTACAAATGATTTGGTAGAACAGAAGACTATGAATCGGTTTACGTGACTGAAAACTGTTAGGAATAGGAGCAGAACCTTGGTATTAGGTTCCTTGAAGTGAAGCCATCGTCGTTCAGCGTGGCTCGAGCGGCAAGGTTTCATAGCCTTGGTAGTAGTTCAAATGAAGCCATCGCTGGGTTGTGGCTGATGCTTCTGCCTGTACATCCGCTCACCTACGACGCCAAGGCCCGCATGTGGCCACGGTTGAAGTGAGTTCTAGATCAGCAGTCGTTCCACGCTATGGGGTATATCGTACCGTATTGATATATCGAGATCTGGCACAAGCCAGGGGTGCTACTGTATTGGGTTATACGTACTGTGACAATTTTCTGTAGTTACAGGGTGAACTGTACTAGATTGCCTATGGGGGGCTAGAACAATATGTTACACTAAAAAGATTGACTCGTGCTTTTTAATGTTTTACTTACAGTTGTGTGGCCGTCCCTCCAGCACAGCCACGCCGCTCCGGCACTGACTCGATGCTAAGTATTTTTGGGGACGCACGCATCTTGTACTGATATAAATACGTTCTCGAGAGTTCTCCGTGAGATTTTTAGAAACGAGTCGAGTTCTGTATACAAGTTGGCCTCTTGAGCCAATGGTTGGGCTCCAACATTGCGACTAGAGATATTGGGTTTGATAATCCACAAACCCTCGGATGCATGATCAACCAGGAGATATAAGAAAGCACTCGTCAGTTAAGTATTTCGGTCAGCCCGTCAACGATTTCATGAACAAGCACACCCAAAAAACACCACAGAAGTTGGCCCGTCACAACTGCAACCAACAATAGCATCAACATCACGGAAGACGAGGAAACTCAAAACTTTATGTCCGGAAGAGTATATTTTAGTGTGCATTGACAGCTTCAATTGAATGAAAAACGGGGTGTTTGGGTATTTCGTCAACCTTCTCATCATCACGTCCGCCCGTTACGACAATTCTTCTTAACGTGTTATTGAAGACAGACCCTCTTCACCCCATCATATCGGCTAAGCTTTGAAAAAACACAAGGGCGACCAGGCACCGCAGAAAGACTATTTCCTCTAATGAAAGTCGCCAATGCGGGGGCCGAAGTACTCGCCCTCGGCAAGAGTGAGAAGGCGGCATGCCTTGCCCTCGCAACCCTCGGAGACGACGGTGTTGCCCCACCACTCAACCTCAATGTCCTGCCACTGAAGGCCGAAGAAAATGACGATACCGGAGATGGCAATACCGCAAGAGAAGGCGGCAGAGAGGACAAAGTTGTACTGCAGACAACGTTAGCACTGATGGTATGATTTCTGGAGACGGAGGGAAGCTTACCTTGGACCAGAGACCCAGGAAACGACCCTTAAGGTAGACCCAAGAGAAATAGGCAATGGGAACGGAGGGCCAGACGAAAGACATGTTGTAAGGAGCCCAAACGAGACAACCGTACAAGATGGCGACGGGGTGAATCTGGCGAACCCACTTCCACTTGGGGAAAACCTTGTTGAGACCCCAGAAGAAGAGGACAATGAAGACACCAAGAGGAAAACCGAGCAGAGTCGCAGTGTACTGGCCTCCAGCACCCCAGATCTTCTTGGGTCCGACGGTACCCCAGAGGACAGAGGCAGTGAAGAAGGTGTTGATACCGGGGCAAGTCATCTTGAACTTGGCATCCTCCGTACAGATACCAGGTATCGAAAACATCTGGAACTTCAGGACTGCAAGGCAAACTAATGTAGAAACGAAGGTCGCGATCATTTGAGCCCAGAAAGTGTGGCGGGGGGGGATCTTGACGTAGTGCGCGAGCTTCAAGTCGTTGGAGAACCAGACGGCGTGCGCGCACGTGACGTAGCCAAAGGACTTGAAGTAGTTCATGGCCAGAGCGTTACCCTCGACCCAAGACCCACCAATGAACTCGGCAAGAACGTTAAGTGTGACTTCGATACCAGTCATGGCCTTGATTATACCAACGGGGATGACGAAGATGAGGCAGAGGATAATACCGTAGAAGACGACACCGACGGTAGTATAAGTGGGCCAGGCGGCGATACCGGCACAGCCAAGGGCGATGGCAACGACCAAGGTGGACAGGTACCACCACTCGGGAACCTCAGGGTAGGCCTTCATGAGACGGTTGTGGACATCGAGGACCTGATCCTTCTCAATATCGCTGTTCTTCTTGAAGCTGCCAATCAGAGCCTTGAAGCCAAGAGAAATCTCGTGACGGTGGTACAGAATGGCGTAGGTAATGGTGGCAGTGTAGATGGCGAAGAAGAACATGTAGATTGTGATGTTGGCGGCTCCCAGGAAAGGGGGAGAGTAGGCCTCGTACGCCTCCTTGTCAAAGAGACCGTGCTCGTTGACGGCACGAGATACGTTGTAGAGGGCTCCGAAATGGTCGTAGACCTTGTTGGAGTTGATGGGCAGGTATCCCGTGTTGTAAGTGTTGGTGTACCAAATAGCCAGTACGATGAACATGGAGAAGAACGCGCCGAGAAACTTGTTAAATGTCGAGAAGAAGGGAACCATCAAGGGATCAGTGTTGTCGTACAAGCTACATCCTGTTAGTAAGTAAATCCATCCCGGGAGAACGTGGCTGATGCTTACAGAATGTTCCAGTCGAAGGTCGGGAAGGGGTTGATACCAAGACCACTATTGAAACCAGTGACGGTGGCGAGATCACGGTTCTTGGGTGCGATCCAGGTTATCCAACTAAAGGTACTGAGAGCCGTGAAAAGGTAGTTGGGGAACCAGAACCAAACGAACATGGCACCGAAAGCAGCGTAGAAGAACTTCTGTCTGCTGGCACGCCAGACGCTGCCGAAAGGGCCGTCGACGGTGGTATTCTTATCGGTGTGGAAAGCAGAGTTTAGAGCGATTGTCACAAGGGACGCAGGCCATACGCAGTATGAGGGATATACGAGGAAACGACGGCAAAGACCGGCGAGACCGTATCCGATGAAGTTGGTAGAGAGCGAGATGAGCAGCTGGTAACCAAAGTTGGCGGCGTACGACTGATTGAAGAACTTGGGCAGCCTTGAAGGCGAGTTAATATGAAGCCCGCAGCCAAAGAGTACAAAGCGCGACTTACCACTGGGTCCAGATGATGTAGTTGGTGTATGGAATATTGTAGGCAACGTTGGCCATAATCGTGATAAGCATGTGCTCCTTGCGGTTGAAAGGGCCTGGGTTGAGCGAGAAAGGCTGGCTGCCAACGGAGAATCCTATATCGGGCAGGGTCTTCTCCCAGAGCTTGCCCAGGGGAAAGGCAAGCAGCTGGGCAACGTTGGCCAAAATAGTGATATAGGGGTAACGGACCGAGAAGAGCTGGTTGACAAAAGCGAGCAGGGCGGAGAAAATGAGACCAATAGTCCAGGCGCGGAGGGTTGATACGGGCGTCTCAGGGTCGTCGTGGTTATCGACGACAGCGCGCACTTCGGCGTAGGGCGAGTTGCCGGTGATGAGGGCAGCCTCGAGCTTCATCTCCTGGATCAGGGTCTCGTGCTTCTCGGGGTTCTCGAAGACGTCATCGTTGGAGAGGAACGCCTCGATCTTCTCGATAATGATGAGCGGGAAGTTGGGGTCCTTCTCGTGGATCTTGTGGACGTTGAACATCATCTCGCGGACCTCCTCAAGGGACATCAGCGAGGCGAGCTCCTTAGCCTCGAGGAGATCGTCCTCGGTGACGTTGAAGTCCTTCTCAACGTGCTCATTGTAGTCAGCGCCGTCGGGTTGGGCGTCGACGATCTGAAAGAGGAATGGTCAGCACATGTGGCAGGACTGAGGAGGCTCAAGGGCCTCTTAGTTGATCAACGTACGGGAGCGGGCTTCTCGCTCGAGACCACACCGCCCTGGGCGGGGGTCCGTTCTTCACGGATGTCGGACATGGTGTTGCACTGAGTCAGTACTCTTCACCTTGTGGTAAGGTATGGAAGGCTGATTTGCTGGAACCCGATGACTCTTGGGCTGGAGATTTGCCAGTGACCGAGAACAGAAGCAACGAGGCCGAGGAGGGACGAGGACATCTCAGCCTTTTAATATGTCTGTTCCACGAGGCGACTTCCCCAGTCACGCCAGATGCTTATCGATGGTGGAGCCATGTGTTCCCAACGGCCTGGCAACGAACAGAGGGTTGCAGTATCGCCACAAGACGATCCCCAGGAAATGCAGCAAAAGAACCCTTGTTCTTAGAAGGGAAGCTGTGATGGCACAGGCCAGTCGAACAGAGCTTTCTCCTTATGGAACAGGGGTGGTGTGGCATGGGTGATCTTGTTCGAGGCTGGAACACCAGCCGGGCGCCCCCTCCCTCCTCTTGGTTGTGCTTCTGGAGACCCCAGTGCAACCCAGGCCGACCGGGAGGTTTACCTTCTACATTTCGACAAGGCCGACATCAAAGGGTCTGGGAGGATCAGCTGCATTTTCACTCCATCCGCATTGGGCGCAATATGTCGAGGGTACAACCGTTAGCATGGGATAGTTTGAGGTGAGAGACTGTCAGAGGAAGATGAGAAGGGAGACACACAGACGACCAACACCACATACGCCCCAGTACATGCACGAACTTTTTGAAGGAACCACAGACTTTCGGACGGTTATCTGGGGTCCTAAGCGGCTCGTCTTCTCTGCCTTTCCTGGCATGGCTTGGTGTGTAGGAAACCCCGCCTCCTGCCACTTCCACTCCTCTTCCCACTTTCCACTCCTCCTCCTCCTCTTCCTCCCGGCCCTCCACCGGGTCCAGTTCCATCCGATACCCACGAACCTGCAGATGAAATCCCAGTCACTTACATGGGTGACATTGATGGTCGACACTTACTTGGCGCCGCCGCGAAAGCTCCCGCCGTTGCTGGGGGTGCCGTAGACGGTTTCAACACGCCGGATATCTCCTCTCGGGCTATCAAATGCGTCTCTACTGGCTTGGCCAAGCAGTGCTTTGCCAGAGTAGCTTGATCCAGTAGGGAAGGTCTACAAGGTCTTGCGAAGGAACTTTTTTGAGGCGTCAATCCAGTGCGGCTGCAGCGCTCGCAAAACCAAACCTTCCAATCAAGTGGTCGGCGTTGGTTCTTTTGCATTTCGCCCATGCCACAATCACGATGGCTTCGTCGTGGTGTGACGCATACGCCCGCAGAAAAAGTGCACGCCGTGTCTCATCAACCGTCGATTGAGTTTGCAAAAGATTGTTGGCGAACACGGAGGTCTCCGGCACCCCAGAGTCTCTGTCCGGCCGGCAGCAACATGGTTAGGTTAGCCTTCTCCAATCCCTAAACTCTCCAACTTAATACCAGCGGCGGGGGGATGCTTGGTGGCGAGGTAACCATCCGTCTCTGTGTTGTCATCCGGGGGTTCCTCGCGGCACTGACCGCAGTCTGTCGCGTGTGAGAGTGTCACTGTTCCACCCGCTGTTTACCGTGTGTGCGCACGTTCCAACACCACGCAGCATGCCGCAGCATATTTGGTCGGACTTACATGTGGGATGGGGGCCGCCCGTAGAAGAGAGGGTTAGTGGTTTTCCAGCCCCAGTTCTCGTCCAAATGAAGTTGGGTCCCAGAACAAGCACACGATAAGGCCGCAAGATGATGAAGGGTCGGCCTGCATGGTCGGGGAGGGCTCCCAGCTGGGGTCATTGCCATCGAGACCTAGCCGAAGACCCACGGCTTGTCGCCTTGTCGCTTCGGTTCGTTCGACGAGCAAGCAAAACCACATCAGATGCAGCGGAGAAGCTATTTTTGATGCACCATCTTACAATGCAGTGTTCTAGCAGTGTTTGCCGCTCAACGCCGTGTGCGGGAGGCACCGTCAAACCGGCGTCGAAGAAGCACAGAAGGATGGTAGAAAAAGGCTGTTCGTCCCTTCTGATGGTGACTGGGCGAGTGGCGCCCGACAAATCAAACCTCGGCCCTTTTTTCTTTTGGGATTGTCTTCATCGAGATGCGCTAGTTAGTTGATGGCAGAAAAGACTGATGCCGCTTGGCAGTCTAGTTCAACGCCCAACGCCGAACCACATGGTCGAAGGACCCTGGATGGTAACGTCCCTCGTCCTCCCCGCCGAGCGTTTCCAAGACTCACAAGCTTTCCAAGCCTGCTGTCCAAGACCGCCACGACATGCTCCCAAGACGTCCAAGAGGTGCCATTGCAAAGAGGCAAGAAATGTCAAGAGATCTTCTCCGAGAGCTTGTCGCTACGCCAAGTCTGCATACCATTGTCGCCGTCGGAGGGTGTCGCAATGTCAGTGACGTCGGAGACGGACGATCGCATCTTTCGGCGGCAAAGAACGACCATCCAAAGCCCAGGAGGTATCGTCGTCCCCCCTCCCGATTTTTCACGTCTTCCGTTACGGAGCGAACCCCTGTTCCCTCAACCCCCACTGTCCGCTTTGCTTCTCTTACTCTTATCAGCCAGTGGCCGTGGATCTGTAGCCAAATTGAACCATTCAGTGGCTCTAGTTTCCTTAGAGTCGCATCGTCTGGCTAACCAGGTGGCAAGTTGAGTAATCTATAGTCTCCAGTCGGGAGCGAGATGCAGGACTCTAGGTACTTTAGGAGGGACTTTTTGACGGCCACAGTCCCCTGCTTAGCCTGGCGCCGGCTCCCAGTAACGGCAGCTTATTAAATGGGCCAAGCAACGCTTCCTATCAGCCATCCTTGCTAGTTCGCTGTTCCACGATTGGTTGGACGGTAAAGACCGCTGGCTAGATTGCTGTCGTCCTTGATAGGGATGTACGAGGATTCGTCTCCCTGCTTCATCTGTCTCCGAGCCTTCTCCAAGCCGAACCATCAATCAGCTCGGCCTTGGCTTAAGAAACTAGACAGAATTTTCACCTTTGTGTACCACAACCATGCCACAGAGGCACTTGAGGACGGCGGGACTCTCTCAAGACACCGTTTATCTTGGTGCTTCCGAGGCCAAGAACCACGACTATGAACCACGGCGATGTCCCTGCGGCACTGCAGCAGTCTTGGCTTCTTGGCTTGCAGGGACAAATCACCAACCACCGCCCGTCGCCCGTCCGTCGTACGAGAGCATGTTTCCTCGTCTAACTCTGACCGGGAGTGCTCTTCTCCAGAGTGTCTGTTTTGGGCAGGTCATATCCCAGCGTTGCGATTGGTGCGCGCGCACTGCTGCCCGTGTGCTGTCGCACCCCAGATGCCAGCCGACTTGCATGGCGTAATTCCCTCTACCGCTATCGCAACAGCCGCGTGATTGATCATATCCCTTATCGCGTGCCCAGCCGACAAAATGAAGTGCGCTGCCAAGACACGCCAGGAACGTTTGGACGGGGCAGCTCCGCGTCCGATGGCATCGGAAGTCCGTTTTAGGGATTCGCTCCTGGTTTCCAGGCGCCGCCACGGCGGGCGTACCGCGCGGGCTCTGGGTGTTTTTTCCTGAATGGCCAGCGTCCTCCGAGGCCGAAATTGGGCAGCTGGCTCTTTTGCTTCCAAAACTCAGTCATCCTCTCGAGCAACTACAAGAAGCTGCCGAATTTGACATGAGTCCACCAATGCAGTTTCTTGGCGTTGGTTACTCTACTGACTCGCATCCGACTCCTCCGTCCAAGCGTACTGCTGCTATCTTCAGTGAGTAAACGATGGGAGGGAACCATCCAGTCATTTGATTTTCGAGTGTGAGCGATTGAAGTGGAGGCTACGCGAGAGGCTCAAAAGAAAGCTTCGTCCAAGTCGCGGGGTGGCGCAAATCGCTACGGACGCCGCCTCGGTTCACATCGTCCTGTTTCCTACTTGGCAATGCCAATGCTCCGTCTGGGCACATGTTGCCGTCTTGGTAATCGGTCTTGGGAGTCTTGGGGAGTCTTGGGGAGAGCATCGTAGCTGAGAGGGCCGTTGGTGCGCCCCTATCTTTTCCGCCTCGATCGAATGGTTCGGCGTGGGATATGGTCGATATCGACGCCGCGTCGCTAGCTTGTGTTGGTCTGTGATGCATTAACAACCCCCAAGGACTCCCTGGCATTTACCATCTTGGCTTGCAGCGAAGAGACGATTGTGGGTTCTTGAGACCACGAAGTCTTGGCAGCGGGCGCATCGCCCAAAGTGGTTGCTGCACCGCTTCGGTGCGGTTGTCCGTTGAAGGAGTACGAGCAACTCATGGAAAGGTGTCGTGTGCTGTCGTCTTTCGACCACGATCTTGCCTCGATCGCGAGGGAAGCGATGACCCAAGTTGTAGCAACGTATTGGACTGGCTCGAAAAAAGACGTTGAGCCGGTCGTACCCTATCTCACACCTCGAAACAATTATACCGCTATGGCGCTTTCGATGTTTTTTACCCGACCACCATCATGTGAGTCTACAAAGCCCCTCTCCATCTTCCCTCAGGTTGGGATAGCAATTCATGTGAGCCACCTTAAACAAGAAGGTGCTTTGCCAAAGCGTTTGAGGAGTTTAGACCTTTGAGCCTGTCCCGAGGGTCTGGTACCGAGGCCAGACCCTCGCAGACCGAAAGAGACTGTCAAAATGTGTCTTACTGATCAACACCTCAAGAACAGGCGATCATATACCTCACCGTGTGGTGTCGCCTCCACTTGCGTAGCTCTTGCGTCTCTGTCTATGTATCTGATCAAACTGAGCCTAGCAGTGCACCCTGAGGCGGTAGGCTGACTGGTGTAATGAGAACTCCATGACCATCGTATTGCGTCGGAACTAACTACAGAGATGTTGAGGTACTGAATTGTTGGGTAATCTCCTAATCACAATTTGCCACAAGCAAGTGATGCTGTCTGACTAAAGTGTGAGGGCCTCCAAACAGAAGTTTAGGAACTTTTGCAATCAATGGCGCAGTCGGATGCGAATGTCCTTCGATTAAAGTGTTGCTGTGTTATCGTTCCTCTACGTATCCAAAATTTCGATGAACCCCCCAATGATCAAACCACCTACAAACCATCTGCGGCAAAAAACATACATCGTGTCATCCCATTCGGCCGGTTCGCAATCGGCCAGCCCTGGGGCCCCGTTGCGTTTGAGGCCCATGTGCATCCGCAGTGACATGTAGTCTTTCTGCATACAACCCACCAGGTCCCATGCTTCATCGACAAAGTCCCAGACTGACGGGACAAACGGTTCTACGACAAAGGGCCTTGCTTATCGCCGGTCCGACTGCATGGAACGAAGGATCGAGCGAACCCCAGCAAAGTCTAGCTCCTGCAGAGTCTCGTCCCACAGCCGTTTTCCAGTAGCTTTTCCTTCCGCGGTATACACATACGAAGGGAAACTATGTGATGCTGTGTAAGTATTGTTCTTCACAAAGGTCCTTTGCAAGGAAACAACTTACGGATAGATTTTCCAGTCCATCAGGTAGCTGCCGTGGGTCTCGTCTCCTCTGACCACAGCAGCATCGAGGTATGTTGATGCCCCTTGCTCGAGACTTCTCCCGGTCACGCCTTTGATTGCGCCAAAGATAACCCGCAGGCCGATATTCAGATGTCGATGAAGCCCCGATCCTTTGCACAGACCCGGGTCCACGAGATTGACGACAACATCCTCCTTGTGGACGTGCTCGACGAGCTTGGTGATGACGAGCTGGCCCAAGAGCTTTGATGTTTGGTATCGATCGGTAAGATCGAAATTCTTCTCGTCGTCCAACGCAGGCATCAACGGTACTTTGTCGTGCTCGGGAAACCTGGCGCCGAACGTAGAGCCCGAGTTGACAATGGTCAACCTGCCTGCCTTCCCATCAACTTTCTTCGACTTCAGGATAGGCAGGAGGAGGATGGTGAGGAGGACGGTCGACAAGTAGTTGACCTGGAACATTTCCTCATGGCCTTCGGGTGAGAGATGAAACTCTTGTCTCGACAAGCCGGCGTTTAGGATGACAACGTCAATCCTGGATAGCGTGGAGCAGCGATCCGCAAACGCCTGGACGGACTTGTACGATGACATGTCCAAGGTCCAGACTTCGATGGTAGCGGCAGGGTGTTTCTCCCTGAGTGTCTTTGCCGCAGCCTCTCCCTTTTCCACGGAACGGACGGCGATGATGAGTCGAGACAGATCGTGGTTCAGCAACTGGCCTGCACAAGTCAAGCCTAGCCCAACGTTGGCTCCGGACACAATGGCTGTCTGTCCCGCGAGTGACAATTCTTTTGGCGGTGTACGAGGCGTTGCACAGAACTGAGATGCAAGGAACAGCTTTCCCGCTCCCATGGTGGGAGGGGGGAGATCAATGGAGCTGGTCATGGTGAACAGAAGATGTTGATGAAGTGGACGGTGAATACTTTGTCGTCGATGCTTGCTGCGCTGTGTCGAGCTTAATTTTGGAGAACTACCGTCAAACCGTTGGTTCTTTTATACTTGAGAGAACAGCCAGGCGCGATGGTATTCATATCACCGAGTGATGGCGTCGCCGAGTCCAATGCCGGCTGTGCCCAGACAGCGGCGCCCTGGTGACGACGGCGAAGGCTTTGCAAAACCCCATCGGTGATGGAAACGCATGCTGGATTGTTGTCTTAAAAAAGGAATCGACTGGTTTCCTAAAAGGGACATCAATCGATTCAATAGCAAGCTTCTTTCTGGGTTATATCTGGGAGTCCGCCGGCCGGCTATCGGCGCAACAGAAGCACCGTCGGCGCCAAGACCCACCTAACCGGGGATAATCACGTGTCCATGCTCCGACGAAGCGAAGTTATCCCGAAGCAGTTTCCCGAAAGGGCAACGCTAGGCCGAAAGAAGGCAACAATCAACATATTGGCGGGTGTCCTCAAGGCTCCACTGACTGCGCCGCTCTCCCGAAAGCATGCCTTTGACATGCATATTGGTTCACAGGAGCGTGGACAGAAGAGCCGGATCGCGAGAAGACACAATCAGACGGGAGATCCACCCTTCTTCAAGTTCTTCTTTGCCCTTGAGTGGTTTACCCTTCTCCTTCTCTCGATTGCTTTCCTCTTTCGGCAAACAGTCTTTCCAACGTGCTCAGTTGTTGTCGAAGTCTCGTACCGCATTCTCCCCGCCTTGGTCCTTCGCTGCGTGCTCAGAAGCGCGCTGCAACACTAGCAACGTGTTGATTTTCCGCCTGATCCTCCACTTCTGATACCTTTTTCCACTATCCCAGCTTAGTAGGCCCCAGCAAGAAGACGAAATTGACTCCCCGTCGGCCCTCGCTAGTTCGGGGTACCCCGAAACAAGGATGGGCAACCAAAAGCGCTCTAGTATGACTCCCTCGAGGCCGGGAAGGTATCCCACATCTAACATAATCAATACAGAAGACAAGGGCTTCGCCTTTGTCATCACCGACACGTCCGGAAGAACAAACTCTGAGGATCGGAAGCTGATCCGCAGCCATGTCATGCGAGGCAAGAATAGGCGAGCTACCTGTGCGAACCCCGTGAATCCAAAGCGTTCCTCTTCATGGGTAACTCATGACACCACCGAACCTGTTCAAGAAACCAACCAACTGTACCACGTTCCAAACGATTTGTACATGTTTCAATTTGCCGAAGACGTCGATGCCGGCTCCCGGGCCATGCTCTTTGAATGTGAGTATGAGTGATTAAACCGCGTTGCGCTTTGCTGTACTCAACCATGCTGCAGTTTACGGGGTTATCAAGGAGACGATGTACCCGATTGAATGGTGTCTCAGCCTCGACTCGAGCAAAAACCCATGGTTCTACTGGTTGATGTCCGATGCCGCCTTTTTGCATTCGATTTTGTTCACCGTTGGCCTCCTACACGACTCCATCGTGGGCAAGACGAGCAAGAGAACCAGCTTCCACGTGTGGAAGACGTTAAGCCTCCTGAACCAGAATATCTCTGATAAAGATTTGGCCCTGGCTGATTCCACCATCGCGACCGTTGTCTCTATGTGCATGGTGTCAGAGGTCTTTGGAGACCGCGATAGTGCCGCTGCACACGTCAAAGGCATGCGTCGGATTGTTGAGCTACGAGGTGGCATCGAGACCTTTCGGCATAACCTGCAGCTAAAGATCAAGATATGTCGGTGAGTGACAAAACTGACTTCTACCTCTACCGAGCTAACGGCAGGTAGTGTGGACATCGGCTGGTATCTATGTACTGGAGAGAAACCACACTACTACAGAGACACAATCTCCTGGGAGACAGCGTTCGCTTCGATACTCGGCGATTCACCCGCCGGATTCGAACGCGACCGAGAGCCGTGTCAGATTCGCCGTCTCTTGAACTCGACTGATCGCCGGGTGGGAAACATCTTCCAAGACCTTCACGACTTTTCCCAGTTGGCGAACTTCCTTGTACAAACCGGTCACAAGATCGACCCCAACATGTTCCAGGATTTGATGACCTCCATTCAGTATCGATTGCTTTATCTGGAGCCGACCACGCAGGATAAAGTGACCGAAATGCTCCGTCTTGGAATGACCAGCTACATCACGACTCTTTTCCTCAAGGTACAGGGGACCAAGATCCCACTGAGCTTCTTGACTGGCCAGCTTCGATCTGCTTGCCAGAACATTGAGGTATCAGAATTCCCGAGCACTACTGCTCGACACATCTTTGCCTGGACCTTGGTTGTTGGCGCCATATCCGTTCTGGAAGAGTACGACGATGTATGGCTGTTACCAAAACTTGCGTCCCTAAGAGAATCCCTCGGACCAACGTGGCCGGAGGCAAAAGCAAAGCTGGAACAAGTCATGTGGATGGAATTCATCCATAGCCCAGGCGGTGTCAAGGTCTTCGAGAAGCTGGTATTGCATGTTGCCAAAGTACCTCCTACTAGCTCTTTGCAAAGAAAAGGGCCAAACAAGCCAGCCTTATCACCACCTATGGAAAGGCTTTCCTCGGTCAAGGATGTCATATTTGAGCCACATGCAACGGAAGCGGCTGTTTACTGAAGTCCAGTTCTCGGAAGCACGGAACAAGCCTTCACAGAAGCCGCTTTACGATTGGGCGCCTGACCAGCCGACGCAGTCGAGAGCCTTGCTGACATCGCGGGCCTAGTGCTGACACTTGCCAAGAGTGGAGTGTTCAGTAGATTTACCTGATCATTCCGATTCCGTCTCACGTCAGCTGGGTCATGCTACCCTACGAGGCTCCCAAGATCCGAGTCAATGCGGTTCTCGGGTTCATGTCCAATCATTGTGGTTTATTGAGGTCCCCACTACGGACCTGCATATATTGAAGCCAGCTTTTACCAGGTGCAAGACCTATATAAGTAGTTGTCGAATAACCCTGGAAGCATCATCAGATCCATCAAACTAAGACTACAACCAAGACGCTCGTGATGGCAGAGCTCGAAGCTTCAGCGGAATTCCGCGCGTCTCACCCCGCGGCATCGACACCCGACCAGCTCGCTTCAGACGCGCCGCAGCTGCAAGACATCTCGGAGAGAGTTCCCGGGCTACTAATATACACACTCTCCGCAGAGGGCTACGAAGAAGTGCGGACGTTCTTTAACGCGAGCATGACACAACAACCTCTGGCCATCATCCGACCTAGAACAGAAGCCGAGGTCTCTGCGGTTGTTCTTGAGCTGCATGCTCAGAACATCCCCTTCGGCATCAGAAGCGGCGGGCACGACATGAGTGCTGCCCAGGCCCAAGGAAGAGAAGGGATCATCATCGACTTGAGAGGCCTAGACAGCATCTCTATTAACGAAGACAAGAAATCTGCCCGTATCGGTGGCGGGGTTTTGGGCATCAAGCTATCAAAGTTTCTACAGCAGCACAAACTCCTCACGCCCCATGGTTGGTGCCAAACTGTAAGCATTGCTGGCTGGGCTCTAGGCGGAGGCTATGGCTACACAAGCGCCTTCCACGGATTGGGCGTAGACCAGGTCCTCGGCGCGCGAGTCGTCCTTGCGAACGGTAAGACTGTGGACACTGATGACCATCCGGACCTGATTTGGGCTCTTCGTGGTGCTGGCAACGGTAACTTTGGCATTGTTGTCGAGCTCCGAGTCAAGCTATATCCCCAGACAGGCTTCCTAGCGGGGTTCCTTGGATTCCCAAGTGCACAGGCTGGCGATGTCCTGACTAAGTTCAGCGAGTTCGAGAAAGAGCTGCCGATCAACTTTACAGGCGAAGCATCTCACTTGACTCTGCCCGGCGTAGGACCCGTGATCGCGTGGTTGTTTGTTTGGATATCAGAGAACGATAACCTTGACGACGGATGGGCATATCTGGAGAAGATGAAGGCTTTGGGCACACCAGTGCTCAACACAGTCTCAGCAGGTAAGCTTTTCGGCTCGCCTACGATTGAGGGTAGGGGATGAATGGCTCATTTAACTTGACAGTTGATGATTACACGTTCTTCAACACCATGCCTTCGCCCACCAACACCCACTGGCACCCTCGACTAAGGATATTCGAGCACTTCACCCCAGAAGTGGCCAAAGTCTTTCACAACCACCCACCTCCGGGGGCGACCTGTGCAACAGTCATTCACTACATGCACGGACGAGCACTCGAACGGAACCCAGGGGCATGCTACCCGCTGCGCATAAGACATCGCATTGCAGCAGCCTCGGCAGGCGTGATTGACCCCACGGCGCAGGCAGCAGAGTACGAGGAGTACAAGAAGTGGGCAGACGATCTGGCGGACGATCTGTCGAAGCAGGGGCATGCTTTGCCCTACGGTTACCGCAATTTGAGTTCGGAGAAGGACATGAATTGGGTGGCTACGTATGGCAAAGAAACCGTGGCTAGGTTGAAGGAGGTCAAGAACAAGTTTGACCCCGCCAACTTCTTCAAGACTGGCTATCCCCGACTGGATCTGCTCTAAAGGGAAAGGAAATGTGAGCCGCTGTCCGCCGCCCTAATAACCGTTCTTAAGGGTAGTGGATCGACTCGAGACGGGCACGAAGTGGAAAGCAGGTCTCGGCTGGAGCCCCGCATGTCCATTTAGTCTCCTGTTAGCTCCCGTGGCCCTCTCGAGCCAAATGCCAAATGATACAAAATTTCTTGGCGGACTAGCCGGGATTGAATTGCACTGCCATTCGCCCTTTTCAGAATCTTGCCGTCGTTCACGGCGGCGCCTAACCAGCGATGACAGTGATCAAGGTTGAAATTAGCTCCGTAACACATGCGACCTGGCCGATGCGGCCCGCTACCGCTGCGTCTGAGAGGTAATCATCTCATGGATCGACAACAACAGCCAGCAGCCAGCAGCCACAAGCCGGGGGCCGTGAGCTGCGCTGGGTTTGGGAGAGCACCGCAGCCTAAAGTCTGCAGGAACACTTGGTTTTGACGGTCGTAGTCTGCTTGCTGCTGCTGGCATTCGGTGCCCGGACGTGTTGGTCCGTGTTCCGAGCTAGTATACCTAGATGAATGGGCCGCAAGCAACGAGAAGCTAGTCGGGCCGCGCGTGCCTTAGTAATGTCTCGTTTGCGAAATGCAAAGTCTGGGTCTCCCATACCTTGAACCAGGCGCGGTGATTCGTGTAACGCTTCGTATGTTGCATGCGTACAGTTGCTCTCAGGGCGACTGGGTACTACGTGATGTTTGTCTTATGGGTGGACAAATATTGTTGAGATTTGCTGGCTCGGGCATCCTTGATCAGGTTGATCAGAGGAAGAACAAGCCGGGACTAAAAGATGAGGACCGGATGTCGTCCCTGTACACGTTTCATTTTCGGCAACCTCAACCATGCCTCGATCGCCTTCCCCCTCTGTCCGGAAAGAACAAAAGCCATCAAGCAATCCCGGGAGACATGCCATGTCTTCATCGACGAAGACCCATGCTATATGGCTGCTGTCCTCGATCAACGATGCTTAGCAACGTAGATCCATCTTCAATAGGCCGTCATGCGTAGGGTACGGCGTCCGCCGATGTAGGTAACCGCAGCTGGACCAGCGATGACGAGTTGACACGGCTATCTGGAATTGGCGGCGGGGTCTCCAAGCGGGCCCGAAGTGAACAACAGCCGCAGGGGGGGCAGCTAAAACGAAGCAACAGCGGTACCCGGCTGCTTCACGGAAGTGATAGCGTCAACCCCACCATCTGAAGCCTGACGATTCCGCGGAGGCGGCGGTGATGATGTGCTGGCATGCGGACTCGAACGGAAGTTGCACTGTGACAGCTAGACCAAAGACATTGAGGAACAAGAACGGATGGGTGCGAGAGAGCGACTGCGGGGGTCAGTGACTTCTCGCCGTTATGGCTGGGCTATCGGGATTCGGTCGCATGTGCGGTTATGAAATGTTTCAAGAACCGAGAAGAAGAGGGTGAGGTGAATTTGCAAAATAAAATAAAAAAGTGTCATCCGGAGGCTTGCGGCCGTGAAGCAGCAAAACCTCTTGAACAGCCTGTCCGGATTCGCCGGATCGGACTTGTATACCTACTTTGCTGATATGCAAGTCTCTTGATTGGGTTTGACGGGAATATTGTCGTCCTCGAACCCGGGATGAAGTGTCCGGGCAGTGGCACAACTCGCTGGGGTTGCAGATTGCAGACGCTCCGGCACCTTAACCTGGGTGTTGTGTGACACAACCTGTCGGCAGTGATTAAGGAGGTGAGATGATCTGATATGCTCAAAGGGGAAAAAAAGCAGAAAGTATTAAACCCGAGTCGAGTTTAAGGTTTGACAGTGTGTGTAAAACAGACAGCAACCATAACAACAATAACAACCAGAAAGAGATGAAGAGTGAAGAACGAAGACCAAAGGGGGCTCGCCCGCCACACGGTCCCTTCAAGTGCCTTTTTAGGCACAATCTTGGGCCAGTTTGGTCTTGGACTGGAGCTTACTCGGGTTCCTCGGCCAGCGGCCAAGAAACATTTGCAGTTGAGATAAGATTTGGGCCATGGCTCGGATGACCGGTTTGTGGTACGGGTGAGGCTCGATGGCCTTCGAGATTCGCGGTTGTTGAAGGGGGGAGAGTGTCACGGCGAGGGGCTCTATAGCATCTGAGTGACTTGCTCACGGTCTCGCGTATCGCTCGATGATCATCGCTTAATGATCATCTGGGGAGAAAGGGGAAAGAGCAAAGCATCAGGAAATGTTACCTCAAGTGGAGGGATGCAGTGCAGAAGCGAGGCCGCCGCCTTTTCGACGGGTCTGGCTGCAACCCATCATTGCTCTCTCATTGAGCCGATGATGGGAATTCAGAGGGCGAACAGTAAGGGTATCGGGATACATTGGGAAGGCCATCATCTTGGCTGGTGTGTGCCGGGTTTGACGGGCAACGCTTGGGCCCGTGCAAACCCCGACGGAGTGTAACAATTCAACCGGATGGACGCAGCAGCGAAAAGACGCAAAGACTCGTACCAATCCTATGGAGGGTTTACTCCGGAAACTAGTCACTGGTTGGGTAAGCTGGAGTGGGCAGTAGGCGGGCAGGATTGTATGGGATTTTCAGAGATCGAGATTTGAAAAGCCCATCGGAGTTTGTGCCCGCCTACGGAGCGCGCGGTCGGTGCCAGGTTTGACACCTAGAAGCCCTGCTCGATACGATTAGTAAACGTGGGATGGGGCGTCCCGGTGCACCAGCCTCAGGAACAGGTGTCGACTGGGGATGTGGGCGAGCGAGGATAGGGTGGCACCTACACTACCAATGATGGGGAACCTATGACGACATGGCGGGGGAGCGTCGAGCAGCCGAAAAATCAGTACGATGGATGCTCAGTTGTCGAGCTGTTGGGGCACGACACGACGGGGAACCGAGATTGATGCCGTGGTGCGTGGCTGCGACGGCGGATGTATGGTCAAAGCCTGTTTGACTAACTCCGAGGGGATGGAAAATGTGGCTCGTTGTCGCGTCGAAATGGGGCACCACACACACACACACACACACACACACACACACACAATATAGTCACAGTCTTTGCACCGTGTTGCCACTCGAGGCAAGCCACAGTCTTGACCAAGAAGCTGCTGGAATTGCCCAATGGAAGGGCTCGGAGTCTCGGAGAGCTGAAGGGGTGGCAGCAAACTCGAGACTCCAGACGAGCTGCATGCTTTCGCGAGCAAGGATGGAGAGAGTATGGGATGTGAACAACCGTGGAGATATAATGGGGATGAAGAAAGGCTCTGAATGGACGCAACGGAGTGTTCCTGGCAATGATTCCATTTTAGTGGAATGCTAATGCCCGGCTACAAGTCTCTGCACACAGTACTCTATACTTTGTGCGTGCCTGGAGTTGGACCGTCGAGTGGGTGGGACCCGGCCGATCAGTCCAGGTTACCAGGTACATAAGTCATCTTGATTGGTGCGGAGCCAGACTCGACTCGACCGCTGAGAGACGTCGTTTTGGTACCCGGAACAGATTCCGGGACTAACAGCCAATCAAGATGACTCAGCCGTCCGGAGGTGACCTCCGGGCCACGCCTCTTGGCAGACGAAAGCAGGTCGTCAATCTCGCGTCGGACAGGCACACGTCGTCATCGCACAGATTTAGCTCACAAACTTGCCGTCTCCCTTCCTAGGGCCCAAGCAGGGCCTAGAGCCTCCTGGGAAGCTTCCATCGGTGTTAACAGCCCCGCAGTGGCTAGCATTGCGAACGATATCTGTACAAACATGGAACTGTTTAGGCGCTGGTTATCACAATGAACATCCTTCACCCACGGCCCCCCCTCGGCAACTCTTGGGCGATAACCTCGCCCCCCCTCTCCCCAACCCTGTTGGACCTCCATGGGGCCCTTTGACTGGCCTGACTCTCCTCGCGGTATCACCGCCCATCCAAGATCCCGATTTGGGAACTGGCACTGACCTACATACATCCACCGTATGGGGTTACTGTCCTCCGCCATGCCTTGTCTCTATTGCCTTGCTGCTACTGTACCATGCTCGTGCCAGGTCCCAGGTGGTTACGAAAAACAAGACCGGATCAGCTCTCCGCACCCAGTCTTCTTTCGGTTTGTCTGTACTTAATAAAAGATCCAAAGGGTCTTCGCCCTCAACCCCTTCCCCCCCTTCAAAAAGCCTAAGCGTATATATATATGTTTCTGGTCAGCCGCCAACGGTCTAAAAATTCAGACGTCATTTATCCCACTGCGAATTCCTCAGACGTACTCTTGAAAGTCACGAACCTGGTTTATTTTATTATACCGCCATCGACAGCAACAAAGAGCATCGTGTCAGAGTCACTGCCACCGCTATCGACGCTATTCCAGGACCCAAGCTTAACCAACCAACCCGGCTACAGCCTGGCAGGCCTGGATACACCCTGGTAAACTCTCTTTCTTCCCCGGTTACAACCTCAGTTCAGCACAAGAGAGCCCGCAGCCATGGACTTTTCTGTTAGCGGTGCGATTACGGTTCAACAAAGTGGGTTACCGGGTACAGCAACAATTTTCGAATCGCCGCCCAACTCTTTCGCAAACTCCACAGACGCAAAGATTTTGCAACAACATGAGCAACAACAACAACAACAAAGGACGAGATTCTTGTTCCAGCAGCAGCAGCAACGCATGCAACAACCGATTGGGTCTGGGAGAAATGCCTTGCACTCCGCATTCGTGGCTCCTTCGGCGCTGAGTTCAGCCCCTGAAGCACCTTTGTTGGTACCGGACAGACACTCTTCGACATCCACGCAGAGCTCTTCAGGATGGCAAGACTCTCCCGTCAGCAATGACGCCGAATCTCTATCTTCGCCAACGAGCTCCATCATTTCACCACCTACCACCACCAATCTTCCATCAGCGCCGCCGATTGATCCCCTTATTCTTAGTTCGGTGAAGGATGATCAAATTCCCCCGTCAGAAGAGGCACCCGAGCCACCGAAACGCCGCAGAGGCCGACCCAGGCTGTCGGAGGGCGCCCCAAAGACGACCCGCGCGACGGCCCCGACGACCACCAACCTCCAAAGAAAAAGCACTTCGCGACGTACATCGACCGCTTCGGCGAGCGGCGCAGACGAACTCATGAACGACCATGGCGGCACCACCAACGACAAGAAGAACCGTATCCGCGCGAGAAACCGGGAGGCCGCGTACAAATGCCGACAAAAGAAGCAGAAGGGCATTGAAGAGCTGCAAACCCAGGAGGCCATGGTGGAAAACATCAACAAGAGCCTCAACAACGAGGCGGCACAGCTACGCGGCGAGATCTTGATGCTGAAGAACATGGTACTTCAACACGGTGGCTGCGGGTGTGCCTATATCGAAGAGTACATTTCCGGTGCGGCACAGAGTCTGGTACAATCGAGCATGGCGGCTGCCTCGGGTCCTGGTGGACATGGCATGCAAATGCATAGCCAGAATTGCACGAACGTAGCAGGAGGGGACGGGTATGTTGACTGGAAAATGTTCAACATGGGTCCTCAGGCGGACATGCCTTCACTGGAGTCGGAAAGCGGGTTCTCTGGCTTCGAGGAGGCCGCCTCTCACAGCGCGAGAGCACAATCACAAGGGGCCTCGATGGTTTGAAAAGGAAAAGACACCGTATTGGAAAGGCCTTGGTTGCGGGTCTTGTTGCGTGATCTATCGCTTATTGGCATGGCGTTTTGGAGCAACACTTAAAAGATGACTCAGTACTGGCACAGTCATTAAAACATTGACACCGGAAATTGGCGGTTGGCGAAGATGTACTAGCGGTTGCAGCGAGGGCGTCTTGGGGAGGATTGTCTTTCGAACAGGACCAAGAGCTTATGCCCGACTCTACTCTGCAGTAGATGATAACGAGATCAATGATATTCAACCTGATGAAAAGTTCCTGCTCCCCGACACATTTGAATCTTACTCAACAATCATTTAACTCATCTAGGTTAGTCAAAGTCCACCAATGAACGACTACTAAATTTCGGTTTGCGCATTGTATGCGTCGCTGGAAAACTACACAACAGCCTTCGGCATTTAGGGCTTTAAACTACAGCTTACGGAAGATCTGTTGGGGTTTCCGGTTGGAGTTGAACCATTCACATGTTCGACCCCAAAGTCTCTAGCTTAGTCTATTGCTTTCTGTTGTCAACTAGCCAAAAAAGACTCGTACAAATGATCCACAAGCCGAACAAGACTTGCACACACATCGCCTCCCGGACTTTCCTTAACTTGGCTGAAGGCGAAATCTGCAAGAAGGGTTGACTCGACTCCTTTATGCGTACGCAATCCTCAAGAACCTTGTGACTGTATTAGGGACCAATTGCCAACCTCCTCTGAGCCGAACTTTTCTGAGGCCACACCCAATGCCCTGTTTCTTGCCCCGGCAAGCGTTATCCCGTCGAACAAAGAAGCGACTAGTCATTCTTGGTTGTGGACCACACGCTTCCCAAGTTCTGTGCAATTGACGCGGCCTATTTCAACCAAACCTCTGAAAATTGGCGAATATACCCGAAGCCGTGCGAAAGCAGTAGGCGACTGACTGGTGCCGGGCCACGGGTCAACGTCTGCCACCCACACAAATCTGAACACGGAACGAACCCCTGGACCCAACACGACAGCAACATTCTCCGGCACAGGCACCCGGATGTATTTCGCGGCATCAAATGGAACCGGAGACTGTTCCGTTGCGTGCATCAATCACCGTCCTTGCATTTCTACTCCCAAGGCCAACCGAACGCCGCCCCATACTTTCAGCCCATCCAATAAAGGTCCTTCGGGGTACGGTTCGAGCCCCGTCATCCAAGTCTACGCGCCAGCGCCCCGGAGGACGGGACACGGCATGAGGTCAAAGGGCGCGTCATACCAACTTGGTGTTGATCCCAACGAAGCTGTGACTTTTTTTGCACTTCATGCGCATTCAATGATCTGATCGGCGACTGTTACCTAGGCTGGCCTGGTGCAATCCGTTACCTAACTGGCTAGCCATTTCTTCTTCATCAGAGGGTCGGAGTCAAGACCGTCAATGGACTGGTCCTCAATCACTTCGGCTCCGCCATGGTTGCGAGAGAATTGCACCCAAAAGTCGTCATTTCCACGTCTTCAGGGTATATCTACCCTTGAACCCAATCACAGTTCAGCCAAGTCACATTGTGTGGACACTTGGGTTTCCCTCTGCAACTTGCCCAGGACTGAAGTGGAAACTGTTGTCGCCACCAACAAGCCATGATCATCAGCGTGTCCACGTTTTTAGTGGGGCACCCGTCGCGCATCATCGTGCAGGGTTCCTCCCATATCGACACATCGATGGGGGTGTCATTAAGCTTTCTGGAAACTCGCCAGTGCCGCGCTACGAAACCTTGACAGGTGCTTGGACTACGGTTTTGTTGCCCCGGGCTGCTCACATGTCAGTGGACAAGATGGGAACCCCAAGGTCCAAGAAACTCCCCCGGACTGACAGCGCAGGTCAGCATGTCCGCCGTGACCCAGGAACCCAAGAACCAAGATGTCGGGCCGTGTCTGTGCTAGGAGCAGTTCGAAGTAGCATCGCTATGCGCTATAGAATGAATCTCTGAAGGGCATGGGCTCGACTTCACGCAAGCTCGCTGTACTCAATACGAGACTTACGTGGACCTCCAAAACCACCAGGCCCAGACCATCGCCTTCTCGTAAAACGTGCTAGCATTTGGAGCTAGCCAAAGCCAATTAGCACATCAACTCTTCAACCCACATCCTTATTCCAGATGCCGGAATTTCGGGATTTTGGAATCTTAAGTTGTTTTCAAGGCTCAAACAAGTTCGCTGACACAGCTGAGGGTTAAAAGGATTATGGACGCAACGGGTGTGGGTGGAATAGCTTCCATAGGCCCCAGCAGCCAGCAGCAAGGAATTACCATGAGTAAGGCTATCTCACTCGGCAAACCATCTAGCGACCGTCGTTTGCCCGCACAAGAAACAAGGATATGTCCTTCTCCTCTGCCGTATAACGTATTGACGAAGCTTCCGGAGTGCATGCTATCCTTTATGCCTTGTGGCCAGGTGTACAACCCCTCTCTCCTTCATACAACCCGGTTTCTCGAGATATCAAGCGCTCGAATGGCAATTTTCATACTCCTGCACCTTGAACTCATGTTCCTTTACTTTAAACGTCTGCCATGGGGCAATTCCAAGAGGTTCTACTACCTCCATCGGCATCACCATGTCGACGCCCATTCTTCCGGTCTACTTTGAGCTAAGCTGGTCGATACTCAGCACGATTGGTGCCTCCAACGTGCTTTTGGGTCTCCTCGTTGTAGGCATAACAAGCTTTTCGCAAATCACTGTAGTCCCCATCATCTCGTCGGCTGCTGGTTCCATTGCGAATGGCCTTTGTTACTACGCCTTTTACGACGAGAGCCCCTCCCTCAAGCACAAGGCAGCCGCCTCAGCATTTGCTGATGTTTTCTGGGTGGTGCGTATGGAAGACTCCTCTGAGCGGGAAAATGAGCTAACACGACTTAGATCCAAGAAGTTGGCTTGTCGTTTTACAGCTATGCCCTCCTCCGAAGAATACTAAAAGACAGGATGTGGAAGGTTTTTAACGCTCTTTTCTGGATCATTGTTCTTGCCATCATCGCTATCCGGATCATGATCGCCACATCACGTGTCAGATATATTCTCAGGGGTAACACCAAGCTACAAAGCACCGTGAACAACCTCCATATCGGTTACTTCGTCCTTATCGCCTCACTGGAATGCCTCAGCGCCTTCTTCCTTCTTAAGACATTCGCTGAAGTCAAGTCAACATCAGCTCGAGCGGCCTTAAAAGGGGGTTCTTCAAGTATCTCATGCGCAGTACCGAGGTCCGTCTTGCGACATTGGCTGTCCTGGGGACGATGAGAGCAGTCACGTACTCCTTCCAGATGACGGCTCAGAGCGCGACAACCACAGCTAGTCAACTCGACCGCTTCGCCTACACATTAGAGTGTCTCTTTCCATCTGTAATGTTGTAAGTAGTCTCCGGATGCGACATGATCTTGCCGGATATCGTTGCTGACAAGTCATGATTGGCTAGTATTGACATATTGGCATCCAAACTGGTGTTCACGACCCAAGTGTACAACCCCACTCGGCCGAAATGCCTACCTCCAAGAGGATTTATTTCGGCCAGGAAAGCAAATGGCGACTGGGTTGATGCCACCCAGCAGAGCGAGCAATTGGTCGAAATTCGTGGGGGGAGAGAGGGAGACTCAGAAGGAAATTTTATCAACGCTATTCGACCAAGATCCAGCGCCGATCTTGAGAACATGGAATCACAGTGTAAGGGAGGGATCAGCAAGAAGATTGTGATTAGCGTGAGGCATTCTATACCAGAAAACCCAGACAGACCGAGGCAGTGTCTCACTTCACCTTGACAGTAGAGATGACGATTCAAATGAAGCTGCCCCATCAGTGTCCTGTGTAGAATGATAATTTGATAATTGATGAGCCATGCGACTGGCCTGTACGGATTTATTCGATAGGCGTATTTGAATGGACGTGACTGATGGGGATTCATAGCAAAGGCGATGAAATCGCGAAGAGTTTAATACCTGTGTTGTGTTGCATTGCTACTTCGATCACTGGTCCCTATTCTGTCCTTTTGGATTCCTTGCCAGTAGCACAAGTCTACAAAAAGTATACTATGCTTAAACTTTGATCATCCAGTCAAAAAAGACTATATCTCAAATAGTAGGTGCAATAATCAACCCCTACCATCGGTTATGGACAAACCACTGATGATTGGCTGTGTTCCCGCACGCAACTAGATACAAGGAATAGCTCTTGTTTTATATGTTTATTTGACCACCTAGGATCTGACAGACTGAACCCTAAACCATTTTGCTTGACAAATTCCAATAGGTGACTTGTGCTGTATAAGGTCGCTGGAACACAGAGAATGTGTCGTGTTTTTCAGCGCAAAACAAAAGCTACAGCCTTGTCACATCAAGAGCTTCCCATTCGCCATCTCAGCTCGGTAAAAGAATCACCAGGTATCTGAACCTGGCTAAATTAACAGGTTGAAGCCGTCGTATCCATCTTGAGTTCAGGGCCTGCGGGCTGGTTGGCGAATGAATCATCACGCGCCAAAAAGGTTGGCCATCAATGGAAGGAGACCTCGTATGACAAAACAACCGGAGTGTTTGTGTTAAAATTCAGTCAACCATATTCTTCCAAAAGAAATCTACAATGCTAAACACAGCTGAAAAAAGAGCGAATGCCTCCTATTCGAGACTCAATATACCTTACGAGATCCCCCGTCTTTTTCAAACTCGGTCTGGTGCTGATATTGCCAGTCTTTCGAGACAGGCCAGAAAAATTACGGCGTCACCCACGTGGGACGCAAGCCGATCAGAAGATTCTTCTAGCCTCTCATTGGCAGCTGGCTTGCATTGATGTCCGCCCTGCATATTTGGACGCCAGATACCGTTTGTACTCGGTCAACTGGGACCCCATATTTGTTCACGGTAACGGAATCGGGACAGCTCGCTGGCAGATCCCGGCTTAGCATTGGATAAAATATGAGAAAAGGGAACAAAGTAGGTGAGAGAACATTAATATGGGGTCCCAGTTGACCGAGTACAAACGGTAAAGACAAATCACGGAAAAGAAACTCATGCATGACGTCGAGAAATACTTCACGTGTTCGGGCATATATTAGCGTTTTTTGTTTTCTCTCCCGTGTAAAGAACAACAACAGCAAGTCTTTAGTAGCAACACTCTTGACACTCTTGCTTTGTCTTAAGACTTAGCCTGGTTACAAAGTAACGACAACATCCAAATAGGCTCCACCTCGAGAGGCAAAGCTGATATGACTGAACGTTGAACTGTAAAGAATTGTGTAACCTATGTTGACAACCCGCAGACTAAGCAAACACACACATCCCGCATGATACGTATATGAGTGCCAACATAGCTCTCAACTGGGACAGGAGTCAGAGTCAGCCACTCAAAGTCATAGTGGAAGCACTTGCCTTCAACAGATCAGCAGAACTGCATCCAGCAGCGTAGGGTATCGTGCACTCTCAACTATTCCCCTGACTGAGCGTACTAGCAGGCACTCAGAACAAGCAGCGCCCACCAGTCATCAAGATGTTGGGAAGGGGCAGCTTTATCGGTCCTGCTCGTGCAAGTCATGATTAGATCCTCAGGCCTATCCTGATGGCCCATCTGTTTATGAGTCTTACTGATGATAAGTTGGTTTAACACACAAGGGAGAAGGGAGACTGCTAGGCAAACAACGGAGCTGCTACCCAGGCAGGCGGGTGGTGGTCCATAGAGACTGCGGCGACAGCATTGATTGCAGCGATATATATCTAGCTTCATGTGACGCAAGCACGAACGAAGTTCGGAGCACAGTCGTTACATAGCGACTGTCTTTTGCAATGTACATTTCAAGTGATACCGCGATGTGATAGAGAATAATTGGATGATAGGGGCGACAAAGTTTCGTCAAATCCATTCCCAAATTCGACGCGCATACACCTAGCCACCACTAACAGGTTGTCAAAGTCTGTTCTAAACAACGAGCAAAACCGTACCAGCTCGGACCTTTGACAGGACCTCAGCCCAGCCTCGTTCGACCGAGAGCACAACCTGCAGGCGTTGCAAGGCCGGCATCAAAGCTCCCCCTCTGAAGCGCAGGTGGGGTTCCCCGGTTCCCAAAAGCTTCGAAGCAACGACGCGCGGGCGCAACGATGTCCTCATCAAGGTTGGTCTCAACTGCGAGGACGAATGACCAGACTTCGCTCAACATCTGGAACAGAACCTTTGAAATCCTCTCCACCCCCACCTCCCCCTCACCTTCCAGGCCTGCCCCCATCTGAGGCTCTTCTCCCCCTCACTATAAGCTTTTTGCCGCCTTGGCGATTCCGAGAAAAGTGTCAAGAATGGCCGATGCACTTACACCGTTATGGCCCGTCCGCACCGTTTACATCCCCCATCCTTCAACCCAAGACCGCGGATGGAATGACGGAGAAAAAGCTTCTTTGCCTACCGTCAAAGAGCTATAAGTTTCTGTGCTGGCCCCTGTCACTTGTCACCTCTTCTTTCTCCCCCCCTTCTCCTCCCGAGCTCAGGCAACTGTCGTTCGCACGTCCTGACATAGTCAGCTGAGCCGCTTGGCATCACCTCAACCACCCAAAAAACCCTAGCTTTGCCCATCATCAGCATCCAACCGACGACATCTCCTAAGATGCACCTCTCCGCACTAAGCCTACTCGTCCTCTTCCTTACGCCCGGCCTCGCACTACCTACCGCAAAAGACGTCAAATCCTTCACCTCCGCCTCCGACCCCTCTGTTCAGGACGTGGGCCGGCAGAGGGGCAGGATCGGCATAGACAGCGTCGACCCCAGCGCCCTGCGCGTCGACCCCGTCCGCGTGCTCGAAAAGATTGCGCAGTCCTCGTCGCACATCCCGTCACTCACGAAACGGAGCGGCGTCCTGCTGGAGGAGGAAGACGGAAGGGTCGCCAGGCGCACGCAAACCCAGGTCGAACCGGCTGATGAGGACACGCACGTCCTCAGGCCGTCACCCCAAGTCATGCCGCCGCCGAACGCACGGCGGAGGCAGGCGAGGTCAGAGTAGGAGCCGGAGCCGGAGGACATTGGGAGAAAGGAGAACAAGCGCGCAGGGGCTGAATGCAAGGTACATCCCCAAGTTCAGAACTGGATTCGTCACTGTTGAGAGGGTGGAAACTAGGGTGCAGGACGGACCGAGAGGGGTGATTGATTTGTCCAGAGTGTTTAGAATCGAAAAGTATGCATGTCTAGGCCCGCAAGACATGGATCGAGGGGCTTCGGACTTTTGGCTGGTGGAACCGTGCTTGAGGAAACATTGGATATCGGGTTTGGGGGTTATGTGCAGTCTGGTCAGCAACGGAAAAGTGCAAACTTGGGTGGATAGGGCTGTTGGATTAGGCGGTCGAGGAAGCTTTCTAAACTTGGTAGATAGTATGACCATCGCTCGTAGCAAGCCCACAACAAGATACTCGAAACCATGAACCAAGTGTGCACGGCTTCACTGTCAAGCGAGGCAAAGTCTGCTGACCCTCGTTGTGAGTCTCTGATCGGCAGATAGTTCTGTTCGTAACCATCGTGAATTAAAAAGTACAACTGCACCCCTCAAGGCTATACAAGCAAGTTGACAGAAGAGAAAATCCATAACTCATACAGACAGAAAAGTGCCTGTTCCAAGTGGAGGCCGGATATGAGGAATGGGTATGCATCCGACGCCAATGATATGCAACCAAAAACAAGCGAGACCCCCTTCCGACCGTGACCGTCACGAGCCTCCAACCAAAACCGCCATCATATTCACATGAGTATTTGACATTGCCTCCCACTCCGGGGGTTTCGTTGGCCAGGTTCAAGGACGGGCAAATCCTTGTTTCGCCTACGTAGTGAAGTCAGTCGCTGTGTCGGTAAATGATACATATCAGGACGAATGACTAACCTTCATTTGTTCGATCCTGGCTTTCAGTTGACTCGTCACCTCGGCGGCACGCTTCCAGCTTTCCACGCCATTGTTGTTGGAGTTCATACCACCACCTCCTCCGCCGGAAGGGAACGAAGGTGGCGGCATATCATCAATGGGAGTGGCCACAGAGCTTCGGTAGCCTCTAGCAGGGCTGCCACGACCAGAGGACGCACTGCCCGTGTACCTAAGTTCGGGACTAAGCGCCTTTGAGCGAGGGTAGTGATGGTCTCCGTTCTCCTTCTCCTCGGACATATTGCTGGCGTAACTAATGCGGTTGTGTCTGGCAGAGGACGACCCATACGAAGCATCACGGTAGATGCCGACGTCATCATGCGTGGGCGAAGCGAGGCCTACTACTGCGTTAGTGACAAGCCAAAGAAGAAAATAAAAGCAGATTGGACATACCAGGGCTGGCCATGCCTGATCTGGAGTTGAGGCCTTCAGCGTGGTTGAGCGCCCTCTTGAGGCGGTCGAGCTCGCGTCTGAGGCGATCGTTTGTCTGTTCTGTGGCCTCGGCATCGCTTCTTGCGCGGACCAGTTGCGTTTCCTTGGCCTTGATGCTGAGAACATCGCGAGTGTGGTCTTCGATGAGGCCTGCGTTCTGGTTTTTGAGCTCCTGGATCTCAGACATGTACTTGCTCCTCTCGTGCCGCATCTCTTCAACTTGGCGCGTGAGGCGCTCGTTCGCTGCCCTCAATTCCTCGAGCTCAGCCCGCTCCATCGCGGTGAGCCCGTCGGAGGGTGGCGGTGACGCAGGAGGCATCTGTACAGGGGCAGCAGCAGGCTTGGCGAGCGAGCGTCCGGCAAGACCGCCGCGACCAAGGCCAATGCGAGGCTGTGGTGGGGGAGGGGCGGGGTCGTCTTCGGGCATGATGGGGGCAGCTGCAGGACGACGAGGGGAGGCGGCGGCCGGTGCTCCAAGAGGCCGCTTCGACTTGAGGCCAGCGAGGCCCGACGGCTTCGGCATGCCCATCTTGGTACCGGCTGGCTTGGGACGGGAGGAGGCCTGCGGCGACAGAGGCTCGGGATCGGCTGGCGGGGGTGTGCTCGCAGCTGGAGGCATGACTGGCCTCTTCATCGGCGGCTTCTTCCCTCCGACGAGCTTCTTCGGCGGCGGTGCCTTTGCTGCTGGAGGAGGCGCCTTGGGCTTCTCCTTGGCCTTGACTTCAGCGGTCTCATAGAACTCCTTGATCTTGGTCTTGCGAATGTCGTCGAGGCCCTCCATGTGCGGGTTCATGGCACGCTCGCCAATGATCTTCATGACAGTGCCCAGGATTTCAGCGCCACCCGAACGGAGACCCTCGCTGGACTCAGACAACAGCTTCTTGCCCGACTCGACAATTGAGGCGATTTCGGGTTTGCTTGGCACGTCTCGGGTTGTTCTCAGACAGCGAATGAGGAACTTCATGGTGCCCTCCTTAACCTGGGGGTTCTTGTGAACGAGGTACGCGTTGATGTCCTCCAGGCAGTCGGTGAGGCTCGTCGCCAGAAAAACCTGGTCCAGAGCAGCACCCAGAGCGTCCGCCACAGACGCCTTCTTCTCCTTCAAACGGTCCATGATGGGTTGCATGACGGTGGCGCGGTGCTTCGCGTAACTGGATCTCAAGCCTTTGGCCAGAACTTCAATACACTGCGCAGCCTGAGTGACGACGGCGACGTTGGCATCCTTCATGCACTTGGCAAGTCCTCGGTTGATCTCGTTGAAATCGCCGTCCTTGATTCTTGGGACATTGATTGCAGCGTAGAGGCCTTCCACCGCTTCTTTTCTCTCCTTCCACTTCGACGAGGCCAACGCTTCGTTGAAATTGGCAGGAATCTTTCCAAAAACGTCTTGAGGCTCTGCCAAATCAAACGCGTCCATCTCGGCCGGCTCCTCACCGTAGTCCCCATCGTCCTCTTCTTCTCCTTCGGCTCCTGGAGGCGGGGCGCGCGCCATGGCGGCTTGTTGTGACCGCAAGAACCGTTCTTGCTTTGGGGCGGGTTCCGCCTTGATCTTCTCGAACTGGGCTTCGAGGTCGGTTTGTTGCGTGGGTTTCAGGTCGCCCCAGAACATTGGCTTCATGGCTTCGCGCAGCCATCTGTAGAACTCGACTGCGAGGTTCGTCGCGGCGGCACGCACGTTCTTGTCAGCATGGCCAAATGCCTTGGGGAGGGCCTTTAACACGGGTTTTGGGTCGACCGTTTTGCATCCGTAGTTGTGGTAGATGGCGGTCAAGGCGGTGATGGCGGCGGCGACAACCTTGGGCTGCTTGTTGGAGAGGGCGGGAATGATTTCTTCAATAACAGGGGGCGCGACATCAAGCTCGACAAGCAGGAGGAGGGCCTCTAACGACGAGTCCTTGGCGGCGGCGCGTGTTGAGGGCAGGCCCTTTTCGCAAATGGGCCCTATCGTGACACCGCGCGTCCTTGTGCAGTGTTCCTTGCCTCCAAATTTGAGAAACGCGCAGTACGCGGCAAGACCTTCTTGTTGAGCGGCGACGTTGGAATCGGCGACGGCGCCTTTCCAAATGCCCGAATCGGAGAGGAAGGGTCTGAAGGCATTGTCGTACTCGTCGGCGGTGGCAGCAAACGCCTTGGCGGCGTCTTCGTAGGCCTGCTTTCGAACTTTCCACACCTAGAGCGCGTCAGAGGAGGGGCCACGAGGCGGCGGCGCGAGGAGAGGGGCAGTATCGTTACCTTGTGGACAAACCTGTCCTGGAGGGGGATAGAGCTGAAGTCTTCTTCTTCGGCCATCGGAATGGAGGCTTGTTGGCGGGGCTGTAGAGGTTCGGTTGTAGCGGGGGGAGGGCGAGGAGAAGGGACGGGACTTGAATCGGGAGGGCAATTCTCCTTGTCGCGGACTCCTAGCTTTCTGAAGCTACCTACTCGTCTGATTAGCTTGGAGAGGGAACGGGTATGTTTGACGTGGCGGTTCATGTTGGGGACAGAAGCGCGCTGAACCACCGCGTGCAGGCGGCGGGCAGCTGCAGGAGCAATGACTGTAGATGTTTGTGGTGATATGGGGAGAGGGGCAGGCACGGCTTACAGTCTGAGAGTCGAGGCAAACGAGATCAGATGGTTGAAGGTTGTCGCGGCAGCAATAGTAAGAGTGCCCGTCGTCGAGTCAATGAACTGCTGGTACTTGGGGAGTTGTAGGAGCAGGAGTAGTAGGAATAGGGTGAGGTATGTGCGATAGGTAGTTCGCGTGGAAACAAGGGGTCGGGACAGAGGATTCGAGAGAGACTAGACGTGGGAGTTCCCGTAGCGCAGGTAGCGCGTTCCGTCGGTGCAGGTGAGGGCGCGATTCGAGGTTAGTCCGAAGGTTGGAACACTGGAGTGTGTGTGTGTGTGTGTGTGTGTTGTGTGTACAAGAGAACGTGACTGGGGGTCCTGTTTCTTTTGTTTGTCCAGGAACAAGAAGCACAGGGAATTTTGGTTGTCGGGACAAGGGCGAAGGGGACCCAGATGTCTTTGCTTGTACTTGTGCTTATGCTTTTGCTTCCCAGTTGGGTGCAGCGGACTGCGAGCGGGTGGGCAGAGAGGCTCAAGGTGGGCGGTCTGGTCTGCATTGGGCACCTGGCCTTTTTTTCTTTTCTTTTTCTTTTTCTTCCTTCCCTGGGGCCGTTGTTCCTGACCCTGAACCTGACGTGTTTGTGTGGGGGGTTGCGCGCGAACATCGGGTAGTTGGGCATGATTGGGCCACTGGTTTCCCGGGTCAACACAGGTCACATGATGTCCCAGGCCAGACAGCCAATGGATAAAAGAGGATAATTGGCTTATGGGTCTGGGCTCTCTCACCTGCGCTTACCTGGCCTGACCTTGACTCACCTCGGTCTCCATCTCGGGAGCCGTTGAAGTTAGATGAGCTCCATTGCTTTCTTCTTCCCCCCAAGGAAGCATGGACTTGTTCATTTCATGCATTAATGGCCGTTGTAAGCCACTGAGGATGGATGGATGAATGGATGGGTGCCCCCTAACCCGTCTTCATGACTTGCCCATCATGGCATGAATCAAAACCATCAAACTGTGGCTGAGTGGAACCCATGTCCATCCAAGATACATAGGTACTGCATACCTACGTCCCATCACTTTGGTCGGGTCTTAGAGTCTGGCTGGCTGGGCTGCTGCTGTGCGCCGATGGCTGCAGCAGGGGCGGGGCACCACGAACAGCGGCATGTTGGTGTTTGTGCTCAAGACCTTCGACGCAACCAGAGCCTGTTGTTCCATTGCCATAGAAACACCATTCATTACCCTTGCATACAGCCTGAGCCAGCCAAGTGATGTCACTGGGGTAGGTGGAGACCGAAGCACATCTCACAGCCGGCTGCACCTGGCAGGGAATGGTCTCAATTGGGTGGCACCACCAGCCACATCATCCCTTCCGGCAGATCGACCTTCCCTAGCCACACTTCATCCCACTCTCGGGGCTGAGGTTTCCTCATATCCCCTCCGCGTCTCCTCTGTCAAGAGCGAGATACCTAGGTAGATCAGTGTACAAAGAGCGCAGATTTCCCCAGGGCCCCTATGGAGGGGTCTTCTTTTTCGGGGACCGCCCAGTCCACTGTCCCGTGCCACTACCACTGCCGCGTACGCGCACCGCCTCATCTCCCGGCAATCACACCAAGTTTCTTCAAGGTGCTTCCTCCGCAGTCTGAAGCACATGAAACATTTTGCCTTTCTTGCTGTCATCGCTGCCGCTGCCCACTCCTAGCGTCACGGAGTGACCCTTTTGCTGAGCCTCACCCCTCGCTTCCATCCGCATCTTGTCTCTTGCTCCCATCGCCAAACCCGCATCTAGCCCATTCCAATTCCTGGCCCAAAAAGTCAACAAACCCGCCATTGAACGACATAGATATGCTGCCCGACGCCTGGGAGCAGCCCAACCCCTGAACACGACACGCAGAGACAGAGAGAAACACCAACGCCGACACCGCCTTTCCCAACGCACCCCGACCCGACTCGACTCCACGAACATCTGCCACTGGGCCCCGGTCTCCTCCCCCTTCGGCCCTGACTCTTTGCATCTTCCCGTCGCCGCAGCAAAATATCCGATTGACAAGGCTGCCAATTCTAGAAAAAAAAAACCCCTCGACTGCAACTTGCTTGCACACACACAAAAAACCATCAGCCTCGCCCACTACCTATCTTAGTTTCCACCCAGCTCCTGCTTGCTTTGATTGCACGTGTCGCGCCCATCGCGGTTGCTGCGACCACCACCACCACCACCACCACTTACTACCGCCGCCACCACCACACGGAGCCCAAAGCACCAAAGCACCAAGCGAGAACCTGCAGGCACAATCAACAAAACATTCACCGACTTCTCTCGGATTTTTTCCCCTTGTGCTCCCTTTCGCCCTGCTGTGGCACCACTGGCCCCTCAACTTCGATTCTTCACCTCCATTTCTCCCCTTCGCTTGGTAGCTTCGACCGCAAGCCAGGATGAGCCAGATCCTGACCCCTCGGCAGGCTGAGGAGCTGTTGGTCTCCCTCTTGCCCAGCAATCCCTCCGTTGTGCGCCTCGACTGACCCCGGTACTCCATAGGCACAAAGCCATCATTGCATACCTCTCTTCGAGCAACCTACCAAATGCTGCAAATGCCCTCAGGGAAGAGCTGCAGATCGGCGACTCATTTGATGCTGCCACCTCAAAGAAGTATGAAGGCCTGCTGGAAAAGAAATGGACCAGTGTAGTGCGCCTGCAGAAGAAGGTTCGTCCCTTGGCGTCTTATTACGCGCGCCGGGCGACCTTTGCTGACTTGGACGCTGCTAGATCATGGAGCTCGAGTCTCGAACCGCTTCTCTGCAATCAGAAATCGATAACGCTACACCGACCTCGCTATCCCGACGAAACCAAGATCCCACCAGCTGGCTGCCCCGTTCTCCCGCCCGACACACCCTTCAATCCCATCGCGATCCCATTACCTGCGTAGCGTTCCATCCCGTATTTTCGTCCCTTGCCTCGGGTTCAGAGGACTACACTATCAAGATTTGGGACTGGGAATTGGGCGAGCTGGAGAGGACCATCAAGGGACATACGAAGGCGGTGTTGGACGTCGATTTTGGAGGCCCACGCGGTGCTACCCTGCTCGCATCTTGCTCAAGCGACTTGACGATCAAGCTATGGGATCCCTCAGACGAGTACAAAAACATCCGAACGCTGCCTGGCCACGACCACAGCGTCAGTGCAGTGAGATTCATCCCTTCGGGAGCGGCAGGCGCCACAGGCAACCTCCTCGTTTCGGCGAGTCGCGATAAGACACTGCGCATCTGGGACGTATCCACGGGCTACTGTGTCAAGACACTACGGGGACATGCGGACTGGGTACGAGACGTCTGCCCGTCGCCGGACGGCCGTTTCCTTCTATCGGCCGGAAACGACCAGACGGGCCGGCTTTGGGACATTAGCGTCGCCAATCCCGAAGTGAAGTTGATGCTGGTTGGCCACGAACATGTTGTCGAATGTTGCACACTCGCACCGCCTTCCTCGTACAGCCATTTGGCGACGCTTGCAGGCCTCAAGAAGCCACCGCCAGCGACAAATACCGCCGAGTTCATGGCAACAGGAAGTCGTGACAAGGCCATCAGGTTATGGGATGCCCGAGGAAACTGCATCAAGACTCTTACTGGCCACGACAACTGGGTGCGCGCTCTGGTCTTCCATCCTGGAGGCAAGTACCTACTCAGTGTGTCCGATGATAAGACATTACGATGCTGGGACCTGGCCCAGGAAGGCAAATGCGTCAAGGTGCTCGACGACGTACACGGCCACTTCGTCTCTTGCTTGCGCTGGGCACCTGGTATCGTGCGGGAGGCAGCAACAAATGGCGACGGAGCTAACGGCGCCAACGGAACACCAAGCAAGGCAGCAGCGAAGCCGCAGGATGTCCAGATTCGCTGTGTCATTGCAACAGGAAGTGTCGACCTAAACGTGCGTATCTTTGCCAACTGAGCATTCCTGCCAAGAGGCCCCAGATGATACTACAACAACCGGGTGACGAGGTGGCCGGCTGGCGTTTGCGCAAAGAGGCAACAGGCCGGGCCGCCATCGATCACGGCGAGAACAGATACGGGATCACGGCGTAACGATTCACGAGGAGCAAACGCGAATGGGAAAACCGGAGGCAGGCGTCAAATGGGGTCAAAAGTACGGCGTACGATCTGACGATTACGTGATGCCTTCGCTGATGATATAGATTTTAGGGGAGATTGTACATAATCGAATAGATACCCGCATCGTGTCCTCGCCGGGCTTTCAACTTATGCATCCGCATTGGTGTTGAAGTGGTCGTTCGCCAGCTGCGGTCAAGGAGCATCATCAAAAAGACCAACGGGCGGCATCCGGCAGCGGCATCGGCTTGGCTATTTTCACGAGTTTCAACCGGGTTGGTCGGAGTTGCAGAGTCACGATCTCGACTGGTGCCTTGCCCAACGCGAGCACAAGCAGCAGTACGAAAGATTGTGTTCTGAGGTACGACCAGGCGTGGATAATGAACAAACGGCAAAAGGCGACTTGATGTTTAACCAATGCCGACTACTTGGTTTAAAGTGAAGAAGGGTATCCTATGCGCCTTGCGTGATAATGATGCCTCGTACCAACGAACCTCTTTGCACCCAACTCGTATCAAACTGGCAGCAGCATCTCCATCTAAGCATCCTGGTATCCCTTGGACATGCTGCTCTCAATCCCCGGCTGCTCATGCCACGTCTTTTCCGGCACCCGTTCAACCATTGTAGGCCTGGTGCCAGTGGACCTCGGTCCTTCCACTACGGTGGTACGTCGCCAGAGGAATACCGCACTGCCGACCGTTTAGCTTCTGTTCCGACACCGTGCATTGGAACACATACCTTGGAGCACTTGTGCCTCGCGTCCTTCAACGACGTGAACAAGTACGGGATACACCCCAGACAGCTCACGCAGCAGACGACGGCGGCCAACGTGTGGGTGAAGCCGCCGGACGAGTACTCGACGGCCGTCACGCCGCGGGCGTGGCAGTCGGGACACTCGACGGGCGCCGGGTGCGGGCCCAGGGCGGGCAGCGGCGTGCCGTAGGGCTGGAAGTTCTGCGGGCCGCCTTGCATCGGGAAGCTCTGCTGGGGTTGCAACGGAGGGTTGTACCCGCCGTAGCCTTGGGGCGGAGGGGTGTTTGTCGGGCCGCCGTACTTGGGCATCGCGGCGGCGGTGGTGCCGGTCTGTTGCTGGTACTCCGGGGCGGGCCGGAGACGTAATTGTCCGAGCCGGGTGCCTCGACGGGGGGTTGTTGGGTTGGTTTGTCCATAGTGTGTGTGTATATATATGGGTTGCTGTGGTTTACTTGCCGGAGGGGTATAGGTTATGTGAGGTGAGAAGAGAGAAGAGGGAATGGGGAGGGGGGGGGGGAAGGTGGTGGGAAGCGGAGGGCTGTAAGAGAGTTTAGTAACTTATATCAAAAGGTCCGATGGGTGGCCTTGTTGCTGTTGCCCGCGTATACACTCGTACCGGCGCACCCGCCCGTTCGCTTCCGTCTGCGAGCCAACATCAGATGAATGGAAGGCGAGGGTCGGTGCGAGTACCACTCTCTGTGTTGTTGCACGCTGCGTTTGTGTGTACGTGCGCAAAGCCGATGCAGGTACAAACGGGTCGGGCGGTTGGATGGTACACTTACACCAGGGCCACGCCCGGTGCACTCTTCATTTCGCCTCGGGCGCAGGCCGGTGGACTAAGACTAGGAAAGGGAGGCAGAGGGGGCTAAGCCGAGCAAACTCGAGGACTGCGTCACACACGATTGGAGTGCTTGGATTGGTGTGCGCCCAGTGCGACAAGTGGTGAGTAGAAAGGTGAAGAACGAGGGAGATAACATCGTCGCGGGGGTGGTCCCTGTCGCGGCCATCACGCTGAGGCGGGGAGCAAAAGGAAACACGAAGAGGTGATTGCCAGACGGCGCGGTAAGTCGGGACCGCCAAGCGGAAGGAATGATATCATGGTCTGTTCTATGGGACAGGTCGGGGCTCAGCTACGCTATAGTACACGGCAGTACTCTAGTGGTTGTTGGTACGGTTGGCAGCGTCGGCCAAGTCAAGATGTGAAGGAATCGACAGGAGACCAAGCTTGGTGGCGATGCCGTGTCGCACGGGCGTCTTGGTGTTTGTTGACGAGTGATTGGGTCAGGTGGTGGTGTGCCGTCGTCCCAGCCTGGGCGCGGACCTGGGGTGCAGGAACTCAGCCACGCTCGGGTGCGTCAGCCACGCCTGCACTCGCCACACATGGGACGATCACAGACCAGTCTCGCCAGTCTCGCCTGTGGCTGTCGCTCATCCTACCTTTGATTCTCTGCCATCGAACCCCGCTGGTGGTGTTTGCAAGGAGTTCATCCGCGGCCCTACAGGAGACGTTTGCATGTGTTTTTGTGTTCGGCCACATAAACAATGTGCGTTTGATTCGTCTGGGGTGTTTGACCGTAGGCCAGCACAGATTCGGGCGAAGTCGTTCCCATATTGCCGCCTGGTTGTGTAAATCCTGCAGGCCATGCTCTATAGGCTTGATTTTCTTACGGAAGCGCCGGCGCAGCATATGGTCGTTTACAAACTGAGATGGCTTTTATGTGTGGATTGAATCAATTCAGAGCATTGTGGCTCGCTGGCACTGGCTGTGTCAACGATTCAGGATGAGCCGGCGGACTGCGCCTCACACCTCCCACTCCTTTTCCAAACTTTAATTCAAATGTCAATGGGAAGCATGGTGCAAGATGCAAGCGATTTGTGCGTGTATACTACTGGTGGCTGAAGTCAAGTCCGAGAGCTTCAATTTGTAGAAACCCGACGCGAGGACAGGGGATGTAGTTTTGATGTGCAATAACAAGACCAAAGAACTTGAAATTATGCCCAGAATTGCCTTTCCTCAATATGTAATAAGTAAATAACATAAAAGCTTGTTCACAAGGGCCTCGATTGCCAATTCTCTCGATCCAGTATAGACTCGTCCGTCTCGTTTATGTCAACTAATAGCAACTTTATGCCACCTCGCTCTCAGAACGTTGGCGCAATCCTCGCCGGCTCCTGGCTCGCCACAAGCTCCCTCAACTTGAACGACCTCAGCGTGCTTGTCGACCGGCTGCGCGGGTTGTGCATCGGCCCGGCCGCCACCTGCGCCGACATGCGCGCCATCCGGCTCTTGTCGTCCAGCGACGGCGCCGGCGACGCCGGCGACGATGCCGCGGCGCTTCTGGACTTGAGGTTGAAGCGGCTCACCATGGACTGGATCGCCGTGTTCGGGTCCGGCGGCGGCGGCGTCGCGACGGGCGTCGGCGGGAACTGGTGCGACATCCCGCGGTGGTGCATCATTGTCCCCTGGTGCCGATATTGGGAGAAGGATGAGATGGACCGCGAGCCGTCGGAGCCTGCTGTGCCGCGTCTGTTGAGGGCGATACGATTCATGGACTCCTCGGCCAACGACGGCGTACGTGGGCGAGGCAAGTTTTGAATGTGCAGTGCGTTGGTCGCCGGGAGGCGGCCTCTTGTAGGTGATCGACTGGATCCCCGACTAGACGGCGGCGTGGTGACGCCGTTGGCGTGGAAGTGCGGCTGGTTCGACGCGACCATCTGCTCGAAGCTCGTGTTGAGCGGCATCGGGGGCATCTTGCTCAGGCGCCGGATGGCCCGCATGTTCTTGTCGATAAAGGTCGACATGCGGTTCAACGCGTTGCTGTTCTGATACGACTCAAACGCCGAGGCGCCGTTGATGGGCGCCTCGGTCCTCGCGCGGTGTCGCTCGTTGAGCTGCATGCTCTGCTGCGCTGCCGGACCAGGCACTTGCGGCGCGTTGCGGATCGTCTGCTGGATCTGCGAGAGGACGTTGTCAAACACCACGGTTTCCTGCGCGGCGGGCTTATACGATGGCGCGCCGCCAATCACGGTGCTCTGCGTGAGGACGAAGAGGGACCCATCCCGGACCCGTCGCCTCACGAGGTCCCAGCGCGTGCGGGCCGGGTTCCGCTCAATCTCGGGCTGGTAGATGGAGCACTGCGCGAGCTTGGAGTAGAAGACCTCGAGACGCTTGGCCATGCGCTCAAGGATCTGCATGAGGAACTGGCAGAGGGCCGTGACGCGCTGGGCGTTGGACGAAGCGTCGAGGGTCATGACCGTGTCGAAGGCGTCCATGCCGTGGCACGCCTCCTCGCGAATGTCCTCGAGGAGCTCAATGTCGAGCTGTACAGACTTGTTGGCGTAGTCCATGATGCCGCGCTCCATGAACCGCGCCGGCTCGCTGTCGCAGATGAACTGGCCGACGCGGGAGACCTCCTTGGACGTTGCGACGGCGTCGGTCGACGTCTTGGCGCGGGCGATGATGCCGAGGATATCGGGGAGTTTGACGTCGGAGCCGACCGAGGCGGCGTTGGCCATGGTGAAGGAGAGCTTCAGCACGAGCTCCTGGAACTTTGGGCCGAAGAGGGCAGAGAAGCCGCCTTGAAGCAGGCGCGACTGATACTGGTAGAAGATGCGCACGCCGAGCATGTTGATCAGGCTGCCCTGGAACCAGAGCTTGGACGAGCCTAGGATGTCGTCCATCTCGAACTGCTGCGCGACGAGCGTCTCGACCGTGGTTCTCATGTACGCCGACCACATGTCGTAGAGGCCGCTGAGCTCCTCGCAGCCATGATAGTCCGGCTTCGGCGTCAGATGGCCGACAAAGTACTTGGTGAGCAGGCTGGCGACCTCTGGGTTGTTCGTGTGCGCCAAGTTGTCAAAAGACTTGGTGCAGTCGACACCGGCGTTTGACTTGAGGATCAGGGTGCCTCCCGGGTGCATGGGAGAGAAGTCGGTCACGTCGTAAACGCTGCCGTGGACGGCGATCCACATCCTCCCTCCCGGTCTATGACCGGTGTGGACGGACAGCTGCGAGAGCGGGATGGTCGGGCGGTTGCAGGGGAGCGGCTTCGGGGTCATGAAGACGTCCAGCATGATCCGGCGCTCAGCGAAGGCGGTGTTGAGGATTAGGTCCGTGGATTCCATGGTTGCTGTGCGGTGGTTGTAGATGGCCTTGCGCAGGCCGCTCATGACCGAGTCGAAGACGGCCACCGAGCCGCAGATGTACAGGTACCCGCCCAGGCCACCCTGTTTCTTGGACATGACCAGGTCGCAGACACCGGCGCCTTGCTCGGCGATGAGGGTGTCAATGTACCGCGGCTCCGTACGGCGCTCAATGAGGTCCCTCATGGTGGGATCGTACGCGAGGCCGCGGCTGTCGCGAGAGAAGGCGAGGTGTACCTCCATGAAGCCGGCATTGACATACTGGCGCAGCTCGTCCTCGTAGCAGAACTTCTCTCGGTTCTGCACGCCGAGGAAAAGCATGTTCTTGCCAACCGAACGGCCGGCACGAGCCTGCCAGAAGCTGCGGAAGGGAGCGATACCGCTGCCGCCGGCGAAGAATGCGCAGGGGGCGGCTTCGTCCAGAGGCAGTTGGAAGGCGATCGGTCTGGAAATTCCAACCAGCAGATCGGCTTCGTCGCTGTCGAAGTCTTCCGGAGAGCCCACGGGCGGGTTGAGGTAGCCGCTACTTACACCGGAACGTGTGATGTCGGACTTGCCGGCAAAGGTGGCGCAGAGCTTGTACTCGGCCCTGGAGATGGTGAGATCGACCGTGCTGGGCAGTAGCTCTTCGGGATAGTTGGAGATGGAGTAGGTGCGTGGAATCTCCACCGGGATGAGGTCGCTCAGCCAGGGGATATCATTGGAAAGGTCAAAGGCCTGGTCCCAGATGTGCGTAGGGGTGTCCATGACGGCAGCCTGAAGAAGATCCCCGAGCGAGCCCCGGACCGGCCATTCATCGGTGGTCAACACTTGCAGCAAAGTATTGGAAGAAGCTCTCAGCATGGCGTGAATCTTGAGCACAAGCTCCTGCGTCAGCGGCGCCAGGTGGCCTCGGCGTAGTATGTCCTTCACCATGAGCTTCCTCCCCCTGGTTAAGGAGCTGGCAACGCCGTGCTTGGAGATTGTCTCGAGATGCTCCGCGAAGCGAGACCACTTGCGGTCGAGAAGAACGGGACTCTCGAGCATTGTGTCCAGGCCGAGGGCTGCGGCGACCTTGGCGCACTCTTCCCAGCTGTTGAGAGGCATGACTGCCAGTCGATCCCCGGGCTGGAAGGTGATTCCTGTGTTGTGCAGGTCGAGAGTGACCATGGCGATGGATCGCTCATCGTCTGAGTCGACAAAGGATCGACTGAGAATGCGTGACTTGTACCGACATTCCTCAAAGGTGCCGCGCATCTCGTGCGGTTCGACTGGGATGTTTCCGCGGTACGGCTCCAGGCGCTCCTTCATGGCGTCCGAGAACTGGCGGTGCACCTCCTCCCACGGTCTACCCGAGTCATCGGAAGCCCCCGAGGCGCCATTGGTTTCCGTCCGACCCGTCTTGGACGCCACCTCGAGAATGCCAAACACCTTGTATCGATGTGTGCCCATGAACCCGCGCTCGCCCGTATAAGCCTCGATGATGCCGTCCAGGACGCCCATGAGCCGCGGATCGCCAGACTCCTTGACGTACTCTGGGATACAGTAGTGGTACTCGACGGCAGCGATGAATGCTCGGAGGTTCGATGGCAGCCACGCTCGCAAATGCAAGCCCTCGTTGCCGAGGAAGGAGTCATATTTCTTCCGACCGAGAAAAGCGTCCATGAGAAGGTAAGGGGGAAATTGGAGACCGGAGGCGGCAGGGCATCTCTTGGATAGGGGCGCGGAAAACTTGCCCCATCGCACCCACTCGGCCGCCGAGACGTAATTGTCACCCGAGCTGGGATTGGTGGAGATGGAGTGAAAGGCGTTGGGCATGCGTTCCAGGATCTCCTTTAGCCTGATCATCTCTCTCAGAAGACCTTCATTGTTGCGGTTCATCACGTGTTCCTGACAAGCGGCGATGGCATCAGGACCGTGCTGAAAAGAAGCTGCAAGTCTATAAGTTAGTATGAGAATTATGCAGAAGGGCGTGCATTGACAAACCCGCAGTGTCGGCGCATCCCTTCAAAAAGGCAATCTCGGTGCGCTCGCCAAACATAGGCCACCGCAGATCCGTGTTGTCGAATCGGCCAACGTAGGGATGGATGGAAGTCGGATCTCGCACTTTGATGTTGTATGAAGCCTGGTCGAAGAAGGTCAAGTGAGGGATGGCGCGTCCCATGCGACGGGAAACTTGCCAATAGGGCAGTCCGATGCTCCTTGGGATCCCTACTAGTTCCGGACCGAGGTCGTCACTCATCTCGACCCGCGGCTTCGTGGATATCGAGTTGATACTGACGCCGTCATAACCGTCATTCTTGTCCTCGTATCGGTAGATGGAGCACAGCATGCCCAGCGCCACGATGGCGGCCCAGAGTGCCTGGTCCGGTACGTTTTCTTCGGTCCCTTCGACGAGAGGGAGGGCGGCGACGGATTCTCGGACTCTTCCTCGTGAGACACAGCCGGGCATCCTCTCACAAAGGTCGGACCAGACACGGCCGGGACAGTTGGCGAGGGCGCCGGCGGCTTCGTTCGAATCGGGTGGGCAGAAGCCATACTCGGCGCTGAGGTACCCGTCCTTCCAACCGCTTGGCTGACCAATACCCTCGGCTCGGAGGATTACTTGTCGAGCTGGGGCTCCCAAGGCAACAGCCAGCAGGTCTTTGTCGTCAGCGACAAGAGTGTCGACGTTTTTAACTTGGGTAATATGATCTGCTGATGGAAGATCAGAGTAGACAATCTCGTTGATGGCCTTGCGTTCTCTGTAGACTGTAAGTAACACGAAGCAAAGCTAGGGAGAAAGAGCGTACCTAGCACGAAGCCACTCATCGACGTCTACTCCCTTTGGTATCTGATATGGTCAGCTGTGTTTTGCCATGAGAGCGAGGATTCCGTCCTACATCAAACGCAGCATGGAGATCACCCTGCTGCGTGTAGCCCGAGAAAGAACAACCCCTCGGCCCAACCCGTCTGTTCGCCGACTGTCTGCCTGCGGGACATCTTCCGCCACCTAGAGACCCAGACACAGGACACGATCGTTCAGACATGATTATTACGAATAAGACACCAGGGACCTGCCTCTGGAAGATAGAACCAGATTAGGAAGCAAAGCCACCTGGGCGGGTGAAGAAAAGAAGGCAAGTGCCGTCAAGGCGAAGAGGACGAATAGAAGGCGCACAGAAGCAGATAATTTGCAAATCAAGACCTTTTATCCGGCGAAAACGGTACAACAGGCGGGAGGGGCCGTTGATATGTAGAACTCCCGCTCCCTCCCGGTCAGACGTTCCCAGACGCATCTTGACTAGGCCGGGAGGGGGTGTGATGCTGATGTAAGGTACCGCCAACTTGGCAGTACTGGTCCAAACACGATACTTGTCGCGTGCAGTGGCAACTCGTGGTGGAAGACCCAGCGACAGCCTCACGCTAGTGAACAACCATCCTTTGACGTTGCGACATGGGCCCCCTCGGCCGGGGAGAACGGCCGGTGTCATAACCACTGGAAGCTATGTGACCACCCGCCAAGGGGGGTTTATGGCAAATGCCGTGCGATCTGGGGATAGAAGCGATTCCAATAGAGGGAAAAAAGCGGGGGACAACTTGGGGAAGAAAAACCAGAGTGGACTTGGAGACATCACCGCCAGAGGATGGCGCCAATGAAGCTATTCGGGCTAGTCCGGACCCCCCCAGCCGACCCCTGTTTGGGGGACGCGATGAGACGACGCCAAGTGCCGCACGACGTTGTACGGGCCGCCTGTGCTTGTGGACCCTCGACGACGGTCTGAAGTAGTGTACAGATGACAGGCCCAGTGGCGGCCGTGGGACATGGCAGCACCCGCAGCATCGGTGCAGGTGTCGGGTGTGAGGTATCCTTCAGCAATCTCCTGCTCCGCCTCGTTGTTGAAGTTGTCTTGGTTCACGCAACATATTTGCGCCGGTAAACCATGGGCCGCTGACCGCTGGGTCCGGACCATGCTAGGTCTGACTTTGCGAAGAACTCCGTTGCGAAGCATCATGATTCCTTTTTACTCGAAATGGTAGATGGCCGCAATGGTGAAGACCGTCTGCATGCTTGCCGCTGGACATGACCATGCCTTTCCTCGCCATTGGAAACCAGAAACACATCCTCTTCGGTTCGGTCCTGTGATCGTCTGGTACAGAATTCTACAAGGGGACATCATCACGTCGGATCACAAGGGCATGATCGCCACAAATTCACTCTTCGATCGGCTAGGGGGCGGTGGGAGTAACGCAGCCCCGATGTATAAGTGCCAGGGTGAGGCATAGCATCGAGGACCTTGTTTCTTTTGTTCTGGACCACGCGTCTCCGTGGGTGGAGCTTGGAGTCGAAGTTTAGTTCGATCTCGACGATGAAAATCTTTTTCTGAGGCGACGGGCTTGCTTTTCATGTAAACACGATGCCCTTATTAGAAGTCTGTACTTGGGTACGGGTCTCTTTGGGAGAACCAGGACACGGAGCATCCTGTTGCCGTGCGGTGAGAGTTACTTGGGACCGTATGGGTTGGCAGTCGGATGCCAAGAGTGCACGAATAGGGACGATGCCTGTCAAACGTCGCTGTCAACCGAACATTCGCACCGCAAGAGACCCCAGGCGACCGTATCCAACTTCGAGACCAAGTCTCTCAGCGACCCCAGGTTTCACGACTGCGAATGCCCCCAAGGTGATGACGCAGGCTCGACAAGAGACGGCCTGACGAAGACAACGAGGAACAGGCGGTCCAGGGAGGGGGGTCCAGGTGCACGCAAGCAGGGGGACGATAAAAGGTGAAGAAGCTCCCACATCCCGAACCTTTTCCCGAACCTTTTTTGCTTTTAGCTCTTTGGCTTCCGTCTCTTCCGTTTGGTTTGGAGCAGAACGGAACGTCATTATGTAATCAAACTTGATTGGGCTACGAGACCGCAGAGGCTCGAAGAAGGAATCCATCCCCTCGTTTCTTCTGTCTTGGGGGCTGGAGTCTCAAACCTGGGCCGCGCCATCGAGGGAACTGACTCGTCTTGGCCGGTTTCGAGCTCTTGCAAGATGGGCAACTTACATGTCGACCGTCTGCGGGTTTCTGCCTCCAAGCGATCGCACCAAAAGAAACAAAGGCTAAGCCGAGAAACCACCACCCTTGGGTATACCGCAGCGACTCGTGTAGATGCCATCGCCCCAATAAGCATTGTTTTCATTATTATTTTTTCTTTCCTCATCTTCACTCCAACGTGCTGCCGCCCCTTTGACGTCGATCACGCCAGCGTGTCACACAGCCAAGAGACCCCTCTCCCATCAACCGCCAGATGCCATCCGCATCGGCATCCAAGAAAAAGGCGCTTTGATGTTGGTGTCGTCTTTTGTGGTCCTCACTTGCATGAGTGACCAGGGCTTTCCACGGTTAAGCCACCACGCTTGGCTGCAACGACGCCGGGCTCCCCACGTCTATGCAGCCCCGCGGAATCCTGTTTCCAGAAAGCTTGGTATCTCAAGCCTTTTTCTTATTTCTCTCTTTCCCTTAGCTAATGCCAACTGAGGAGCTGAGTAAAAGCCTGGCCAAGGGTGCGTCGCAAGTTTCTACCTGGAGAAATATGTCTCGATGACTGCCGTGCAAGCGCCGGGTTGGCGGTATATGTCATGCCAGCTCTGTCCATGCAGGGGTTCTTTGATATTTGGGGGCATCACGTCAAAGGCATGGTGTCTTTCCCTTCCAATGATGACTGAGCGGAATACACAATCGCCAAGAGGCAAACCCTCCAATGGATAGATAGAGTAGCTTATCAATGTGGAAGCTGGCTTGGTATAGGAAAGGGTATTGAAAGCCAATTACGGCATGTCTATCTGATGATATTCAAGCTCTGAAGAGCCGCTAGCATCGCTGGACTCTATAAGGCCTGCTCAATGGTGGCGAAGCCCTTGACAAATTCTGCCTGGACAGATTTGAGATTCTTGATGTTCTCAGGGAGGACGTCGTCCCTCCACCACTCGAACCATGCACCAATCTCTTCAAAGTTCGCATCCTCCAAGCCAAGCCACTCGCCCAGCTTCTCATGCCACAGCGGGAACACCTCGGCAACAATGACCTCGCCCAGTACCTTGGGCGTCACGATGTCGGACCACTTGAGCACCCCCGTGAGCATGGGGAGGTACGGCTCCTGGTCGCTCGGGTCGACCCTGAAGTTCTTGCGCAGGTAGCGCCCCATGGCCGGCAGCACATGGCTCATGATCAGCGGACGCCATTGGTCGCCGAGTACATCGCGCCACTGGTCCAGACCCGGGATGACTCCGCGGTCAAACTCCCAAACGTCAATCAGCTGCCTGTACTTCCGACGTACTTCGGCAACCAGCCCTGTGCCCTTGGGCTCGAGGTGATACGACGGCAAGTACTGGAGCCAGGGGAACAGCCAGAGGTGCGGCAGCTTGTGGCTCTGCCGCTTCTTCTTCGGGTTCCACTCCGCCACGGCTGTTTCCAATTTGCGAACAACGGCATCGAGGAACTGCGCACGAACGAACGGAGGCAGCAAGTCGGACCAAGCCTCTAGAACAGCCAGGAGCGGTGTAGGGTTGAAGACATCCCAATCGCGGACGGCTGACATGGCTCTCGTGTACCAAAGCTTGTACATCATAGTTTCGTAGGGCGTTGTCGCTTTTTGGTGTTGGCGGTAAAGGTCATTGGCATTCAAACCCGTCGAGTCCCACCTGTTGACAGTCTTGTGGCCTTCGCCAGACTTTGTGAGGATGCTTCCCAGACCCTTGAGTTCTGCAGCAAATCGGGTTGGCTGCTCCAGCAAGTTCCAGTCGGGCTCGCGGAAGAAGGGGTGGATGGCCGCAACAGCGAGATCCGCAATCTCTTCGGTGGCTGGCTCGATGTGTTGAACGGCTTTTTCCAGGCAGCGGATGACGTCCTCCCATTCGGTGGCTGAGGGAAGCTCATTGGTGACAATGTTGGAGAAGACTTGAAGTCTGCCCAGGTCCGAAGCTAGGTCTGCCATTTCCTGCTCCCGTTCGCGCAGCTCCAAGTCGACCCATGTCTTGCGCTCCTCCAGATTCCTCCACTCCTCCGAGAAAGCTGCCAAGTCAGCGTGCGCTCTCTTCACCAGCTTGCGAGCAGCCGCCACCTCGGGGGACTCGACAACCGCAGCAGAGGTTGGGGTCAGGAGTCCCGATGCGGTAGTCAGAAGCTTGTTGCCCGGTCCTGTCATATCCAGAATGGGGGCAAAGGCCTCCGGTATGTGAAGTCCGGGCGCAGACTTCTTGATTTCTTCTGCCGTCATGTACTTGGGCTTTTGTCGTTTCGGGGTGCTGACGCTGCTGCCGCCTGCGCTGGCGGCCTTCTTCTTCCGCTCCCTCTTCCTCTTCTTTTCTTCCTCGTCCGAATCGACAACCTCCTCGCCTCGCAGCTTTGCCTGTCGTTTCTCCTCCCGCTTCTCGTGCTCTGATTTCTCCTTCACTGCACCCAGACCGACACCCTGTGGTCGAAGGTGTGCCTCGATAATGACACTTCGACCCTGCCCTTCTCTTCCGAGACCCTCTCCTTCTTTGTAGCCCATCTTTGCCATCATTCGTGCGCCAAAGGACTTGGGGTTGGGCTTTGCCTTCCCCTTTGCGCCGAACGCACTGGGATGGGCTACCTTTGGCGTGGAAGGTGCATCTAGGACATCGGGTCTCAGGACTGGTATGTTCGCGGATGATGGTACGAAACCACGGCCAAGGGGGTTTTTGCCGTCGAACTTGGTCTTCGCAAACGATCGCACGGGAGCGCCAGCTGCCTCTGCGTCGTTGTCGCTCTCCTCATCTCGGGCGGGCTTAAAACCCAAGCCGCGCTGCGCTCCACCGAATCCCAGACCGACTCCGCCAAAATCGTCGTCGTCTTCATCTTCGTCTTCCTCGTTATCGTCATTCGAATCCTCGGAGTATTCCTTGGCGTTGGCGTCGTTTGTTTCGTCCTCTTGGTCGAGGGTAGTGGCACCCGTAGAAACGAAGCTCATGCCCTTGCTGCGTAGAGTCTTCTTCTTCCATCGCCGCCCGGGGCCGTCATCTTCGCTGTCGGATCCAAAGATGCCAAGAGCGGCGCTCTCCTTGGTGTTGCCAACGCGCCGGCGCTTTCGTGGGTTCAGGTCGCCAAAGTCGTCGCCTTGGGATGGGTCTGCGACAGGGGCGAGGTAATCATCGTCGTCTTCCTCTTCTGATTCTGAGGAATAGTGCGCGGCGGCCTTCTTCGTCAGTCGAGAAGGGTCGAACGTTGGAAAGCTAGCCATGCTGTTAGCTAGGCACGGCGCAGCGCAAAGAAGGTTGGAGAATTACGTGCAAGACGATGTCGCGGTAGTACTACTTTTTTGGAGGAAACGCATCATCCAGCCAGGCACCCGACCGACGGAGCTCAAGGGTGGGTCGCCGCTCTATCTTATCAGCACGTGACACGTGGGACGATATGCGCATTACCAAAAGTGGAGTTGAGTTTGCCTTTGTCACATAACGTCCGCAGTCTTGCCATTACTTACACTTTGTGGGACTTGCTACCTTTTGGGCAAATATTCTCTTTAAATGAAGAGAAAATTGATTTTTTTGTATATATAATTGCTAAGCTTCCAACTACAACGGAATTTATGGTCAATACTCAGAAGTACGCAAAGTGATATAGCATCTTTGACTCAAGTATCGGCAATATTAAATCCGTGACAGAGCAATCGCCAGATGTTAGGAGACGCATTCAATGGCATTATGGTCTGCATGTTGCCCACAGTCACTGCGTCATTGCACTGAGTCTCAAGAAGCAAATTCGTCTATCTTCATAAATATACTCGTTAAAAGACCTGGTGAACAAGGTCTAGGGAACGCTGCATTCTGGGACAGGTCCGATGAATTACAAGTCGCGGATTCCAGCCTCTAGACTCTCCTTCAACGGTGTCCAGCCCTGGCCAAAGTACTTCTGCAACAAGGCACCGGCCTTGGCGGCCGGAGGAACCTCACTGAGATCCTTGCCCTCACTCTCGGGCTTCTCCGGGATCAGCTTGTTGTCCGGCCTGAGCTCACGGACGATGTCAATAAAGTCACCGGTGGTAACTTGCTCCGCGGAACCCCAGATTCTTTGAGACTTGACCGGCTCGGCGAGGAGGGCGATGGCATGGAGACGCGCAACGTCAACGACGTCGACGTAGTATTCTAGGGTAACGCGTTAGACTCTGGGCGTGTCGCAAACTTTCCGGGGGCTACACTTACGCGGCATGAAAACCTTGAGCATGCCAATCTCGCCCTTCAACAAGTTGCGGGCGAAGCCCATGGTCGAGCCCCCGATTTCGGGGTGGAGGATCTCTCCAGTCTATGAAATGTCAGATCGGGAAGCGGTCTTGGCGCGGGAGCTTAAAGACGTACGTTGAAGTTGGGCAGAATGGTGTTGAATACGTAACCGGGCTTGTTCTCTTCAACCCACTTCCAAGCAGCTCGCTCGCCCTCGGTCTTGGAGGCCGAGTAAACCATTGCTGCCTTGATTTCCTGGGGAGTGTTCGGGTCCCAGGCTGCCTTGACGGCGGCCTCATTGTACGAGTCTGAGAGCTATGGTTAGTATAATGGTACTACCGCCTAGCATTTACAGGTGGGATGAGACGGGTAGTGGATGCACCCATCAAATCCATGCAATGGAACACTTACTTTCGTCAATGTAGACACCCTTCTTGTCGGGGATAGGCATTGAGGCTGCGAAAGCAGAAGAGGTGAGAACGAATCGCTTGACGGAAGGCTGCTTCGCCGCAGCCGCCAGGGCGCTCTCGGTTGCCTTGATAACCCAAGGAATGATGGCGTTCGGGTCATCAGTGAAGGAGACGTCGGAAGCCTTCGTATCGAGCGTTAGTATTTTAACGGATGGACACTTCCGGGTTAGGATGGTGGAAAGATGCATACCACGTGGGCAACGCCGGCAACGCCATTCATGGCCTGCCCAAGAGCCTCAGGGTCGTCGAGGTTCTTAACAATGTACTGCTCATAGACCCCTTCGCCGTGCTTGCTCTTGAAAAGCTCGGTGAGCCATGGCCTGTCGGAGCGGACCGTTCCGCGGACGCGGTAGCCTAGTCCGAGGAGCGTGTTGACGACGTGAGAGCCAATGTATCCGTTGGCTCCGGTGACGAGGAGCAGAGATCCCTTGGGGAGTGCTGTGAGGTCTGACATGATGTTGGATGAGTCTAAGGTAGCTTATGTGGGGTGGCTGAGTGGCTAATGGTTGCAGGGGTTGCGAGGGTGCTGAATCGTGTTGTCTTCTGAATACTTGACGAGTTGATGAGGATATTGACAAGAAACGCAAACTCTCACGGAATTTAGGTCAGTTAAGTACAACTCCCAACTATCGCAACTTGATGGTGGAGTTTACAAAAACCCATCGATTACTAACGATCACGGATCCCACTAGAAGTGGGTTTCTGCTTAGAAACTGAGACCCCTCTCTCGCACTCTGCCGGTAGCGGTTCGGTGTGGTGTTGCGACGGCGGCAGATGTCTCTGCGCTGCAAAAGCTGGACCGCATGCCCAGTCAGGGCTTCGACCAATGACGTAACCAATGACACCACCCGGGGACCAGTGTTACCGCCGTTTTCCCCCGCTCCGAGTGCCCCGATTTGTTACCCGGGATTATGCAATCTGCACAGCGCGTTCTCACCACCAATAACACTAAAGCAGCATTTCTCGGGGGTCAAGCGCTGTAAGCTGCAGCAGAGGCTCACTGTGAGATGTCTACGCCGCGGGCTGCAAGTCGACTGGATGGCTTACAAGACATGCAGATGCCTTCGTTTTACCTCTGAGGAGTTGTGTTCTGAACAACGGCGGTTGAGTTAATTCTACCCTGGTAGTGAACACTAGCAGTTTGCACGCGGCTCAGTACAAATGTGAATCTCGCATCATCATATCAAGTTCTGACCAAACTGCCGCGCGGTTACGGCCCGTATTGAGTTTGAGGACATGCGACTCATTTGTAATCTGATGTGCGTGAATACAAGTGCCAGTCTCTCAACCCATGCGCTTCCGGCTCGCTCGACACACAAACGTACTTCTTGTACTGGGCTGCTCCTGCATAGGCTATAAGCATGCTAAGGGCTTACGGCTTACTTCAGGTGTGCCAGTCTTGACCGTTTCCGGGTTGAGTTGAAACCTGGAACGGAGCAATTGCACCACTCACCAGCGCTGTCTTGATAAGCCGGGTTTTGTCAGCTGGTGAAATCGCCAGAAGCAATACCTTGGACCAGCATCGTGAACCTGGTATTGCATGGTTTCAAATGCACTGTCGATTATTCAGCCCTGTGCACCAAGTGAAAACACTAGAAACAAAAATCCAGAGATATGCTCTGATACTGGTACGCTTTTCTGAGCGTGCTACTAAACTTACAGTATACCCTATAAACCATGATCCAGTCGAGTGCGCAGATGATTGATATGCGCCCTCTTCTGCGTATGCTCGCACTCGATCAGTCCGCCACTGGCACCGTGGTCGAGGCTTCCAAAGCAACGATTTTCACCCTGGCCAACGACAACAACAGAGAAGACCCATAGTCTACCGTTTCTTCCATGCTGGAAATAAAACCTTGAAAGCCATAAAACTTACCGACGAGTTGTTTTTGTCAAGATCCAACAGTGATGCCTCGTGCGGAAGCCTGGCCTGCTGCAGCGCTAATAGGAAGACGCATCGTGAGTTGGAAACCCAAATGCATCTCGTGTCTTGGAGCCGCAGCCTGATGCTATGTCATCCAAACGACAGAACGACAGTCGGCAGGTCTCAGTCAGCTAAACTGCTACGCTAACCAGTGAAAAGAGTGGCCCTTGAGATGCTGCAAGTCATCTTAAATTGGATGTCTAGTGTCCGAGATTTTGAGCCTCAACCTGAGGAAACGCGGCCTCCCGTGAACTAGCTTGCCACCAGTTGGCGATGGATTCACGTGCTTTGTATTATTAGAAACAAATATGGACGGAGGCCACGGGTCGCTTGGACCCATCGGAGGAATTGTTAAGGCGGGTGACAAGCGGCACGAGGGAAACTTTGTTTGGGGGCGCTGGCTTGCGCTGCTGCGCTGTGAGGGGGAGGGGAAGCCGGCACCGGCTGACAACGTGGTAGGTTTGTTTCTGCAGGGAGTCGAACAACGTGGCAGGCCAGGGGTCGCAGAAGCTGTCACGCAGACGCCGGTTTGCTGGTGGATGGATGCACTTGGTCTTCAGTGAGTCTGGGCCGGGTTGACTGTTGAGACTCGCAGGTTATACTCGCATGTGCCGTGCTGTGCTGTGCTGTATAGTACGGTACTAGCTCACATGCCACCTGGGATGGCACATGAGTGGATGGAATCATGTTGGGGACAGTTTCTTCCTCATCAGACGCTGGCTGAGACGAGAGAGTTGGGATTTTGGGGTAATGCGAGGAGATACCGACATGAGATGAACAAAGGTGATCCTTGGGTGTTGGCCAGTTTCTGGTGGAGGAGAAGAGGAGAGTGGGCAGCAAAGAGAAAAGTTGACAGGCTCTCGTTGCGGCTCCAGCAGCTGAAGGAAAAAAAGAGGCACAACCGGAGCTGTTAGTGCTCATGTACCTGGCTGGGTTTCCTCGCCATTGCGGAACACAGGAGCCACCCGAATGCCACGACCGAGGTACTTCCGAGGAGGTACGGATATCTTTATGGGCGGCAGGAGCAGCGCAACCTCTTTCCTGGGTACCTAGGTACCCAGGTGCTAAAGGTAGGTACCCTGCGTGACTACTTGCCTACCTACGTACCACGCGACATCCGTTTCTCAACCACCAACAAACAGTATCAATCCCATCTTTGGGATGCATAACCTCCCGCTTTCTCGTACCGACTATCACGTCACGTCGCGACGTTCCGTTTCGAGTCACACACACTCGGAAACAAAACAACAAACGAGCAGCACACACAAGGCCACCAACCCCGAAGGACCCCGTCGGGTCCGAAAGGGGGAAAGAAAAGGAAAAGAAAACCCAAGAGTCAACAGTCCGGCCCCTCTTGCAGCGCAATCTCCATTTCTTTCCTCAGCCTGCCTGTGCCCGGGGCAAGAGCAATCAATGGAGGGGCATCCCAGGCCCGGCCTCGTGCAGCATCGCATCAGGTTGGATTGGATCCCCTCGATTAACAATTTGACGGGAAGGACCCTTTGACCCTCACCACTCCTTCTGGGACGGGGGGCTCAATATTGAACAACGACCCCCGGACCCTGTCTCCGGTCTGTTGTAGTCGACTAGGCGAGAATCCATCCCACTGCAGGGGCAGGAGATGCAGAAGAAGACGGTTGAAGAAGATGCGAATCAGCTGTCAGGTAGAATACGAAGCAGCACCAGCAGCACCAGCACCGACTGGACCGACAAGCTGCTGGATTTGGCCGTCCGAGCTCCCCGCCTCGACTTAACCCGACGCGCCGTGGTGTTGTCGTCTCCTTTGGCCGGCAGTCTCACCATTGCTTTTTTTTGTCTTCTGCGACCGGAACAAACTAGGCATTTCGAGACTCGGTCTTTTGACAGGCAGCCCCGGAACCTGATCGAGGCGCCGCCACCATCGCATTTGCGTCTCCCACGTCTTCAGGTCATCCGCTTTTTCCTTGTCTTGCTCTGTCACCAGCACGTTGCTTGGCCCGTTGCTCGACCCCGGGGGTACTTCGACCTTATCTTTCCTCGCTGGCACGGCTGTACATGAAGCCTCGAGGGACATCCCTAGCTACCTACTACCTACACCATAGAACACTGTACATGCGCACTTGGCTGGGCTTACCTCACCTGGCCTTGCCTGGCCTGGCCTGAAGATAGGTACCTTGCCTCGCTCTCCATCACCTTTTCGCTAGCCAAAACAAGAAAAAAGAGAAGAAAAAGAAAGACTAAGGACCCAGAACGGTCGGCTTGGTCTGGCAGCTGGCAGGGCCTAGACGCGGGCGGGAAGCAAAACAACCCAATCTGGACCCAATCTGCCCTAACCGGCGAGTTAAGTGAGTTGGGCACGACTCAAACCCCAACCCTCCTATCGATCTTCTGTTTGTCCGTCTGGCTGGCTGTCGAACCTGTGACGGAAGCACGTTGGCATAGTGTACTGAAAGCAGTCTCGATCCCCTGTTTATCCTGCTCAAGCAGTACCTTGATCCCTCCCCCCGTGATATCATTTTTTGCGCTTCAAAAACTCCCGTCGTCACTCTGTCCTAACCACTGGGCGCGGAACCGGGAAAGCAAGTAGAAACGGAGCACGATTACCGAGAGGAAATCCACGCATTGGACGCTCCGAGGCCCCAACCAGTGGCACCCTTCAGTGTACCTGTATCCCCCTCCATCTGCGTCGTCAAACTCCCCGTTCGCCATCCCCGATTCTCCGATCAGCATTTTTGCTCATACTCGGATTTGAATCGGGATTGGTACGGTGTTGGGCGTTACAAGACCGAAGAAAGAAGCAGAAGAAGAGTGAGAGAGTGAGTGTGTGAGAGAAGTAGAGAGATAGTGAGAGAGACAGTGCCACCCTCCTCCCCGTGCCACGCCCCCCATTCTCTCTCCCGTCCCCCCCAAAGCTCCGAGGGCCAGGACACGCACACACACAAACACACGCCCACCACCACCACACCCCGACGGTTCACACACAAACACAAACACACACGCGCACACACAAACTGAGCCAGCCGACCCGGCCTCAGCACTGCCAGCAGCTGCACCCCCCCGACTCCGACTCGACCACGCCAGGAGCGAGTCAACGATTGGGCCAAGAAGTACCTTACCTAACCTTACCTTACCTCAAACCCGCCGCTGCGCAATCCAATCTTGACGACGTCCGTTGTCCATCTCACCTCACCTACCCACGCATATTCTCCTCCAAACACCCCGCCAGGCTCCGAGCGAACACCACACACACACGACCTCAATCGACCCGACGACTCGACCCAACGACGACCGACGACGGCCCCGGCATCAGCCCGCCCGTCCTCTGCATCGCTCACCTCCAACGAGGCCTGGAGCGCCTCTGCACGACACACTCACCTACGGCTTTTCCCACTTTTGTACGTACCCTAGGTTGTCTTCTCTGCTCTGCCCCCCGACTCGCTGCCTCGTTGCCTCGTTCGTTGCTCCCGCAGCGCAGCGACGGCTCTTTGGTGCCTCGTCGTCTTCGAGGCGGTGCACGCGCGCTGCTCGCAGGTCGGCGCGTCCCAAAGACGGCTCTGTCGGCCGACGTCGTTGGCTCTTCCAGCACTGCCTCTGTTCCCTTTTTTTTTTCGTGGCGGTTGGTGTGCTGTCGCAAGCTGCATCGCCAATTTTCCCTCATCCTTTCCCCTCCATTATCAATCAGCTCCTCTTTTTTGGGTCCGATGCGCCGGCCCCTCCACTCCGCCGGCGACATCACCTGCACACTCAACCACCGCATGCATCCTCCTCTTCCCACCTGGCACCCGCTTGACACCACCCGCCGCTTCGTGGATCACGTTGCTAATCTTACCCGTGGTCTCAGTTGGCAGTATTCAGAGCGACCGATACCCAACCCGACGACCTACGTACTTTTCGCATGCCTTGAGGATCTGGCATACAAGACGACATCTTGGCATTCGTTATACTGGAATTGTCTTCTTGCAGCCCCCGCCCGCCTTTGTTTATCCCGGCTGGATACCGACCTTCGCATGATCCACTACCGGACCGCTGCTCAGTTAATTGTTTCCTTGTTCTGTGTCAACCGCAGCCGCGACTCGTCGGGTGCCGTGACGTAGATCGCCTACCAATACCGCCACCATGTTCTGGAGATTTGGCGGTTACGCCAACATATCCACCATCGACACCATCCTCGAGAAACCAGATTTCACCGTCGAAGACCTCCTTGACGAGAGCGACCTGATCCAAGAGCTCAAGCAGCACAATACAAAACTTATCGAGTATCTCCGCGAGGACAACGTCCTCAAGACATTGCTCGAATACGTCGTTGCCCCCAAACTAGAGCCCGTCGCCACCCCGGAAACAGATGAACCCGTCGAAGAGACCAAGGGCAAGGGCCGCCTCCTCCCCTTCTCAAGACCCCGCGCCTCTTCGCGAGCGACCGACATCGAGAATGAGGAGGAGGAACAAGAGAAGAAGCGGAACCGCTATGCCTACGTTGCTGCAGAAGTCCTGTCATCGGACACGTGGTCCATCTACGAGGCCATGATGGAAAATCAGCCCCTGATTCGCGAATTCTGGCAGTTCCTGAAGCGCCCTACACCCCTGGACCCTCTGCAGGCCAGCTACTTCACCAAGGTCAACGAGGCTCTGTTTGACAAGAAGACGGAGGAAATGGTGATTTTGCTCAAGTCGCTGCCCGACGCCGTGTCCGACCTTCTCCGCCATGTCGAGTGCCCGATGATCATGGACTTGCTGCTCAAGATCATTGCTCTGGACCGCACCGAGGGTGGCCAGGGCATCGTGGAGGTGAGTCCGACGGAGCTCATTTGGGTGATGCTCCAAGCTAACAGTTTCTCTGCAGTGGCTTTACTCCCAGGATGTTGTGCCAACCTTGCTCTCATGCCTCAGCCCCGAGCACAGCTGGGTCGTCCAGACGGCTGCCGGCGACTTCATCAAGGCCATCATCACCATTTCCGCCAACGCTTCGCAAAACGAGCAGCAGTGCATCGGCCCCAACGAGCTTACCCGCCAGCTGGTGTCGCAGCCTTGCATCGAGCAACTGATCAAGTACATGCTAGGAGGTGGAAACCCGCTAACCGTGGGTGTTGGTATCATCATCGAAGTGATCCGGAAGAACAACTCAGACTACGATCCCGATGTCGGCACCGAAGCCAACTCCGTCCCATCGAGCCGCGATCCAATCTACCTGGGCACCCTCCTCCGCCTGTTCGCGGAACATGTCCCCGACTTTGTCAACCTCATCATGAACACCCCCGTGAAGAAGCAGCGACTGGGGTCCACTTTTGGCGAGAAGATTGAGCCCCTCGGATTCGACCGATTTAAGACATGCGAGTTGATGGCCGAGCTGCTTCACTGCAGCAACATGGGCTTGCTCAACGAAGTTGGTTCCGAAGATGTGATTGCGTCTAGAGATGCCGAGCGTCAGCGCTTGAGAACGGAGGGTAAGCTTACCCCAAACCGCGGAGAAGAAGCGCCTTTGTCCAGCGACGATTTGACGATGCGCATCGGCCATTCTTCCCCCGAGGAGGGACGTCGTTTAGAGGTAACCAATATCTCAGACGATGACGGATTCGAAGAGGTTGAACCAAGCCGCGAGATGAACGAGGACACGTCCCACGAGTTTGTGAAAGCCGAAGAAGAGATCCCCGCCGCCGCGCCAGCTTCGTCCTTTTTGGACAAAGACGAGGACGACTTTGTGGACGAGCCGCTCAGCTCGCCTAGACTCAACGTCGCGGACAATAAGATCAAGGAGCAGCAGTTTGACGACCCGGATCTGGTTGTCGCGCCCCTTTCGCCAATCAAGCCCAAGACCGCCGCGAGCGAGGAGGCTGCTGCTGCACCAGACTCTGATCCCAAGGTTGACGAGGACACGATTCCGGAAGTTGCTGACGCTAAGAGTGAAGTGCCAGCTGAGAAAGAGACGGCTACTGCAGAGACAGGAAAGGACGCGAAACCCGACTCCGACGCCGACAAGACCGCCGAGGACGCCACCGTCACCAAGGTGGAGGAGCTCTCGCTCGACGAGAAGGCAGACCAAAGCATGCTTGCCGAGGACAACCAGAAAGGCGACGAGTCTGACTCGTCTGTCGTCTACACTCCCAGTGCCACTGAGTCGGAGGCAAAACCCGAGCCTGCAGAGACCGCCCCTGGCGCTCCCGACGCTCCCCAGCATCCCGAAGACATGCCTGCGCCTTTGTTCTCCAAGTCTGTGATTGAATCCGGCTCGAAAGTAGTAAAGGGAGAGTCGGACCAGGAGCACAATCCAGAGACTGTGCCAGCTCCCGAGGTTCCTATGGCTCCTGCGGTTCCCGAAGTGCCGGAGGCCCCGGCGCCTCCCGGAGCGGACGACGCCGCGGAGAAGGACGCCAGTGATTTGCCGCCTGCGGTGCCCCAGCGCCCTGACCCAAGCACTGTGAAGCCGGTGGTTGGCGATTTCCTAAAGGTTCAGTTTGTGGAACACCGTGTTGTACCCACAATTCTGGTGAGTTGGTCGCGACGGGCGTGACATGTACCGAGCTGACATGCGAGTAGTCTTTCTTTTTTGCTTACCCGTGGAACAACTTCCTCCATAATGTGGTATATGATATCGTTCAGCAGGTTTTCAACGGGCCTATGGACAGGGGTTACAACCCCACCCTGGCAGTATCACTGTTCGAGGCTGCGGATATCACGACGGCCATTATCAACGGCCAACTCGCTAGCGACGAGTCGCAGGCTAGGATGAAGACTCGCATGGGTTACATGGGTCATCTGACTTTGATCGCTGAAGAGGTGGTCAAGTTTACAGAACGACACCCTCCCGAGCTCCTGTCAGAGACAGTCCTCGAACGGGTTATGGACCCACGATGGATCAACTACGTCGAGGGTGCGTTGGCCGAGACCCGCGAGCGAGACAATGCCATTCTCGGTGGCGTCCGGCCCGAGGTGGCGCTGGGCAACCGCGCTGGCATGTCTGGCAACGGACTGGCGGCCGTCGGCCTTTCTGGCCTTGGATCATCCTTTTCCAACTCCCAAGGAAACACCGGCTCCAGCGCCCTGGCTGACGCCGGCCTCAACGGCAATACGGACCTCCAAGAGAGCAGCGGCAACGGCATCGGTCCATTTGCCATTAGCTCAGGCACTCTCATGTCCGGCTTTGGCAGCTCCAGCGACGAAGAAGACGAAGGTGAAGAGGAGAACGAGGATGATGTCAGTAACGAGGTGAGTGATATGCTCTCAGAGCTACGTGAGACGGAACCTCCTGCGTTGGATCCCTGGACGCAATCACTTCTTGACAACCACAACAACCCGGATTCCGACTAGGACAAGGACCCGAAAGAAGATGCGTAGTGCGCAGATGAGAATGAAAGATCCTGTTGTATTCGCAGAACCCAAGAGGATACCGCCGACGGCGCCGGCTACGACATTGGACATGAGATAGAAGTTGTGGTCGAAGGCGACGAGGAAACTGTCCTTGTATTCCAGGACGATCAGGAGATTAGGGACAACGAACTCGGCGACGAAGAGTCGGACGAGGACATGTACATGATTCGACCTTCCCTTAGCATGATGGCATGGCTTAGACGGACAATGAACAGGAATGGTGTGGGTGAAGGCATGGAGGAATAAGGTGGCCCGGGAGGGACGTGTGCAAAGACGGTGTTGGAGGCGTACTCTTGATGTACTGCGGGGGCGGCGAGTAGTGTAGGGTTACATGTTCCCGTTCGCGTCGGCGTCGATTCCTTGGGATACCAGGCAACTTTGGACCTTTCTTATCCGCTGCAACCTCTTAGGAACCGGGCCCTCTATGACAGCATCACGACAATGACGAACGTTGCTTCCGGGAGCCTTACTACCTCGTGCGCCGTTATCGGAATGAGCCGTCCCCGCTAACACTCGCTTCTCTAGTTCCGCGCCTACACCGACCCCCTGAGCAACTCATCATCTCTGAACCCGCCTTCAATCCCTCCGCCGCCGCCGCCGCCGCCACCACTGAACACGCCCCCGTCAAGAGCTCGATTGCAACTTGCAGCTCGGCTAGCCATGCATCAAAAGAACAACGCGGCGGCGGCCGCATCCCGTGATGAAAATGGAGAGGGTGAAAAGGACGACAAAGCGGAGTCTGGCGAAGGCGAGAGGCTGCAGAACCCCTTCGCGGACGACGAGGATGACGAAGAAAACTCGAGCGACGAGGATGATGAGGACCACCACGGCACAAATGCAGCTGCAGCGGTGACAGGCGCATGGGACCAACCGGGTCAAGGGTCATGGTGGCGCGGCGGAAGACGGCCAGACGCCACCACCCGGTTTGACGGACAGGAAGACTCTGACGAAGAGGACGAAGACGAGGAATTCGGCGACTTCGCCATGCCCGAGGTGGAACCCGCGCCCGGAACGGACCCGAACGACAAGAGCATCCTGAAGCCCCTTGCCGTGCACCCGCTCCAAGGAGGGTCCGGGGGCAAGGCCTTTAGCGGACTGTGGCCGTTCGCGGGCAAAAAGGACGGCAAGGACGACAAATCAGAGGACGCTGACAAGGGACCGGCCGACGAGACGGCGGCGGGAGACGACGAGAAGCCAGTCCAGGCAGCGATCGAGGCTGCGCGGCGGACTAGCATTGAGGATCCCGACGACGACGAGGAGGTGGTGGTGCAGAAGCCGTCGAGCCTATGAGATGAATAGACGACGTTATGGCTGAATGCATTGGGTAGACGGTTTGGATCACCGTATTGTACTATCAAGTGTTTTGTTTACGCTACATAGCTGTAGAACATGATTGGAATGGAGAACATGCGCGAAGTCGGGTGTCCCGTGGGTGACATTAGCCTTTTCTGCCTCTACTGTAGAGGGCTCAGTTATTTTGCGGGATGAGGACTGTCGGTTTCTGCGGCGCCCAGCCATCTTTAACAAGTACCATCACATCATTTCAAGTGCGCGGTGACTATGGAGCAGCCTCGGGACCGGATGGGCTACCGGAGTTCCGGCTACGACTTGCTTGCTGACGAGCCTGGGGTCAGATCGCGACGGTCTCTATCTACGAATACGATTGGAAGTAATTTTGACATACAGTCGAGAAATAGTTATTAACATGAGAAAAAAAGAAAGAAAAAAAATAGCAAGATGAGGTTACATGCGGCTTCTGTTGGGTTGACAGGGTTGACGGATGGGACGGCCATGGATCGCCATGGCTCTTTTCAAGGCCTTCAGGGTCCATCGAATAGCTCGAGCTTGGACTGGCCGGGGAGTTGCCAAGGGTTCGAGAGGCGATAACGATAAGGGCGGATGTCTTGAAGCTCCGGCGGCGGGGGAAATCTTGACCCCTTCTCCTGACTCTGGAAACCAGAAACACGCATTGGAGACGAAAGCACATGCAATCATGCAACAGTGCTCCGTCCGGACAATGCACGACCTGAGCTCAACCCCCAACCTAGTGTTTGACATGACAGCAGCGGCATGAACCTGGCCATCCCTCTACTCGTGCACCCTTGTCCCTTGCTCTTCCTCTCTCACTTTCTCTCTTGCTTTCTGGCTGAGAAAAGGAACGGTAATACCAGGCCGGGATAAGGGAAGACAGACAGATACCAGCGCAGCCGCCGCCCGACGCGACGTTGGAGCCGACGATCAAAACGATGGTGTTCCGCTTGCTATCCGCAGTCGCCCTGCTCTTCTACGTCGCCATCTACCTTCCCGTGAGTCTGCTCATCCTGCATCGTCATCCGAACTGCGCTCTGTGCCCCCCATCCCTTTTGCCTCGTCATCGCCGTCCGCGGGTACTCGGTGTCTCTGCGGTTCCCGCCGCAATGGCTCTCGCTCACCAGGGTCACGTCGCTGCTGCCGAGCCAAAGTAGTGAAACCGAGAGTCCGGCACGCCGACAGCAGCGCGCCTTGCTCCGTCCCTTTTTTCTTGCCCCCTTTTTCTCTGTCCGTTCGCCCAGACGCACGATGATGCCTTGCTGTGGCCTGTCCCGTCCAGCCTGAAGTCGCCGTCGTCTGTACGAGAGAAACATCAGCTAATGCGCTTCGTGTGTTCTGGCAGCTTCTCTCTCGGAAACGTCCACCTCCCCGACTCCGTACCTAGTCGTCGTCACTCAGCAGTGTCGTTTGGATTCTGCATACGAGGCCTTTCACGCGTCGCCTTGAAAGCGCGAGTGGTCATATAGCACCGGAAACACCCTTGTTGGAAGCCGTGGTGACAAGATACACCCAAGAGACATGGCAGCTATGGGCCTCGCGACAAACACAGAGTCCGGCAACCCCGTCTATCAGCCAGTAGCCCCGTGGCTCAACCGCATCGTGTACGGGACCAAGATCTCGACGCTGCAGCAATGGTACTTCCAAAAGGCCGGCTTCGAGGCGTGGAAGTCGTACTTTTGGCCTCCCCCTATACGACCCGACCTCATCAAGCAGTATGATTGCAGGAAAGCCCTGCCCGTACGGTGCGTCCTCCGATATGTCACCCCCATCCCAATGGGCAGATGTCTAACCCCGAAGCCAGCATCTTCTTCCCCTCCGACTACGACCAGACCTCGCCGCAAACCCTCCCAACCCTCGTGACGATCCACGGCGGCGGCTTCTGCATCGGCGTGCCCGACGACGACGACACCTGGAACCGCACCTTTGCCGACCTCAACGGCGCCCTCGTCATCGCCCTGCACTACTGGAAAGCCCCCTGGGCGCCGTGGCCGCACGCGCTGCACGACCTCGAGGCGCTGTACCTCGCCGTCGTCGCCGACGAGTCGCTCCCCATCGACAGGTCGCGCATCGCCATTGGCGGCTTCAGCGCCGGCGGCAACCTCACGCTGTGCCTGTCGCAGATGAAGTCCGTCAGGGAGCACGCGACGGCGGCGCCCAAGGCCGTGGTGCCCATCTACCCGCCGACGGACTTTGCGACGCCGTCGGCGGCCAAGAAGGACCGCCGGCCGTACAAGGTCGGCAAGCTGCCGGGCTTGCGCGGCCAGAAGCGCGACTTTGTGCTCGAGTTCGCCGACGTCTTTGACTGGAGCTACATCCCCTACGGCACGAACCTGCGCGACACGCTCATCTCGCCGCTGTACGCGGGGCGCGCCGACCTGCCGGCCAACGTGTGCATCGTCGCCGCGGAGCTCGACTACCTCGCCTACGAGGCATGGGAGCTGGCGTGCAAGCTCGGCGGCAAGGGGCGGCCGGCGGCCGGGGCGGTGGGGCGCGCCGAGGTGGCCGCGACGCAGGAGCTTGAGACCCGGGACGAGCGGTTCGCGTGGGAGGTGGCGGACGCGCGGGGCAGCGTCAAGTGGCTGCTCGTGCCGGACGTGATCCACGCCTTCGACTTCCACGAGATGGGGGCCGCCGTGTCGGACCCCGTGAGCGTGCGGGACGGCAACGCCAAGGCCGTCAAGGTGATGAAGGTTGTGGGGGAGTGGCTGAGGCGGACGGCGTGGAAGTGAGCGGGGTGACGGGGGGGTTTTTTTTTTTTTTGGACTGTTAGTATATCTGATGATATGGAACTGGAATATGCCGTTGGGCGGAGAGGCGTTGGTTGGAAAGGTTGATCTGAACATGCATGACATGGTGGAACGATTCGCGCCAAGATAGATTTACAAATGACATGAATCCTTTAGAGAAAGCCTTGCTATGCAGAAAGCCCATCTATGAGGCTATCCTTTGGTACCGGTGAGGTCGATAGAGGGGGCGGTGTCGTGTTGGCGCCCTGCGGCCATGGGGTCTGGCGGTTGCACGGCGTCGGCCCCCGATGCGACCCGGGACCAACCGGCATCCTTGCAAGGCGTGGGGTGTTTCTCGGTGGGGGTTGCTTTCGTATCGTGGGGACTGTTGGTGTAGGAACTGATCTGGTGCGTTCCGGGGAGACGGGGTTGACGAAGGGGAATGGGTTGGGCCCGGGTTCGGTACGAGGTGAAGCGGTCTTCTGTGCGCCACGCCGCGGGTCCGGGGAGCCTTCGTTTGGTGCTGAATTCATCACTTGGTTGGGGTGGTGTTGGAATACCTATCCGAGTATGATTGTAAAGTCTTTAGGCTTCCGTCTCTGTCGTCTATTTTACGTTGAAGGTTCAACTCGAACTAACGCTAATTTCTTCCATCTCGCGCGATGTAATAAGTCTCTTTCGTAATAAATGGTAGCAAATATCAATCCATAGAGGACGAGGTCCTGAAAGCAGTCTTTCCTGAACGAGTCTAACAAGATGACGGCGGCTCCAGTGATTACATCCGAGTGGCTACAACGGGAGACGATGACGAGATCTGCCTGTAAGCAAGCCAACTCTGGCACAAATGGATGTTTCAACTCAGAATTCATCTGTCATCATTTAGAGACAATTGTTATGGGCTTGAAAATCTTTATGCTAAGACTACGTCAGCTCCCAGAGCAGACCCACATCGTTGCCGAGGGCGGAGTGTGAAGTCTTCCCATCTCACGGTCCTCGTTCAGTATCTATCACAGAGGCAAGATATAAGATGATGCTGATCTGGCTAACGGGGAAGACGTTTTCTGAGAGTGCTTGCCATGTTCCTGTACTCGAAGGGAAAAGAGAGAAACAGCACGTCATAGGAACAGACTACAGGATTGACTCGCAAGTTTGAAGTCAAATCAAGGAGTCATAACTAGACAACCCTTCTTCGTGTTTGTTGGCCATGAATCGTGACTTTAAATCATACCCTGCAACAGATTTAGCCTGATGTTGAGTAGCTATATCCGAATGATTGTACAGCGTTCGTCGTGTGGTGAAATCACACCTTATTCATATCTTCCAGAAAGTCGACCAAGCCCAAGATATCTCACTGAGGACTGGCAGTGTAATAAGTGTCCCCGCACATCGCCAATGCAATCAAATGATTCCACAAGAAACTCAACCCATCTTTTCAAGTATGACACCAAGTTGAACATTACGCCTAAACTTGTGCATTGATACTGCCTGGGATTACTGCTCCAAGGTAACTCCATGTCGCTGGCTTTACTCGGTGATGTTTGGTGGAAACGTTGCAAGATGCTTAGCCAAGGACAGTGTTGTACTGGCGACTCAACAAGCGACAGAAGTCAAACACTCCAAAACATCAATGACAAACAGCAAAAGAGCGTGCCATTTGTTCGGAGATGAGGGAAGGCTGAGAGAGCACACAATCTCTCCATGTTCTAGATGGATCATTTCCAGGCTCTGGTAAGCGTCATTTCTCGAGACCTTGTAAACACAACCAGGGTTGACGCAGGCCTGTGTTCTTCCTCCCTTGCGTCGCGGTAGTTAGTTACCGAGAAACGGAAACCTGAGCTGGGACAGAACACACAGCCAGGTTTGCCGCCACAGTTTGAGCTCAATGGGTCCTAAAGTGAATGGTGGAACAATGACAGAGAAATTTTCCCTTGGCCCTGACATTGAGCAAGAGAGGTCGTCACACAAGGTGGCAACAGTTTTATTAGTCTTTTGAGCATAGGTAAACTGAATGGAAACCGGACTTGGGGCCTGAAGCAGAGTATACACATTCAGAGATGCACATTCAACAGCATAACGAACGATACGGACTAGTAGCGAAGATGATCTCAACGGCCTAGGATGTCCTGACATTTCATGTGCTCATTGCAACATATGAAAGCTGTTCTATCTACATGCAGCCAATAGGACGGTTGAGGACAGTCTTTCGAGAGCAGCGAAGGCGACGTATGCGATATCAAGTCCCTTGCTGGAGTGTCCTGTGCCGCGTACATTTCAACCGACCTTTGCTCAGTCAGTCCCCTTCCGGCGACCGGCGAAGCACCCGAGGGGCCCCATCTACTGGTTTTTAGATGCGCCGTTAAAGGAGGAAGCTCATAAAGTCAACGGTGCTGTGAATTCCAATGGCCAACATCTCCCAGGCACCAGCATCGCCTTTGATGTTGATGATGATGACGTTCAAGGCAACGGCGCGAAAGATCCTACATCTGCTCGATTGGATCTTGAGCTGCCAAATGTCATGCTAATGCAGCGAAGGAGCAACCAAAACAAGTTGGACTGACCCCCTTGCTCGATGGGGGCTGTCTGATTGCTCAATCAAACTGCGATCATCTTACATGGGCCCATGTACGCCGAATCGCTGCGCCGTCTAACTGCGTCGGTCCCGCGGGTCCCCGTCACTCCTGCGCTGATAGCTCTGCAGCTTACTGCCTACTTTTGGCGATCGTTTTAGATGCCGATGAAGCACTGCCACCTCGACAGGCGCTCTTTGCCGCGATGGGCCCAAGTTCACCCAATCACCGTGTTACTTGCGCTTCCAGGGAGCGAGTGTCTTCCAGAGCAGAGATTACAACTTGCTACGTACAGCCTGGCAGGGCGGTAAAGATGGCGGGTACTGATTTCGCCCGGAGGACCAGGCAGGCAGCTGGATGGATGGATGCCTCGTGTAGATCTCAATCGGCGTCTTTTGTGGGCTTTGCCAGCGTGGTTTCACGGAAGCATGAATCGGTTTTCGGATTGAGGATGAAAAAGTTTGGATGTTGCAGCGATCTACATCACTAGGAAATCCTTTGTGAGACTATTCAAGCAAAGAACGGTGTCACGACTACAAGCATGCGACCGTGGGGACGCACCGGACTTCCGTTTGGAAACGGGGCGAAGGGGAGGGGCAGGAGACGGCAGGTTTCGGAGGTGCGGGATACGGGAGGGCCATTGTTGGCGCTGGGAGGAGTTAGACACACGAAGTGACATAGCAGGCTTTAAAAATCGATAGGAAAACCCGTCGCCTGGCTCATTACGTTCGCGATACCCAACCCATTAAACCGCGTACGCAGTGAGGTGATCGCCACTGACGCTTGCCTAGGACTGTCCAACGACTAACACATTGGCGAGCTCATAGTCTTTGAGCTTTGGACCGGCCTGGGCCTTTTTTATTTAGTTTAAAAAAAAGGAGGCCACAGGGCCAACAAACAAGCATACAATCAAGAGTCTGGAGTAGTTCAACCGAGCTCGTTAGATGGGTGAGGGGACCTAGTGGGGGTTGGCAGTTCTCCCATCCTGTGGCTAGCTTGTGTCAAAGGTGAGCTTATGCCTGTTTCTTCTTTAAGCATGTGCCGCTCATCTTAAAGTTGGCCGATCATGACCGAGAGCGCTCCACTGTTCCTTTTGAGCCGAAAGTTCCCAACCCAGTTCAAGGGTTCCCTTTCAAGCTGATGTGGTCTTTCGTCCCGCTCATAGCCAGCCGTGTAACTGGGCCGCTTGATATCCGAGGATGACGGGGAAGGAAGAGAAGCAGTTGTGAGGGGTCCCGTGTTCGGTGGACTGTGGGTGCAAAAAGGCGAGAGAGCCCGAGAGTCGCGGTCGGCCAGACGGGAGTGTCTTGAAGGTGGGAGGGGTCCGTGAGGTCGGTGCTGTATCGGAGGTTTGCTCAGTCACCTTTCCTCTTGCCTTGGCCTCAGGCGTGCTTGCTCCTGAAACTTTTGGTCAGAGAGGGTCAGATGAGCTTTGAATGTTTCGCGGACGAAGTGTTTTCACCCTTTGCCACAGCTACCAACAGAGTGGATGGTCTACATAGTAGGGTGCGGTTCAGGATGGAGGCCGCGAGGGTGATTTGGGGGTCTCTGTCCTGTGGTGGGGGCGGGGCACAGCAATATGTAAATGGTACATGGCTGCCCAGAGCTCAAAACGACATCAAAACCGGCGTGATTTGCTCAAATGTGAAGGTGGTTGACGTTGACAGGAGTCTGGGGGAGCCGGAGAGTTGCTGCCGCGTACGCCACATACGTCTCGGCGGCATGAAGGTGGCAGTGGAAAGATTGGAGACCGGGAGGAATGAAACATGGGATTCAGTCAACTTCCTGTGGGATGTGAATGGTGATTATGAATGAAAGTGGATTTAAAGTCGTTTCGCAGCCATTGCCATCGAGCCACAGGGTCGGGCCTGGCAGCGACCTGGCCGTTGCTGCTGACTGCGCAGAGGCGTGCTGAAGACCCGGGCCTTCATCCGATTGCGCGCAGATGGCGAGCCGAGAGAGGATGCGCGAGTGGTTGATTACGAGAGTCAACTGCTCCTGTTCCCCTCAGTCTGGCCATCCTGCGAAGAATGCCAAGCCCTCCGGAGCCGGGACTGAGAAGGATGAGAGTGGGGGGGTAGAGGGGGAAGAGGGTCACATTGAGTGATGCCCTTCTTACCAAAGTCAAATACTGGATGAAGGCAAAAAGTTGGAAAGACGCGAGTTCCCAAGTTGCAACGGCAGGGGATGCTGAGTAGGCGGGGGCCGTCTTGGAGATCTGAGTTTCGTCAATTCGAAGCGAGCAGCTGACGGTGCCGTAGCGATTAAGAGATGATTACCACTTTGGGAAGTGGAAACACCAGGAAACAAACAGACCAAACCGCCGAAGCTTTTGCTATGCCGTTGTCCAGCCCCCCGTCGAAGGAGGGGCAACGCGGCGAGGGGCGCGGCGGGCCTCGTCAACCGCATACAAGAGACATGAATAACTCGGATTCGGGCATGATGCCGCTGAGTGTCTCGTGCAGAGCTGAAGACTATTGGGCGGGCCGTTTCTATTCTGAAGAACCGAGCTGTGTGCGACCAAGACGAAGACGACGACGACGACAACTACTACCTACATAGTATGCGACTCTTCCCAACCAAGTTGAAGCTCCAGAGTTGCGCAGCTCCTCAGGCTCAGCCCCCGCCGCTAAGGCAAGGCACCGACAACATAGCCGCACTGTGGGTGCCAGTGGGCGCTTGTGTCGAATTTAGCATACTCAATGGCGCTGGATGTTGACAGACTGCCTCTTTGCGGCTAGTCTACGGCAGATCGGACACTGTGGGCTATGAGTCGCCGGTATGGCTGACGAAGCATTCCTTAACGGGCATGTCTTTTTATTCTTTGGATCGGCTTTCATTGGCCTACGATGAGTAGGATGAACACTATCATGTGGACCGAGAGAGTGCGTACGGTACGTACTCGCCAGTGTGCTGCTGCCGCGGCCCCCCCCTCGCCTCTTTTTGTTTCGTTTCTTGCTCTTCGTCCATCTCTTCTTCTCTCCTGCAAACGCAGCACGAGGCAAACGCACAGTCGCGGCAGTCCAATGTCACCTCACCCTATTGGTACTAGTTCGGGGCCACCCCTCCATCAGAGAGCCCGGATCCATGCTCCAGCCCTGCTCACCCTGCCCATCCTTCTCACCCGCGTTGCCGCGCTCTCTGTTTGTCGGTAGCCACGGCTACATTTCTCCCGGGTGGCTCAGATTAGCTGCGCAGCCGTTGACAGGATATACACCGTGCAAGCGAAGGCGGCAGCAACATGAGCCCCAGGACGGCGTATCTGTCCGTTGGACCATGTTGAGCATCATGGGGGCGGAGCATGCGCCATCGTCCTATCCTTTCCGACTTTACACACGCTCACCAGAGACTACCATCTCGTCCAACATGGACACCCGCCTCTCTGCCTAGGTAGTGTATGATCTATGGCCTGTGAGAAAGAGACCAAGTATTCTTCGTCACGGATGCCTGGCCCCTCCCCCCACTGCGCCCCCAACGCTGCGTTCCACCTCCAGCAAGATGCGGGTATGCAAGCCCACCCCGCGGCACATGGTGACATACCGTGCCATGGTGTGGCGCCGCATACCTCACCTCAGCACCTTTTCCAGTCCTACGCCATTCACAGCTGGCCATCCGCCAGCCGTCCAGACTTTGGTCTTGTTAGTCATCTACTCAAGGGCCTCACACCACCCAATCTGAGTCTGCCTCCCCCCACCTTCTGCTTTCCAACCTAGACCCCAGAACGTCAAAGGGGCCGGGGCCATGGAAGCTCGTCCTACATACCTCACCATGCCGGTCCCTGGTCATTGCTGGCTACACCTTGTCCTACGGCGTCGTACTAGGTACCTCGCCTGTTTGCCCAACCATCGCTTGCTCTTGTTGGTCTTACTCCTTTGCTTGAGTGAGCAAGAAGGATCGAGAGGATGAATAGAGCCGTCTGGAAAGCTGGCCTCCCACTATTTCACCCTCAGCATCGCCTCCCTCTCCCTCACTCCGGCTTCTCTTTCGTTTTTCTCTTGTCTTGACCTTCGACCACCTTGCCTCTCTTCGTGTAACATCCAGTTGCCCGTTGGTCTTTCAGCACGCTGCATCGCCAAAGACGCACTCCAACAAACTGGCCCCCAAACCCATCGCCCCCCCAAGGTCGATACCGTTCGTCTCGTCCGACCAACGATATTTCCTTGGCATCTTTGACCTCCGCCTGAGACCAGCGTCTAATTTGTGTTAATTGGCCACTCCTGCTCGGCCATCTTCCTTACTTTGTGTTTATGCGTTCTTGAGATACCCCTCCTAGAAGCTGCTCCCCAGCTCTCTTTTCTTCTTCAGCCCAGACCGAGCACACTTACACCCAATATGGCAAACTCAGTCAGCCCAAAACGTCTCCCCAGAATTGACACCTCCATGGCGTCATTCCACACAGAGTCCATCGAGAATAGGCTCATCTCGGCAACTGCATCCGTACTAAGTTTGCCGAAAAATAGCATAGAGTTGTTCGACTCCTTCTCTGACCTTGGAGGCGACAGGCCCTCTGCTGTCGCCCTAAGGAAGAGGTGCATGAGCCTCGGACTTGGTGTGAGGACGAGCGACATCCTCCGCTGTCAGACCTTGGCGGAGCTTCAGACCTGCATCACCCCCTTGGTTCAGGCCGCGCCTGTGTCCAAGGACTCCGAAGAAGACAGCACTTCTCCCTCTGATGTCTTCAGCTCAAGTCCCAGACGAAACAGCGTATACTCAACATCATCGTGCGATTCCTCCAACAGTGTCGACGCAGCACCGGTTAAAACAACGCACTTTGAACTCGAGCGGTTCATCCAGTCCACGCCGCAGGTAAGGAGCGCAGCCGTCATCAGGCCAAAGGCTGGCTACTTGGAGGGCAAGCTCGTGGCTTTCATCGCGCTGGCCTCGGGCCGGGTCTCACAATCCAGCCTGTCCAGCATCCGACTCGTCCCCCAATCACAGATGCACTTTGCTGGGAGTCAGGTTGCAGCAGTTCGACTGGCTCTCGAAACATCGGGAGGAGCGCACACCGTACCAAATTCATGGATCGTGCTTGATCAGATGCCTTCAAACGGAGAGGGCTCCGTCGACCGGAGGCGGCTTCAGACATGGATCCAGAACATCAATGAAGACATGTACCACCAAATCTCGAGCCTCGAATCTCACGAGCTCTTTCAGGAGCCATTAACCGAGATGGAGCGGATTCTGCAAAAGAATGTTGCCAACGTCCTCCGGATACCTCCGAGACAAGTCGGCATGAATTTCTCATTCGGCCAACTTGGGGGTGATGACATCTCTGCCATGATGCTCGTTTCCGCATGTCGGACAGAGTCCATCATCGTGAGGCCAGAAGACGTTCAACAGTGTCCGACACTTGGCCAGCTAGCATCAGTCGCCTACCGGAAAGATCAGAGAACCGATGTCTGGAATGAAGAATCGCTAGAAGGCTTCAAGCTGTCACCAATACAGCAGATGTACTTCGATACCGGAATAGGTGGCCGCATCGAGCAGCGCATGGCATCCAACGGCGGCTACCGCTTCAATCAGAGTCTCCTCCTTCGGGTTAAGAACAACTCAACATTGGAGGATATCCACGCCGCTATCGCGACGGTTGTCGGCCATCACTCCATGTTACGCGCGAGGTTCAGACCTGATGCCGACGGCTGGACCCAACGGATCGTGCCCAAGGTGGACGGGTCCTATGGATTCCGTTATCATTCAGTCAGCACAACCGAAGAAGTCATGGGCATTGTCGCGCAGTCACAAGCCACCATCAATATTGAGTCTGGGCCTGTGTTTGCAGTCGACCATTTCCGAACCCACGACGGCCAACAACTGGTCTACCTCCTCGCCCATCATCTCGTCGTGGACATGATGTCATGGCGCATTATCATTCATGACCTCGATGAGTTGCTACGTGAAGGCACGCTGTTTTCCGAGCGCTCCATGCCATTTCAGAGATGGAACGAGTTGCAAGAAGAGTACATCAGCAACCATCCAGAGCAGCTTGTGATGCCATATCAGCTGCCCAGCGGCCAGTACAACTACTGGGGCCTCGAAGACTCACTCAACACCTATAACGAAATCTCAGTCGCAAGCTTCACTCTCACTCCGGAGTTGACATCAATCCTTCACACAGCATGTAACCAAGTCTTCAAGACTGATATGTCGGACATCTACATGGCAGCTCTGCTCCTTTCATTTAGCCAGACTTTCCACGACCGTCGGGCCCCAGTCATCTGGAACCAGGAACACGGCAGAGAACCATGGAGTCAAGACATTGACATCACAGAAACGGTTGGCTGGTTCACCTCACTCTGCCCGGTCGCAATGCAAGTCGACATGCCCGACGATTTCCTCAATGTTTTGCGCAAAATGAAGGACACGAGACGATCAATTCCTCGCCGCGGATGGAGTTACTTTGCGTCGAGGTATTTCGGGTCCGAAGCAGCGACAAGATGCACCGAGGGTTGGCCATTGGAGATCATGTTCACATACGCCGGCTCCGTCCAGCAGCTTGAAAGGGAGAAAGGCGTCCTTGAGCAACTTACGATTCCCGGAAGGCTTTGGTCAACAGATGCCGCCGACATTGGCCCCGAGGTGTCTAGAATTGCTCTCTTTGAGGTATCAGCCATGGTCGATCAAGGCGCTGCTTCGGTCCAAATCGTCTACAACCGTAATTCCAAGCACCAGGAAAAGATTACTGAATGGATCCAGATGTACGAGCACCTTCTCTACGAGGCCATCGGTAGGCTGCGATACCGGGGCCAAGAACTCACTCTATCCGATGTTCCAATGCTCAACACCACCTATGAGGGCCTCGCAAAGCTCAATACTGACCGCCTTGTGGCTTTGGGGCTTTCTAGCGCCAAGGAAATTGAGGACGTCCTGCCTGTCACAGCATTACAACAAGAGATTCTCATCAGTCAAACCCAGGATATCGAGACGTGCCACAACCACGCCATCTATGAGCTCGCATCACCAAACGGTGTACTGGCCGACCAGGCGCAGATCTGCAACATTTGGCAGCAGATCGTGGCTAAGTATCCGGCTTTGAGAACCGTCTTCATTGACAGCATTTCCGAGGACGGCCTTTTTGACCAAGTTGTTTTAAGGAGATGCTCGCCCGACATGCTTTTTGTCGATGCTGAAGCGGGAACAGACCCTGTGGCTGTTCTCAACGCCTTGCCGCCAATGAGTCCGACGCCGTCCAACCCGCGCCACAGGGTTTCAGTATGCAAGTCGCATGCCAGCACGTTTCTGCGGCTCGATATCAGCCATGCACTCTGCGATGTAAGGTGGAAGTTTCTCCTTATGGCCCGGATCGCTAATGTTTCAACAGGCACTGAGTCTTCAAAACATCGTCTGGGACCTGAAGAGGATGTACAACTCGAGCAAAGTGTCTATGAAGGTTCTCGACCCGTCACATGCTACTTGCATCCAGTACATCTCGTCTGCTCGCCAAGAGAACAGCCTTAACTTCTGGATCGGTCGCCTCCAAGAGACGAAGCCCTGCTTCTTCCCACGTTTAATGACTCTCAACGACGCCACCATGCGACACACCAACTTTCACGTTGAATTGCCGATGGCCCACATCGACGACTTTTGTCGGTCACAGGATGTCAGTAGATCGACCCTCATGCGGATGGCATGGGGACTTGTCCTGCGTGCATTCACTGGCTCCAACCAAGTCTGCTTCGGCTACCGCTCATCAGGTCGAGATGCAGCAGACGCCCCAGAAGGAGTGGCCCTCTCGGTGGGCACCTTTGAGAACACTACGGCATGTTCAATTGGACTCGAGAATCACAAGTCCGTCGCTTCAGTTCTCAGGTCCATTGAGGACGATGCTGCGGTCTGCCGTCCGCACCAATACGTGCCAATGTCGGAAGTTCAGCATGCTCTCGGCCTCAAGGGTGACAGCCTCTTCAACACTTGCCTGTCTTACCAGGAAGAACCCCATGAGCTGAAAAGCAGGTTCAGCTCCACGCGTCCACCCATGAGACTGTCTTGCGTTCAGGCCTTCAACACGCCCGATTTCGATGTTACCTTCTCGTTGACCCTCGTCAATGGGCAGCTTGTTACCGGGGTTTCGCACAGACTCCTGACTGCTTCCCAGGCAGAAAATCTCACCAACACGTTTGGACGTGCTGTTATCTCTATCCTTGGAAACCCTGACGACAATCTTGGCAGTGTTGATCTCTTCACCGACAGGGACTACGCCCAGATCTTGATTAGTGATTGGGAGGTGGACAACGGCAAAGGCACCGCACATGGCTGTGTTCATACTCTTGTATCGCAACAGGGCAGACTTAATCCCGATGCGCAGGCTATCTGCGCCTGGGATGGTGGGCTTTCTTATCGGCAGGTCTGTCGACTTGTTTCCCGACTGGCGACGTTTCTCGTTCAATGGGGAGTCCGGCCTGGCGTTGCTGTCCCTGTGATCCTCGATAAGAACAAGTGGGCGGTGATCAGCATCTTGGCCGTGTTGAAGTAGGTTAGCTCAGCCTTTGTTTCTTTACATACACTAACACAACTCTAGAGCCGGTGGTTGCTTCGTTCCCATCGATGCCGAGGATCGAGCCAATGTGGAAACTTTTATCCGTCAGCTCACACCCAAGGTTATCGTCACAACAGACATGATTTGGAAAAACCTCGAGTCCATCGTCGAAGGAGTAATCGTGGTTGACGATACTCTCTTCGAGGTCAACTTTCCAATGCAGGCGCCTTTGCCCATGGCAGCACCTGACGACGCCGCTTGCATTCTTCTCTCACCTGGGTCGTCGCGAAGCCGAGATGCGAAGGGCATTGTCTTCCACCACGCGGCTCTGTCCTCAGCATTTCTCACGCAGGGCCGCGCTCTGAACCTCGACAATAACAGTCGTGTGATGCAGCTGTCTTCCTTCAATGTTGACACCGCTCTGATCGAACTGCTGTCGACCTTAGTCCACGGCGGCTGTGTGTGCATTCCATCCTCTGTCGAGAGAACCAGTGATATCGTCGGCGCCGCTTGCAGGATGGATGTCAACTGGAGCTACATGACGCCTGTGCTAGCGCGAAAAATGACACCGGCCGCCATCCCGAGCTTGAAGACTGTCTGCTTCAGAACGCGTCGTCTGGACGAGGATACCTGTGCCCCTTGGATGGCGAAAACGAAGGTTCTACTGGCATATGGTGCTCCCGACGTTTGCCCTCTTGGGGTCTCTGTCCTGGAGGTCACAAAGGCCTCGGACCTCTCGCGCGTTGCGCCTCCATTCCTGGGAAAATTCTGGGTCGTCAACCCCGAAGACCACCGCAAGCTGATGCCGATCGGCGCGATTGGCGAGCTCGTCATCGAGAGCCCAACCCTAGCACATCGCTTCGTCCCGGCCAGTCATTGACACATCTGCCTCAGGACTCGGACCCATCGCTCGAGGACGGCAAGCCGAAAACACGCTACTTCAAGACAGGCCACCGCGTTCGGTACCTGGAAGATGGCATGCTCGACTTCGTGTCTAGTGGCCGCGACGACCTCGAGAGCAACGGACAGATCGTCCCGGTGACCGAAATCGAGCAAAAGCTCCGACGATGCCTGGGCCAAGGCGTGGACCTCGCCGTGGAAACCATAATCAGCCGTGATGCGCAGCCTTCCCTTGCGGCCTTTGTGGAGCTCGGCGAGAAGTTGTTCGAGGGTTCTGAGGACCTGAATAGAATCACCATCACCACCCGGGAGCGCACATACATTGCTAAGAAGCTCATCGAATCGTCCTTGGGCACCAGTTTGCCGTCACACATGATGCCAACTATTTTCGTTCCCGTAAAGCACCTCCCCGTAACGCCCTCTCTCAAGGTCAACCGTCGCAGGCTCCAGAAGATGGTCGGCTGGTTGTCGCAGGAGCAATTGGAGGCTCTTTCGACAGTTGCATCACCTGATGAGGTTCGCTCAGTCGGTATCAAACCTCTCCCCCTGACCAAGGTTGAGGAGCGTATGCGATCCATCTGGGCGTCCCTCCTGGGAGTTCACCCGTCAAGCATCCGTGGTAATCAGAGCTTCTCCATGTTAGGTGGCCAGAGCTACCTAGCCGGTCAGCTCGTCATCGCATGCCGGAAGCAGGGGCTCATTGTTGCCCTAACCGACATCCTTCGCGGCGCCACCCTTACCGAGCTCTGCCAAGGCATTACCCTAAGCTCAGATTACGCCCTTGAGGCTGCGGAGCCTGAGTCGTCAACCCCATCGGTTGGATCTTCATCAGAGACCGTGTTTGAAGAACAATTCGTTCACGATGTGATTGCTCCGAAGCTTAACGTCGAGCGCGAAGCCATCAACGATGTCGCGGAGGCCTCTGCGACTCAGCTGAAGTTCCTTGAGACCGGCTTGTTAAAGGGAAGTTCGAGCCTCACCTACTTCACGTTCAGCTTCACCGGGCCAGTTCAAACCAAGAAGCTTGAAGCTGTGTGCATCTGCCTGGCGAAGATCCATCCCATACTACGAACGGCGTTCGTCAGCCATGAGAGACGGGTGTACCAAGTCGCGCTGAAGTCCTTCGTCCCCGAGTTCAAGAGGATCGAGGTTCCAACCTGGAGGGTCTCAACGATGACTGAAAAGCTGATCAAGAGAGATCAGACAGGCTCTTTCAACCTCGAGGTCCCTATGACAAAGTTCTTCTTCATCGACGCCGGGAAGCAATCCAACCTTGTCCTGCGACTCTCTGGAGCACAGTATGATGATGCTTCCATTTGTCTTTTACTGCAGCACCTGAAGAGCATCTACATCGCTCCTTCTTGCCCGCCAAGGAGAGCCACCTACTATGATTTTGCCCGCTCGGTGCAGCTTTCTCACAACCACGGCGCAAAGGACCACTGGAGCTCTTTGCTGGATGGAGCAAAAATGACCCAGATCATCGCCCACAGCAAGCCGCCAGCGCTGAGCACGAACGTCAAAACAATATCCCAAAAGGTCTCGGTAATGTCCCTGGCCAACATCGGCATCTCCTTCGACACGGTCGTCAAATCGGCCTGGGCTATGACACTTGGCAATCTTTCTGGGTCAGGCGACGTTCTCTTTGGAGAGATCGTCGAGGGAAGGCATCTTAGACTGGCTGACGGTTCCGACATCTCGGGTACTCTTGGACCCGTGTCCAACGCCATCCCTGTCCGTGTACGATTCGCGGAGACGCTGAGCAGCCCCCTCGAGCTGCTCAAGTATGTTCACAGCCAACGTGTTACGAGCATCCCCTTTGAGAACATGGGCTGGCTCGAAATCGTTGAAAAGTGCACCAAGCTCCCATACTGGACGCGCTTCAGCACAGTCGTCGAACACCGCCACCAGGATGCCGCCAAAGAAGCAGCCATTTTCAACCTCGGCACCATCAAGTGCAAGTTCAACGTTCAAGAGCCCATCAGCAGAGACGTTTATGACCTTCACGTCATCTCCACTCAGGAAACCCCCAGCAGCGGCGACATCTCCCTCACGTTCTGCGAGAACCGCATACCGACTCTTTTTGCCAACGAGACTCTCAAAACCCTCTGCTCCAACATCGAGCTGCTCACCTCAGTCTCCATGCTTCATCCACTCATCCCCTCCTCTGCCGACTACTGCGACGTAGCGCCACAGATACCCTTGCCTCAGCTCGATATGGAAACAAAGTCCACGAACGTCGGCGCCACCATGTCTGAGAGCCATCGCACCGCCGTCCAAGCAGCCATCTCCAAAGTCTGGACAAAGGTCCTTGACCCGCTTTCCCTGGGCGTCCCCGAGACACAGCTTCACAACGCGGCGTTCTATGACCTGTGGGGCAGCATGATGCCCGCCTCTCAGCTCGCCGAGCTGCTGACGCAGGAGCTTCCCAAGCTAGGCATCCCCGGGTCTCACAACCTGACCATCTCGATGGAAGAGATCATGGCGCACCCGACGCCGGGAGAGCAGTTTGAGCTAGCAGCCCGCAAGATGCGCGACGCCAAGAGGAGGACCATCATTGAGGTCTTGTCGCCCAAGTCACACCCCTCTTGGGGTCGTGGGCTGAAGAGGCTGAGCACGACGGTCATTAAGGAAAAGATCTCTTCTGAACGCGGGCTGAGCAGCACCAGCGCCAGCTCTTCGAGCTCCATTGATGTGTACAGGGGCCCCGCTTTGCAGCAGCCGGCGCCGTTTATGGATTCTATCGCCGAGGGCGCTATCAGCGGCGTGGGCGACGTCCACGCGGCGAGACCTACGTCGCCGGTGGAGTTGGATGAGCTGCGGAGGCAGAGGTTGAGTCTTGCGGTTGAGTACGACGGGAGTAGCATGGAGAGCATGACGACGGGGAGTAGCCGTACCGATGAGGAGGCCGAGGACCGTCAAGTGAGCGCTCAGATCAAGGAGGAGGGCGGGAACGTGGTGAGCCCGCTGAGTGTGTCGACTGCCCTATCGCCCGTGAGGGAGAGTAGACTCCGACGGAAGGCAGGCAGTGTGTTGAACCGGATCAGTCTTGTTAGTCCTGTGAGCATTTCTGGGTCGAAGTTGGGGCATCACTAAGTGATGCGTGGTTTGTAAGCTTGAAGTATGGTTGTTCGAGACAGGCTTGATGAGGTTTCCTATGTTCACAGCGAGCGGATTGCTGTCATAGCATAGCATGGTGATATCCAATAAACGTAATCGTATTCCATTGTGCTTTAGGTTTTCTCTGATGGTTCAGTGTGGCGACGACATTTGCTCAACAGTGTAGTCTTTTTAAAGTTCAGATTCTATTCCTGTGCGCCTATGTTCTTTGAAGGGACTACATATTTGACCTGGGTTTAGTGGGTTTTCAGTCCTCTAGAACTGTCGTTTCGTTAGAAAGACTGTCCATCTCAACGTCGAACTTCGAGTACTGACTACGCTGTCCTCGGGAAGCGCTCACATGTGCACTCTGCTTTACCTTTGAGTCTTCTCACCATCTGTGACCGGGAACTCGGCCATGAGAACGGTCAAGTGTAGGTCAACTCTTCAAAAAGTTGATTTGAAAAGCAAGCCAAATCATTATCATTCGATACATTGCATGAAGACACCATTGCGGTTCCCTTTGCATTTAACCCAATCCGTTAGTCGGTCATTCCCTCCCTCATCAACATCCCATGAGCAGATGAGACCGGTTGGTTCTAAGACAAAGAAGAAGAAAAGGACAAAAAGGCATTTCGCCTGCAATTTCGCCACGAGGAATCAAAGATTTGAGCTAGCATGTCACATTCTCTGGTACCCGACACGAATGTCTATTAGCCGAGGAATGTGTCATGACTAGATCTACCCCTGAGCTTGTACCCGTTCGCCAGGGAGCGGGGGACAGGGCATCTGCATCCCGCGTTGTTGGTAGATACATGTTGCGTCTGCAGACGGACCGTATCCATGCCACCTTGGCTCGGAGCGTATTTGATGACAGAGGTACCAGACAGTTATCATCAGGCGGCAATGGCTAGGTTCTATTCAGCCTGCATGTAGAGAACTCCACCATGGTCGCGCGGCTCAGCTTCGCAATAATTTCGCAGGGAGCCAAAATTCCAGTTGAACATGGTACCGACGACAATACTAAATGGAGCTTCCAGCCTTTCCGACCCGAGACTTGATATACCATTGTCTCGCGGGCGAAAGGCATAAAGGGCACGACGCACACCTCTTTTCCAACACTCTTTGTCCGAGACTCTAGCAGTCTAGGTATTCGGATACCCTGCCAATTTTATATAGTCCGCGTTGGACTTGTCTGTGCTCAAGTTTACTCCAAACAATCTGAAGCACAATGGTCCGCCTTGCCCCATTTGCCGTCGCGGCCACTCTGTTTGGTACCAGCATGGCGTCTTGCACCAATACTGGACAAGCACAGATGGCAACCTACGTCAAGCGAGCCTCCAACATGACCCAGCAGCAGTTTTGGGACTACTGGCAAACACAACACGCACCCAAGGTTGCGCCATTGGCTGTTCACTTTAACATTACACGCTACCAGCAAGTACGTAGATGGATGTCTATGCAGAACAATGCCCTTTTCTTGCATACGGACTGACTTTCGTTGAGATCCAAGTGGGAGGTCAGATTCTTCCAACGGCAGCAGGTTCGAGCAAACCCAACTCCACCGAGCCTGTGGACTTTGACGGAATTGCCATGTTCTTATACAAGTCGGCCGACATGCTCGCGGCGATGCTTGCGCACCCTTACTACCTCGAGGTAGTTGAGCCGGACGAACATGTATTCATTGACAAGTCTGCCTTCGGTGCTGGCATGGTTGCAACCTTTGTTGGAACAAACATTGAAATCGTTGATGGAAAGAAGGATGTTTGGGTCGGTAACCAGACAACACTGGAAAAGTACGAGAAAATTTTCCGATCCTATTTGTAGAATGCCTTTTTGCGGCACTGGTTCCTCTAATGATGGAGCTATCCTGTTCAGATGGCTCCAGAAGATACATCGCGACTGTTGAAAAGCATTGCATGCTGCTATGCCATTTCATGTGTCATTGGTTTGGTATTGGGCAGGCAGTAGACAATGCAAGTAAATTCTGTGTTCAATCATCTGTAACTTGCGTCCTCTCATCTGTGATCTCCGGGAAATGACATCGCAAAACTGAGTCGTGTCCCCGTAGTAACTTTGCATCGGCTCTAGAAATTCAGGAAAGGGTCTAGATTCTTTTTCCCGCCCAACAAAAGAACCAGACTGGTCGGTGGAAGACCGCCAGACATGTGACAGGTCGTATGTGGTAGTGTAGGGGTGATTCCCCACAACATTGTCCAGACCCAGGGCAGAGTGGGCCATCGTAATCGGATGCGGTAGCCGTGCTCCGATGAAGGTCAAATGTAGTGATAGTACACCTCCAAAGCCTTGCTGCAGGCCTGGGTTGGTCTCGCTGATGTCAAATTGGGGGGACTCAGTCCAACCAAACGTGGAGCCTGCGATAACACTTTCGAGTCTCGGCTATGCTTGCGTGAACTCCCAAATGACATCTTCGTTACCGGAAGGTGTGATCGGTTACATAGATGCACGATTGTTCCTGGGTAGCTACCACTGCCCGATCTTTTCTTGATGAATAGTAGTGCTGGTCCAGGGGTTTGCCATCAAATTCAACATTGAACCTGTATGTGTCCATGGTAACCCACGTCGCTGTGGTGGAGCGTCCAATAAGTGAATGAGCAAAAAAAGTCTTCCAACAGAGAGCTGACAGACGAGTTTACACTCTACCACGGGAAGATCTGGATCTCGGCATATTGGACCCACAAGAAACGCCGACAGCCGCTGCTCGATTCTATAGGTTGTATTCAACGTTTGCATAATCGCCTGTCTGCCTGCCCGCTGATATGAACAGGCTAGTAAATGACTTTTAGTCAGGGTCCTTGATTTGGCATCTAACAGAATGTTTGTTGGTTGACACAAGAAGAGAAGAGAACCCGTGTTACAAACAAATTCGTTACCGACTGGCCGGAATGTGATCACACCACTTTCTTTTTGCCGCGAGAACATTGGACGGGACAAGATCCACTCTTCCTCGTATCATATCAACGGAATCGGAAATGCTCAGGGGGAATTCTAGTTGCGCAGTGACAATGCAGTTGTTTCTGCAAGCACGAGCTGAGAGTCCAGTTGCTTGGAGATACCCCTACGGACATGGCGGGCAGCCTTCCATCTCTAACGATGCTGGAGTTTGATACCACCGTCACTTGTTGCAGCAAGAAGAATCGATCATTGAGATTATGCAAAACCAGGAAGCCCTGACGGCGAAAAGCGAAAGCTCAGCGAGGTAAAACAATGTGACCATAGTTTGATAAGACTTTCCCAGAATGACATGGGCTAACTTCATCCGTAGCCTATCCGCAACGGCAAAGCTTCAATTTCCAATCAACATCCAGGTCCCTTCCGCGAATATCGGGGTTTGTCATGATCTCTTGCGATGCAGTCTGGTTCCCCAATTTTCAACAACGACTGATTCATGTTACGACAGTTTTTGCAGCATGCCTGCCACAGATTGAACGACAGGGTACTTTGGGAATGCAGGTTCATAAACCTGGAAGGTAGCGACTTGTTAGCGAAATGATTGAACTACCAGAGGTGTTCAGTGGAAGGCCAGGTACGTACCGACTGACAGCGAGAATTGTACTCCTCGGTCGATCCCAGAATGGCAGACAGCTCATCGCCAGGCACCCCCAACTTGACCAAGGCGCCGGACTTTGGCGCCGATTGTGCCCATCCAGGCCCGGCAGCCGGGTTCTTGATCCAATTAACGAACCAGTCATGGATGGAAGTAGCCAAAGCCTGTTGTGCGTCGGTAACGTTGGTTAGCGATTCAAAGCATTCGTTACCGCCGTGGAAGAACGGGACCTCGGTTCCATGAGTGGGTGCTGTGCCGGGAACTCCTACGACGTTGTCGTATTTCCCGAAGAAGCGGTACACCCAAGTATCCTGAATGGCACTACGCAAGTCGAGTAGGTAGTCCACAGCACAGTTGAATCGCGCGTCTCCATACTGTTCACCGCTTCGGAGGGAGTCAGATTCGTAGTCGGACGCATTGTACGCCTCCAGGAGGACATCATCTTCAATGTGTGCACTATCTGCGTCGAAGGTGTTAATCCAAGAGCTGAAGTTACTGTTCTCAGCACCGTACACGAGACTGAAGATAGTGCCTTCCCCATCCGAAGTGCCAGTCAGTAGAGGCACGTGTGATGCATACTGTCCGGCTGCAAGACGTGCAACGTAGTCTGAGTGACGTGTAATGTTGTCAATGATGGGAGTGAACCAAGTGTTGAAGGTAGAGTTGAAGTTGGCTGTTTGCAGTGCATAAATGTCAACGGCTCGGAGACAATCCAACTGGCCATTGCTGGCTTTCGGACATCCGACTTCGGAGGCAACGGCGTCGAGGGCTTCGTTAACAGGCGCAAAGGCGGGACCTGACAGAGCGTTTGCACTCATTTGAACCGCACCCTTGAGCCAGGAGTCGGGATGGTTCCAAAGGTAGTGGTCCACCTGTACAGCTCCAGATGAGTGACCACCGAACACAACATGGTCCGGATTGCCTCCGAATGCGCGGATGTTGACGCGAACCCAGTCTAGCGCCTTCTCAACATCCAGTATGCTGAAGTTTTGCGACTCTTCAGGGTGAGCTTCTTTTAACTCTGCTGAGTGCGGAGAGGCAAAGATGCTCTCGCGAGTGTTGAAGTTGACGTAGACAACCCCTTTGCGAGCAAAGTTGGAGCCTTGGAGTTGGGGGTTGCTGCTGGACCCGGTGACCATAGCGCCACCGTACATGTAAACAAACACGGGCAGATCTTTTCCGGTCGAAGGTGCCCAGATGTTGAGGTTCAGACAATCCTCGTCCTGGGTGCTGAAAAGGTCGCCAGAGATCGCTTGAGGACAAGTCGGGCCATAGGAAGTCGCGTTGAACGTTGTGTTCGACCTTGGAACGTCTTGCGGCGCTCGCCATCGGTTCTCATAGCCAGTCGTGGCGGCAAAGGGAACCCCCAAGAAAACCGAGTTGCAGCTTGCATCGCGAAATCCCTCAATGGTTCCTTGGGGAATGGCAACGCTTGGAGTAGCCCGTGTCGTATTGCTGCAATCACTTGCTGCCGAGAGAGGAAGAAGACTCGACGCAACCAGAGCGATGTTTGCAACCGCTGCGAACGCGTTCATGAGGCCCATGATGCTCCCGCCGAGGACTGTGAGATACAAATGAATCAAGAACCGATGGGAAGGAAACCCCAGGTAAGCAGAGAGGATGCCCCCTTTTTTCAAGGGTGGAGTATCTTTGCAAACACGACCTTGAGACCCATGTCGACCCCACTGAAAATCGCTATTGGATCATACACGGGGCAACTGATGAAGACAATGTTACCTATGTGGGTAGATCTTTTCTCCACTATCAAGATATGCTTATCCTGAAGTTGCGACGATGACCAGAGATGGCTATGCCTCGCAGTAAAGCGCGGGCTTATCATGGAAGGGGCGAAAAATGTTTCTGTCAAAGCATTGTTGACGCAACATCTTGTGTTCACTTAGGAACCTCACTTGCATCAGGAATTCTGACACTGGCCACCGTGCCGGAAAACGGAAGAAAAGAAGAAACACAATATAGAAAAAATATAAAAAATAAAGAAAGAAAGAGAAAGAAAGCAAAAGGGTTGCCTGTTCACCTCGTCCCAATCAAGCAGCGCCTGAGCCTTGGGCAATACTGGTTCATGAAAATGCATGCGAGAAGAAGCAATGGCCAATGACTAATTGGGGATTGACTCTGTAGGCAGCATTTCAGTCTTACTGACATCTCGGCTTCAATGAAAGACTTCATAGAGTCAAAATGGACAGGCCGTCTTGACAACTGACCTGTGAAGATTCTTAAATGCGAAAACTAAATGATACCAAAGTTTTTTCCACAAACTATCAAAACGATTGATTCCCATTGTATTGAGCCGTCAGACATTCTATGTGAGACCATTATCAAGATTGAGAGGAAGTGAATGTCAGTTGTTTTTATCCTTTCCAAGTTAAAAAGGGAAAACAGCCAAGTAACTCCCATTATTTCAATGAGAATCAAATAGTGGATATGCTCACAGTTGGAGTATGTCAGTACATTCTTGAGGTGAAATGGAAAAAAGATGTCCAATCCAATATCTATTAGAGCGCCACCGCCACTGTCAGTAGACAACTTTTTAACCATAGGAGGATGTTTCTGGATTATAACAACTCTTGATCTTACGGCTTCCCAAGTTTTGACTACCTGTTCAGAATTTCGAAAGTTGGCCAGAAATGGTCTTTCCGTTCCTCAAAGAGTCTAAGTACAACATCGGACGTTGGACACCAGACCCCGTTAATCCAGAAACCCCTAAGTACGTTAGCATAACGACACTTAGGCCTAGAAAAGCTCAAAAGCACACCGCCCACATTTCATAGGAATGTGCCCCGGTAGTTTTCGGCTTCTAGATATTGGGCCGCGAGCCGAGTGCCTATCCGTTCCCCGCATTCTCCAAGTGACATCACGACCACGTTCAAGGCTCACTTGTCCCTCCTCGCTCCGCATTATCGATCTCAAAAAACAACTGAGCTAATGTTCTCCAATCCAAAGACGCACAAACCACAGCACGTGGGTCCACAATTAGAGCAGACAACGTTCCGTTGCCCTCCAGGCTTAATTGCAATAAGGCGAGGCCACGCGGGGTAAGCTTTCGGCTCATCGTTAAGCCCCTCAATTTCCCCGGACTAGGTAGAAGCCGAAGCCCTCATTGGATGTAGGGATCTGCCGAGCTTTCCTTTGGTGGAGCTTTATCCCAGCCGCTGACGATGCGAACCTTTCGCAACCTGTTTGGTGTGTGTAGGTCAAGCCGAGCGGCGGAGAGCCCGAAAGCTTATAACCAGGGACAAGATGACGGGAAAGAACTGGCCATTATGGTCGAGCCCTAGTGTTGCATGCGCTGGTCATCCATCAAGTTCTCTCAGATCTTCGCAACTTGCTCTCTGGCAAAGCTCTCTTTTGACGGCGATAACTCTACCGGTGCAATCATTGTCAAGCTTTGTGTCAAGCTAGACCGTGGTGCTTCATCATGGCTTCATTCCTTACCCCGCGTCATGAAAAACACGATGTTTCGGAACTAGAGAGCGGCCACCATGAGCAAGGGCCAAGGGAAAATGAGATTCAGCGCATCGACGCTATGGCAACGGCCCAAGGCACTACACTTGCCTCTTTTGATCATTTGGACAAGAAGAGAATTCTAAGAAAGGTGAGTGTTTCCTTCCGAAGCCATTAGCATGGAGCAGCGCGAGGGTCATATGTTTCAAGTCTGACCAATGTCGCAGATGGATATTCGGCTCATTCCAATGCTAGCATTACTCTATCTGCTATCATTTCTTGACCGTAAGATCAGAACAACTGAATGCCCAGTCTACAACTAATACAGCCATCAGGTGGAAACATCGGAAATGCCAAAATCGAAGGACTTCAAGAAGATTTGAACATGACTGCCGACCAGTACAACTGGTGCCTCACAGTATTCTTTTTTACCTACGCAGTATTTGAGGTTCCGAGTAATTTGCTGCTCAAGAAACTCCGTCCCAGCGTATGGCTTCCAACAATCATGGTCGCCTGGGGTGTTGTCATGACGCTGATGGGAATCGTGCGGAACTATCACGGACTGCTGGTAGCTCGAATATTTCTTGGTGTCACTGAAGCCGGACTCTTTCCAGGCGTAGCGGTCCGTACTTTACGTTACTGTGCGGCACTTCACAACTAACTGTTCAACCAGTACTACTTAACCATGTGGTATTGTCGCCACGAGATCCAGCTCCGACAGGCAATGTTCTTCTCAGCCGCATCTATCGCCGGCGCTTTCAGTGGCCTCCTGGCTTTTGCCATTTCCAAGATGGATGGAATAGGCGGATTGGAGGGCTGGCGTTGGATCTTCATCCTAGAGGGTATTGTCACTGTCGTCGTTGCAATCATGGCATTTTTCGCGTTGCACGACTTTCCCGAGACAGCCAACTTCTTGACTGAAGAGGAGCGTGCATTCGTCGTATTTCGACTGAAGTATCAAGGACAAGTCCAAGGAAAGGTGGAAAACCACGTACAAGTTGCCGAGGCCGAAGGCTTCAAGTGGAAATACGTATGGGATGCTTTTAAGGACTGGCAGATTTGGGTCAACATCCTCGTCTACTGGGGTGTAAGGATTCCACTGTTAAAGTTCCCATTTGGAAGCTGACGTTTGATTCCAGGTTGTGTGTCCGCTATACGGGATCAGCCTTTTCCTCCCAACAATCATCCGAAACCTGAACTACACTTCGAGCACAGCACAACTAATGACGGTACCGATTTACATCACCGCTGCAGTACTCGCCGTCATTGTCGCATATCTATCTGATAAGCTGGGCAAGAGAAGTCCGTTCATCATCGGCTTCTTGTGCATGATGATTGTTGGATTTTCCATGTGAGGTCAAATCCAACTCCAGATCCGGCCTGAATGACTGACATTTTTATGAATAAGGTGCATATCGAGCTCGAATCCCAAGGTCGTATACGGTGGCGTTTTCGTTGTTGCGTGCGCCATCTACCCTGCCTTCCCGGGCGTTATCAGCTGGCTATCCAACAACCTGTCGGGTAGCTATAAACGAAGCGCAGGAATGGCCATCCAGATTGGAATTGGTAACCTAGGCGGTGTAAGAGACTCATATCCCCACACACGTTACTCAGGGAGGCCATTCTCATTGACTCCTTACAGGCCATGGCGTCCAACTTCTACCGTCAAAAAGACGGTCCGCGTTATGTACTGGGCCACGCTCTTGAACTTGGTTTCATCTCTGTTGGCATCATCGCTGCTTCAGTCCTAATCTTTAGTTACATTAGCATCAACAAGAAGCGCGACAGTAGGATGGCAGCAGGAGAGGATAGTAGATATACAGCGGAAGAATTATCAGACAAGGGTGATAAAGCGCTGACGTACCGCTACATGTGGTGATGCAGCTTTTGTATTCAGCGACGGAGTTGCTGGCTGATATAGCCTTGATTACTTACGAGACTCTAACCATACTAATAGAGAGACAAACTTTGCTCTGATAGCAAAATGACAACCTACCTAACAAGCAGTGTGAAACCTTGCTTCTAGTCAAGTGTTGTCCATTGCTACCCACATTGAGCTTGAAAAAGGCGGTTTGGTGCTCAAGCACAATTCTACGCAGTATTGTACGAAAAAAAGAAAAAAATCTAGAGAGTGCGGCGTGATATGCTTCAAAGATGAGGAAGCTGTGTGAAACCCAAGAGATGCTCACGTTGGCTCGGATGAGGAGCTTGTGGGTGGAGCTAGGATTGGATACGCAATGATCTTCGGCGAAATCCAAAAGGCTCGAGATAAGACAAGAGAGATGGTGTTGGAGGAGGATAATTTGGTGGTTCTACACATGTGCCGTCTGAAGTTTCACCTTCAGCCCCTGTCCAAGGCAGCTGAACCATCCATGGACCTTTGTCAAGCTTATCAACGCGCCGTTACATTTTGGCAACGACGTTTTCTGCGACGTTTTCAGGGTATAGTCTGAGTTGTCTGAAAGACTCCAGATAGAAGAAGGGAAACATTGGATGGGTGATCCATGGAGTCAGGTCAATGTTTTTACCAGTGAAAGAGGGTAAAGAGACAACCCTCCATAAATATAAGCACTATTCAACTGTTAACGCTAAACGCCCAAAAGCGAATACCAATACATGAGACGCCACGATGCGTCCATGGACGACTTTGGCTCCGTTCTTGTGGAACTGTGATTCAGTGAACGGGTCCGGATCTAAGCCGGCCAATGTAGCGTGAATCTATGACCACGGTGTCACGATTGAGGAGGTTTCTGCAGGGAAAGCAAAGGACACGGATTCTGTTGCATTTACTAAGTTCTTTCAGCTGTTCAAACGCCTCCTTGGCAATGCCCATTAGGCAACTTTGTGCAGCAACAATCAATTTTGCATACGCTACTGCTTTTACAATACTTTAACAACTTTTTAGAGAAGAAGCTTGTTTCCCGCGTTGCTGGCAAAGTAAGCCGCATGCCAAGAGCGGTGATGACTCAAACAGCCAGAGATTCGGTGAGATACGTGCTTCCCCAAATGAGGAACATGATGAGCGACAGGTCAGCAGGTGCGGGGCAGCTATATCCGGTATTCTTTCCTGGGACCGCCTGGCGCCGCTCAACTCCCCCCGGTCACCCCAAGCCTCCGAGCAACGTGGCCTGCTACCGTGTCTTCCGGGCACATTTCGAACCTCACCCGATACGACGCCTAGGTGGATTTTTCAAAATAACTTTAAATAGAACGCGTTGGATTGGATCAGTTGCCGGTAGTCTCCTGCTTTACCACACTTTATCGCCTTTTCGCAATCTACCTGCATCATGACCTCCACTCTCGACACGATCCTCGCGAAGTACACCGCCGCAGGAAACAACACCAAAGACAAGACTCTTGGCGCCGCCTTCGTCGTCGTCAACAAAGATGGTGAGATGGCCTGGCCACATACTCCTCAAAGCTCAAGTCTGACCCAAAACAGGCGTGTTATACAGCAGCTCGGCAGGCCGCATCGATTTCGCCGCCGACGCGCGGCCCTGGGACCTAAACTCCTTCACCTACGTCGCCTCCATGACCAAGCTAATCACCTGCACGGCCGTCATGCAGCTCGTCGAACGAGGCCTCGTCGGTCTCGACGACGACTTGCGGAGTACTGTGCCCCAACTCGCCAAGATGCAGATCCTCCGGGGCTTTGACGGGGACGAGCAGCCCATTCTGGAGGAGAACACCACGCCCATCACGCTCAGGTACGTCGACGCGTCTCATTCCACCACCACACGACCACTGACAGACTACAGGATGCTCCTTACGCACACCGTCGGCCTGGGCTATGACGTCGCCGACGCCGACCTCATGAAATGGCATAAGGCTGTTGGCCGCACCGCCACGAACCTCGACGCGACAATTGAGGGCTTCGCCACGCCCTTGAAATTCACACCCGGCGAGGGGTGGTACTACGGCACGGCCATCGACTGGGCCGGCCAGGCACTCGAAAAGATCACGGGCAAGACACTCGGCGAGTACCTCTCGCAGAACATCTTTGCTCCCGTGGGCATGAAGGACACGGGGTTCTGGCCCGAGAAGCTTCCTCACGTCGCCGAACGGACCGCAGCGTGGCAGTACCGCGGCGACGACGGGTTTTCTTTGTCTCCTGGCCCGGCTCCGCGCAACATAGCCGCGGACGCCATTGACAGTGGCGGCGCGGGGTTGTGGACCACCGCCAAAGACTACGGTGTCTTCCTCCGCGCGCTCCTCCGCGAGGAGCTTGTCAAGAAGGAGACGCTGGATGAGATGTTTATCCCGCAGCTGGAAGGGAAGCAGGCAAAAATGATGAAAGAGCTTGCGGACGCCTGGGGCACTCTTGCGGTGGAGTTCTCTCCGGACATGGAGCTCAACCACAGCCTGGCCGGATGCGTCAACATGCAGGACGCGCCGGGGAAGCGGAAGAAGGGCAGCCTGCAGTGGAGCGGAATGTGCAACAGTCACTGGTGGATGGACCGTGAAACGGGGGTCGCGGCCACGTTGATTGTGCAGTCTCTGCCTCACGGCGATCCGGTCGTGAACAAGTTGTACGATGAGCTGGAGAGGGCCGTCTACGGAGAGCTCCTCGGCCAACAAGCATAAGGGTAGACTAGACATGGTCTTCATGCCGCAGGGAAATCCAACTCTACGTGGACTCGTCAGGCATCTCCATGGACTCGAGCACGTTCATCAGAACCTTCCTGCACTGTCTCCGGTAGTGATACGCCATGAGCTGATTCCGCGTCGCCTCGGCTTCCTCCATCTCGAACTCGGACTGATCCAGCCGCTCGAGTTCCTGAAGGACCTTGTTCTGGATGATGGCGACGGTCTGGAACAGGACCGGCTGGAACGCCGGCGCGACATCCCCCGTCAACACCTTCCGCAGCCGCTCCAGATCCGCATCAACACCCTCGGGGACAGAGAGCATCTCCTCCCGCTGCTCGGCGGTCGTCTGCGCGAGGACCAGCTCCCAGACCATGGTATCCTGCACATGCCGAAACGGCGGCAGGATCCTTTCTGCGTCGACGTCGCCGAGCATCCGCCCAGACCTCGCCGCCACAGAGCTCGGGTCGGCGACAGGCCGAAGGGAGATGAGATAATCCCTGGCCTTGGCGGCACCGGCGCTCTCTTCCGCTGCGGGTTTCGCACCCCGCCTCTGGACGTGGACGTAGTCATTGTGCAGATCCGCCGACTCGGGAACCCGGAAGCCGTACGCGAGCATCAGCTCGGCGTTGGTCTTGGTCGTGCCGTAGTTGTTAAACACCTGGGCCCCGGGCGCGTAGGCGTCCAAGGTGCGCAGGGCGCACTTGTTAGCTTCTCCGTCGGCGTCCCAGGCGATTCTAGCCGTGGGCGCGTGGTTCCCGACATCGAAGAGGGGCAGCAGCAGGGAAAAGTCGTCGACGGCGCATCCCTCGGGCAGCGAGAGCGTCTTCTGGCACGCGGCGGGGATGACGAGGGACGGGCGGAAGCTGCGGCTGGTAAAGATGCAGTAGGCCCAATTGTAGAGGAGGCGTGTGTAGTCGTGGCGCGTGGGGTCGTCGCCGAAGGCGGCGATGGCGTGCTTGAACTCGGCTTTCAGACGGGTCTTGATCTCGGCGATGGCGACGTGGACGTTGGTGTCCTCGAGCAGCTCGACGTCGTCGGATGGCCAGAGCGGCGGCAGGATCCAGGACTGGAGGTGCTGTGGCTGTGGGAGGGTCCTGATGTAGGGGTGCCAGAATGACTCTTTGCCGAGGAGGTATTGTTGGATGAGGAAGAAGCGGCCAATGACATGCGGCGGGACGGAGTTGAGGAATGAGGGAGGAAAGGGGCTGGAAGAGTTGGTCGTGGTGGTGTCGTCGTGATGGAAGCCTGGGCTGGGTGTGATGGTGGCGTTGAGATAGGACAGCGTCAGGTTCAGGGGGCAGGTGACGATGGTCTCGCCCGGATTGACGCCGGCGCCGTCGGGGGAGACGCGGAAGGAATTGCCGGTGCTGGGGTCGTTGTAGACCTCGACTGACGGGTGGAGGGCGGCCCCGTGGGATCTGGCCCAGCTCACTAGCTCTTCCATCGTGGAATGATAGCGCAAGACGATGGTGTGTTGGGAATGCGAGTGGTTACGGAGCAGGGCCTGGTCCTCCTGTTTAAGCCAAGTGATGCAACTGTCACGGTCTTGTCCAATGCCGAACCCTCCACGACTTAGCTCGCGATTCCTTTGACGGAGGTGTGTGGGATAGACGGACTGATTGGGCTGGTCAACAATCAGATTTTTTCTCAGCTTCGGTGTCCGAGGTGCGGGGTAGTAAAAACAAGGTGAAGGTGGGGGTTGTTCACCGAGGCGAGACAAAGTGACGCCAGCTGAGCCATTGGTGGAGAAGGTGATCGGGTATTTTCGAGCAGATCCGTCCTGCAGGGTCCATACGATGGCGCGATGCAGGTCCATCCTTGTTAGCAGTTCGTCTAATGCTCGCGCCAGTCAAACCTTCGCCGACGACATGCCCTTCTTGCTTCTGAATGTTGTGGCGCGTTAGCATCGTTCCAGCGATCTTCAACCAGACGAGTGACATATCCCTACGGACAAGCCACAATGTCTTCACTCGGGGTTATCTCTCTACTAGATTCCTCCAGAAACTGAACCATGAAAAGGTAGCTGCTCGAATGACTCGCTACGCGGCCATGATAAGCCTCTCCATCGTTCCATCTGCCAGGCGGCTCTACTGTCGACACACGACCCCAAGCATGTGCTTGAAGCCCGATGGCTTGGCCGAGGAGACTCATTTTCCCTGTGTCAAGGTTCGAAGAATACAAGGGATGGATTGAGGTCCTCTTGCATTCCATCATTGCACATAGAGTTCCAGTAGCGCAAAGATACAGCTATTTCTCCACCATAGCCTGCTCTGGAGTTCCGCACAGTGTTGTGAACCTCGGAAAGCTGTTGAATCCATTCGTTGGCTTTAAGTACGCGCCTCTACGGAAAAGGCACTCCAAGTGGTTGCCAAAAGTCGTAGCTCATGATCTGGTTTGAAATGAATGGGGTCGAACACGATACGAGAACCTTTGACTTCCAACAACAAGTGCACTACCACATTCTACACCTAAACTCAAGGTTTCCAATATGAGTATTGCAACAAGATAGCTACAAACGATTGTATGAATTGGGCTCTCAGAGCATAAGTACTTGGATCCTTTGGCACCATTGATTGTTGGCAGTAACTTGTTACCCGCAAACCATGCATCTGCATAAGAATGGCCTAATTATTTCCATTGGGATTGGGTGCTAAACTACCCAGTCAGCGGTGGAAGAGGTGAGTTTTAAGGCCGCCTAGTTGTCACCGAAGACGAAAAGCTTGAAAACAACATTCAAGGTTGAAGACAAATATTTCCAAAAGGCTGAGACAAATCGCTCTTCAAAAAGAGCTCAACCAGAGTGTTTGAGAAGCCCACCAAACTGCCATGTCGGGGCTGGAACAGGACGACATCCCGAGTGAGCGGCCAATCCTTTAGAAAATCCAACAGAATGTCCGCATTCCCCATGCTGACTATCCGGCATCGAACTCCCGGGTACCAGTCCAGGCTCCATTCCCTTTTGGGACGCGTACTGTCCCGTTGGTTCTTCGTTTGCGGCGACCAACGCCAATGGGACCTTGTAGGGGGCCTCCGCAAATTGCCAGGGGCCCATGTTCCAATAGACGCGACTGCAAACCGAACTGGCAATTCCTCTCGATCGCTTGGAGAGCAGGTAATTGTCTCAATTCTCCACCGCTCTTTTCTCGAGCCTCGATTCTCCAATTCGGACTTGACTGCAGAAACCTCAAAAGCCACCTACGTCTTGCTCCGCCCCTCTTCTCCGCGTTCTTGCGCCGCTCGAGCTCGAGCAATGGCTTCACACCTTCCGCCCTTCGGCACCGGCCCCGCCGGCGCCGCCGCCGCCGGCGCCCCCACGGCCTTCACACCCTTCGCCTCGGCCCCGGACAGCGACATGGAACTGATCCCCGGAGACGACGACGAGAACGGCTACCCCCACTCGGACGACGGCTACGCCTCCGCGTCCGACGCCGGCGTCGCGGGCGACGGCACCTACTCCTTGACGCCCAGCGTCACCGACTTTGTCTACCAGGATGGCCGCAGTTTTCATCGTTTCCGCGAGGGTCGCTACCACTTCCCCAACGACGAGCCCGAGCAGCGTCGAGAGCTCATGAAGCACGACGCCATGATGCTCCTCCGCAACGCACGGCTGCACTACGCTCCGCTGCAGAATCCGCAGAGGATCCTCGATGTGGGAACGGGAGTAGGCGCGTGGGCCGAGGAGAGTGAGTACTTCTCATGTGCAACTGTTTGCGCATGCCTTTGAGGGTATGCGCGCTGCGGTTATATGCCCACGACGGATGCTTATAAACGTGCAGTGGGCGATATGTATCCAGGGGCTGCCATCATCGGCCTCGACCTGAGTCCGATTCAGTTCCTGATGCTGCCGCCAAACGTCACTTTCATCATAGACGACGCTGAAGACGAATGGGACGACCCTCCCAACACGCTGGACTTTGTACGCCTAGGAAACATGGCCCCCTCGATCCGTGACTGGCCGAGACTGTTCCGGAGCGCATACACGTAAGGCACACTATTTCATCCCCCGTCAGTTGTTTTTGTGGTCTTTCTTCGTAGGCCTTGCGGCTTCTCAAGGCGTACCTTTCCAACCATGCGTGCAGATCCCTCAAACCAGGCGGCTGGATCGAGCTCCACGAGTTCCGCTGGGTATACAGCTGCGACGACGGCACCATGCCCGCAGACTACGCCCCGGCTCGCATGGTGGGCCACCTCAAAGAGGCCCTGCGGCTCTCTGACACGGACATGAACGCCGCGGAGCGGAACCCAGAGCGTCTCCGCGACGCCGGCTTCGTCAACATCAAGCACACGGTGAAGAAGGTGGCCGTCGGGCCCTGGCCCAAGGACGATACCAAAAAGTTCATCGGCCTGCTGACGCACGACGTCATCTACGAGGGCCTCGAGGCCATCACGCTGCGCCCGTTTGTGAACATTCTGAAGTGGTCGCATGGCGAGGTCGCGAGCTTTCTGGACGAGGTGCGCAGGGACCTCAAGAACCCTTCGGTGCACGCCTATGTGTATTTTCACGTTCTCATCGGTCAGAAACCGTTTTTTCCAATGACGCGGTGATACCATTTGCTTTGGGCTGGTGTTTTGGCTGGGGTTTGGGTTCGTGGGCTGCGGGCTTCTGGGTTTTTGGAAGGAGTTCGAGGAGAACCGGTTGGGAGATGGCATGCTAATTAATTGAGGCGCACCCTCTCCTACTACATCAAGAGGTTCAAAAAACATGTGAAATTAGAATATTCTCTCAGTTTACCGTGCAAAATTGTGAGTTGCCTGTTGGGGAACAGAATCTGCCTTGCTGTTTGTGTGTCGGCCGGGGACGTTGCAGCTCCCGAAACCGATAAAAGGCAAACATGGTTCTATCTCCTAGACTGCAAAATCATTCAAATAGCGGTCTTGCTCACTGCAGAAATCGGAAAACAGATGGTTGTGTAGACATGTGCTTTGTTGCAACCTCACCGCGTGCCTGCGATGATGGCAACCCCACGTCTGAGATGTAGCGGGGTCAACGGAGTGGGAGGATCCTTGGCACCCCACGCTTTTGAGGTGCCCTGGCAGGTTCGAGAACAGCACCCGAAGCATCCAAGTCGAACCCTTTGGAAAAGAACAACATGATCTGACAAAAACTGGAGAAGTAACGTATCACGGAGGTGATGAGTCGTTTGGATACGTAGCCATCGTACGATGTGAACGACATCTGAAGCCGACTGTGCGGCATGAAGTAATTTCTCACCGTAACCCGACTTTGGCTCGATTTGGTGAGCTGCAGTTGATCATGCCGGCAACCCAGCGGCTTTTCACTCATTTCCCACACCTGGCTGGGTGCGTCATGCGCCACCATCCCAATCTGATGAGACTATTGAGCTGTCTGTTTTGCCGCCGAAATCTCTTAGCTACAAATATTGCTAACTGAATGTGAGTCTTTGCATCTTGAACTTGTCTTCGAGAGGTCTGGTTTGCACAATCCCATTCAACACCAATCGTGCTTCGTGGAAACGCTGGTCTCATCGGCCAGGTTCAAGGCAGCATGCTAGGGCTGATCAATGAACATTCATGGAAAAACTCGGTCTAGCGACTGGAATTGTCGCGGAGAGACAGACCTAAACAGCGAGAGACGAAAGAGCCATGGGAAAAGCAACACTGACGGCGAAGAAGCTGAGCTTCAGGCTCAGGGGTGTTCCCGTAGCATTGCATGGCGGGGTCGGAGTCTGGCGTCGTGATGGAGGTAGCTGCGGAGCTGCTGCTGCACATACACTACGCCCCCTTCCCGTGCCGAATCAATGTCGGGGATTGCAGGAGATCCCAGGCGTAAGTTGATCTGGGCGCCACGGCGAAGGGTTGAGGAGCCGATAGCAATGCTTTTTTTCTGATGCGGAGAAACTGGTCAGAGGCTGTTTCAAGGACGGTTGATCAACGATCGCCGGCGCTCACCAAACTGCGTGTTCCTAGCGGCGCACGCCAAACGGCCAACAACAGGTTCCTTAAAGACCCTTAGCAGCTACAAAACCCACGTTGCACCGACCCAAAAGTAGCCGCTGCGGAAGCTGCGGAGCCCGAGGGCGGCAGGGGTCAGTCTCGTACTACCATCTGTACAGGTACGCCACCGCAATGGTTGGGGTGCAGCTCGAGTTTGGACCAAGGTAGACCATGCCATTGTCTGCCTCGGCGTGCAGAGCGAGTACAGGGAGGGGGGGTTCGCTGCAGCCAGCGTCGGGCAACGAAAAGGGAATCCCATTGAGCTAAAGCTCGGGTCTTTGAGCCGTTGTGAAAGCCTCAACCAGCTGAGCCTTGTGATGTCATGTTCGGAGAGCTCATCGAGGTCCGCCATGTTACAGTGGTGTTTGGCAGTCGACGGCAGTTTAGCTGGGAGTTGATAAGCAACGCCCATCTGGCTCTCGTCAATCTCAGTCGACCAAAGAGGGTGTGCTCGAGAAAGAGGGCTGCCGGCAGCCGCAAGCCGGAGGCAAAATGCGATGACATTCGTTGGATGTGCGTAGACCCGGCCAACATTGACCGGTCGCTCGGGTACTATCGTGTGTTGGTTGGCCAATGGACATAGTGGGCGGTTGAGGGTAACAATCCAGTAGGAATGGTTCCCCGGAGTCCCATGGCTCAATGAGTGGCGTCTTCCAACATGACTTCACAAGCCAAAAAACTGTGATTTGAGGTGGGCTGTCTGCTCACCGACTCTTTCAGGGCGAATGGAGCAGAGCTTTGCTTGGGAATGAAGTATTTGAGTTGTGATGCGTGGTGTTGCCATGCTTTGCGTGCGTGCGTGGCTGATTCGGCCGTTCGGGTTGGTTGTGCATAGCGGGGAGAGACACTGGTGTGACGTCTTCAGATTGAATCATCGGAGAGAAGCTATTGCCGTGCTCTAAAGGTTATGTAGTTGCAGAGGTATATAGACTGATCTGATGTCTGGATTGCCGATTTCTCCATTTGATGGAGCAGGTGAGGTTTACAGAGACACCGATGCCAATGACCGTGTCACATGCCCCGAAGAATTGCGGGAAAGAGCAGAATACGTCTTTTCACTCGAAGTTCGTAAAGGTCGGTCTTACCGTGTGAGCGAAGCTCTCAGGGTGGTTGCACGGTGGCGTTGTGGCAGCGAGGCTAAGGCGCGGGGGTGGAGCCCATTGTTCGCATGACGGCAGGAGCAAGGCGGCAGGCAGCTCAGGAATTGGAAGATAGGAAGGCGCCGTTGGATGTCCGCATCGTTTGACGGTTGGGAATCAAAAGAGGTTTCGGTTCAGTGACGAATTACAAGGCAAATATTGCCTCTGGTCTGTCCATTAACCTCCATGTCCACTAGCCAGTGTAAGCTGGAGTGCTTGCAGAAACAAGGACACAGCGGTCGAATTCTACATCAACTGCCTTACCCGCCTTACCGTCCCTTGCTTTAATTACTTGGGATAGCATGCACGGCAAGTTTGCAGTCTCGGGCATGGGCCTCCCTGCTGTAGTGATGCTACTACATGTCAGCTTCGCCCACCTTAATCATCTATGTGCTCGGGATTGGGTGAAGTCATGTAACCGTGGTTTCCGGGATGAGTGCTCAACAGCATATTTCCAAGACGGATGGAGGGCCAACGATGATGGAGTGTGCGACATCGATTACGCACAGAACAGGGGACCGAGAAGCTGCCCACGTCCGCCCGCGGGGGTGGACTTTCCTCCATCGTCTTAGCCCGTTCCCTCATGCGGTAACAGAGCATGTATGCTGCACCCGAGTGTCCTGGCGTTCACACAAGAAGTGTCGAATGCCTGTCTTGCCCTGCGTCACCATTGCATGCAGGCTTTTGGGGCTCCGCAGGTGCAGTCCCACGGGACAATTGAGATGGGGTTCTTAAAAGGCACCTGGCCTGGAGTGGGGAGTGGGAAGAGGCGAGATGGTGGGAGGTGCTGTGTCGGGTGGGTGACCTGACGTTGCCTGACGGTTCACGGCCGGCCCCACTTGGCCGTTGCCCGTCCGAAGGTACCGGTCGGGGAATAGTCTTCCCCTCGCCTCCATTCTCGACATGGCCTGACCGTACCGTATCTATTGCTGTAGCCTGATTGCCGTTCTGCTTTCTGCCCATGTCGGCCTGCAGTAAGCTTGCACAGTATAGACACGCCTCGTGAGATTAGACCAAAAGGGCGCCTCGTTTCCTTAAGCTTCAATAATGTACATGGAGTACCTCCTCCACCTTGGCCATGGCTCCGTCTTCGAGTGAGTCTCCTTCCCCTCATTCCTCCTTACCCCCACCCCATCAACGTTGTCTCCTGCTCGCTGGCGCAGATACGGCAGGATCGTCCCACGGTCGCTTCCCCAACCTGGACGACCACCCTCACCTGCTTATCTGACTTCCCGTTTTCGTACTCTCGCCTTGTTACCGCCTCCCAGCCCTGTCTCGTTCCCCTTCTCCTCTCCACTCCTCTCGTCAACTCTCAGTCGGTCACGCTCATTCCCAACCCCAAGCACAAAAACCTCTCTCTTCCCAGTCCCCCTCTTCCGATTCTGCCTCTCATTATCATCCTGGAGCCTCAGGTCTATGGATTGAACATTATAGACGACTCTGTTAAGCTTCCTTTTGCCTCTTCATCCGCACCGATCCGCAGCTTCGATTCAACCATCGACAATCATACAGCTGAACGTCGCCATCATGGCCAACCCGAAGCAACCAGGTCGTCAATTTTCCTTGGGCGCCTCCGCGCACCGCAGGAGACAGATGAGCACTATGCACGAGCAGGGTAATCATTTTGGCCCAGCTCTAACTGTAAGTCATCACTCGTCTCTCTTTGTTCATGAACCGACCTTCCCCGCATGTCCCAGCACCGGTCCCTCTTCAGGCCATTTCCAGCTTGGCTCACGACATTGAACTGCAAACCCCGCTCGACGGAGCTATGTTGCTCTTCATTGTTTTACTTCGGTCCCGGTCGCATCGAGATGATGTCCCAGTTCACTGCCCCACGGTCCCAATTCAGACTCCTTCCCGGCTAACACCATCATGACAGACTCTCTATTGCGGCATCTCTGCCGTCTTCGCCGACTCTCACACGGCTGTTGTGGCCCTCGCAATCCACGACACCGTCTACCTGATTGACTTCACTGTCAAGTACATCAATCTCGACGATGCCACGCAAACGGGTAACGATGCCATTGCCGACTACGTGATCAATACCCTTGAGGATTATGAGCATACAAACTTCTCTAAGTTCATTGGTGCCGGTTTGCCCATGACTCTCAAATATATGAGCCAGACTCTATGCTCACGTCTCTGGCTCGACCTCGACATCGTTCCCGTTGTTTTGCGTCCCGACGACGAGCACAAGGAGAAGAGCTTCTGGGACATCAAGCGAGTTGACGAGCAAGCAGACTCCATGGCTCGCAAGTGCATCATGTAGGTTGCCCGCCCGATATCCAATTACTTTTGGAAACTTGATGAGATCATTCACTGACAGCTCTTCGGCAGGAATTTTGGTCCGTCTCTGGTTCCACTCCTTCAAGTGGGCTGGAGAGGTGTCGTCCAGACCGACGCCGGCTTCCGCGTGCAGCTCAACACGGTACAGAACCACAAAGACACTTGCGGCGCCCCAACTTGGGATACCACCATGCTTTATGCCAAGAAACTTCGCGAGAACAAGATCAAGATCGCCTTCTTCAGCAGTACCCCTCAGGGAGGCGGCGTCGCCTTGATGCGACACGCCCTCGTTCGGTTTGCGCGTCTCATTGGCGTTGATCTGACTTGGTATGGTACGTTTTCCCAGCAAGGAACAGGATTGCTTTGCCCTTGGAGAGTCGTATGGATCTGACATCATAGCTAGTACCCAAGCCAAGGCCTGGCGTTTTTAGGATTACCAAGAACATTCACAACATCCTCCAGGGTGTAAGCCATCCTGATCAGCGCATCTCAGCCGAGGAGAAGCAGTCCATTATCGATTGGATCACGGAAAATGCGAACCGCTACTGGCTGTCCGAAGGAGGCCCTCTGCGACCTCCAGAAGAGGGTGGTGCCGACGTGGTCATGGTGAGCTCTCTCCAATCGCATTCCCCACTCTCCCCAGCTGTCGTCTCCAAATCCACCTGCCCCTCCCCCACTTGCACAGCTGATTACCCCTCCACGGGTGCATGCGAAGTGGGATGATCCCACCCAAGCTGTTCTCTCGGGTCTGCCCCACCCCTCTTCCACTTTGACACGGCGTTCCTGCATCAGACAGTTTTTGGCTTCGATCAAGAACTGCAGCTGACATGTGTGTTTTCTCCAGATTGACGACCCCCAAATGCCTGGCTTGATTCCTCTGATCAAGAAGATTACCCCTGACCGGCCCGTTCTTTACAGATCCCATATCCAGATCCGCAGCGACCTGACTGCAAAGGCTGGGTCGCCTCAGGAAGACATCTGGAGCTTCTTGTGGAGCAACATACAGCATGCCGACATGTTCATCAGCCACCCCATTCCCATCTTTGTGCCGAACACGGTGCCTCGAAAGAAGGTGGTCTACTTCCCGGCTACCACCGACTGGCTTGACGGCTTGAACAAGCCTTTGAACAGATGGGATACGGGCTACTACGGCCACATCTACAACAATGCTTGTCGCAACCAGGGAATGACTGAGCTTCAGTGGCCGGCCCGCAAGTACATCATCCAGGTGGCTCGCTTCGATCCCTCCAAGGGCATCCCTACCGTCATTGATTCTTATGCCGAATTTCGGCGGTTGCTGGAAGAAAAAGGCGAGACTGACATCCCGCAGCTTGTTGTTTGCGGCAATGGCTCCGTTGACGACCCCGATGCCAGCATGATTTATGACCAGACGATGAACCAGCTCGAGAAACACTACCCTCATCTAGTTACAGATTGCAGCATCATGCGTCTCGAGCCCAACGACCAGCTTCTCAACACGGTCATTGCCAACGCTCATGTTGTCCTCCAGCTCTCCACCCGCGAAGGTTTTGAGGTCAAGGTCTCTGAGGCTTTGCATGCCGGTCGACCGGTCATTGCCACGCGGGCAGGCGGCATTCCCCTCCAGGTCAAGGACAATGTCAATGGCTTCTTGGTGGAGCCTGGCGACCACAAGACGGTAGCAAGTCATCTCTTGGACCTCTTCACTGACGAGGAGCTGCACAAGAAGATGAGCTATGCCGCCGCCACTGGTGTGAGCGACGAGGTAGGCACTGTCGGAAATGCACTGGGCTGGTTCTACCTAGCCGCCAAATGGGCTGAAGTCGGTGTCAAGCCTGGTCTGCGTGGGGATGAACGCTGGGTTAACGACATGGCCCGAGAAGAAGCCGGCAAGCCTTACTCGGAAGGCGAGAACCGTCTCCCGCGGCACTTTACCCAGAATAAGGACGTTCCCATTGCCTCTGGAAAGGTTAGCGCCCAGAATGGGGAAAACGGCCAGTAAAGGCATGTGACCATGATTTGGCGATTTGGCATGTTATGACGCTGTGCGTTAGGGTTGATGGATCCAGTGCGTTGGGATGTAATGATGAGAAGATTGATTGGCAGGGTCTTTTCTAGAGTGCAATACTCGGTTGTTAGATGAGTTTGTGTTGTGGCGCTCGAATTCAAGTCCCCACTTTGAGTGATTTAGCCGCGATATAATTGATTACGGAGCACTGTTATCGCCGTCGTAGCCGTGTTGTTTGTTTGTGGGAGGTATTGGGCTGATGTTTTGCAAGTGTTCAAACGTGGTGCCAAACAAGGTGCCGGGATGGTCCCAGGCGGCGCCAGATGACGGGCTAGCTGCCGGTAGTTGCCGGTAGCTGTCGATAGCTGTCGATAGCTGTCGGTCACCGCCTGTGCCACGCAAACCCCGGTCGAATTGTCCCACTGCAAACATCTCGAGTCTCACTGCGAATCAGGTAGTTGTCGTGGCTAGCCGCGCGTCCGGAGGATCGACCTCGTGGTGGTTGGATCCTTCCGATTGATAAGCCAAGCCATCAGCTGCCACCTTCTGCGACGGGCTTTTTTTCTGTTTGATTTGTTTTACTTTTTTTTTTGCTTCTCGTCGTCGGTTAAACTGCTCATCCCCTTTTTGGGTTTTTGGCTTCTTTTCTTCGCGTCCAAGCCTAGCCACCAATTCGAGTGAGCAAACATGGTTCACCTGATCTCGGCCGCCGCCTTGGCACTGTACGGTTTCACCTTATCTCCGGCAACGGCCCTCGTCTCGGCCGAGACCTTCTCGGTGCCGCCACCACACTCGGACAAGTCGCATCCTCAGTCGCCATCGTCGGCGGCGTCGTCGTCGTCGTCGTCGTCGTCTTCCGGCTTCGCACCGAGCCCGGACCACGCTCGCGAGAATGCCGTGCACATCTTTAACGAGGTGCACTCGGCCATGCGGCAGTGGGGGTCCTCGCTGCACCACAACGGCATGGGGCTGATCCCCGCGACGGTGCCCAAGGGCACGGTCCTGTACCACGGAACGAGGTCGAACAGCACGCCTGAGGAGTTCGAGTGGCTGGCGTTCGAAATGGAGCATTCTGAAAACTTTGCGAGGAGCTGGAGGAAGGGACGCGGGATGCCGCCGCCAGGGCCGCCGGGAAAGGGGAAGGGGAAGCTGCCGGGTGGAGGGGGGCCGCCTGGAGGTCCACGTGGCGGCCAGCCAATTATCCCCATGGTAGAAGGACAGAAGCCACTTGTGGAAGACGACGACAAACGACCTCCGAGGGGACCCGGGGGACCGGGTGGGCCTGCCCGGGGGTACTTACACATGTACCGCGCCAATCGGGACCTGAAGCTGCTGTACATTGACGGCATGTCCGCCGGGAAAACGGGCATGGGCACGCTTGACACGCAAGACTCCTTGCTGCGTGGAATCGACAATGCCCCTGGATTTGGAGAGTACGAACGCGCGAGTGATCTCTGCAAAGCCGTCAAGGGATGGGGCCTCGACGGAGTCATCAGGATGGAGATTGGGTTCGAGTCGATTTACTGCGACTTCTCGGACGGGTTGGATCTTCTCTCGGTGCTGAGGCGACCGTGGAACGACCAGGTTGAGGGAGAGTACGGGATAGACATGTTTGAATGGGCGAGGGCCGTCGGGCAGAGGTATGATGGCATCGGCGCCGGGCGAGTGAAGTTGGACTTTGGGGGGATGGTAAGCGGCCTTTGGTATCCTCTGAACGTGTCCAACCCGAACGGGCGGAGGGATATGCCGAGGCTAGGACAACTTGCGGAAGAGGAGAGGAGGGTGATCCTCGGCAGAGTTGAGGAGATTGTAAAGGGGGCCAAGTGGAACGATGGCAAGGTCGACTGGCAAGGCATCGTCGACATGATTGTCTCAAGATACGCGGACCGCATCGAGGCGATGGCAGACGAGAGCTCCGTCGAAGACTACAGGGAGTTCCTGAGCCAGGTTCTGGTCGTGACCAACACGTTTGTGGATTATCCGCAAGACGAATATGACTCTGCAGTGGGGGCTGCGGTGCGGGGGGAGGACGAACACGTCAAGGAGGCGAGGGAGAGGTGTGCGAAGCACTACCTCACGCCGGCCGCGGTGCGGAGAGACGAGTGGACGCCGGAGGACGGCATGATCCACGTCGCCGTCTCTGCCATTGCGGAGCGGATCTGCAAAGACCTGTTCCACGTCCGCGGCCTCGTCCTCGAAGCGGCGCCCAAGTTGGCGGATGCGTTCTCGGAGGCGCAGATCCGCAATGTCGTTGCCGCCGCCGTCCGTGGTGATGACGATGGGAAGCTCGGAAGGGCGGTCGAGCAAGGTCGCGAGGCGATCATGACGCTCAAGGAGGATCTTGGATGGAGCATGTGGAAAAAGTGCAAGCCCGGGTGCGACGTCGCCGAGATCTGCTTCATTGCCATGTGGCCGTTTGGGCTGAAGGAAGACCACTACCACCCGAGTTGTCACAACCGGAGCTCCATGGCCAACAGGGAGGGGCGAGGCGGCGAAAAGGGATATTGGGAGTGGGAGCCTCGGTCTAGGCTGATGGGTTGAGCGGATTTCATGCTATTTAGACTGTTTTGATGTGAGGTTCATCTATGTACGTCTGAGCTTTCTCTGAACCGTTACAATGTGACTTGCCAGTATAATTCGTGGCAGATGCCACAACCCAACAATATCAGTGACAACAGTCGGGGATGGTTGTATATTCGTGACGCCGTTGTCCCTAGTCATCTGTCTGGGGTAGTTGACCGTTGACTGATAAGACTCCATTTGTATAGAACACTATCTTTGATTAACGAATGACAAGCTGCACGGCTTACCAAACTGTCATCTGACGGCCGGCGCTCAAGCTTACACGAGTTACGACGCAGCTTGCATGCGTGGCGATAATCTCAGCATCTGCAGACAACCGGAAATCCCAAGCCAGCGTAGTTAAAGAACAGAAAGCAGAGGCTGCATCGCTTGACCCAGAGATTGTAAAAACAGGCAGCCCGCGGAGAAGGCATCACCAAAGCAACTTGGCTGGAAACCCTCATCACCAGACCCAGCCGGATCCGAGACGCAGTCCCACACAAGGAAGCTTGTACGTCGTTGGACCCAGCAAATCAAGTCCCGTTGGCCAGCCGCGATGGCCGTGAAAACTGGACTCGCAGCTCATCCAAGAATTCCAAATTCCACACCCACAAGTTCCGTATCCTTGAGGCCAAGGAGGACGACCCAAGTCTACGGTTTACCTCGCGTGAGCATCATGGCTCCATCAACCAGCGTCGGCGCGCGACTCCACGTTGCGTTTTTGCGCCAGCGGGGAACATCGCACCTCGCACCTCGGACATCTCGCTATAGCGAGACCTGCGAGGTTCGAAGGGCTAGGAAGATGGAACCATGTGCCAAGATCGGGGTACAGCCGCGCACGGCGCCTCAAAGGCGCGCGCCTTAGTAAAGGATTCCCACAAGTGGCCCGTCGTGCATCGCCAGACCACGCGTATGCCCTAGGCCGTGCAGCCCTGTTCGGCACTCTCTCTCTCTCTCGCAATTGAAACATCCCGTGGTTGGTCCTAACTCAGCAGACAGGTCTGGAACCCTTCCCCTTCCGTGCCCGCATGTCACGGTGCATGGCCCAGAGCAAGGTTTGGCGCGCGGAATGGTACGCTGTGAGGGGTTCTGGTTCTAACGATCCGCCATGCGCGCCCTTTCATTCCGCGGAGACGCTCACCCGCCGGAATGGCCCGGGCATAGGGGGCCGCTGAAATGTGTGGCTTTTGCAAGCTTTTTTTTGGCGCACAGGTTCCGGAAATTCCCTCTTGCCATTAGGTAAACCGGTGGTGGTGTGTTCTGTCAGCCTCCCACGTCTTGGCCAGGCTTCTTCGCGCGCCCTGTCTGATGGTGGTAGCTGCCGCCCTGTTCCCGGTTGGGGATCGGGGGGGCCGTTGGGGATAACGGCCGCACCGCCGAGAAATGTCCAGTCGCTCCAGGAAAAGATGCCATGTCGACATGCAGGGCCGCGCTTGCGATGGTGGAGCACAGGATCGCTCCAGGGCCGAACCCGTTCGGGACTTGGCCACGGGCTGGTGATCAGTGCCCACCACCCCGACCCAGCAAGGGCGCGCTCAACTGTCGCGGCTTTGGAATAGAGCATCAGGCCAGGTTCTGTCATCACGGCTGTTCTCGCAGGGTCCTCGTGTTGATCGCCCTCTTCCAGCACCCACTATTATGAGCCTTTTTTCGGAACGGGCATTCTGGCTAAAGCTGTTTGCTTCCGTGTTTCTGCGAGAATCTGTCAGAAAACGAAAAATTCCAAGGATGTAAGATGAAGCATCTCCGGAGATCTTGTCCGTCCAGCCAGCGACTCGACGCTCGGGTACCCTTTCGCATGAGAGCGATGAATCGCAAAGACGACGATAGATGCGGGGCGGAGAGGTACCATCCGCTCTATTCCCAACTGTGCTGACTAGCAAAAATTGTAACCGCCAAACGACACAGGTGTCTTGTACGGTGCACGACACAACTGACGCCAACAGACGATCCTCACGGGAGTGGCGGTGCGACGTTTGTCTCTCAGCCGTGGATCTTCGCTTTTTCTCATGAAGGTGACACGTCTTTACTCGGGGCACCTCACGTTCCACCCTCCCTTTGCTTGTCCAACTGTCGAATACGGACAACCCAGACAGAGGAACCTCGTAGGTGTCCAACATGGCTACGTAAATCTCCTTATTGTCTGACATCCCATGTGCGCGTCCAACCTATTTACCCCTTGCGGACGGATTAGGCTTTGATAGCAGAGTTTCTAGCGTGCTGCTGTCAGGAACCACGGGCGCCACAGCGCGTGACAACTCAACGCTCCTCTGCGTCCCGTTCTTGGGGTCTCGCCCTCCCTCTCTCTCTCTCTCTCTCTCTCTCTCTCTATGCAGCCGTTGAAGTTAGGCGGCGTTTGGCGTTGGTCATCATGCCGCACTTGCGGGCATGCACCCTCAGACCGCAGATGCGAGGTTTCGAACGATCTTGCAGCTTGCGTCCTAGCTGCCGGCGCTCGGAGCAAGAAACGCACGCAATCGTAACATGTGAGATGTCGTGGTCCGCGTTTTGCAGCCTCGCATTAGTGGTTCTTTGTTTATAGCGGACTGCAGTCGAGCAGCGATTTATTGCCGCTGGGGAATTCGGAGACGTAGCTATGAAAGTGACGCAATTGCATCGTTGCCAGGAAACACAAATACATAGTACACCTCCCCACCTATGAGAACTCTTACTACGGTAGTACGTAGGGGTAAGTATTGAATCCTTGCCGGTAAATGCCACCACTCCCACTGGGGGCTTTGACCCATAGTGGCCAGATGGTACGGTTACTCAGAGTTCACCGCATCAGGGAGTATTGCTGCTTGGGCGGGTTGGTGGAAGGTCAAGCCACATCTACTCTACCATGGGGATTTATTTTTGCCTGTAACCACAGCACGTTCGCAACCAGAGCGGGCCCTACCGGTAGCCCACTCATGACTTCAAGGCAGTCGGTCCCCGAAGGTTCCGCCCGCACCAAAGGTCAGGGGTGCCCCCCGGCCGCTAGATCCCGCCGTCATGTGTGCCACCACCGTACGTGCTGCCGCCGCGGAGATGCAAGATCCGACAACGCGTGGGCATCCCCGACGTCAGGCCACCGGCAAGAGGATGATACGGAGCTCCCAAAACTTTTTTGTGGAGGCCGGACGAGAACAACGCATGGTTCTACACTGCGGTGGGATAATCGCCGCGGACCATAGAGGTGATGGAGATTTGTCAATGGCAGCGTCGTGCCATGACATATGGTGCAACCCGTGCGGATTCGTCTGGATAAATACCGCCGGCCGTCCCTCCCATGCATCTGAAACGACAAGAGAGAACTCGGTATTCCAGACATCAGACTCTTTTCCCGGCTTTCCTGCCACACACGGACGACAAGAAACGTTAGTCATCACACTGCCGAGCAGACTTGCTGCAGCACATCATCGTCATCCTCGACATCACCTCCACGACTCATCCTGAGCAGATGCTGGCCTTCTCCTCCAAGGCATCTCGTCTCTTACCAAAGTTGGCTCGTCCCACTCAGCACATTGGCCGATTCTTCTCCAACTCAACCGCCAGAATGGGCCTCACTCAAGACCAGATCAACATCGTCAAGTCGACGGCGCCCGTGCTCAAGGTGCACGGCGAGACCATCACGACCCTGTTTTACAAAGACATGATTGACACCCACCCGGAGCTCAAGAACGTCTTCAGTCTTCGCAACCAAGCCTCCGGCGAGCAGCCCCGGGCACTCGCCCAGTCCGTCCTCGCCTACGCCAGCTACATTGACGATCTGCCCAGGCTCAAGGCCGCCGTGGAGCGCATCGCCCACAAGCACGCCTCACTGTACATCCGCCCCGAACAATACGACATCGTCGGCACCCACCTCATGAAGGCCATTGGTGAGGTCCTGGGGGACGCTCTTACCCCCGAGATCGCCGAGGCTTGGACCGCTGCATACGGCCAGCTCGCGCAGGTCTTCATCGGCCGCGAAGACGAGATGTACCGCGAGGCCGGTCCTTGGACCAACTGGCGCAAGTTCAAGATCATCCGTCGTATCGACGAGTCCGACTCCGTCACCAGCTTCTACCTCGCCCCCTCGGACGGCAGGCTGCCTCTGCCAAAGTACCAGCCCGGCCAGTACATCTCTGTGCAGGTCCCCGTGCCGCAGCTCGGCGGCATCACCCAGCCAAGGCAGTATAGTCTCAGCGACGCTGCCTCCAAGGGAGACTACTACCGCATCAGCGTCAAGCGCGAGGCGACACTCGTCGACGCGCCCCAGGATGACGTGAGCAAGGGCCTGGTTCCCGGCCTGGTTTCCAACCTCCTACACAATGACTTCCAGGTCGGCGACGAGGTCGAGGTGTCGCACCCCCGAGGTGATTTCTTCCTCGACACGGCCCAGGACGATAAGGCGGATGTTCCGCTGGTGTTGCTCTCGGCAGGCGTCGGCGCGACCCCGCTCATGTCCATCCTCAACACGGTGCTGAGCCCCGAGTCCAAGACGCCGAACCGGCCGATCAAGTGGGTACACGTGGCGCGCAACAGCGGCAACCTCGTGTTCGCCAAGCACATCCGAAACCTCACCCGCGAGCGGGAAAACGTCAGCGCACACATCTTCCTCAATGAGGTGAAGCCAGGGGACCAGAAGGGACAGGAGTACGATTACGAGCAGCACCTTGACCTGACGAAACTGCCTCAGGAGGAACTCGGACTATCCGACAATAGGACTGAGTATTATGTCTGTGGGCCGAGGGATTGGATGCTCAAGGTGAGACTGGTGCTCGAGGGCCTGGGTGTTGAGAGGGCGAGAGTGAAGCTGGAGCTGTTTGCTACCGGTGACGTCGACCAGTAGTCGAACGCAAAGATTTGGAAGGAAAAAAAAAGTGGTCAAACAAAGAGAAAGCAAGAAAGATGATTTATGACTGGGATCTTGCGAGGGGGGTGACACAGCGGGGCGGCAGTTTTGTGAGATGGAAATGGTTTCTCTGTGTGGTTTTGTTTTTTATGGCGTGGTAGCCTTGCTTGAGTCGAACGGATAGAAAGATACCTCTCAGATTTTTCCCATTTTTTCTTTGCCTCTAGGAATGTTTTCCCCCTCCCTTATGGTATAGGTGATGAAAGCAAAGGGTCAGGGGTGTTTACTTTTTCGTCTTCTGTCCTTGTTGCGTGACTTGGCCCTCCCTCGGCTGTGGGAGCTGGGCGTTGCTTTTTCCCAGCTTTGTCGTTTCGTGGTGATGGGTTCTGCGAAGAACTCTACTAACGTGTGAAAATTTTGCACGTTTGCGCACAGGCTGGAAACAATCAGGCTTCCAGACGCGAAATGGAATTTTCGGTTGTGTCAAGTTGATGAGCCACGGAGAAGAGATTTGATATCGATTTGTGAAGAATGACAGACGAAGAGTACGCCAACCGTGGTAATTGAACGTGTTGACGGCACAGTCTGTCAGTTTATCGGAAACCAGGGCTCTGTTGTCAGAAACTCTAGCATACCGGCCAAACAACTCGTTCGTTCCAACTGCTATAATGCGCCACGTAAGGCGCCCGCCGTTGAACTATCATCTGAACCTGTGCGGATGAGGGAGACAGGATGGCGTCCGCGAGGGTTCGAGCGGCCAAGAATAACTGGAACAGGTGACACAGCAAAAAGGTTCTGATCCCTGCCAGCATTGCTTTTTCCCAGCACAGAAAAGCGTCGAGGAACTTGGCCGTGGCGGCCACATCGTGCATCGTGATGACGATCCCGCGGCCAGATGTCAATGCACGGCATGCGGGCTGCCTTCTTCCCCGAGCGGGAGCTTGCGCGGGCGCGGGTAGCATCCGGCAGGGTAGATGATGGACCAGGCAGGGAGGGCGTCTAGGGCGACATGTATGTGCTCGGAACCCGGCGATCCAACGATGCAGTGATCCAGCAGATACCCGTGATGCGTCGGGCCGACATGGGTATTAGGACATCGCAGAGCTAGATTCCCCGTCTTTCGGGTTCTGGCTGAACTGGAACTTGGATCCAATATGAGAAGCGATAAAAAGCCCACGCCGACGCAGGGACAGAAGGATAAAGCAAAACTGGGCCTGAAGGGAGTACAAAACCCACACACGCCTGTCGATGGACCCAAGCCAAGGCAAGGGTCGGGCAGGCTAGAGTCGGGTTCCTGATGGGGCCGAGTCAACATTGTCTGACTGTGACTCTGAATGACGGGTAGTTTTTGCACGCAGTTGGCTCGTCGAGATGGATGTGAGGTCAGAGTAAGCAGTCCGCAGCCAATGACCAGATGGGGTCGCCGTGATGAGTTGCCAGACTGGATCGTCCCAGGGGTTCACCTCGGCCGTGACTGATGAGACCACGTGTCCGGGGAGCCGGGGCTCCGATTCCGAGCGCTAATAATAAACGAACAGCTTAACCCGGGAACGGCTAGTAACATCCGGACGGCGGGGGAAGGAAGGAAAGGCGGGGGGGGGGGGGGGGGGGGGGGGGGGGGGGGGGGGGGGGGGGGGAGGTGCCCAGGAAGAGGGCAGGAGAGAAGGAGCTGGATGAGGCTGGAAGAGACACAGGTGCGGTGCAAAGAGACTTGGCGTCATGGCAGGCGGTAAAAGTGACAGCATGGAAGCAATGCACCTTCCTCCGCCTGCCTCAGAATTGGTATTGGGGGGAAAGTCCGGGCCCGCGCGTCCCCGCCTGCCGTCCTCGGATCCGCCGCCCGGAAGCAGGTACGTACACTCGCCGGGGAATTCGGTGCCCGCCGTTCTCTCTGCTTTCGCGCCACTACCTCCCCCCCCACGTCCGCGTCCATATTCCCCCTCTCACCCTCATCTCCCACAAGCATGTCGGATGGGATGCTCGAATGCCCTGTCGATGTAGGCTTCTCCTCAGGAATGCACGTCGATGGAAGCAAGAGAGATACGAAACGCTTGTTCCCGCGTCCCGTCTTTACCCCCCTACCCAGTACTATGCATTTTCCTTTCCTCGCGTCAGGACAGAGGCCACGGACCCGACAGGGGGAGCCTTTTCCCCATCGATCTGGTACCACCGATTCTTTGCTTTCTCAACTACATTTCTTCTTCGTCCTCTGCTTTCCCTTCTTTTCCTGCTGCTCCGGCACCGTTCCGCGACCCGACCGAGGGTTAGGTCCAATCGCCCCTCTACCACTCGTAGGATCGCACGCTAAGGCCCCCACGGTATGGCCACTGTCATATTTGACTTCTCACATCGACCCAAGCATTCTGCTCGATTGATCTCCGGATCAGACCCCGGGATCCAAGGGACCCCTGCCAGATGATCTCACACACACCTCGGTCACACTCATCATCGTCATTCCAAGGGGCGAAGCAAGCTCGCGAAGCGCCCTGAGATAGACCAGCGGGCCAGAGTTCTGGAAGAGTCAGTTACATTCCGCTGCCACCCGCCCTGTCCTGCCTGCAACCTGTCCACGCTCGTTGCCTTTTCAAGGGGCTCGAATCATAAGGATGGTGACTGTGGAATGTCGATACTCAAACTTTATCCGTGCATCATGGGTTGGCCAATTCCCGTCACGGGGGCACTCGAGGACCGGCCTGGACGGGGGGAGGGAAGGGCTGGACTGCTCAACGCTATTCGCACACCGCGTGGCTTCTTGTCAACGTCCGACCCCCGGCCTACCCCTCGCATTCTCCAGCACGTCTAGATAGGTCACCTCCATGGTCCAGAATCGCCGAGATGCCGCTCTTCGCCGATTCACAAGCTTCGCCGAACCTGCGGTGGATGGGTTGACTTATTGCACCCCACTCACAGAGAAGACCCTTCGGGCGCGATTCCAATCGCGTGGGTGTATCGGAGCTACTGCCAGTCGAACCACGCCTTTGAGTCTCCTTTGGGGGTTATCCCCAGCCAATATTGGCGACTCGCCGCCAATATGGTTCACATAATGTCCCGATGTCGCAGTGCATCGGCCTAGGGTTCCCACCTCTGTGGGCTGGGAGCTGAGGAACTGAACCATGGGCGCGATTCCTATCCAGAGAGAGCCCGATCCGTGAGTGCAGCTGTCATGACGCAAGGCAACGCTTCCGAGCCAGGCGGACCACCCAAGAGCCATGGTACCTTGAAAGCTGTCAACATGCCTCCGCGCGTCGTGGCTCGTCAGCACGGACAATGGCATGAGCTGATGCTCCATTCCGTGGGACGGCCCGCATTCGCGCAACTGGCACCGCAACGACGCTACATGGTGCTGCTGGCAATGCCGCGACGCTGTCTGGCGCCATCATTGATTCGAGTCTAAATAATTTTGTTTCGGCCGCTGTTACCTCAACAATCATCCCCCATAGCATGCAAAACAAAGAATACGTCTTCTCTCAAAGGGAAACATCAAACGATGATCGGGAAAACGGGCCGCTCCAAGGCGTCAAACTCTGGACGGCCGCGAACCAATCTCGAAGTCACCTGGGGTGATACGACGCCAAGTCTTTCTGCCTTGTTCGACTTTACGGAACGGTGCGGCAACGCTGGCTGGCATACCTACTTCGATGGTCTCCGGGGTGGCCATCCATGAAGCGGGCTGCCACGAGCTCGGTTCTGGGCGACGCGGCCGCACCCGCCATTTCATACTTGTGCAACTGAACTACAATCTGGTACCTGTTTTTGGTTTTTCGCAAACCCCCTTGGATCAGCATTGCAATCTGTCTCTAATTGCAGAAGCAGCCATTGAACGACTTTCGATAGTATCGACCAGCTTTTCTTTCTCCGATCCACGGCCCAGCCAAGTTGCAAGGGCTCCATAGACCAAACAACGACAATCAGCAGTGCCGGATCACTAGCCCTCGTCGAGCTATCTGCGCCATCACGTCGAGTCCCCCTCTGGCGTCCGGATTTGAAGTTGGTTGGCGGGTACCACAAGCCTGCAAGGGTTCGGCTTGAGGGGGTAGTGTCGAGGATCCTGGCTAGAATGCGGCCTTCCACACCTCCCAGCTCCTCGATAAATCGCGCTAGGGCTGCATTCTTCCCGATCCGGCACGCAGCTCTAAGGGAATGCACACTCCTTACTGGCGACGGCGTTTCAACCAAACCTCTCGTTTTGCTCATCATCGACATCGTCTCCCGCTTGACACTCAACCGCGCCAGCCAACTGCCCGCCTACAGCGCTTACTTGGCTTTCCCGCAAAACAAAGGGACGGCGCCTTCCTGCCACCTTTTCGGCCGTATCCTTACTGATCTAACTTGTCCGAGCGCCTAACGGGCCCTATTCAACGGCCTTTCGTTGCAAGGCTGCCTCCTAGTCCATGACGACCTTGCAACGCGACTCCGAATCGAATACAGCATTGCTTTTGCTTCCGATGAAGATGCTCTCACAAGACCTCCCATTCGTCGACTTCGGCTGCGCACTGATCCGACCTCACTGATATGCGCAGAAGAGGGCAGGCATACCCGTCCTGCTGGGACCGCAAGACACCCTTTTTCGTCAAAGGCGGTCTTACCTGAGGTGATCGCGCACATTCTTGTGCGATGCGCACTGTCACAATCTCGGAACACCAGATTACGTCGCTCGACACGCACCGCGGGGGACCCTGGTAGGAATCAGCCTGACGGGTCCGACAGCACCAACAAATATTTGGGCAAACAGCTTGACAAACCGTTAAGCAAACAACACCAGCAAGCCCGCAGTTTTGACACATAGTCGGCGATGGTTCTCAACAAACACCTTGAAAATCTGTTCGGCCTTGATTGTCGGGTCAGGTCCTGAGATTACCCCCAGTCTTGGCTGGACAATATCGACTTTGATTCAAGGCCCATGCTTGATGATGCTAATCCTTCAGTTCCGAACTATCAAACAGAACCCGGATTGATCCTAGACCGATCTTTGCCCACGGTGGACGTCTTAATTGGCCAGTGTGCGAGTTCTACGGCGACTACGAAGACTAAATGAAGCCGTCGGCGAGCAGATGGCATGGCCGATACGCGCCCTAAAGAGCTTACCTCTGAAGCCGCATGATAGCTCAATGGTCGATGTCGAAAGCAGAGATGGCGGGGCGTTGCCGTTATCTCTGTCATCCGACAACTCTGGCGCGGAGCGAGTCATCCATGTCAAAGTTGAGACCGGGGCCCCAGAGGCTCGAATCGGGAATCTGGTCGCGCAGCATCGGGGCTCCACCGTTTCCTGAAGAAGTACCATGGATGTTGAACGTAATGGCCCATCTGCCACACCGTCGAGCAAGGATCACCACTTGCCCCTAGCCATTTCTTGGCACTTGGTCTTGATGGCTGCTCTTTCAGCCACTTCCTGCATGCCCGGTGGTTCCTGTCGACCACACAGGTCATACCGCGCGGTGGTGGGGGAAAGCTTCGACAGTGGATAGGAGGGTCAGACAAACGCCAAGCCTAGCGGATATGGCCTGTCATGGTAGGAGAAGTCTTTATGTTTTCTCTCTCTCTCAAAAAGGTTTTCTTTGTCGTTCTCTGTACCACATCAGTCCAACCCTCCCGACACTTCGTTTTGCATGTTTCATCGTCTCCACAGACAGGGTCCATGGTGGATCGGCCGACCCCTTGCAACCGACCCTGGGCTGTCTAGCACAGCAGCTCTGCAGAGAGACCGTGACCTGCGCATCTGTCCTCGAGCTAGTGGAGTGTTTTCTTCTTTCAGGCATCGTCCTCATCCCGCCGTAATGGACTCAGATCGCAGAAGTCACGCAGGTCCGTACCATCTTCCTGGGCCACCGGGGAGGGTGCCCATTGGTTGCCCGGCGAGCAAGCGTCGCTGGTGAACACTCTACACCCACTTCCCAGTCCCATTCCCACTTCCAGGTCGAGTCCATAGTCCTGGGCAGGTTAGTTCAGATGCCATTTCGTCAAGCCCGAGGGACAAGGCCCAACTTCCTCAACCATATTCGCCATGTTTTACCATCGCGCTCAAGGCTAGCCGACGTTGGTCCAATGGCGGTGACTCGGCACTCAAGTGCTTTTTCACTCGGCTTATGGTTGCGGCAAGGAATGGATCGTCCTGGGCGTTGTTGATGCCAGTACCTGTCTTCTCGCCTGCATGTTGCCAACAGTACTTTTCTCCCCTGTCGAGAGAAAAGCATTGATGCAAGCTTGTCTCATTGTTCAGGGATCGAGCCCACTTTCCTGTCGAATGGGTTCAGGCCTATTTGACGACACGCCTCCCCTCCTCACCCCCGACTCTGGAATTCCCTCGCAAATTATTCTTGTTTTGCAAACGCCGAACTATGGCAGTAACAATGTCTGATGGTCCGATTCGGAAGGCCTGCGACAGGTGCCACAGGCAAAAGCTCAGCTGTAAACGCGTCGGCGATGAAGCATGCGAGCGGTGTATCAGACTCAAGGAAGAGTGCACCTCAAGTCCTTCTCTGCGCTATCGGAAGCAACACCAGCACGGCTCGACTCGAGACTTTGCACGTAAAGGTGTCTCGTCACCTAAGCGGCAACGGACCTCGGGCGGCCACCCAGTTGCGCACACTGATCTGTGTGAGTCTTGTGTCTTCGACCTGTCTAGAAGTCTCCCTTACTGACAGCATTTCTTCGTGTAGCGATCGTCAAGGCCCAGTCTGTTGGTTCTGTCTGCAGTAACACAGGATTCGAAGACAATGGTGTCGTTACATCCGATGCCATGATGGACATGGTCGACTTCGACTTCAGTTTTGGCCACCCCACCGGGCTCTATCAGCCAGGTCAAAACCAGCAGCAGCCGGCACCCCAGACATTCGGCGGCAACATGGACGCATTGATGTCGGATCACGGAGATGCCATCGCCCACTCTTGGAGCCCTGTTCACTCTACAGCATCGGACTCTGCATTTACTTCGCCTATGGCTCCGGAAACAGGCCAGGTCGGCCGTCCCTATCTCGGAAGCCCTTTATCCTACAGGCAAATGTCGAGATCCAGTAAGCAACACGACTCAACTCCGCAGCGGAAATCGAAAAAGCGTGCCAAGCAAAGAACAAGACAGATCATGCTGCGGCCGTATGCTGGTGGCCAAGGCTCATCGACGGAGGAGTGGATGCCTCGCATCACCGAAGTCAACTCCCGACTCTTTGAGCTTTCGTCAGATCTCCCCCTTCAGACGGACCCTTCCGAGGACACCAGCCGATCCAGCATAGCCTTCACGCCCGATGACGGAAGCTCCACGACGACGCCTTTCCCTATCGATGAGATGTTCAAACTCTCGCGTCACTTCGCAGACGTCCTTGCGGAGATGTCTCCACCCATGGAGGTGGGCTCTCCCGCAAGCGATGACGGAGGCTCTCTACTCGCTAGACGACTCAACTCCTTGTCGGATCCGGCGACCTGTCTCTTCGTTCTCTCGACATATGTTCGGTTTCTGGACATGTATCAAAAGGTCTTTAGCTGCATTCACTCAGAGCTAGCACAGCTAGAGTCGGGCAACCTGTTTCAGTCCTGGAAGCTTCCTGGCGTCACTGTGGGCTCATTCGCAGTTGATTCGACGCCGTCGCTACAGATGTCTCTGACCATTCAGTTGGCCGAGGAGTTCCTTCTACAGATGCGGCGAGCAACTGCATCGCTAGATCCAGCTCTGCGATCGGATGGCTCGCCAGCAGGCAAGGCACCTGACGCAACCTCCATGTTCTCTGGTGTAGTCGATGTCTCATTCCAGGCCCTGAAGAGGCAAGAAGAAAGCCTAGGCAAGGAGCTAAAGGATCTACGCAAGGCAATGGAGGCATTGCTCGACGGATGAAGACGAATCAAGGTGTATCCATGTTACATAGTGCAAGTTGTTCTAAGTAATTCCTCTCGATATGCGTAGCGGCAAGTGAACGGGTAGAGTTGTGCAATGGACTTATGGGGTCGGATGGAGTCATCCTTAGAGCAGAGGGGCCGAAGCAGCCTCAAACCGAACCGCGCAAGACAAAGAAACGTCTTTCATGTGCAAGTACACCATATTCTCCACGCGGTAATTGTGCACGTTGCTACATTGAACTTGTGCGAAGGTTACGGAACGGATCGTTAATACGAATTCTCGTGCCCAGCCCCGTTTTCGTCATTAGCCCTCCGCTGATTTCGATTGCTCCCAGCGCCGAAACGAAACACACGTTGTCCATCGTTGAAGAAGAGGCGCAAATTGGCAAGCCTCCCGGCAGCCGACTGCGCCAGCGAACTAGAGATTGCGACGGCAGACTAAATAGTCGGAAGCCGCCGTCGCTGGCAGTTAGCCAACGCCGAAAGTGTACGCCAAAAACCCGGCGACCGTTCGAGACATTCGGCAACGGAACTCCGAACCACCCCTTTCTAAACCACCACGACCGCCGAACCTCCAACCATCCCACACGCCCCCCTTCCTCGGCTCACCCCCAGACCGTGGAGAACATGGTCTATGCGGAGCGAGGCGGCTTTTCTCCCTTACTTTTTTGACATGGGACACAAGCGTCATGTATCGACACTGTCTGCCAGGGAGAGCATATCGCGATGTTGATATTATTGCTGCCGTGCCGGTGTTTGGGTATATATCCCTTTGCATCGCACCATCCAACAAGATGATTTCTCCACTGAGAGTCACAGCCCTTCCCATTCTTCTCTATTGTTATACCTCTAAAACCCCTCTACACATCGGACAATTTCTGCCCACGTGTTGCACTTACACGAATCCGACGGCATTGTACCCGATTCTTTTTTCTCCCTCCCAATAATTCATAATTATCCTAGAAATACCCCAGACAGCAATGTCTACCTACAAGAGACCCCAGTCCGAACCCATTGCCATTGTTGGCACGGGGTGTCGGTTCGCTGGCGACGTCACTTCACCATCAAAGCTCTGGGATCTCCTCACCAACCCCAGAGATCTTACACAAGAGGTCCCGAAGAATCGGTTTAACGCCCAGGGCTTTTACCACCCCGACGGCGAATACCATGGAGCAACCAATGCTACCCAGGGCTACTTCCTTGAGCAAGACCACCGCGTGTGGGATGCCGGGTTCTTCAACATCACCCCCAAAGAGGCTGAGGCCATCGATCCTCAACAACGAATCATCCTCGAAGTTGTCTACGAGGCTTTGGAGTCAGCTGGCTACAACCTCGAAAAGTACGCCGGCCGCAAGGTTGCCGTCTTTGCCGGTCTCATGACTGCAGACTACGACTCATTATGCCAACGTGACGACATCACCTCGAACCAATATTTTGCTACGGGCAACTCGAGAGCCATCATCTCCAACAGAATATCCTACTTTTTTAACTTCCGTGGCCCATCCATGACCATCGATACGGCATGCTCGTCGAGTTTGGTAGCGCTGCACCAAGCCGTGCTGAGTCTCCGATCCGGCGAATGCGAGATGGCCTGTGTGGCCGGCGCCAACCTGATGATCACCCCTGAACAGTTCATCAGCGAGGCCAGTCTACATATGCTCAGCCCCACAGGCAAGTCGAGGATGTGGGACGTCAGTGCTGATGGATACGCCCGTGGCGAGGGTTTCGCGGCGCTCTTCGTCAAGCCTCTCTCCCAGGCACTGAAGGATGGAGACTCCATCATCAGCATCATCCGGGAGACGGGCGTCAACTCTGATGGACGCACGCAGGGTATCACCATGCCTAGTCCCATTGCACAGGCGGAATTAATCAAGGATACCTACCGCAGGTCCGGCCTGGACTCCCAATGCCCAACGGATCGATGCCAATACTTCGAGGCGCACGGAACCGGAACCCAGGCGGGAGACCCCAGGGAGGCCCAGGCGATCGCGACGGCCTTTTTCGGTAGTGAAGCATCAACCACTGCCGAGAGCGACGACCAAAAACTTGTCGTAGGATCCATCAAAACTGTCATTGGCCATACAGAAGGTGCCGCTGGCCTGGCTGGCCTGCTGAAGGTGGTCCACTCCATGATCAACAACTCGATCCCGCCCAATCTGCACCTCGAGGCGCTCAACCCTAGCGTGCGGCCGTTCTACGGACACCTCCGTATCCCCGTCGATATCGTTCCTTGGCCTCAGGCACCGGCTGGCCAACCCCTTCGCGGCAGTGTCAACTCGTTCGGGTTTGGTGGCACCAACTCACATGCCATTATTGAGCGGTACGAACCGAGCATCCACGATGAAGTCGCGAAGCACTTCGCCCCAGGCTTGGCACCGTCCATGGTTTCGACTGCTTCGGCGTACAATGCCGAGGCACCCAGTGTTGGACTCCCCTTGGTGCTCTCTGCCAAGTCGCAGAAGTCTCTCATCGCGGTGGTTCAGTCCCTCCGTAATTTCATGGTGTCTACTGACACGTCGGCCGATGAAGTCGCCTGGAACTATTACGCGCATCGTTCAGCCCTGACATATCGCACTGCCGTCAGCGCCGACTCCCGAGAGGGCATCATCGCCGGCCTGGAGAACCTCCTCGCCAAGGCTGGGTCATCGTCGAATCCAGAGCTTGGTGTCCGCGCCAAGCTGGACGGCGGCGAGGTCAAGATTCTCGGCATCTTCACCGGCCAGGGAGCCCAGTGGTCCGGAATGGGCCGAAAGCTCTTCCACTCCAACAGTGTCTACCGCAACTCCATTGAGAACCTTGAGAAGGTTCTCAAGAAGTGCCCCCATCCTCCCAAGTGGTCGCTCGTTGATGAGCTCATCCACCAGGAGGATGCCACTCGCATCAACATTGCCGCTCTGTCCCAGCCCCTCTGCACCGCGGTCCAGATTGCTCTCATTGACCTCCTTTCCAGCCTCGGAGTCTCATTCCACACTGTCGTCGGTCATTCCTCTGGCGAGATCGCAGCGGCGTATGCGGCGGGTGTGCTTAGTGCCCGCGATGCCATGCTCATCTCTTACTACAGGGGTATGTCTGCTCACCTCGCTGGCGGCAAGAACGGCGGGAAAGGCATGATGATGGCCGTCGGTATGACTCGTGCCGAAGCATCTGCTCTCTGTGCACGGGATGACATCAAGGGGCGCATCTGGGTCGCTGCCAGTAATGCGCCCTCTAGCGTCACCCTTTCGGGAGACATGGACGCCGTGAAGGCGCTCCAGGTCGAGTTGACCGAGGAGAAGAAGTTTGCCCGTCTGTTGGTCGTCGATACAGCTTATCACTCAGCTCACATGGAGAAGCCGGCTGCGCAGTACATGAAGGACTTGGCTGGCTGCGGTATTGAGCCTAGACAACGGAACTCCACGGTTTGGATCTCCAGTGTCTACGCTGACGGTACCGAGCCGAGCATCGAGGAACTCAAGGGGACCTACTGGAGGGATAACATGGTTAAGGCAGTCTCCTTCTACGAGGCTATCGATCTTGCCCTCACCTCTCAGGGTGCCTTTGCCAGTGCGGTTGAGGTTGGTCCCCATCCTGCTTTGAAGGGACCAGTCCAACAGACCGTCAAAGCCGCCACCGGTGGCGCGCTGTCATATGCTGGTCTCCTTGACCGCAAAAAGGACGACAGACATGCTTTTGCCGAATTCCTAGGATTTACCTGGAACTACTTTGGAACCGACGCCATCAATTGGACGCCTCTCGTCTCGAATTCGACGCAGCCCAACCTCTTGTCGTCGAGGATCGAACTGCCATCCTACCCCTGGGACCACAGCCAGATGTACTACCGCGAGTCGCGCATTGCTCACCAATACCAGTTCCGCGAGCAGGGCCCACACGAGCTCCTTGGTGTTCGTACTCGTGATGACACCGAGTTCGAGCTGAGATGGCGCAACATCCTCAAGCTCGAGACTGTGCCCTGGATCCAGCACCACAAGTTTCAGGGCCAGGCGCTGCTTCCCGCGTCGGCTTACTGTGTCCTTGCTCTGGATGCAGCAAAGGCCGTCCTGAACGGACGCCAGGCGTCTGTTGTTGAGCTAACGGACCTCGAGTTCATGAGTGGTATCTCCCTCGAGTCAAACACCTACGGTGTCGAGATTATGGTCTCCCTGAGTATCCAGCCTCCTTCGACGAAGGGTCGCTTGGCTGGCAAGATTATCGAGGGTGCTTTTACCATCACCTCGTGCTATGCCGATGGCGTCACTCCCATGCAAAAGAACTTTACTGGCAACCTGCGCATCTACCTCGGCGAACCCTCCGAATACGCCCTTCCCACGCGCGATCCTGCGATGGCGGAGACCTTACCAGCCGACACCGAAGCCTTCTACCAGATGATGTTGGGGATTGGTCTGGACTACACTGGGCCCTTCCGCGCGCTGGAGAGCATTGACCGCAGATACAACTTCTGCTCCGCAACTCTTAAGAAGTTCCACGACACCGACACTACCGGCCTTGGCGTCAGCCCCGCCACTTTGGATAGCTGCTTCCACTCCGTTTTCGCTGCTGTCGCCTCGCCGGGTGACAAGTCCCTCTGGACATCATTCTTGCCTAGGAGCATTGAGAAGATCCGTTTCAACCTCGCCATCTGCGACGGTAAGCCCAGCGACAACGCGTCTCTGGTCGTCGACTCTGTCATCACTCAGGAGATTCCGCGCACCAAGACCGCCACCACCAAGTTTGTCGGTGATATGAGCATCTACAACCCCAGTGGAGAGATGGAAATCCAAGTTGAGGGTCTCATGGTGGCCTCCTTCGCCAACTCCAAGCCAGAGGATGACAAGGAGCTTTACCTGACCACAGTCATGGACCTTGACCCGGAGCACGAGATAGTCACTGCGGACCTTAGCCTGGAAGACGTTGCTACCGAGCGTATTCTCCTTGAGGCTTGCGAGAGAGTCGCGCGGTTCTTCATCCACGATGATTCTCTCAAAGACCTTTCGTCGTCTCCCACCTTCTTCACTCCTCCTACGACGCCTCATTCTCCAGTCAAGCCTGCACCTGCTCACACTGAAACGAGTCCCAGCCCCTGGCACCAAGACACGCCGGAGTCTCTGGATACTTACATTCTCCAATCGCCTTTCCAGCACGCCTTGAGTTTCATTCGGTTGCTTGGCGAGAACATTCCCGACGTCCTCCCGGCTATGCTGTCCACCATCATCCAGGAGGCTAAGCAGCTACACCGCTTCAGATCCCACGTCAGTCGCGTGGTTTCCCAGCTCGCCCACCGATACCCCCGCATGCGTGTACTTGGCCTCACAGACCCTGAGACTGCGCTCACTGAGCATGTCATTGACGGCTTCAAGGGCTCCTTTGTATCGTACACGGTCGGTACCGAGACCGAGAAGCACTTACTCACCAGGGTTTCGTCCGAGGCGATCAAGAAGAAGATTGACACTGAGCACACCAATATCCTTGACGATGAAGACAACACATCTCTTCAGCCCTTCGACTTGGTTGTCTTGACGACCTCCGTGGTCAAGGGCGCCGAGCAGCGCGACAAGCTGAAGCAAGTACAGAGCCTGATGAAGCCTGGCGGTTTCCTCATTCTCATCCACGAGTCAATGAGCCCTCTCCGCGACAGACTCCGCCGCGCATTCGGTGTCAGGAGGCAGCTTGAAGAGCCGCTCACTCCTCCTGAGTGGCCCGATATCCTGGATGAGTGCGGCTTTGCCCGTGTTTCCAAGAACGCCGAACAGTTCTTTGCTCCCGATTTCTCTCTCATTGTTAGACAGGTTGAGTCGGACATCAAGCTGGCAGCCCTGAGCCCGCTATCCGGTTCCGTACCCAAGGTCGCTGGACACACCGTCATCATTGGCGCAGCGGAGAACACGGCCGACTTGTCTGCAGAGGTGCACCAAAAGCTGGCACCCCTGTGCAACAGCATCGATGTCATTGCCGACCTGGACTCTCTCCAGCCTGCTGTGTTTAACGAGATCAGCTCCGTCATCTTCCTGGCTGACCTGGATGAGCCGATGATGAGCAACATGACTCCCGAGCGCCTTGACCTTTTCCGGGCCCTGATGGCACCGGAGAAGGTGGTTCTCTGGGTCACCATGAACTCTCGCGCCGGGAACCCGGAGCATGCGGCCACCTTCGGATTCACTCGCTCCATGCTCGCCGAGATTCCTAGCTTGAAGCTGCAGATGCTTGATCTTGACTCGCGTCGGGATTCGAGTGATTTCGTTGCTGAGACCTTTCTGCGTCTTAGCATGAAGTCTCTTCGCGCCGCTGCTCAGGACGGTGAGCTTCTCTGGACTCACGAGAATGAGATTTACATGGAGCACGGCCGCAGACTCATCCCCCGTGTCCTCCCTTGGAAGGAAGGTAACGACCGCGTCAACTGCCCGCGCCGTCTTGTGGCCGAGGACGTAAACACTCTTCAGCAGTGCGTCGAGGTCGTCTCTTCCCAGTCCGGGGACGGATCGGCTGTCTACACCGCCAACATTGTCGAAGAGACTGACATTGACGAGGGCATTGCAATTCCCGACCAGAGTGTCATCCAAGTCCAGTACAGCTCGGTCGAGGTCATCAACTTCGGTCTCAAGTACGCGTCCCATGTCTGTATTGGCAAAGAAGTCACATCCGGCGAGTTATGCCTTGCTATGACCAAGTCCAATTCATCCTATGTCACGGTTCCCAACTCCTGCGTCTACCAACTCAGCAGCAACAATGTCGATCCCAAGCTCCTCCTTGGACTTGTTCTGAGATATATCGTTGCCTTGTCCGTTGCCGAGGACATGATGGAGCAGACCGTTCTGCTCCTCGAACCTGACACCGCTCTCCTGGAGTGCATGAAGGAGGTCCTTGAGGCAAAGGGTGCCAATGTCATTGCATGCACTACCACTCCGAACAAGGGCAAGGGTTTCGGCCAGCGCTACATCCACCCGTACGCGAGCAATCGCGAGCTCAAGGCTCTCTTCCCTTCCACTGGCGCGGCTATCATTGATTTTCTCCCCGAGGGCAGCGAGCTTTCAGAGACTATTCTGGACTGCCTTCCCGAGAACTGCGAGTACCACTCCCGCTTTTCCCTCCTCACCTCCGAGCATGTCGTCGCTCTTGGAGACTCCATGGATATCGAGGATCTCTGGGAGACTGCCATCGGTAGGGCGATTGTCAACGTAAGGAGCATGAAGGGCCAGATTGGCATGCCCAACCTCGAGACCATTTCCGTTCCCGAGCTACTTGACCATACCGGCAGCAGTAAGCCTTTCCAGATCCTCGACTGGCGCGCCGAGCGCAGCGTGCAGCACATTGCGAAGCCCCTCTTCGGGACTCAGCTCCTCCGTCCGTACAAGACGTACGTTCTCGTCGGCCTGACGCGTGACATGGGCCAAAGTCTGTGCAACCTCTTCTTCGAACACGGAGCGCGCCACCTCGTGCTTGCTAGTCGCAACCCCAACATGGAGCCGCAGTGGATCGATGACCTCGCAGCCAAGGGCTGTGAGGTGCGCATGGAGAGGCTTGACGTCACGAGCATTGAGAGCGTGCGGTCTTTCAAGCAGCGCCTCGCGCAGGAGATGCCACCTGTCGCTGGTGTCATCAACGGTGCCATGGTTCTCGACGACCGCGTCTTTGCGCAGATGGATGTCGAGACGTGGGACAGGGTCATGCGCCCCAAGAGCGTCGGATCTAGCAACCTGGATGAGATCTTCTGCGAGCCTGACATGGAGTTTTTCATCATGACGTCGTCCTTTGCGGCGCCCGGTGGTCATGGCGGGCAGTCCAACTATGCCGCCGCAAACATGTACATGAACGGACTCGCCGCCAACCGTCGCCTCCGTGGTCTCGCTGGGTCGGTTCTCAACATTGGTGTCATTTACGGCCTGGGCCTGCTTCACCGTGAGCGCACCGATATCTACGCCTTCCTCGAGAAGGACGGATACCCGCCCATCTCGGAGCGCGACATCCACCACATGTTCCTCGAGGCCATTGTCGCGGGCCGCCCGCTTGACGGGCAGATATACGACATCACTACAGGTCTGAGCCGATACAGCGCCAACCGTGAGGAGCTTCTTCACTGGCAGAAGGACCCGCGCTTTTCGCACTTTACCTACGACGATAGCGAGGAGGCTGGCGAGGGTGAGGGCGAGGGCAAGCAGAGCCTCAAGGAGAGAATCAAGGGTGTTGAGGGCGGTGTCGACGAAGTCGCGCGAGTCTTGACCGAGGGCTTTGCGCGGTACCTTGAGGTTGTGCTCGGGCAGGGCGAGGGCAGCGTCAAGGGCGAGCACAGCGTCGGCGAGCTGGGCATGGACTCGCTGGTGGCTGTGGAAGTGCGGAGCTGGTTCTGGAAGGTTGTTGAGAGGGATGTTTCTGTGATGAAAATTCTCGGCAGCGCGAGCGTTGCAAAGTGTGAGTACTCCCTTGTCCCTTTTCCCACTGATGCCTATTGTTATGGGATTGGAAGCTGACTTTGGAACAGTGTGTCACGAGGTTTCTGAGGGTTACATCAACGAGAAGAACAAGGCATAAACTGCCTTCAGGCTAAGGATGAAATGAGAGAAGATAAGAATCCCCAATGGTTGTTAGTGGCATAGAGTCCCGGAAGGAAAAAGGATGGTTGCGACATATTTTTTTTGTTTTATCTGGGATATTTGTACTTCATAGGCGGCAACATGGGAATGGGTCTGTGATTGGTATTTTGCTTGGGCGGTAGGCGGAAAACGGCTGGGAAAATGGCTTTCCAGGGGTTTAAATCCGTTTCGCTGATTTGCTTGTTAGTATTGGTTTTGGTTGTTTGCTTCGGGTGGGTTTTTGGTTAACATATACCACGGTCTCTACATAATTATAGTTGCAATAACTAACTGGTCTAGTGTATCATCAAGGAAATATTTCAAAGACTATCCTGAGCAGTAATCAGATTCATTGAAATTGTATTCCCGTGCCTCTGCCTGGACGAAGCTGGTTCACAAGTAAAGGGTGTGAGAAATCTTCATTATAACCGCCTCACATTGAGATCAGAATGACGAGCTCAGGTCGGCCTCATCCGGTCTTTTAAGATCCCGCCCGCTCATCCGGCGTGGTAACAGACGTGGAGCCGAACCATTGCCTTTTTCGGGCGGGGGATGTCTCCCTCCGCGCCCCCGCATCACACCAGTCAACCATCCAGCCTACCCACACTCCACTCTCTTAGCTAGCTCTTGGTCAGTTGCTCTGAGCTTAAGCTCTCCTCTCCCCTTTTAGATTAATGTGAACCAAAGCAAACCGCGGACTCGGGTCTTGCGAGAGCTATGATTTCCCCGACCCAGGATGAAAACGCAAGGCACGAATTTCCGCACAGGGAGAATCCCCAGTTACCGATGCTTTTCCGCCAATGACAAAGTGGCACTCCCGGGAGATGTGGACTCTAGTACGGGCTGACGGAACAGCTGTTGGGGTAGCTTCCCACTTTGGTCTGGGTTCGCATATGGAGTTCTCTTCCCCATGCAGTCATCGCAGAACGGGTCGATGCAGGCGAACTTGGAGAGGGGCAATGGACTGGGTGAGTATATATCTAGCCGGTTTTCCATCATAATTTCTCTCGTTTTACTTCATTCGGTTGCTTTCTCGATCTGATCTCTGGATAACCATCAACAATGGCTCGTGTCATGGTTTCCGCTCTTTTCACCGCCGGCTTGGCCCTCACGGCCAACGCGCAGGCTCCTGTATGGGGACAGTGTGGCGGCAACGGATGGGGTGGCTCGACCGACTGTGCCGGAGGAGCTTTCTGTTCCTCGCAGAACCCTTGGTATTGTGGGTTGCTTTTGTAATCCAAGACCGGGTTCGGGGAACTAATGCTAACTATGGCCAGACCAATGCGTTCCCGGAACCGCACCAGCGGCGACCTCGACCAAGGCCACCAGTGTCCCGGTCTCGACCACAAGCCGCGCTGTAACAACCACCGTCACCGTTACCGTGCGCTCGACTTCGTCCTCCCGCGCTCCGACAGCAACCTCTACTCCAACCTCGATCCCGTCTGGACCGAAGTACTTCATCACCTTGTAAGTCCTTACTATCCCCCATCAGCCAACACCGAGCAAAAGAATAACATGAGTCCTAGCGGAGACTCATACTCCCAGACGGGCTTCGACATCAACTCTACAAAGCCTAATTCCCAGAACCCACTTGGCAACCCAGATCTCCCCGGCTGGACCTCCAGCGGCGGCCTCAACTGGATCGGCTACCTGTTGACACAGTTCAACGCCTCCCTGACGTACTCCTACAATCTTGCTTACGGCGGTGCTACTACTGACGCGAGCCTCATCGCGCCCTACGCGCCTACCGTGCTGAGCTTCATCGACCAGGTCACCGAGTTCTCGCAGAGCCTGGCGTCGAAGCCGACCTGGGCGCCATGGACCGCAGATAACACGCTTGTTGGCGTGTGGATGGGCGTCAATGACGTCGGCAACGCAGCTTGGGCATCCAACCGCGAAGCGCTGCTCGTGCAGGTTCTTGGGAAGTATTTTGACCAGTTACAGATCTTGTACAATGCTGGCGTGAGAAAGTTTGTTCTCCTTACTGTGCCGCGTGAGTTACCTTTCCCTCGTCGTACACCGGACGGGATTTGGTCCGAAATAACCGACGCTGACAGCTTCTTAGCAACCCAGAAGACCCCCCTCATGATCGCCAACGGTGCCGACTCCAGCGGCCAGCTCACGGCTGCCATTAAGCAGTACAATGAACTCGTCTCCAGCAACCTTGCGGCCTTCAAGGCCAAGAATGCGGGCATCACGTCGTGGATTGTCGATACCACACCCGCCTTCGACAAGGCCATCAACAACCCGACGGCATACGGCGCACCCGACGCTACCTGCTACAACGCGGACGGCGTCAGTTGCCTGTGGTTCAACGACTACCACCCTGGTGTACAGATCCAGAAGCTGGTTGCGCAGGCTGTTGCGCAAACCGTCGGTGTGCCGTGGTTTACCTGTGAGTTCTTTCCTGTCGTCGAATGATATGAGGATGGCCAGTTGCTAATGTTATTGAATAGCATAATGCTGCTGACATTTATTTAGGTAGTGGGAAAGAAGCTGGGCTATTTGATTGATTCATAGCCACAATGTGACTGCTCCGATCCATCATGTATCTTATGAGCTCATTCCAGTCGTTGAACGAGAGAGGAAATCAAAAGACGTACGTGAAAATGCTTTTGATATGAGTCAGAAACTACAACAAAGTTCTAAGGTCTTAGCTTCAGTCTTGGCAATTGCAATGAGGACTGAACCGTGATGAACGATGGACTGCTGAAAAGATAATGATTGCCCAATTTCTGCGTCGGATTTCTACTCTTAATCTCATGTCTATCTAGGTGTCTTGGCTGCTCAACTACTCAGGAGCTCTAAAGATCATCAGTTACAAACACTACTCTCTTCTTACCCACTCCAGCCTCCTTCCATCCCTTTTCAACCTCCTTGAACCTAATCACGGTAACATCGTCCCCTTTCAACCCCGAGCTCACATCCACCATTCCACCAAGCTCCTTTGCATACTCTGTCATCGTCCAGCTCCCTGGGCCAGCGCCACGGATCGCGATTCTCTTCCCCCGTAAGAAGGCCCCAGGAAGGCTGATGTTACCATCACCAGATACAGAGCCGATGTGGACAAACTGCACCTCCTTCTCAGATTTGGGCAACGCCTTGATTAGTTCGATGACCGGAGGTCCATAGACATAATCCAGCACGACATCCACGTCCCCTAGCTTCGACCAGTCCGTCTCCCCGCCCTCGAGGACGATCCTCTCATCGAGTGCTATCTCCGCCATTGCGGCGGCGTTCCTAGCAATCCCCACCACACGTCCCGCACCTCGTGCGCGAGCAACGTCTACGGCAACTCTCCCACTTGCACTGGTGACACCTAGAATCGCGATTGAGAATCCGGGTGTCTGAGCAGCCATTCGCGCGGCGAAAGCCATCCAGCTACTCATGACAGGATTTGTGTATGCAGCGACTGCAACAGGGTCGGCATTCTTCGGCAACGGCGCGACGAGACTGCGCTCGATGTTGACGAATTCCGCAAAAGATCCCGTAGCGAGTGCGGTGAAGTAGTAGCGCTGGCCTGTGGTTGTGTCTTCGCCAACTCCATCGACACCAGGGAGATGCGGCAGGGTCGTGGAGGTGTAGTGTGTTCCGGCGGCGCGGGAAAGGACGAGGCGGTGAACGCCGGATGCGAGAACGCGCAGACGGATTTGGGTGGGAGAAGGGGGCGGGAGGTCTTCCGTGGTTGTGTAGGTTGGGGCAGAGCCCCAAGAGGTGACCAAGGCCGCGTGCATTTTGGTGAGGATGTTGCGGTGAGAGCTTGGAGGTGCTGGAGAGATAGAAGCCAATCAGAATAAGCAGTCAGATATGCAATTATTCTTATTACCAGACTCTGGAACTTCGACAGTCGCTGGGATTTCTCCGCGCTTATATAGTTTAAGATGAGTAATTGTCGTGCAATGGCACGAGTGGACGATGAGTAAGTCCCTTCAGCAGCTCATGCATCATCCATCGCGGGTCGCCGCGCGTTGCTACGCTGCATACAGTCCGACAACGCCGGGTGCTCGGCTTTAATAGTACCTACGGAAGCCATCAAATAAAGATCAGTTCTACCACATATTGTAGTGGGAGTAATCAAGCTTCTCCCCCGGAGTAAGGTTTCGTAGGGCTGAATGGCGTCTCCGAACGCGACGTTGTTGAGTCAGAAAGCACTAATACTAACAACAGTTCTTTCAGTTGTGTTTGAAAGTGGGGTTCGAAGCAAGAAAATACGTGTGTCATCGGGTACCGGCAAGAATGATGGCGTGTCCGCCGGCGTTCCGGAGTTCCACGAATTCTCCGTTCCCGGAAGCAGCTAAACCACGCTAAGCATTTTGAGTGTTCTGGCGACAAATTCGACCGATAATTGGTATTGGTGGTTTACTGATATCTAAGTCACGACTTCAGCCCAACTTCTAGCACCTGATAATCAAACATATGGTTAGAGGCAATCGTGTTTCTATCTCGCATCTATTTCGCCACTTCAATGCCCCTGTCGGGACACAGTATTCAAAAGGCCTGCACGTCGGTAATCCACACTCATCTGGAAGTAGAAAGGGGGAAGGAAGGTACTCTGGAAGTAGACATAGCGAATGTGGCAAATGTATCTTCCAATCAGGAAGACTGTTGCCTAGAGCGGTTCTTTGGTTAGGCCAACCGAGCGGTCCAACTCTTGTTGATACAGATTATTCGTCCAAGCTGCCAGTGTACTAGTTGTGGTTGTAAACAGGCAAGAGAAGAGCATTTTGTATCTTCCTGCCATCAAAGGTCGTTTGCTGAAAAACTCCAGCGAGAGCAAAATGACAGCAACTTTACGGTCTTCTAGATCATTCATGTTGAAGCGTGATCTCTTATACAAGAGCTGAGTCCCTTGGGGGCATCTTGCTGCAGTTATTAGTGCCTTGGCTGTCTTCACGGATTCGATGGAATTAAGGCAGGATGACAACATGTACCTGAATGTTCAATTGCATTCGACTTAGGGTGTGCTGCAACAGCGGAGTAAGTGGCTCTTGGTATGTTGGTTTTAGCAATTCACTTACCCAAAGTGACTGGTTATACAAACAGGCGTCCAGGCTACCAACCAACTATTCTCAGCCCAGATGAGATAAAGATATAGGAGCATCTATTACAGCCCCTAGTAAGAACCTGGAAACAACGTGATCATTCCTACCACTATAAAAAACTTTATCTCTAGCCAGCCTTTAGAGCGCTAAATGTATGTTGTCTTGAGATGGTGTAGGTCGGAAGTATGTTCTTCCAACATTAGAATGAGCAGCAACGTGCTGAGAAGGCTGCCTGTATCGCGCCTTGATCTCATCATGATCTGAAACCATTATTGACGCCTCCTGATCTATCTTGCAGTGATTGAAAACATCTTCTAATATGTATTATCGCAGCCAAGAGTAGTGATACTGGGAGGATTCCGGAGGCCTTTCCCTAACTATGCTGGGGATAAATGACACCAGTTCCACTCTCTGCATGACTAAATCATGTAAATACCGCCTACGGCTGAAAATATTTTCAATGCGTGATACATTTAGGGTACGATGGTGCACGAACAAAACTCTACATTAGTATTGTAGCTGGGAAACGACACCACCGATAATCCGATTCGAGTAATTACAGGCCCGTGTACTCCACATTCCAATGCACCACTCCTCGGAAAATGATGTTCCGAATACGACAGTATGATGTGAACCGCGCCACCAAGGACAGTAATCGCACGCAGAATGCAATGGTTGCTGAGTTTTTCGATTGGTCGCTGTGCGACATCAGCTTCCGGACTGCTGATCGCCCAGCAAGCTGATGCCCTCTAGCTAATGTCGCATATGAGACGGTCCCTCGACGGCATGAGGCCAGGGCAATGTCCAGGCAATAACAACGGCAGCTTTTCATGGCTGTGACGGTTATTAATTGAACATAGGTTTGGATATCTTTTTGCACCCAACTACCCTTACTCTACTCAATATGGTGGCCAGCTTGTATGTAACAGTTTAGACTTTGTTCTATCCGCTCCCTAGCTTAGAGACCCTGTCGAAAGTGCCTAGGGCCGATGAAGCTATGCATTGGTCCCCATCAATACTCTCCCTCGAAGATTGCATGACTCATATAGGTTTATAGGGAGAAGTACACGGCATCTTTTGCTTTTTTTGAGGGTCTCTATGAGGTGAGTTTCAATTGCCCGACAGTCCGAGAGGACGAAGCTCGTCTGAGAGCCGTGTCTCTCTCAGTATGGGAGATAGGCTACTTACTAACTATACATCTTTCAGGCTGGTGTCACCCATGTCTTCGTCAATTTGGGGTCGGATCATCCGGCTATTATGGAGGCCCTAGCACACGGTGCCCATTTGAAAGGTGTCAATTTTCCGCGTGTCATAACGTGCCCCCACGAGGTGAGTCTGGCAAATCGATCCTGATACTACTATGGTATTACTCTATACGGGAGCTTAATCTGATGGAACTTTCAGATGGTTGCTATGTCCATAGCAGACGGTTTCGCTCGCGTTACTGGCAAGCCACAATGCGTTTTAGTCCATGTCGATGTTAGCACTCAGATGCTAGGCTGCGCTGTACACAATGCATCGATTGCACGTTGCCCTGTCTTCATCTTTGCAGGCCTTTCCCCTTTCACGCTCGAGGGTGAATTGAGGGGATCGCGCACTGAGTAAATTCATTGGCTACAAGATGCATCCGATCAACGCCAAATCGTGTCTCAATACTGTCGCTTCACGGCAAATTCAAGACGGGGGAAAACATCAAGCAGGTCATGAACCGTGCCCTACAGTTTGCGATGAGCGACCCAAAGGGATCTGTTTACGTTGTGGGCGCTGGAGAGGTCATGGAAGAGGAAGTTACCCCGTATGGCCTAGACCAAACTGCTTGGGAGCCTATCGCGCCGACCGCTCTCCCTCAAGAAGCCGTGGAACTGGTTATATCAACGCTCGCCGGTGCAGAGAAGCCTCTGATTATTGTAGGCTACACCGGTCGAAACCATGCAACAGTCTCGGAACTTGTCCAACTGACTGAGAGTATCCCGGGTATCCGTGTTCTTGACGCTCTGGGCAGCGATGTGTGCTTCCCTTACACTCACCGGGCCTCATTGGGTGTCAGGATCGGTCGTGACGCCAGCATCGAAGAGGCTGACATGATTTTGATCATTGAATGCGATGTTACCTGGATTCCGATACAATGTCGACCGCGAACTGGCGCTAAGATCATCCACATCGATATCGACCCATTGAAGCAAAACATGCCATTATACTACATCCCCGCCTTTCGACGCTACCGAGCAGACTCTGAGACGGCACTGCGGCAAATCAATACTTTCATCGCTCAGCATGCGGATTACTCGACTTTGCAGAATCAATAGCCGTTCGTCTCGCGTTGGGCTGCACTGGAAAAGTCACGCAATGCATACATTCAAGAACTCGACGGTCTTGTAGCACCACCCATAAACGACTTGTCGTACCCAACGACCCACTATCTGGCGTCTCAACTGCGCAGTCAATGCCCAGAGGACACTGTGTGGACAATTGAGGCCGTCACCAACGCAATGCCTATTTACAATCAGCTGCGAATAGATAAGCCAGGACATTTGATCAACTGTGGCGGCGGCGGCCTTGGATGGTCCGGCGGTGCAACGCTGGGTGTCGAACTGGCAAAAGATTCCCAGGCCATGGATGAGGGTAACTTCGTCTGTGAGATTGTTGGCGATGGCACGTTTCTCTTCGGCTGTCCCGGAACTGTCTATTGGGTTGCACGACGGTACAAGCTACCAACACTAACAATAGTTCTAAGTAATAAAGGTACGCATTTAATAGTCTCGCGATATATCGGTGCTAAAACTAACATTTCCTTAGGCTGGAATGCTCCTCAGAACTGCTTGCAGGTATCCTTTGTGAGTCTGGACAACTTGTGCTCATTGTTATGACCGTTCCAAAGTTCGAAACTCCTTGCAGCTCGTTCACCCTACCGGTTACGGAGCGGACTCCACGAACGAAGATCTGAACATCTCCTTTTCGCCGACACCTGACTTTTCGGGTATTGCCAAGGCGGCAGCAGGTGGCGAGGCATGGGCAGGAGTGGCAAATAGCGCCAGAGACCTCAAAACCATGATTCCTGAGGCGGTGGAGGCGGTGCAAAACGGTATCTCGGTCATTATGGAGGTTCGACTGAGTGGGTCATGGTAGGTAGACCATGCAGTGAGCATTCCGAAAAGATCTACGGAACTGTTCCGGTCCGGACATCTCAGTCTGTTACCAGGCACTCGGGTGACAAAAATCAGCGCTGGGATTTGTATGGTAAAGGCATAGAAAGCGGCGCTGACTTTTGTCACCCGAGTGCCAGGGTAGTTGAATTTGACATCCTTCGGAAGTCCTCGTCCCTGTCGAGCTTCTTGACCTCGAAGATCATGGTACGTTTGTATGGGTGGCAAATATGGGCAAAAAGTGTATCATTGGCTGAGAACATGGTGGAGGATATGCTGGGCTCTCTTTTGGGCAGTTGGTACCAAGCTTGCTAAGCAAGTACCAGTTGCCGAATACCACCAGGATTCATAGTAAGCGCTAGAGTAGATGCCATGTTGTGAGACATTTTAAGGTCAACGTGTCCATGTTGCCAGCATTGGCTCAGTGTCCGAATACTCGTCTCTATCTAATTTCACACATGACAATGGAAGTCGGGAGCATAGCACAAGGCACTATTCCAATCATCATCAATGGAAAAGATGTCCTGACGAAGACTGTCTTCCCGAAGATTGGGCCCATTGAGAACAAAGAGATTTGGACCGCATCGGCTGCTTCTGAGAAGGATGCTGTCGCTGCCGCCGACGCAGCGCAGGCTGCATTTCCATCATGGTCCAAAACGAAGCCATCGCATCGTCGCGACATCTTCTTGCGCGCCGCCGAAGTCATGGAGAGGCGACGTGCTGAGCTTGGCGAGTATATGCGTCAAGAGGTGGGAGCAAACCAGCGTTACCAGGACTTTGTCCTGGGTCTGACAATTGAGGGCCTGAAAGACACTGCGGGAAAGATTGCGGATGCATGCACGGGCACTGTCCCTGATTCCATTCACGATGGCATGCGGGCAATTGTGTACAAACGTCCATACGGTGTCATTCTTGGCATTGCACCCTGGTAAGTGCCACCAAGCCTGTACATGGCATCCCCATAAGTGAAGAGGGATCCTGATGCACATTAGGAATGCAGCATATCACCTTGGTCTTCGCTCCGTGACCTTTGCCCTTGCGGCGGGCAATACGACCGTGCTGAAAGGATCAGAACTCATCCCCAAGTGCTACTGGGCCATGGTCGACATTTTTCGCGAAGCTGGACTGCCCGACGGTTGCCTTAACCTGGTTCTCCACCGTCCCGAGGACGCTTCCGTCGTTACTAACGCACTTATTGCTCACCCAGCGGTCAAAAAGATCAACTTTACGGGAAGCAGCCGCGTAGGCAGTATCATCTCTGCAGAGGCAGGTCGTCACTTGAAGCCGGTGCTTATGGAGCTCGGTGGCAAATCGAATGCCCTGGTTCTGGCTGATGCAGACATGGAAAAGGCTGCGAGGCATTGCGCTGTTGGAGCTTTCTTAAATGTAAGCCCTCTCACCATGTGCTACGAGCTGGATTCAGACCTCACAACATGAACAGGCCGGTCAGATTTGCATGTCCACGGAACGCATCTTGGTTCATTCTTCCATCGCAAAGCAGTTCGAGATCGCTTTCAAGTATACAGTGAATGAGATGTTTGGTTCAGTAGAAGACACCCCCATGCTTATCAACGCCCACTCGGTTAGCCGCAACCGAGACTTCGTCGAAGATGCCTTATCGAAGGGAGCCAGCACGCTGGAGGTATGCGAGCCGGGGTCTGACAGGGATGATGTCGCTACTCGTATGCGGCCAGTTGTTCTCATCAATGTGAACCCGACGATGGAGCTCTACGGCGGGGAGTCATTTGGACCCAGCGTCTCCATCTACACATTTGAGACAGAAGACGAGTTGATTGAGCTTGCTAATGACACAGATTACGGACTTGCTGCCTCGATCTATTCTGAAAATCTTCGAGTGGCGTTTCAAATTGCAGACAGGCTCGAGTCCGGCGCTGTGCATATCAACTCAATGACAGTTCATGACGAATTTGCTCTGCCGCATGGAGGTGTTAAAAAGAGCGGATTCGGAAGGTTTAATGGAACGAAGGGCATCGAAGAATTTCTCTACTGCAAATCGGTGACCTGGATGGATTAGACCACCCTCATATTAAGAGAAGATAGACGGAGCAACCAAAAAATTGTATAGCTCATCAAATTCATCAGAAATTTAGGTTCAACCCAGCCTCTTAGTACAAAAAAACATTGACTATGACAATACATCCAAGGGTTCAGTCTCAAAAGCATACGGGGTGCTTATTAGGCATATGCCATCCTAAAAAGGCCTATGGAGTCAATGACTACTACCTATGGAAGACTTCATAGTTTGTATGACATGCTTGACCACTGACAGCTGCAGTGACAGACGTTGGCAGAACTGGTCTAACTAGCGGGATAAGATCAAAAGGTTGGGCTCTCAGTCATTCTTCGTAAGTGACAAGGCCGTCGATCGTGCTCGCGTGTAATCCTCCAGTGATAGGGATATCCGAGGCAGTAGTAAATCTTGCTGCGTCCGACAATAAATAGATAATGGCCCCGGTCAGGTCGTTTTGTGTGCTCAATCTCTGCATCGGCGGTGTTAGCCACATTTGTTCGCCTTCGCGCTTCTTCTTGGTAGCTCTAACATCTCGGGTCATATCCGAATCCACAAAACCGGGGGAGATAGTATTGATACGAATATTATGCGGCGCCAGCTCCACTACTAGTGCTTGGCTAGCATGAATACACCTCCCTTGGAGGCGTTATATGCAGCCATACGATACCCTGGGAGGGCGATGTAAGAACACTGGGATGCCAGAAGGACCATGGAACCCCCCTTGCCCTGCTTCAGCATGTGCTTCGCAGCAAGTTGTACAGCGAAGAAAGTACCGCGGACCTACATGTTGAGTGCTGATCAGCTGCCGTACTTAACCCAGAAACAGACTAGCAAATAGTTAAAATGACTAACATTAATCTCCTGGATGCGAGTGAACTCTTCCCAGGTTTGATCCACGAAAGCCTTATCAATGGCGATGCCGGCCGATGGCACCAAACCATCGATCCAACCTAGCTCGTCAATAGCCTTGGTGAAAGAGGCGTTCAAGCTATCTTCTTTGGTCACGTCGGTCTGGATGTATATCGTCTTACTGCCAAAATTTGACGACAGTGTCTCAAATTCTTTCACGGGCTTGGCCTGAATATCCATCACCGCAATGTTGCCGCCCATTTCGCATATGGCCCGTGTGGCGGCAAATCCGATACCCTAGGTATGGTGTCAACTGCCCTGAATCGAAGACAATTTTTGATTCTCGGCTGATATATCAAGAAACAACAGCACAGCAAGTGTTTCTTTTGTACACCTCGACAAGATCGTACATAATAAGAAAGTAAGGTTGGAACAACATACCTGAGCGCCTCCTGTAACGATATAGTTGCGCCCTTGTGGCTGGAACATTGGGCGCACATCTTGAAGCTGGTCAGTCGGCATGATGGAAAGTCTTGGCAACAGAATCGTATGTCGGACTCTGATGGTCAAAATTGGAATTGGAATGTTCTGAGAAACGTAGTTGTATTAGTGCGACAGGCGAAGCCTACAGAACATCATAATATGTGCTCTTGAATACAGATTATGGGCCGTCCTAGCCTTGTCCATCCTCTTAAAATACCATCCAAACGTCGTTCCGGCTTACGAAATCCCCACTTCGCCTTATCGTACATGCATGCTTCCTACCTGTGTCTACAATCCGGTGAAGGGAATGGCTTGCTGCTTCAAAGCTTTCCGGATGATAATATGCCAAATTAACGAACGAATTTCACAGGCAGCGCTTTCGCAGTGTCAACGTCTCTTTAAAGCTCGGAAGCTCCAAAAGTCTTGTTAGAAGATGCAACAAAACTAGGCAACATGATGTCCTCCCCCATTGTGCTCAATGTACAGTTGACCAAAAACTGCAAATACTTCCAAAAATTGATTAGGTCCGGAATTACGATTGTGTTCCACTGTTGATATCTTGCCAAGCTCGTAGGAACCGAATGGCTCCACTTTCCGCCCATTCTGATTCCTATTTCGATCAGGGTAACGGAATGCTCATCAGCTGCATTGGTGTGATAATGGAAACGCTGCTTCCAGATTCCTACTTCCACGTGCCCGACAAATTTCTTAACGAGCCACCGCAATCGTCTCGCCTGGATGATGTCGTGCAGGCTGCAGAGGAAACTCTGAGTCTAACGATGGGGATGACGTCTAAATTGAGTACCGCTCTCCAGGCCCAGCGTGACTCGACAGGACGCCTCATGAAAGATGCATGTCAGACTTTACTTATCCACTAAGCTGCCCACACGCGAATATGTTTTCAGTCTGATTGAAATATCCATGGTATGGTATATGACACTTGTGATGACCTAGGTGCTCCTCGGAATCGATGTCGAGGAAAACAGGAGAAAATAATTTTCCTGGCAGGAAAGTAGGTTTCAAATTTCGGTGAATGTAACGGTGCTTATTATAGCAGATAGCGTCTGTAATGGGCGCCAATAAACGGAGCTTCTTATCTTGTGTATGAGGATGCTCGGCTCATTCACTGCCGTAGAAATTCGGTGAGTACGATAGCCGCGTTAGATAAGAACACTGTCCGTCAGTTCCCTCGCCACTACCGCTAGTTTGTTTCTATATGTTCTTATTTCCTCCTCGTTCTTCAGTTTTTTTTTTTGATAGATATTGTAAGTGAAATATACGATACAGACAGCAATATGGCGACATATTCAAGCAGCAACAAACAGACAGCAACCCCGACCGGACCAGAAGCTACCAAGAAACGAGCGCCATACATATTACGTGCTTGCGATGCCTGTCGAAAGCGTAAAGGCAGATGCTCGGGGGATAACCCCTGTGCATATTGCGTATCACGATCACTCGATTGTGATGTTGTGGCTGAGCCGTCAGCAGCTGGACTGCAGTCGAATACGCCTCCACCGAGTGTGTCATCGCGGGATTCGCGGATAAAACATCAGTCAAACACTGAACTGGTTTTCAAGGCGCAGCAGAACTACGAAGAGGAAACACCAGACTGCTGGGATCCCAATACGAGGTAAGCTCACTCAGATGAATATGGTGAAATCTTGGACTGACAAGATCAAAAGAGTGCTTAGCTCGCTTGGAGAGCTTGTCGCGAATCTTCAGGAGCAGGTCGGAAACTTGACATCAAAGATGAAGTCCATGGAGCGCAGTAGACCATGCCAATAGACTGATGAATATCTCGGATTGAATCATTTAGCATCATCTAATTATGATTCAAAACATGACGCTTCAGACACACAAAATCTCCCATGACAACAAATGGAGAGGCGAGTGGCACAGCGTCGTCGGTTTTGCGGTCCAACGTCACCGGATTACAGCTTGAATATGGCCCAGATGCGTATGCAGCAAGACGACTTAATCCATCAGCATGACCGAATTCGCCTACCGAGCATTGAAGACAACAAAACTAATGATGGGTATTGCCTGGATGCCGATGCCGAAACATCATCTACTCAGCTCACCGGTCGGGCTTTAGAAAAGCTCACTGTTTTCAGGAGACTTCTAACAAAACAAGATACAGTGCGGCTCATGTACACCTATCAGGCAAGTTTATCGATTTCCATCCAATCGTGGACTTGCAGACTTTAGTCAGACAAGTTGAGGCCTAGTACCAGCCAAAAAGGTCAGCAGCAGATGAGTCTACGCTCCTGATTATCAATTTGATTCTGGCTGTTGCTCTCTGCACCGAACCAGCGTCAGAAACCGACATTGCCCAAACAATATACTCATACTGCTGAGAAGGCATAGGGAAGAAGCTTGTGTGTCCTACACCAGAAATCAGGAATGTAGTTATCTTGTTGCTTGTGGTATGAACACCAAGACTCTCCGAGAATCCCGTCTTATTGCTGACGATTGATGTACCAGGGAACCTACCACTTTTTCAAGGATGACACTCGCTTTGCATGGAGGACGTGCGGTGTGGCTGGAAACATGCTACTTGAGCTGGGACTACACAGTCGTGACGTTCCCGAACACATTTTGTGTACAGATAATGAACGATCCCAAATTGTTGACATTATTTGCACTACTATCGTCCTGGACTGGCAATGGAGCGCTGCGACGGGACTTCCGACGCATTTTCAAGAGTCGCATTTTCATCAGGCTATGAAGTCCTCTGTGAGTAAACTATACGGCTCTTTTGGCACTCTCGAGGCAGTATGAGTAGATAACTAACGGCTTGTAGGTCCAGTCTCCGTATCTCAAAGCCATGGTCTCGTTCATGACAGTCAGCGACAAGTTCACTTCGCCGATCTCTTGTGTCGCCAACACAGGGCAAGCATACGAAGAAGATGACACTTTCGACATATTGAACTTTCAGATTGACCAATGGCGGAAGACCGCGGTGGGTAAATACAACTTCACACAGCAAGATATCTGGCGCACGACGCCTATCAGCCGTATTCCATCCTGGGCCACCCTCCTCAATCTACGGGCCAACGCGGCCCATAACATGCTTCTCCGACCGTTTTTCTTCAGCAATAAATCAACGACTGCCAGCAAGAAAAGCATTAGGCCGGCAATACAACTCATATCTGACACTACAAATATTCTCTCTAAGCTAGACAAATCCACAGAGGTTTATCGAAAGCAACAGCCCTTCTACGTCCATCTACTCGTAAGCGCCTGTGCTCTCATGTCGCTGGTCATTGCAAATGTCTCCCAGAACCAAGATGCCCTTGTGGCGGACTTGCCAAAGGAATTCGGCCAGATAATCGGCAGAAGTTTTCGGGAAGCTTTCAATCTGGCCAAGACATACAATACTACATCGCGCGCTTCGCGGAAGCTCTGGAAGAGGTTGCTGTTGCAGCTTAAGATTCTGCCCACAGAGGTGCAACGATTACGTAGCGCCTCGACCGACCCAGGCACACGGCAGCAAATAGACTCAAGGACAAACAGAGTTTCGAGAGGCCTGGTATCTGGTTTGGAGCCAATTGGGACGAAGGTGGCATCGACAGCCCCAGAAGATGACTCGAAACTACCAGTGAGAATGGTTGATGAACTAAATGGAAATAACAAACCTTTCCGTCATACCTCCAGCATTCAGATCATTCTAGATTTTACAATGCTATCCGACAACATAGATCTAACAACGTCAGCGTTGGATGGCACTGAAGAGGTGGGTAACCTTTCTGGCATCGGCGGCATTACGCCCACGTTCCAGGATTGGCCGTTCATTGACGGAAGTACTTTTTTCTCAGAAGGCGAGTTATTGTACGAAGAATGACAGTGACATTTCATTTCACTTGCATAAATGCAATATCACAAGGATATCGGATCAGTCTTAGAGCAGTGGCTAATTGGTCATCTATATAACGGCTCGCTTACGACGAGCCTTTTTGTTTGTTATTTGAAGATCACATTTAAAAACGCGATAGTTTCTGTTCTCTGTTCTCTGGCGATGAGACGATACACAAATACTGATTTCATTTCCTTTGAAACCCATCCAATCTCTCAAACCATCAATGTAAAAGCCCAGTGTATCTAGCATACGATCGACATCCTGATCAATGACATCCTCCAAGCTCTTCGGTTGCGCATAGAACGCAGGCACTAGTGGAAAGATAACAGCGCCCGCGCGCCGCAGAAATAGCATGTTGTCAAGATGTATATCATTCAGCGGTGTATCTCTTACGGCAAGCGCTAACCGGCGGCCCTCTTTCAGTGTCACGTCGGCAGCCTGCGTGATAAGGTCCCCGCCAAAGCCTGCGCGGATGGAGGCCAGAGTTTTCATGCTACAGGGCACAATAATCATGCCATCATGCTGGAAGGACCCCGATGCTATTGGCGCTGACATGTCCCTTGCCGTGTAGTTGTCATGTGCGAGTTCGTGGATCTGCGCCTCGTTGAGGGATGTCTCGTACTTGAGTGTAGCAAGAGCCCACTTGCTCATGATAAGGTGTGTTTCTACCTCCAGCACACGCATGATTTCAAGAAGGCGAATTGCGTAAGGCGTCCCGGTTGCACCCGTGATACCGACAAATATCCGCTTGCGCCGGGGCGGCAGATATCGGACCTTGGTTTAGACCCTTCGAATTCGGTGGCGGCAGATATGAGAAGCTTGCTGCCATCAAGATGTGTTGGAGTCAAGGAGATGGGTACTTCATCTCTTCCACATCTCGCCCGCGAACGGCTGATGTTCACGCAATTGGATTCCTGTCTTGTATTGAAGGTGCGTATTCGTGATGCAACAGCTCCGGAGCGCCCCGAACCTTTCGCAACGTGAAATCGACCGTAGCATCCTGGATCAAGAGAGAATATGTCGCCGCTGTTTTGAGAATAAGATGACTCATCAATATCAACGCAGGGATGAATTGAAGTAGCATTAGTGTAGCCGATAATGATTGAGTGAAGCAGAGCAGAGGCCGTAGAGTGTTTTGGAGCATGTTCTTCAAAAAAACATGACTTTCGGCAGATATCTAGGGATATAGACTCCAGTCACTGTCGATGGTTCTAAGACCTGCATGTACAATAATGTAACACGCCACCCAACGACAGGTAGCCCTTCGTCCGGATAGCTCCAATCAGCGGAACGCAGTCCGGAACGCCCTAGCTGACCCTTTCCGCGCCTGTCCACGCACCAGATTCCACAATTACTTCGTATGCTACCGCTCTAGATACCTAAAACAATGGTACAAGAAACGCAAATTACTGCAATGTGTGTCCATTTCGCTCTACTGAAAAGGAAACTACATCTACTATTGCCTCTCCCAAAACACTTGCAGTTATGTCAGCCCATCGACAAGCAGTTACACTTTTTTACTACTTTCATACTGGATAAAACCGCTCCTTTTTTGCAATGTATTACCGTCTAGGCCTATCCACGAAGCAAGGCACCACTAGTCAAGCCCGTATCAACCAGGTAGATCCCGTGGAAGCGCAGCTTGATTTCAGGAAGTTTATCGACATCCTTCGACAGGACAATGACCTGGTAGATATCAGTCAGGAAGTTGATCCTCATCTCGAAGTTGGCGCAATTGTTCGACGGGTAAGTGAGCTCAATGACAAAGCACCACTTTTCAATAATGTCAAGGGCGCTTGCAACGGTATGTGGCGCATATTCGGCAATGCAGCCGGTTTGCGACAAGGAGAGATTAAAAAGTTTGGGAGGATTACCAGAAACCTAGGCTTGCCGCCAGATGTGACTTGGAAAAACATTTCAGACCGATTCATCTCTTGAAAGAAAGCGAAACCACTACCTACCATCGCATTGCCGACCGGCCCATGTAAAGAGAATAAAGTTTTCGGCGATGACATCGACCTTGAGGCATTACCAGTTCCATTTCTACACAAAAATGATGGTGGCAAGTATCTGGCCACTTACGGAATACATGTTCTCCAGACACCAGGCAAGTCTTGGACAAACTGGTCCATCTTCAGAGGTATGGTTCACGACAAGAATCACTTGGTCTGTCTTGTCGTCTCAGGGAAACACAACTCGATCATTCGAGACTTGTGGTTGAAAGAGGGGAAAACTGAGATGCCTTGGGCTTTGGCTCTTGGCGTACCACCGATCGCGTCCATCGTGGCTTCAATGCCCGTTCCAGAGGGTGTATCCGAGAGCCAGTACGTCGGTGCCATCACGGGCAGGTCGTTGAAACTTGTCAAGTGTGGACTCAATGATCTCATGGTGCCAGCAAATAGTGAGATCGTTCTAGAGGGCACGATGTCTTTTACAAAAACAGCCCCTGAAGGTCCGTTCGGCGACTATCTGGCTATTGTCTTTGATAAAGAGGCACGACCTGGGCCACTCTTCAAAGTTGAAGCCATAACCTACAGAAACGATCCAATCCTGCCCATTTCTTGCCCAGGAAACATTGTTGATGAATCTGTAAGATACCCTCGCAGTTTCTTGAACTACCACTAACTCATGGAAGCACACTACGGCACAACTAGCGGCTCCTGAACTATTACTCCTCTGTCAGGAGCACGGACTTCCCATCAAAGAGGCTTTTGCACCAGTCGAAACATTGGCCACATGGTGTGCGCTACAGGTAGATACCGACGGGCTGCGAGAGATGCACACCAACTCTGCCACTTTTTGCAGGAAACTCGGCGAGATTGCGTTTAGCAACAAGAGTTGCATGCTCATCAACCACAAACTTCTTGTGGGAGATGACATCGATGTCTACAACTGGAACAAGGTTATGCGGGCATTCGCCACACGCTGTCGGCCCGGCCACGATGACCATCACTTTGAAGATGTCCGATCACATCCTTTGACGCCTTACATGTCCCAATTTCCAAACATACCTAGACGTGGCGGTAAAGTAGTGTCTGACTGTATACTCGCGTCTGAGTATGAAAGACCAAGAGACTTCAATCACGTTGATTTTGACCATTCGTATCCTGATGATGTCAAGCGCAAGGTTCTGGGCAACTGGTCGATGATGGGGTTTTCAGAAAGATGAGATGTCCACTGCTTGATGAATATCACAAAAGTCAGGTGTTGGATATTGCGTGTGTACGAAGTCAGCCAACTTGTAAATCTAGAGCGGCTGATTCGAATGTTGCAAGGCTTCTGGCAGCCCCAGAAGAGTTGCAACATATGGCATGTAACCAGCATAGAAACTAATTATTCTCAATTGATCAAACATCAATTTAGGTATATACAGGCATAATTCTTCTCTCATAGCAAATCATCTTTGCCGCGATTTTGACCTGTATTCAGGACACAAGTACGCCGCCATGTTGGCTTGTCCGTTTGCCATAGGAAACACGTTTCCAATAACCCTTGATCCGTAAACGGTCCTCTCCGTTACATAGTTTTCCGTCACATGGTACCTGTGGTTCTAGACGCGATCGTGCATCAAGCTATGATACCGGAATGTTCCGATAGTGATGCCCTTCCGGGTGGACTCACCTTCCGATCTGGCTCAAGGAACACCCGATGATAGGGTTGAAGGTATTTTCCAAAGGCCCGGAATGGAGCTTTACTTGAGGGGGAACCTCGATGCCTGGTCCATATGACCTTTTCTCATACAATATTGTTTGGCGTGATTTAACAACCAAAACAAAACAGACAAGTGAGAAGATACATTTGACACAGCTTGTCCCCAAAGCATACAGCTGTACTCAAAGGTCTAATTTCCAGAGACCACCAAAGATATCATCTACCTCTAAGCAACATTTGTAACCCAAATTTCACAATGTACAATGTCATAGTTGTCGGGGCAGGTGCGTCATCAAGTTGTACACATAAAGCAAGAAGGAGCGCCAGCTAACACGTACTGTAGGCTGGTATGGCCTAGCTGCCGCTAGAGCGTACATTCAGGACCACCCCAACGATAACGTCCTTGTTATTGAGGCCGAGAGCACTTGTGGTAGCACCTGGTCAAATAACAGGCTGTATCCTGGTTTGAAGTCCAATAACCTATGGGGATCCTATGAATACCCTGAGTTTCCCATGCTGGAGGAAGTTTATGGCGTTACAGAGGGCCAACATATTCCTGCTGCTGTCCTCCATCGGTGCTTGACAGACTTTGCAAAGAAGTTTGGAGTCTTCGAAAAGACTCGCTTCGATACTAAAGTTACATCAGTAGAGTCCACGTCGACTGAAACGTGGAAGATCAGTGTAACTTCAAGTGAATTCAACGGTGGAGATGAGGTGTTGGAGACAGAAAAGCTCATCTTGACCACCGGTCTGACATCAGAGCCCAATCTGCCCACCTAGACAGGACAAGAGACTTTTACCCCCAGACTTCTCCACGCGAAGGAGTTTTGCGTGAATGCAGATACTGTCAACACCTGCAAGAAGGCGGTTGTAGTTGGCGCCGTCAAGTCTGCTTTTGACTGCGCCTACGCTTACGCCCCATCTGAGGGAAGCGTACAGGTGGATCTGATCATTCGGGCGACTGGTGACGTGCCCGTCTGGCTGTGCCCGCCTTATATTACGCCGTTTCTCCAGAAGATGGAAGGTCTTCTTTGCACACGTGCGTTGACGTGGTTCAATCCCTGCCCTTGGGGCGCCGAGGAAGGCTACGGGATAGTTCGCCGTTTCCTGCACAACACCGGCATCGGCAACTTCATTGTCAACGACTTTTGGAACGTACTCAGCATGGACGTTGTAAATGCTCATGGCTACAACGACCATCCCGAAGTCTTCAAGCTTAAGCCCTGGCAGAGCCCCATGTGGACAGGCAGTGGTGTTGGAATACACAATTACGAAACCAACTTCTACGACCTTGTAAGGCAAGGAAAGATCCGCGTTCATTTGGCCGATATTTTACGTCCTGATGGCGCGACAGTAAATCTTACCAACGGCGAAGTCATCGAAACAGACATTGTCCTGTGTGCAATGGGCTGGAGGAAAGAGCCCTCCCTCGAATTCATCAAATTCGACAGAGGTTTGAAGCAGCAGAATCTAGAGAGGGAGAGACTGATCAACGATGCGAACGTGGAGATACGCTCTATGTTCCCAATGCTGAATGACCAACCTGTGCTGCGGCGAGAGCAGCCAAAGGGCGAGCCGCTCCACAACTATCGGTTTATCGTTCCGAGCCAGTCGGTATTCAAGAAGAACATTGCTTATGCTGGCATGGTCAGCACCGTTTTTACTTCTGTATTTGCCAGTGTTCAAGGCCTCTGGATCTCGGCGTACTTTGATGGAAAGCTGCAGCGAGCACTAAAATCGGAGGTAGATGTAACGAAGGAGGTCATGTTGCATACGCAGTTTGGGAGATGGCGATACCCTTGTGGCTATGGTGCGAGTCTGCCTGACTTTGCCTTCGATTCGGTGCCGTATGTCGACTTGCTCCTCAACGACCTTGGCCTCAAGGCTCACAGAAAGACATCCACTATTGTTGACCTAGTTGAGGCATACAAGCCGGCCGACTACGCGGGAGTTGCGCAGGAGTGGGAAAATAAGCAGTGATTGGATATACTCAGTCGAGTCTTTCTACTCGTGTCGCGCATCTTGAAAACATTTTTGAGATATTCACAATCGCAAACCAAGGACACATACATCTGCCATACTGTGTTTGGGAATAAGATATATGACAATGCACTACGGGACTTGTGCTGATATCATTACTGCATCAGTAACCCAAGGTATAGTTCTGTAGGATGTGTTAAAGTGAGTTGGTTTGACATCAATGACCAAGAGAGTCCGAGCAAATGATATATAACATGATGATATTGACATGACTGAAGCTAGAAGAGCAATCCGTTGGGCCATGAAACTGGGTTTCCAATGCATAACTACACAGGCTTGTGTTGTATGAGACTCTGGTATGTGGAGTCTTTGCCATTCGCACTACGCACACTCTGATTGTCCCTTCCTCATCATCACGTCTGTTGCAGCATGTCCCTTGAGAATCAAGCCTCCGCACCTGAATCCTAGATCAGCCGCGTTACGGTATCAAACCGATGATACTGACTGGTCTTTTTGGCGCTGCGGGCGTGTGCGGCACGCGCCTGCTTGGCGGCCTTGAGCTTGTCGCGTTTCGCTTTGGCCGCAGCTAAGCCGGTACGTGCGTGGGCAGCGCGAGCCTGCTTCGCCACTTTGAGATCATTATCGGCGCGGGACATGTTTGTTGATTTGTGTGGTGGGTTGGTTTGTATTCGTGCTCGTTGTGTGTGTGGTATTGACAGACACTCCGTTAGTGGTGGTATTTAGGCTAGGCAGCTGAGGTGCTATGATGTTGCTGGTTTCGGCTGGCGACTCCCCGGCTTCCGTGCTTCAGCCACAACGGAATGCAGCTCCGAGTTGAGTGATCCAATCAAATCGCTGGATGGTGTTAGGGCCTTCACAGCCACCCCCATACTCGCCCAGCCACAGCGCAAGACCCTGAGTGCGGCCATTCCGGCTTCCCTACCTACTTCAAGATGGAGCTCCGGAGCGGACGTGCAGTCGGGTCGACTATCGACACGGGGCCCGCCCACAGACCTTTCCTGGGAAACGCAGATAACATGAGCTTGGGAGCATTCACCCCAGCGCCGACCTTGAGGATTAAAGCGACTTGAAACATTGCGTTGTTTGCTTATTGACACCTCGCGCTTCGAGCTGACAAGATGCAAGACGGATAGCTGAGAATTAGTGCTTACTATTTTGGAATACCCCACTCTCACCAGGCATCAATCCGATTGATTGGCGCTGAGACAGTTCGGCTAACAAAACAACAGACCACCCTGTGGCTTAAATAGATACATTCCCCCACTATGCCGACAGCTCACCAACACACCTGACCTGAAGCCAATGGGACTCGCTTGCCTGTCTCCCAGTGATAAATCAATGTGCATTCTTTGATTCGTCTGCTCGCTTTTCTTGCTTCATACTGCCTAGTCTATGTCTCCTCTGCAGGGTGTTGCGCGACAAGCAATCCCCGACCCCCAGCCAAACCATGGCCGGAACCCTTGTCGTCCGCAAACGGAGCACTCAATGTAGAACCAAAGTGAAGACTGGTTGTACAACCTGCAGGTCAGTCGCAAATCTCATTAACGGTCTACGCACCAAAATTGAGGCTGTAGATGGGATTTCAGCTTGGTAGCGATCATGCTAACTTGGCAATAGAATAAGAAAGGTCAAGTGCGACGAGAACAAGCCCTTTTGCCAAAAATGTGTCGGCACTGGTCGTACTTGCGACGGCTACGAGTCTCCCTTTCGACTCGTTCTCAACAAGGAACCCATCAACACCTCTCGTACTGACGGCATCAAGTCATGTGCTGCTGGTTGGCAACTTGTTCGGCCCACCTTAACTGGTATTAAGATCTCCCCTAAGGACATCGACGTCCTCGGGCGTTATTTCTCAACCAAGACTATGTTTGACGTGAACTTGGGCTGCAATGAAGAGGCGAGACAAATCCTTCAAGCCAGCTTGACTGATCCGACAATCCGACATGCGGTCTCATCTCTCAGAGCTCTTCGGGAACATCTCGAGACGACCGGAGACGTTGCAGCATCTGTAGCCCAGCAGACCCCGGGCTACGGCTATGGCTATGGCCTCCAGCAGTACTGTATGGCTTTAGGGGGTCTCGCGTCCAAACTGTCTTCTCCGAGCCCTAGCGGACTGAAGTCAGCGTTACTTTGCTGTCAGATCTTCATCAGTATTGAGCAAGTGCGGGGGAACTTTGGTGCCATGGCCCAGCACATGGTTCGAGGACTCAGCATCATGCACGAGTATCGGGCAAGGCCAAGCTTTGTGGCTGCAAATAGATTGGTACCAGCACACCATGACCAAATACCCCTGCTCGATGTTTTCATCATCAAGCTGTTCGCTGCACCATGCAAGTTTGCGGATCCTCCAGGAACCACCGATGTAAGCGGAACGGCGGTAGCAGCATGTCCGACATCGCCGGATCGACAGCTTGCTGAATCATGTAATCTTCGCACGATTGTACCCAACATACAGAAAGGGCTCACTAGTATCGCTCTAATGACGCTTAAATTTCTCGACAAAGTGTCGCACGTCGAATCGGCGGGAAACGCCCTTCAACTCCTATCCGAGAAAACATCTCTGCTGGACTCGTTAGAACTGTGGATCATCGATCTGGAACTCATACTTGTGGACATTGGGCATCTTCAAGCTGAGCCTCTTTCAGTATCTTTTTTGCGCTTCTTTCATCAGATGCTGAGAATCATTCTCCAGGGAGCACTTTATTCTTCACCAGATCATGATGCCGAGCTACGGGCCGAGATTGGCCAGTTGCATTACATAGCTGGCAATATAGAGGAAGGAGTCAAGGCTTATAGAATGTGCGGTGGGACTTAAGTGGTCTAGGGGAGCCATCTAAAGTAAGATGACATATTTATGGCGATTTAGCACAATCCTTGCAAGCAACGTGCTTAAGTCTTGTCATTTGCACAACCGAAAACACTCGCAATTCACTTAACGGAATCATTGGCGTATTGTCTTCTGCAGAAACTAGTATATAGGCCTGTTGAAATCGACGAAACATCTACATTTGCACCCTTCCTACTACCCCTCAGTTGCTAACGATGGGAGCCGCGGCTTGCTGGCCGCTTTGAGGCAACTTCTTGTCCTCGCCCAACATCTGACCGAGCAAGTCGCCGGACTTCTTGACCGCTTTTTTGGCGGCTTCCTGCGCTGAAATAAGACCAAGAGAGCCGTGAACCATGTTGAGGGCACGGCCGTCGATGATATCGGAGGTGAATGTGTCGATGTTGACCGTGTCCTCTGAACGCACCATCTCTCGAGCGCGCACAGTGTTGAGAATGTTCATCTCGTCAGGAGTGAGGTACGCCTCAAGCTCCTTGTGACTATTCGCACGCCCGGAGGCCTCCAGTTCTTCGACCCTTTTCAGGACAGCATCACGCTTGGCAGCGTCCACGGGCGCCGCGAAAGCCTTCAAGCAAAAGTCAACTGTCTTGTTCACTTCATCTTGGGTGAGTTTTCCGTGGGTGTCGGCGGTTCCTTGAATAACTGCAATTTCGTCAGTAATAAGCGGGATTGAAGATTCGATCTGTTTGGTCCAGCTCGAAGGAGACACTTACTAGGTCGGAAGTGGGCGAATGCGCGGTCAAAGCCTTCCTCGTCCCAGTCGCTGAGTACGGGCTCGTCATTCTCCCTGATTTGTTTGAGTGCGCTCAGGACAATAAGCAGGAAGCGAGTGTAACCCTCGGCAACTTTCTTCGAGTGCCACTCGAGAGCTTCGTGCTCGCTGCATTGGCCCTTAATAGAGGCACAGATGGTTGCGGCTGCTGAAAGCCCGCTGGCTACGGCCAAGTGGACACCTGATGAGAAGAATGGGTCAATGAAGCAACCGGCATCGCCGACGATGCGGGCATTGTAGCTCGCGTAGGATGAGGCGCTGTACGACCAGTCGGAGGCGGACTTGATCTCATCAGTAACGAGCTTGGCATCCTTGAGCATGGGCCCAAGGATTCTGGGCACAGCCTTGAGCATTTCCAAGTAGAATGCCTTGCCGCCTGGGGAACCCATCTCCTTCTTCTTGCGGGTAGCGACCTCCTGGTTGATGACCACACCGACCGACACGGTGTCATTGTGAAGTGGAATGAACCAGGCCCAGCCGCTGCCATCTAGAGTTAGGAAATATCAGCAACAGGTTACCGAAGGAGATACGGAGTCAATGCGAACCTGAGAGAGCCTCAAAGTAAGGAACACCCTCCTGAGGCGTCCCGACACCGTAACGTCCAGCTCCTTGCCAGTAGCCCCAGCTGGCTACATTCTTGAGACCCTGGTTGAAATGGCGGTTCTTGAGGTACTTGGTGCTCATGATGCCGATCCGACCGCTGGCGTCAATAATGTAGTCGAACTTGATGACGCCCGACGTGCCGTCCTCTTTGCGTGTCCAGGTGGCTGATACGGGACGGCCGGGGTCCAGAGTCTTGTCGTCAGCGGTGCTTGGGCCGTCGTGGGGCGCAAACTCAATGGCCGTGACCTTGACGCCATCAAAGATTCGAGCGCCGTTCTTGCCCGCATGTCTGAAGATGAGGTCGTCGGATTCGGAGCGGATAACGTTCCAAGAATAGGCGTTGGGGCCACCGGCGCCGATGAAGTCGGTATCTGTCTGGCATTAGCATAGCTTTACATGACAGTTCGTTCGAGGATGGCTTATCGACTTACAGGCTGGATCTTTGTTGTTTAATACGAAGGCTGCACCAATCTGTACAAATAAAACCGTCAGTCTTTTACCTAGCGAGGTCCATCCCAGCACATTTGTGAAGTACCTTCTTGTAAAAACCATGCGCAGCGAAAGTGTCGTCGAGGTCGATAAATCGGAAGAAGTGGCGCAAGGATGGCAGCATGCTCTCTCCAATGTGGTATCTACGGATGATTCAGAACTTGGTGAACCCCTTGCCAACTGATGTGGCATTTGTCTGGTCGCACTCACCTCGGGAACTTGTCGCCTTCGAGGACGACAGCGTCGATTCCCTCGCGGGCCAACGCCGAGGCTGCGTACGAGCCGGCTGGACCACCGCCGATGACGAGGACTTTGGTATACTCTGGAATCGACATTGTGCTCTATTTTCTATGAGTGTTCAATGTGTGCGGAAGAGAAAATGATGACTTGGAAGAGACGGGGCACTTGGACTGATTAGCCGAATCGTAGCATCGAGAACCAGTCAACCTCATATAAAGGTTTTGAAAAGCGTGCAATCTATCTAAAATCACCGACCATATCCCGCTAACAACGGTGCCCGAGAGACGCCATATTCAACACTACCGGGTTTGTGTCGTACGAAAGCTGACGTGCAGCAGTCGACGGGGTGGATACATGGCAGTGCTGGTTCAGGTCGGTCTTTTTTGGTCGGTGTCCGTTGGATCCCGGCCCCATAAAGCGACACAGCTGCAGATCGATTCGGCATTTTCCCCAACACATCTATGACATTTGTTTTTCTTTTAGTCGAAACTCACACTTTGCAAACCAAGCATACAGCATTGAAACCAACCTTCGTCACCATGTCCGAAATATCTGGCACCGAAACCTGCACCTCGACAGACCACAGTACTAGCAAAATGGAGAAGGGCAGTATCGTGTCGCCGTCGCCTCAGGACGACTCTGTCAAAACCATACAGGCGGAGGAAAGGGCGCAGCAGTTGAATGAGTATCCTGACGGCGGACCAACTGCCTGGCTCGCCGTCGCTGGCGCAACTGCTTGCTTGTTCGTATCGTTCGGATGGGTCAACGTCATTGGCGTTTTCCAGGAATATTACCAGTCCAACCAGCTGCGTGATTACACGCCGTCGGAAATCGCCTGGATCCCTTCCCTTCAGAGTATGTCGCTCCCATGGCAGGTCCCTCACTGGTCTTGCAGCCTCTGACATTGAGCAGTTTTCTTCATGTTCGCTGGTGGCATCTTTGCCGGCAAGGTCTTCGACGACTTTGGACCACGCTACTTGCTCGTCGCCGGCACATTCTTGCATGTCTTGGGCTTGATGATGACCAGCATCTCCAAGACGTATTATCAGATCTTGTTGAGCCAAGCAGTCTGCTCTGCCATCGGCGCCTCGCTCGTCTTCAGTCCTGCGTTTTCAAGTGTATGCCCCAGCTTGTCCCAACGCTTGCAAACTTCAGTCTGCTGAGATCCTCTGTTTTTCTCTTAGGTCTCGACTTGGTTCCTCAAGAAGCGCGGCGCTGCACTTGGCATCGTTGCTGCCGGCTCATCCATCGGCGGGCTCGTCTTCCCAGCCCTCATCATCAACCTGCTCCCTCGAGTCGGCTTTGGCTGGACCCTTCGCTGCTGCGCATTCATGATCCTAGCGCTCTTGCTGTTTGCAAACTTTGCTCTCACAAGCCGCATCAGGCCTCAGAAACGTCCATTGGAGTTTATGGCATTTGTTCGGCCACTACGAGAGCCGGCCTTTGCCTTGTGGACTATTGCAGTCTTCTTCTTCTACTGTACGCTCAGGTAAAACGACCCTCCACATCGTACACGATGCTGATATTTCTTCCAGGGGGAATGTTCGTTCCTTTCACGTTTATTGTCGCCCACGCAACGGCCCACGGCATGTCGCCTCATCTCGCGCAATACCTCGTTATGATCCTGAACGCTACGAGGTAAGAATGCCAGACTCCCCCCTTGTGACAGCAATCACCTGACATCTACGCTTCCAGCCTTTTCGGGCGCACCGTGCCTAATGCCATGGCCGACAAAGTCGGACCCTTCAACGTAATGATCGTCATGGGGGCGTTGACGTCGATCCTGATCCTCGGCCTATGGCTCCCCTCGACCGGCGAAGCACCCATCATCCTGTTCGCAGTGCTATTTGGCATATCATCAGGCGCTGGCATCAGTCTCACGCCTGCTCTTTGTGCCAGGCTCTCGCCCATCCGAGACATCGGTGTCCGCACCGGTACAGTCTTTACAATTTCGGCGTTTGCCGGGCTGACCGGATCTCCCATTAGCGGTGCCATCATTTCAAGGAGCGGCGGGTCCTTCACCAATGCCATCGCCTTTGGTGGCACATCTTGTGCAATCGGGACGATGTTTTTTGTAGCTACCAGAGTTGCCTTTGCTGGCTGGAAGCCGGCTAAAATCTGATATTACTAGCAAGAGAAATAGCGGTTTCGTACTCAGGTATAATATAATATCTATCTGTGGATTCACTGTCTCACTTATCTTGTGGTTCTGTTCAAGACAATTCTATCGGCACACGAGATGGTGTATTGCTGTGAATTCGAAGTCTCTAATGTAGCTTTCTCTATGAGCAAAGCACCCATCATGAATCAAGGCTTGCTTTCTGCTTTTGGCCCGCTTGTGATAGCTCGACTATAAAGTGGCGTTTTCGTCCCCTCGTCGACTCCTGTCCATCGTTGTCCTCTAATCCTTTTCTTGGCTAATACCAACAAGCCTTCGATGACCACGGCAGCATCCGTAACAGTGAAACTTTGTTTCTCTACTCTTCTATCTTTTTCCTTCTCTTGTTGACAATATTATAGGAATCTGTAGGCTGTGGGTTTCCCAGATGATTTGCGGTAAGATACGTTGGAGCTGGAATTTTTCTGTAGTGCTCGCCAGTTGCGTACCCTTGAACTCTTGTCTGTTCAAAACGCACGGTGGTATAATAGTTTGTCATCAGGTTCATTCTTGTCTTTGTATTACACTATCTACGAGCGGCGGCTGCAGCCTGCTGGTCGGCGGCCAACAGCTTTTGGATGGCGGGCCTATTGACAACGCGATCCCACCAAGCTGCCACGGATTTCCGACTCTGGATGACGTCTGCATATCCGCACGCCAGAAGCCTTTGGATCATAGGAATATAGTAGATGTCCACAAGAGTGAAGTCCTTTCCAGCCATGTATTCTCTGTGTTGCAAGACACGCTCTGCCACGTCGAAAAACGCCTCGACCGACTTCAAGGCACCCGAGACGACGGCCTCATCGGCAGGAAGCCCCATGAACTTCTTGACGAACTTCTCGAAGGCGATTTTACCAGCAGGGTCGGCAAAGTAGAGCATTTCCTCCGACTGGGCCTGGTCAAACAGCGCCGAAGCATCGGCGTCGGAGTCCGAGGGCAGAAGGGGGAACGAGTACTTCTTGGCGAGATATTTGCAGATTGCACGACTCTCGTAAAGAGTGAAGCCATCGGGGAAAGTGACGGCGGGGACCTTTCCCCACGGGTGACGCTTCATGTTTTCTTCGGACTGGGGGGGGGCGCAGCGGCGTCAGTGATAGTTCATTATGCCGCAGGAAAATTGTCACCCACCTTTTGTTCGCCTTTTTGCAGATTGAGGAGCACGAGCTCATAATCCGTGAAGCCACCTTCGGCGAGAGTCAGGCGGACACGGTCCGTGTTGGTCGAACCGCGAGCGCCATAGAGAGTGAACGCTGGCGACATTTTGGAACGGTGCAGTAGATTGGACACGAGTCTCGGGCTGTTGGTGATGAGCTTCGACATGAGCTTTGGAGCTTTGGAGTTTTTTACTTTAGAGGGGTTGAGAACACCCAGTCGGCATTTTAAAGGATGACTGCGCCGCGAGCCAGGCCTCGGAACGGAGGGGTGACAGGCACAAGCATACCGATGAGCCCCGGCGCTCTCGACAGCACGTATGGTTGGCTGGTTCGCTCCCGCTGCCTAAACAAGCTAGCGCTGATGGGTGCCCCGCCGTCGGCCGGTGGATTCCGCGTAAGAGCCGTGCCGCGCGCTAGTCCTGCAGAGCCCCCCGCGCTAGCCGTCAAATCGAACGCTGACTAGCGTACTATGTAAGGGGTCGGTAAGAGTACGTCCTTACACAGCCACCACACTCAGATCCATACCTGGGTATCCAAGAGATGTACATAGCCTTACCACACTCGCACCACCACCATCCCGTTGGTCGGCTTCCGGCCCCTCATCCCGGCTAGATGTCTTTGCGGTGCGTGGTATCGGGCTCGGCATACAACTCGCCGGTAACCGAACTGGCAATCGATTCAGTTCACAATCGACTTCGAAGGGCAACAATGAATGCCGCCGCGAAATATAGAGTAATGGCCGTACTGTCGAGGTCAAAGGCCCGCACAGCGGATGAATGGCTTTAGCAACGTGCTGCGCTTCAATTTGACGGGACAAACAAAATCAGCACGACCGACATCTACACTGCTCCCTTTCTCATCTCGATTCCAACCACGCCTTGATTTAACCTTGACCCTGCCTCTAACCATGACAATGGCCACCTCCGATATATTGCGGTTCATCAGCGTTCTCACATCCGCCATCCACACAGGTAATCAAGCCCCTGTCTTCCCCTCATTCTCGTCCGTTTGCTTGTTGAATTTGTTCAGGACAACAGGCTAACTTATGCTTGTCTCCCACTTAGGCAGCCAACTCAGTCTCTCATTCGTCTCTGGGGCGGCCCTCCTGGCTTCTCCGAATGCCGACGAGGCAACCCTTCTCACGCAGTTCAGGGTCACTTTCCGTCGGGGCTTCGTTTTATGTCCCCCGTTCGCCGCCGTCGCCACCCTGGCCAACCTTGTCAATGCCTTCATCAGCTGGCAGTCTAATGATAATGGCGGTACCGGCATGGCGCTTCGCTTCTTGCTGGCTGGGCTGTGTACGGCAAGTCTCGTCCCTTTCACACTACTGTTCGTAGTTCGCAGTGAAGGTCTCCTGTTGGAGAAGGCGGCCGAGAGACCAGGAGAGGAGAAGGCGAAAACGCCATCGTCTGCTGCGCGGACGAGAGATTTGATCAGAGAGTGGGCTCGGCTCAATTACATGAGAACCTTCTTCCCGCTGATTGGGGCACTCGTCTCTTACAGTGCTCGGTAGGGTGCAACAAAAGAGGGTTTGTCATCGACAACACCCTCGGTCAAGTCTCTGGAGGAACCCGTATCACTTCGAGTGTCAATGAGTCCCGAAAAGACTCAAAGCATTTCCGCCCATTTCCACTCTTGTTGCAATCAGTTCATAACGAAACATCATTTGCATATTTACCTCTCACTAGGTATCGCTACTAGCACTGTATGGGTAGGAATGTAGTTATTTTTATTACAGTCAAACTCTGTAGACAATCGAGGTACATCTAAAATTGTTGGATCCTGTAGGGAGACTGTAGCTTATCGGCTCTGCCTTGCATTGGCGTTTGCACAGTAATATCGGCACTCATAAGGCTAAGCTTTATCTAGTGTAGACCAGGGCTGAATTGTGGTGCATATCGGTCTAAAAAATTGAAATAAAGTATAGTCTATCTCGTGTGCACGTCAAGGGTTGATGGACCCCAATTCCGGCATGGCTCAGGACTCGAAATCCTGCTTACTCTGAAAAGATAATTTCCCGAGTAATTGGCTATGTCAAAGGTTCTTGGCAGTAGATTCAATCAACCTACCCTGCCCTTGGGCCTTGTCAAAAATAAGATTCATTGACACTCGATGTGCTTTGTATCTTTACTTTCATTTGCATTGGAGTATATATATGTCGTTACTAAAGTCGATGTACTGTGATTGCAGTGGCTTAGGCAGAATAGAGCGAATGAACCACGCTGAAGTAAAGTTTCGCTACGGTCAGCCACTTCCATTTGCTTTACCCACTTCCTCCCATCCCTCTCCATTAGTTCACCAAACCTAAACCTAGCAGTAGCTCGTTCTCAGTCGCCTTGAGCAGCGCCGCCACCGACTCCTTATCGAAATACGCCTCGTTGTACACACACTGCAGTCTCATGGCGCCCTGCAACGTCCACAGATGCAACAAGATGTCCGGTGAGTACAATGTAATGCCCACCCAGGCATCCTCCACCTTTACCTCTGTCTTACTTCCCGTAGCGCCTTGGTACGACGGTTTGATGTATGAGTCCATGATACCAAAGCTGGACAGCCCTAGCGAGCTAGGCGCCTCCGCGCCTGGCGGCGGCGAAGTCATGATCGCCACCATTTCGTTACCCCAGAAGCTTGGCAGGGTGCGCAGCAGACCGGTCTGGTCCGGGTCGCGATACTTCTGCTTGGCAAGCTGGGCCGTCTCCACGAAATCGTCGGTCAGGGTGAAGACGGCGGGGACGGGGACGGCCAGCGCACCGACGAGGGCGGTTGCAGGATATTTGGACTTGTCGACCCATTTGCGAACGTCATGGATGGTGACGGCGCTTTGGATCGTCGCAGTTGAATTGACTTGTTTGCGCAGAGCGGTGGAGACGGCCGCTTGCACTGCCGCGGTGACGGTCAAGCCTAGCTCTTTGCATCTTGCTACGATGCGTTTGCTTTCCTCGACACTGAATGGAGCGTAGAGGATTTTTGGGTCTCCACATGGCTGTTTTGTGTCGCGGTTGTGTTGAAGCTTCACACCCGCGAAGCCGGCCATCCAGCTTCCCAACATGGACTTGAAGGTGCTTTTGTTTGCGTCCGTCACGGCAGAAATGTCGGCAAGGAAATTGAGCGGAGGAACCAAGTGCTGGGCCTCATTACCGCCGAATGTAGGGCCCTCACGGGTGGAAGCGGCGTCGGCCAAGGCTTGGATGAGGTTGCTCATGGCAGTATAGGCACCGATTCCGTCGAGATGAGTGTGAGGGGCCAAAAGGTAGAGCTCTTGTGTCTGCAGCAGGACGTGGAGGACAGCACGTCCGGTGAAGTTTCTGATGGGGAACATGTCGCGGGACGTGCTGGGAGTGTCGTGGAAGTGCAGAGTTTCTTCAAGCCAGGACTCGAGCTCCTGCTCGTCAGCAACGGTGTAAATCCAGCGATTGTCTCGAACGACAGCCGACAAGCAAGGATTAATGCCGCGCAAGTTTTTCCACGCGGTCGGAATGACTTTCCTCAGGTCGAGTCCAGTCGTCTTGATCTTGGCCATGACCGAGATATGCCAGTGTTGGCCATCAGTTGCACCCACTCCTCCCTCCCCGGCGAGGCCGAAGAACCTTTCCATGTCGTCTAGCGACCGCTCATAGGTTCTTGACGATGCCTTCGCCCACTGCAGCTCACTATGCTCGGCTGCTACGGCCATGATGTTGCAGTAGTTTCGTTGTTGTCGGCGAGTTTCGGTTTGTGTGTCTTTGAATATCGAACAGTGAGACAAGCATGTTTCAACAACAGGGGCAGCATCATGATAGAGCCTGGTCAACTGCTTAAATGCTCCGAGTTGTTTATTGCGATCGGTTGTTTGGTATGGTCGAAGAGCCTATTCTGTATGCTAGGCTCAACCCCGGAGTCCGAGCGGGTCATTATGTCGCAAACCGACAGCCACCGGATCCACTGCTAAGACTGGGCGCTAGGCACACCTTTCTCTGGGAAGGATTAAACGTTGCACAGGGCTGAGAATCTGGCCGTTGAAGAGGAATGCAGTATTGGCCAGCTGAATACCTACATAGATGGATCAAATGTTTCTCGAGCAGTGGCTTGCGGTGCAGAAGGCGCCCCTCCCTCACGTCGCCCCTCGTACTGCATACCTCTCTCAGTTTGGGGCGCTCGAGAATGCCATCCCATGACTCTACTTCAAGGGCCTCAGCTGGTGATTTTGAATTGGCAGTGCAAATGCAAGCTGGCATTGTGGCTTTCTTATATGAGTGATAAGAGCTGTTTTTTTGGTATCTCTTGGTAGTCCTGAGTGTATGTTATGTGTTCGGTTGTAGGCTGAAAAAAAGACTCGCATGATTAGTTAAGGGGGTGGCAAAAACAACGTGGACGCTCTGGTAGCCGCCCTTGCAAAAACGGGGGTTTACTCCAAGTACATTCAAGTGCCTATTTCACGGTTTTGCCCCGCAGACCATCATCGCTTCTTAATAACAGTGACTTTTTCCCCTCTGCTTCAATATGTGCCTATCTATTCGCCACCTGCGTGTACGTGCGGGCTAGTGCTCCCTAGAGCATCAATCCGGGTTTCCCCGGCGGGGGTGAGGTGAGACAACCAGCCCCCTCCCCAGCCCTATATGTTGTACCATGTCAACCATTCCAAAAGCTACAAAACCTAACGCAGCCAGTAATAACCCGAGGTGATGGTCGTGCACGACAAACAGATACCCTTACCAATGCTAAGGTTCTCGCTTCACCAACTGCAATAACCCAGCATCTGCAAAATAAGCAGCTTTGCTACAGTGGTACATTAGTGCCAACCCGTCAACTATCGGCCTAAAGTCAGGCCGAGTCAATTACATGCCGGACAACCAGCGCAAGTAAACACCAGTCATCCCATCGAGTGCCAGATGACCCCCATTTTGCCAAGACCTGAGATACACATTTTGACTCCAAAAACGCCTTATTTATAGGCATTCAATTGGACAAATACGCCTAGGGAATTTTGAGCATTGAATCTGATTGACTTCACCCCGCCCTTAGCAAAAATGGAGTCATTTGGCACTCGATGGGATACCACTACAAACCTGTTATTTACGCTGCATAACTAAGAGCAAGGCCTCAAAGACCTTGATATGTAATAATAATGAAGGCTATGCAAAGGTTGTGTTAGCTAAAACAGTGAGCCGTCTTTTCTCTAATGACAGAATCCTGCCAAATGTTTTGAGCAAAACAATAAGTTTAGAGTAAGTGATTCTGTGTGCCTGTGCCTGTGAAGTACAGGGGGTAGAAAGGAAGGTCCTTTTGTTCACTTCCCAGCTGTCTGGATCACTGACGAGATGACTTCGGTTCGGGCGAATACAACAGCGTACCGTGTGCGGCAGGGTGGCTGCTGACTGGCTTTGGCCGCAGTCTCTAGCTGCAGGCTCCTTGGGCGTATCTCCGCCCTCATGCATGTCAGCCGCACGATCTGGTGGCGGGCAGTACGCCCAAGCCGTTACATCCTGTAGCTGCCTGGATCTCCAACCCGAGAGGTTCGGGCGGACGCTGCCGTTTGATGCAGGGTCGTCTTAGCGATAGGCGGGCAGTCACTGGTATGTAAGTTCTGAAGGAGATAAAGAAGGATCACCTGCATCGATAGTGCTGCCTTATCTATGTATGTATCCTTGTAACATCACTTGAAGTAGTTAGTACTTTGCTACTGTACTGGGGCTGAATAAGCCTTTCTTCCGGTCCAGAAACCTTACTGAGATGCATGTAGAATCCTTCCCAAATTAATCCACATAGTTTAACATCCACAAGGATTTGAAAGGCCATCTTTTAGTGATCCCCATGAAGAATCCTTCCCCAATCATACTAGCCTATCAGATACCTGGTTTTACCTAAAAATCCATGTATTCGAGAGGTACAGTGGCTCACATTGTCAGACCTCGACAGGGATACCAAATGCTGACCATCGCCTTCTCAGCCCGAAATGCCTCTTAGTAGCAAATTAGGGAATTTATCGTGAGCCAGTGGGGCCACAACTGAGACCTAGAACTGACAGTCGGAAGTGAGTAATCGTTTAGGATTCGGGCGGAAATAACTCAACCACCCTGCTTCCCACGCAACCCCGCATACCACGCAGCCCAACAACGCGTCACCATAAAACCTACTCCTCTTTTCTAACTATCACAACATCTTCTATTCTACCCCAAACAACGCCATTTTTTGAGGATATCTTTTTTACTATAAGATGAAGCAGTATAGTGAACATGAGCTGCAGCGGGCACTTTGGGATATTGCTGACGGGCTTAGTATCCGCGGGGCAGGTCGCAAATGGGGCATCCCAGAGGCGACTGTACGACAACGTCTCCATGGTACCCAGTCTAGAAATACTGCCTTTGGTAGACTGCAGCGGTTATCTCAGAACCAGGAAGGTCTACTTGCTGAGTGGATATCTAAGCAGGCTGCCCTAGGCTCTGCGTTTTGCCATCAGCAAGTCAAAGGGCTGGCTGAGCGCATGCTGGGCGATGGGCAGCGACCACTTGGGAGGAAGTGGATGCAGCGATTTCTTCGCAGAAACCCATCTATCAGAACCCAGCGATGCAGGGCAATTGACGCTAGGCGAATTAATGGGGCAACTGCTGACATTATCCAGGAATGGTTTCATCGCCTTGATCTGCCAGCAATCCTGCCCATCAAGCCAGCTAATAGATGGAACATGGATGAGACTGGTATCCTCGAGGGCAAAGGAAGCAATGGGCTAGTACTAGGATCGTCAGAGACCAAGTATATCCAGAAAAAACAGCCTGGATCGCGGGCATGGGTATCTCTGATCGAGTGCGTCTCTGCCAGAGGACGCGCACTTCCGCCTCTTGTTATGTATAAGGGCAAGTCAGTCCAGCAACAGTGGTTTCCTCTAGATCTTCAACCCTATGCTAGCTGGAAATTCACAGCAACAGAGAACGGCTGGACAACTGATCAGAATGCCCTAGAATGGCTAGAAAAGGTCTTTATCCCTCAGACTGTCCCAGAGGACCCTTCAGATACTAGACTACTAGTTCTAGACGCCCATCATAGCCATACAACAACAGACTTTCTGTGGCGATGCTTCCGGAACCACATACACCTCCTGTTTCTGCCGCCGCACACATCACACGTCCTCCAGCCTCTAGATCAGTCAGTATTCCGACCTCTTAAGGCAGCCTATAGGAAGTATCTAGGGTACCTAGATATACAAAGCGATTCAACTGTAACAGGCAAGAGGAACTTTATAGACTGTTATAGAAGGGCACGTCTAGACGCCTTGACTATCCAGGTTATTAAAAGCGGCTGGAAACACACTGGGTTATGGCCAGTTGATGTAGCGCAACCTCTATCTAGCCCTTTCGTGTCTAAGGCATCAGCCAGCCAGCCAGCCAGACAGCTAGACGGCCAGACAGCTGGGCAGTCAGGAAGTCAGCAGTGGGATGGAGCTGTATCTATAGTCCCATGGTCAACCCCGCGTAAGTCTGCTGATCTTCAGCGTCAGCTGCACCTATTCAACCAGCTTACGCAAGATACCCGAGAAATCTACACCCAACGCCACCTATTTAGAAAGGTCCAAAAAGGCTGGGACCAACAGGCCTATAGACTGACAGTCCTAGAGCGTCAGGCCCAGGCATTCCAGGCCCAGACGGATAGTCAGCAACAAGGCAGGAGAAAAAGGGTCCAGACGGACCCTAACACGACGTTCGCTAATATCGAGGATATCCGACGGGCGCAAATTGCTGCTGGCGAAGCAGAGAGTAGCACAAGTGAATCCAGTGGATCTGAATTATCTAGTGAAGCAGAAAGTTGCATCTGGGTAGGTGGTAGGGATGAGGAATAATGGATGTTGTTGATGGGTATGGTGATATTGATGGGGGTTTGGGGCTGCGTGGTATGCGGGGTTGCGTGGGAAGCAGGGTGGTTGAGTTATACGGTAACACAAGGTGCAGTATATAATTTGTAGTCAATGTCCACGCTAAAGCTTTGAGTCCGTTCGAGTCTAAACCGCTAATAACCACATCTCCAGTATACTACTTTCACGTCCACACGATATCAACGCTCATGGCCAACCAAGAAACCAGCAACAGGACGATCACTGTTGCCGACGGCCGCCCAAAACACCCATGCAAGCTCCGCCAGACGTGCGATCCATGCAGCGAAGCCAAAGTCAAGTGTGACAAGGGGAACCCGCGATGCGGCCGGTGCGACAGGCTGTCGTATGACTGCGTCTATAGCCCGGCCAGACGCATCGGCAGGCCTCGCCCCCGTTCCCGGCGCTCTCCAGACCAAGACAGCTGGGGGTGCCCGGCACGCGATGCTCGCGATGCCCGCGACGGCGGTGCCTCCGCGTCAACCAACGAAACCGTCAACAAAGACTACACGGCACCAGGACCAGCACTACCGCTCTCGGCCCAGGCTCCGGCTCAGGCCACTCAGCAACAGACCTCAGCGGTGCGAGACTCAAATCTAATTTTTGACGAGTTCTTGCTGGATTGTCTCTCCGATGAGAGTCGCTGGAGCGGGCCTGCTAGTGTTAGCGTGAGTTCCAGTACCAGTGCCAGGATCAGCGACAGAGGCAGCAGCAGAATCAACGACGCCGCGCACTCCACCAGAACGAGCATGATGGACGGCCTCCTCGGCAGCAGCTTCGATAAACCCTTGTCATTAGGCATGGAAGAAATCCCGCACGATCCATACGAGTATGACTGCGCGGCTGTGGCTGTGGCAACGCTTGGGAAACTTGCCGCGGCGGGTCTCGATAGCCAGCAGTCTGCTACACCTCAGACCACTCAAGCAGCCGCGGCCGCCGACATCCTCGCTGACCAAATCCCTCATGCGTGCAGGCAGGCTGCTCGCATACTCGTGTGCCCTTGCTCGAGCGACATGGATACAGCTCTACTGGCTGCATCCCTGGCCGCTGCAATTCTTGACGTCGCCAACGCCGCCCTGCGCACCCTCAAGCCTGCGGGACATGCGCTCGACGAAGAACAACACACTGTCCTGGCACTCGGCACCATCCCTAACATTTCCCGGGTCGTCACTCTCTTCACTCATCGCTACAGCGTCACCCAAGTCGGCCGCCCTTCGGAGGCGCTACTGTTGCTCGCAGCCTCCTTAAGAACCACGCTCAAGAGCATGGCCGAGGAGACGACAAACCGTTTCCTTGACAGCGGCACGGCACGGTCCCCACGTCGAGAGACCAATTGATATGGTTATGTGTGTCCACCAAGTGAATGAACATCGGCACACAGATGGGAGTGTTGCAATATAGTGGCATGGGTTGCTTTCGCTACTATTTACTCAAATACGTATAACCTCTTTCCAGGAAACGAGCCGCGATTAGCATAAAACGTTCCTGAAGAGCCGCTGTTTGTAAGCAAGATAACACGCTTACAGCAGAGAGTTATTTTGAATAACAAGAACAATGAACCAAATTCCATTCAGCGTTGGTATTGTTGAAGCAAAGCAATTAGCAAGTGACACAAGGAATCTGGACAGCCATCGATCCTTCTGTATAGAGAACAGACTGGCTACTGTCAGAGGACTTTCTCATCAAGCGATTCAATCATGTTAATCCAATAGTTCTATTTCCAACTAATGATTGTCGCAATCAATGCATCTTCGGTGGTCCGTGATTGCCGTTAACAGCTTGGAGACAAAGCAGTAGTCCTTCTGATCAACCATTTGTCCTTTTGATTGCCTTTGGGTCCACTTAACATTCTGTGTCTTACCTCGCGGGAAACAAAAATCACAAGTCTATAACAAGGGGAAGAATTCAAATAGAAGCAGCTCGCAGGCATGAACCCTTTTCCACCTCAAGCATTCTGCTCCAACCAGGCCTTGAGGTCCGCGACTTTGATGCACTCCAGGAAGAGCGAGCTCTTGACCTCGACTGACAGTTCCCGCTTGAACTTTTCTGCCAACACCAGCGAAGTAAGAGAATCGACACCCAGCTCCACAAACGTTGCCTCGTCGGTCAGGTCAGCCAGATCGAGTCCTGTCTCTTTGGCAATGAGTTTTAGCGCGTCGCTCACGATGCCTTCTGCCGCCTCGCCCGCACTGCTGTCAACATTGCCCGCGGGGGCTGTCTCCGCTCCTTTCTTTTCTTCGTACTTTGCTGCTCCTTCAGCTTGCTCCACAACGGACGCCTTTGTCTGGATCGTGTGCTGAGACTTGACGGGTTTGGGCTTGGGTTTAGCCGTTGTCGCTTTAGGTTTGACAGGAGCGATGGCAGCATTTGTTGAAGATGCGGTGATTCTGGCGACGCTGCCCCCCGATGCCACATCCGGCGGCGAGAAGAACCTATCCATCAGGATGCGGTTGACACGGCGGAACCTCATGCCGCCCATCATGCCCACAACCGCCCCGTCCTGCAGAACATAGACGTCGCCCGAGAACATGTTGGCCTCGCTGGCCGGCTCCATGCGCACATAGCTCCGGTAGCTGCCGCCTGCAACGGCCGGTTTCGCCATGCGGCAGCTGCTCCAGCCGTTGGTGACGTAAAAATAGTCCTTGGTGTTGGAGGCTTCACTGCCGTTCATGACGAATCCGCCGACGTGGAAGAGGCTGTCGATCCAGTGTGGGGGCGTATGCCAAGTACCGTGCCTCTCGGGTGCTAATATCACGTCTGCATAGGCCTCGAGTCCGTGGATGACAACAGAATGCATACCACGGTATTTTTCCGAGTAAGTCACCACGTTCTCGAACAGTGTGTATGCCAGGCCGCGTCCTACTCGGCTGGCGGAGCCACCTGGGACCAGGGCCGTCAGTGCTTCGACGCGGCTGTCGACGAGCCATGACATCCTGCTGAACTCGGCCGCCCACTCGTCGGGGTCTTCGTAACTGACAGTCGCTGTTGCATACGGCTCTTGAGATCGGTTACCAGCGTCGTCCAAATTGTACCATCTCACAGCCGTAACCAGGTCCTCGAGGTCCATTTCGGCTTCAACTTGTAGAAGCTGCGCACCCTCTCGATTCGACATTACGACTTGGGCGTGCTCTACTACCATATCGGAAACGTTCATTGGCACCGTCCCAGTCGCTGCTGGTACCATGCGCTTATATAGGTATTCACCGACGGTCAGGGCCATATCAGCCCAAATTGACTGCAATTAAGAGTATGTTAGCATGAGAAATCTGCCGCGTGGCGGATCGCCGTCGACTTACCGAAGTCGCCACACCATGGCCGTTCATATGATGGCCGTCTAAAGCGCTCAGAAGTTCTGGATGCATCATATCCGAGATGACTACAATCTTGCCTGTGTTTTCGGTGATTTCCTCTGATACAATCTGCTGCATGGAGGACGTCCGCAAGGCAGAACCGCTTTGTGAAATTGACTTCTTGTTCGGGTTGCCATTCGGATAAGCCTTATCGAGAGTCCAGGTTCCTTCATATTGGATCCAGTAGTTCTTATCATTCCACTTGTAAGCATCAAGCGGTAAGAGGGCGTGGCACCTTTCGTACGGACGGTGGTACTCGTTCCAATTGACAGCAACACCAACACGGTGGAGTGATGCCAGAGTTTTTGACAAGGTCGCGAAGTTATCCTCATCCCGACGGAGCGATGAGGCCACCTGCGCGCCTGCAATGTAGCTTCGAACGAGCGAGGTGCACACAGGGTGAGGCCCAACTTCGATCCACATAGTCTTTTCGTCGATGATACCGAGCTCCTGGGCAGCCTCAAGAGCACCGACGAAATTGACTGGTTCTCGAGCCGCCCTGCTCAGGTACTTCTCGTTGATGGTCTTGCCATCAAATACACAAGTGCTGAGAAGTGGCGAGAGGACGGGAATCCTTGGGGTTTTGTATGTGACGTGCTTCGCCAATTGCTCAAACGGCCCCAGCATGGGATCCATCTGACTGGTGTGAAAGGCGAAGGGGACGTCGAGGAGCGTGCACTTGACACCTTCGCTCTCCAGAGACTTTCGCGTAACCTCGATGTCTTCTCGAGAGCCGCCCAAGACGGTGTCGTCAGTGCCATTCATGCATGACACCTGGTACTTTCCATCGGTAGCAATGCTCTTGATTTTGTCTACGCTTGCGCGTACCGCCAGCATAACGTGACTGCCCTCTTCACATTTGGAGACGACAAGATCTGCGCGTTTCCCCACAAGGAGGATGGCATCAGCTGCCGATATCACACCGGCCACGACCAAAGCCGCATATTCGCCAAGACTGTGGCCAATCACAGCGCTAGGTTTGACTCCAAGGAGCGACCAGAACTCAGCGAGGGCAATTTGGGTGACGACGATGGTAAGGGCCGTTGTAAGGGGAGAGACGCTCTCATCCACGGTGCTGCCTTCAATGAGTGGAATGATCGAGGGGAAGCCAAATATTTGCACGAGATGATCGAGGTATTCAATTTGTTGGCGATAGTACGGGAATGACTTGAACAATACCGCGCCGGTTTCCAAATAGAATGAACCTTGGCCGGTAAAGGCAAACGTGACCGCAGGTGCGATTGCTGGCACAGGGCGGACTTCTCGAATGGTAGGCAGGGCTGATGCTAGAGCATTTCGCAATTGAGAAACGCTGGACGCTGAGACTGCGATTCTCGAGCTGTGGTGCATTCGCCGAGCAGTCGTTGTGTACGACAGGTCGCCTAGATCGGTGTCTGGATACTTGTCAAGATATTCGACAAGGGCCGTCAGGTTGGCTTCGAGAGAAATCTTGCCTTTGGCAGAGACTACCACCGGATGGCTTGATCTGGGGTCTGAGCCGCAGAGTCTCGTTTCCGGGGCGTCCCCAAGCATTAGCGTCGTATTACCCCCGTGGGCTCCGAAACTGTTTACAACAGCATATCGAGTCTTTCCGGCTTGCTTTGGCCACTGTCGAAGATCCATGACAAGGCCAGCCTGTCGCTTCGCCAGGTCCAGCGGAATGATGGGGTTGATCGCCGTCTTAATCCCAACATGTGGCGGGATCTGCTCATTTTGGAGGACCAGCAGCACCTTGATCAGAGAGGCAATGCCTGCAGCGGCCTCCCCATGCCCGATGTTGGACTTCACAGCTCCCAAATGGAGAGGCTGGTCGGCGCGGCGCCGTGGCGAGAGGGGGGCAAAGAAGTCGCAAACCGACTCGGACTCAACAGCGTCACCAACTTGTGTTCCGGTGCCGTGAAGTTCGACATAGCCCACGTCAAGAGGATTGATACCCGCAGCTTGGGCGACCTGGGCGTAGTTGCTCTTCTGGGCCCCGGCGTGGGGCTGAGTGATGGAGGCGGCATATGCAGAGTGGTTTGTTGCACCAGCGAGGACGGTGGCGAGGATTTTGTCGTTGTCCGCAACTGCGTCTTCCAGGCGCTTGATTACAACGGAGCCAATGCCATCGGCTCGGCAGTATCCATCGGCTCCCTCGTCCCAAACCTTGCACTGGCCAGTCTTCGACAGAAAGTGACCATTACCGAGCATGGCATAGTTGTCGGGGTTCGTGATGACACTGAGACCGCCTGCGATGACGGTATCGGCTTCGCCAGCCCACAGCGCGGAGCATGCGGCGTTGACAGCAGCCAGGCCGCTGGAGCATGCGGTGTCGATATTGAAGCTTGGACCGCCGAACTTGAAGAAGTAGTTGATGCGTCCGTTGGCAAAGGCTCGCTCTCCTCCTGGCACTGCGTGTGTCCCGATGTTTTGCGCTGCATTGAGCTCGCGCCAGTCGTCGCTTGCCTGGCCGTAGTATGTGCCAACGCGTTCTAGAACCGTGGATGGCGTCCTATTGGGTACATAGCCGGACATTTCGAGCGCTTCGTAGGCGGTGACGAGGGCCAGTCGATGCATAGGGTCTGTTTGCTCTGCCTGTAACCGATTAGTCAGCAAAAGGAAAACTAAAACGAAACTTTGCGAGACTGCCTCCGCTCGATCATTGAACTTACCTCTCTTGGGGACATATTGAAGAAGGCGGCGTCGAACATGCCCGGTTGGTCAATGAAGTTCCCCCAAGGTGTAGGCGTCGAATTGGGGACTTGGCCAGACGGATCGAAATGGGCTTCTAGATCAAACCTATCGGCCGGGACTTTGGTGTGCGTATCTCTTCCTTCTTTCAAGAGGTCCCAGAAAAGCTTGCAGTCGTTGGCGCCTCCGGGAAGTCTGCAAGACATTCCGACGATGGCGAGAGCAGACTGGGCAGCTGTTCGCGGTGCACTAGGCGCGATGTTGTCAAAAGACCAATCGATAAAGTCAACATTCTTCATCGTTAGCTGGCCAAGACCCTCAGTCACGGCGGCCAATATGCTCTTGGAGACGAGAGATGGACGAAATAGAAACGCTTCACACTCTGCCGATCCACAATCCGAGACCGAGTCCAGTATTCCGCCGCTCAGATTGTCAAGGAAAATGCCACCCGTCAGAATGTCGGCGGTGATGTCTTCGAATAGCTCGCCGGCGTTGCGAGCGGGGTATGCTTTGCCCGTCTGTGGCGAGAGCAACGGCAGCCGGATGCGAAGAGAGTGGGTGCACCTGGTTGCAGACCCGTGAACGATGGACCGGACGTCTTCAGCCGTGTAGAGATGCGGAGCGTGGCACAATCCATTGTAGACAGGCATCGGGAGGTGCTTCGAGTAGCGCAGAGCTTTTGAGTGCCGGAATGCATTTTTCAAGCGAGATGGCGGACCTGTGACGCTGACAGAGGTCTTGTCAGACGCACTGATGAAGACCTTTGTCGGTGTAGGGTTGAACTGAACATTTTGATATTAGTTGCGGGATGTCTGCACTTGTAAAGAGCTGATATTCACCGATTCTCTGTTGTAGCGGTCGAGCTCCTCCTGCACCATTTCGACGGATAGACCCGTCAGCACATAAGCCCAGCTGCCATAGGTTCCGTCATGATCGCGCGGCTCGAGTTTTCCAGACACGCCGTCAACATGGATGCCCAGCCTGAAGGCAACTCTCACGCTTTCCACTCCGTTGATGGCGACTTCGGCCAAGGACTCGGAGACAGAGATAGCAGCAGCAGCAAATAACCCAATACTGAGGCCAGAGAGGGTCGTTCTAGCACTAGGGAGGTCTAGATGCAGATTCTCGGCTTCATGGTGACTACAGAGCACATCAGTACACAGTCCATTCTTGACAATCGAACGGGAAGGTCTGACCCAATGAACATGCCAATTTCCAGGACGCAGAGAAGTGCACTTTCCAACGCTCCGCCTACGGGACCTTGTCTAAAGTCGGGGTCGTCGGCGAGAGAAAGGACCGACTTGAAGGGAGGGACGAGCTTCTTCAAGTGCAACGGCAACGCTGCGACTTCGTCGCGGACTACATCACCACAAGCGTCCAGGAAAGTGGCGAGGAGTCGAAACCTCTGGCCTTTGCTATGGGTGTGGAGACGGCGAAACAAATCTCGCAGGTCATCGTTGGGAAATTCGTTGCTGAAAAACAAAAGTCGCGACGTGAAGTCGCTGAGACCTTCTGTTGAGGGCGTGGCGGTCATAGCTGTTGCTTGTCGGAAGAAAAGCGGTTGTTGAAACGATAACAATGGATGATGGTATGCAAATTAGGCGGGAGGAAACCGGGGTTTATCTCCCTTCTAAATCCTGAATCAAATAGCTGTCCTTAATCGGGATAAAAACGCAAGACACCGAGCCAGAAAGCATCGGCATCGGTGTGATAATGCTACGTTACTCGGTCCGGCCAGCACGGGAACCGACGGGAGGTAAAGCACGAAAGCCGCAGCAGAGCCCCCTCAGTTCCAAATGGACGAGGACGGGCTCAAGGGTCTTTGCTGTCCGGTAAGCAGGGAGTCACCATACAAAGTGCTGTTTTTGCGTTATCGCTGGTTCGGTCTTGCCATGCCGCCAACAGCATGGAGTGACAGACACGTATTGTCCAGACTCCATGGTTTTCCCAAAGTAGATTCACTAGATTTGATTGCAACGATACTCCATATTCGCACAAAATGATATCCCCTGTATTCGATTATGATGCGTGTTCATAGTCTAGCCTACTAACTTGCGTTGAAGTCCACCTTTCCGCTACAATGAAAGCTTTGCGCATGATATGCAACTACATACTCCTAGACATACAAAAGCCCAATCCCATACCCTACGCAGCCATATTACATGCTTTGTTGACGAACCATCGCTGCGTGCCGCCCTGTACAATGAAGCCCACCTTGCGGGTATCTGCCAGCATCCGCAAAATTTCCGTTGTAAACGGCTCAATTGCACTCTGGAGCAGGTGCCGTGGAACATCTCCGTAAATTTTACTGATAATCTCTCTCGTCGACAAGCCGGACTTGCTGTACGTGTTTCGTCCTTCATTCGACATAGTACTGTCGAGCAATGCCCCGTAGATCATCTTCTCACGCGCTCTCTTGTGCCGGATGTACTGGTTGAGCTTGGCCGGCAGCTTTTCGATTTTGACTCCGTGAGCCGGGTATCCGATGATGCAGCCTTGATCGGCCATACGGTCGAGACTCTGAAGGTACAGCGCAAGATCCTCAACGACGGAAAACCCGTGTCCAAGAACGTTGTCACCAGTGAACAGAGCGTTCTCCTCTTCGAGCAAGAAGCACATATGGTCAACGGCGTGACCTGGTGTGAAGAGAGCCTTGATAGTGGCGCCCTCGACGGCAAATATTTGACCGTCCTCAATGGCATGCTGGCCTGGGTCAGGATTGCACTTGTAAATGCAGTCTGCAAGGGTGGCATCATATGCAACGAGGTCGGGTACCCCGCCTGTGTGGTCGCCGTGCCAGTGCGTGAGCAGAACGTGAGAAATGTGGAGATCTCTTTCTTTCAAGATTTCGATCAGTCGTTCAGCCCATATTGGAACTCCCTACATGAATCGCGTCAGTACTGCTTGCCCCGTTTCACGGAAACACTCTGCCCGCCGCCTTCTTTACATACCTCGCCGGTGTCAATGAGAATTCTGGCCTTGCCGGTGCCGACGAGGAAGGTGTTGGTTCCCTGGAGCTGCATCTCTCCGGGGTTTCCTCCCATCACCCTGATGACTCGGTCCGTTACATCTTCTACATCGTCGAGGTGGGGCAATTGGCTTGCCTGAGCTGTGAGGTAGTCCTTCCAGAATTCGCGGTCAATCTTGACGTTTGCCAAAGTTGCCATGGTGTATTAATCAAGATAAGGTCTTTGGATCAACAATCAACTTATTTTGAATACAGTAGCATCAAAGTTTCAAGTGTAGTATGGCCAAACGATGGTGCCAAATCCTTGACCCTTCTCAATGAAGAAGAGTTCAGACAGAGGCACTTCCGCCCTCGCTGACGGATAACAGCAGGCAAGAACGGTGAGTTCGGTGGTCGTCGGACACCGAGCTCAGCCACGTTGGTCAAAACCCGGGCTTGCCAAGACCCTGTTCCAGCTTGCCATAATTCATGTTATTCAGGAGCCACATAGACATTTTAAGCTTCGCACTGATGGAGACTTGAGTTTTAAAAGCTTGTGCGAAGATTTTCGAGCCTGTGCCAGGTTCTGTCCGGGTAGAGGTACTGTATTTATGCAGAAATGCAGCATTGCGTCTATATTCATAGAAAAGACCCTTGCGTCGCCACCTGCTCTTACGTAAGTAGTCAGCATGGGTTTCGTATTGACGGGAAATAGAGATCAATGCATTGGTCTCTATTGCTTTTCAATACATGATCATAAACTGGTTCCTCCATCGTTAGGGTTCGAAAGCACGGCTTGGCTGTAAAAATATGTCAGTTTCGATAAATACCTCCGGTTTCTAAATAAGGCTCCTTGTAATTCCCAGAAAATCTCAAGTAGCCGAGCATTATCAAGAACGTGAGCGCAATCCATCACTTCACTCAATAGCAGGATCCAGGGCCATCACAGGTCCTAATTTAAGACAATATGCTCAAGCATTGCTGTAAACATGAACACTAAATAATTTCATGTCAAGGCATATACGAAAGATAATAATGCAATGCGATTCCATGGTACTTTGTAATTTTGTAAGATTCCATATTCTGTCTGTTCTGCGCTACTAGATCCATGGACCAAGACAACACAAGATTGTCGACGTGCCTAATTGCATCGTACAAATAGAGTACGAAACCACGCAGCCGAGTTCGTCCACTCAGATGCGCTCGGCAACAATAATCGAATTCTTCATGACCGATGCGTACGTCCTGATGTCGACGAGCTTAAGGCCGGCCTTACCCAGTAGATCATGCCACTGGTCGACAGTCCTCTCCAATGCGTTGAGCATGGTGTACATGTGCAAGTCCAAGCACGCTGACCACCAGTGCACATCCTTGTTTGGCAGCGCCATCTCGTCAATCAACAGCTGTGAGTCAGCGCTCATGGCAGCGGCCGTATTCTTCAGGATCTTAATCGAGTTCTCCTCGTCCCAGTCGTGAAGAACAGTGCGCATGTAGTAGAACCTGGCGCCTACAAACATGGTAAGCTCTTATCTCGAAGATTGATACATGAAATTATTGGGCCTACCTTGAATAGGCTGGGGCGTGAAGAAGTCGTAAGCCATAAACTCGACGCCCGGGGCAGGAACGGCCACATTGACGGTCTCGGGCAGGTCCTGGACGATGACCCTTCCAGGAAGCGTGGGATACTTTGACCTCAGGCGCTTGCTCTGGTGACCGATGCTGCCCCAATGTCCACGAAGAGTGCGCGGTCGGGGCTGACGTCGGCGGCCTCTTCGGCAAACGGAACAACGTCGAACCATTCACCGTCGCGCGGCACACTCATGAGCTTCTGGAAGTAGGAGAGCTGCTCAGGGTGCTGCTTGTAGTACGGGAACCAGTCCATATCCGTCTTGACCGATTGCTGCCACGCGCATTTGGTGCCGGGGGGAGTCTGGAAGCTTGTCTGCTGCAAGAACTCGGGGAGGGCCTGGTAAGCCGGAATAGCAATTGCGAAGCTGGGGTCTGGTCAGCCTAGGCAGTCCATCACGCGACCAAGCTCACTGGCACACTTACATGTAGTTCAAGCTACCCTCGATGGCGGGATCCGCAAGTGATTGGGTGCTGAGGTTGGCACTGAACTGGTCCTTGCCCGTCTCTGCGATGAAGCGAGTAGCTGCGAGGTATCGCAAAATGCGCCCGAGAAAGGCCGGCTCTGCGTTTGTGGTGCTTGCAATATCCGCCAGAGTCAACGGCGTCTGGCTCGCTGCGAGCATCTTGAAAAGACCAATGTCGCAGCCGGCTTTAATCATGGGGACTTCAAGAGCCTGCCGTGATGATTGAGTTAGCCGATGCCGTAAGCACTATTTCGAAACAACATGCCACAGCAAGCCCTTACCCCGTTGAACAGACGTAGCATTGTGTCGTTTGGCGTTTCCATAGCCTCGGCGGCACCCCGCAGAGAGTCCTGCATCTTGAGCCGCGCTGCCTCATCGGCGCGCACTCGATGCATACTCTTGGGCTCAGAGATGAAAGTCATTTTCTGAACAAGTTGTGGAGTGTGTATATTGTTGGAGTGATTAAGCAGTTAAGCAGTACTTTGTCAGTTCTGTAGTAGCGTGTGGAAAGGAATGTTTACGTTCCAATCAAGTGCCATCACCCGCGACGTATCGCTTATATACAACAATGAGCTAGGAATCGGGAATCGGGAATCTATCTTCGTTGTTTCGGTATCACTGCCTCATCGACGGATACCGACCGGAGTTGGATGTGCAATTCCGCCCGCAATGTCAGCGGAGCGGGGCCGGGTAAGCAAGACAACATGGAAGCCCGAATGTCACCGAGCGACTAAACACCGAGCTGAACAGCTGAGAATGAACCGAAGCTTAACAATAGCGATATGAATCCCGGCTTGCCGGCCGAACAAACAAGTATAGTACTTTTGCCACCTCGCGCTATTATTGTGTCAGTAAGCCGCACCACTGGCGTATGTCGGCCAACTCATTTGCACACATAAGGAGAATGCACCCCGCAATCTTGACAGCATTGATTCAAATCAGGACGAGTTCAATCAATACCGAGCAATGGAGATCATCATCGTCGGCGCCGGAATTGCCGGCCTCAGTGCTGGTATTGCTCTGCGCAGAGCAGGACACATAGTAACGGTTCGTCTGGCTTGTCTCAAAGAGTGTCAGTCCACCAATGCCGCATGCTGACATGCCCTGAAAGATTCTCGAGCAGTCCGCCCTGCTCCAGGAGACTGGGGCCGCCATTTCGATAGCCCCGAATGCATCGCCGGTCCTCCGCAGCTGGGGGTTCGACATTGCGCAGTCCCGTATGGTCGCCATCAAGACCGGAAGCATCCTCAACGGCAGTAACATGCAGATGATGGTGCCCAACTACTACGCGAACATTGAAGAGAACTATGGCGCTCCCATTTATGCAGTTCACCGCGTCGATCTTCATGACCAACTCAAAGCGCTGGCAACAGGAGATGATGGACCAGGGCAGCCGTGCAAGTTGCATGTTCGAGCCACGGTGGCTGACTATGTGAGCCCCACTCCCGCCAAATTGGTGTTCTCTCGGGACGTTGCTGATCATTTCCGTCAGGATCCTCTGCATGCAATGGTAACCACTGCCGACGGCACAGTCTGGCAGGCGGACTTGGTCATTGCAGCGAACGGCGTGCACTCGACGGCCAGAGACCACGTCCTCGTCACAGACGAGAGCCACGCTAGTGACACGGGCTGGTCAACTATGCGATGGCTAGTGCCGACACAGGAGTTGCTAGCGGACCCGGCTACAGCCTCTTTGGTGGAAGATTCCACCCAGAGGTACTTCGTGGGCGCTCGGGGAGGGGGCTTGGTATGGTACATGTGTAGGAAGTACGCTCTACTCTCCTCTGCCCACTACGATGTCTCCAAAAGTTTGCTGAGTTGCTGACCTCACCGGGCTGCAGCAATGAGGTCCAGAACTTCCTTTATCTCTCACAGTCATTCGAAAGCGAGAATGTCACCGAAGGCATGTACACCCCACTCGGTGAACCGAAGGGAAAGCCCCTGCTAACGTCGCTCCGACGTAGACTTCCAAGCAGGCATAGAGCCGACCATGGTAATGGACTATGCAAAGAAGGAATTCAGTCCAGCTCTGCAAGCTGTTCTTGCGTAAGTTTCAAGACACCGCGGCAGACTTTTCCCCTGAATAGTATAGCTTACAAATCTACCAGGAAAGCCACGGATGTTAGATTCTGGAAATTGGTGGCTAGAAACCCACTGTCTTCGTGGCGCAAAGATTCTCTTGTTCTGATTGGCGATGCTGCTCATCCCATGCTTCCTTGTAAGTGTCGCGTCCCGGATTTATGCTACTGTGATCGAGTTATTATCGTGTCTCATGCGAGTCAACAGTCCAAGCTCAAGGCGGCGCGCAAGCCATCGAAGATGCCGCTGTTCTCGGCATTCTCTTGGATCAAGTACAAGATAAAGCCACCTTGGATATGCGTCTCGGACTCTTTGAAAATATTAGGAGGGGTCGAGGTTCGGCAATCCAGACGCTCTCCAACTCTGGACCTCCAATGCCACAAAGCGTCCGCGATGCTGCTGCCCAGTTCCTCCCCGAAGGCACGAGCTTACAGAGTCAGGATGATGTCATCGATGTCATTTTCTCTCATGATGTCGTTGGCAAGACGAAGGAGATTCTCGAGGCGAGTGTGTCTGGACAAGATTACAAATCAAACGTAACGCAGTTTGGTGGAACAAAGTTGTAAGTCTTGTACTAGTGGCAGCTGGGTGTAAAAAGCTCCCCCACATTGGTTATCTGAATTGATCCATGACTACAATACAAGAGAACACATTTAAAGACGGCTAATGTTTGTACTTGACACGATGCCATGTAATTCGTGAGGACTAATAAGTATTTTCAAAAGAAAGGGGGAAATAACACACGTTACGAATCTCTCTCTTCAGCAACCCGGAATACGATGCGAACTAGGCAGTATAATCATCCACAGAAAATAGGTGCGGAGAAACAGACAAATGCTAAATCGTCAACCGAGACTCTTTCTTCCTAAATTGTCATAACTATTTCATATATCGTATAATTCACATGTCTTTCTTTCATAAAGCACTCAAAGTTCTTGATACTCCGCTTTCGAAACAGAAAACCTCTCGTTGAAACAGTATAAGGAGTGCACAGTTACACAAAAAGAGAGACGAGTTTCGTCTGGCTTTGTTTCTATGTCTCCAACTAGCGCTAGCCATGAGAAAAGATCATACCCCGTGTATGCTCCAGTCGTGTACGTAGTGACGAGATGATATGACGGTGCACGTTGGGGGGGAGACCTCTCGACTGCAACAAATGGGTATCCTGGGCAGTAGTCTCGCGACCGTTGACATTCCTCGCATGTGCAGCGGTAGGAGAGGTGCCGGAGGCGCCGTCTGACCCTGATGTCTCGCCAAAGCGGCGGGACAGAGCGTCGACCAGGCCTTCGAGAATACGCAATTCGCCAGCCATGACCTGGTTATGGAGAGCTCGGCCGAGTTTACCGCTGATCTGGTGCTGGCCGATAGTGATGGGTTGAGGCAAGACCCGGGCCTCGGGCGCCTTGGTGGGGCCAGCACACAAGGCGGTTGTCGGCAAAAATGGATCGTCGCCTTGGTTGATACTGGCGCTGATCATTGCCCTGTTCCAGGCAATGAGATTACCGCAGATGCTAAGCAGCGGCAGCTGCACCAGCGACTTGGCCGAGCAGGAGCAAGCCAAAATTGGACCCATTGCGGCGATGACATCCTTGTTCATGGACAGCACCGTTTCCATCTTCCGGGTCTGCGGGATTGTGGGGTCCTCTCTATGCGCACTCAGGCATGCCGAGTGGGCAATGTGCAGGGCCGTTAGGATGCGAAGAGCTGCACTGAGGCATCTCTGAGACGTGCAAAGGTTACCTTGGCGTTGTCCCGTGTGTGTCATTGCCTGAAATGGGAGAGGGAAGCCAGGATAAGCCACCGAGGACGACGACGGTGACGAAGCGGACGTAGATCGAGATGCGGGCACAGACAAAGAGGAGCCATTCGACGTCTGGTAACCTCCCGGTGAATCTCGTCTGGCTCCGAGATCTGCGTCGGTGTCTGCGTGCATGTGAATGTCTCCCGATGGTAGAAGTTCTAGGTCGGGGACATCGGGGATTTGAATGTCAGTGGAGCCCAGGTCGGTGAACTGCATTTGCTCGTGTGCCGGGTCGGCATCCGGCTCGAACATCCACGCTGTGTCGCCATCCGACAAGCCCAGGCTATCGGCTGTGGATGGGTCGAAGAGAGGAAGCAAGTCGGGTGTAAAAGACATCTGGCATGAGGACAAGTGAGCGTTGTATTCTGTTCTTGTCGGCATGCTGCGGGAACACAACAGCGCCAGGTGCAAGGATGCTCCGAGAGCTGCAGGGACACCGTCTTCTCTTATGTAGCATAGGTGCTGCCACCCCGCGGAGTATACGCCAATTTTCTTCAAGACAAGGCGTTATTATCAACTAGGTGGTATCGGGCAGGTGCTGCTGTTGGTGTTGAGTGGCTTTTGCATGCCGCAATGCCGCTTACGTGTGAAATTCGTATTCATTGGCTGTGGTCTCCAGGCGCAGCAGTCGAGGGACTTTGACGTGGACTGCTAGGCAGTCATGGACGCCCTTGCTTGTCAGCCCTTCCGCTCGTTAAGTAATGTCCTTTGTTCATGTTTCCCACCTGCAGAGAACCCTGGGGGTTCGCATCCCTCTACTGCCTTAGCTACCATATGATGAGACGGATGGATATCAGATCATGATCAGGTTGAACAAGAGGTTGAGACCCTTGGTTCCCGTCTTACACGTGGGGGTGAGCCCCTGCAGAATACTCGGTGTCCAAGATATCATTGGATAACATCCGTACCTAACATATCTCTAGGCTATGAGGGGGCTGTTGGAGGCCGCCCCCACTCTAATCAACGCAGGGGGGGAGCCAAGAGGCGGCCACGGCGGAAGGAGCCGAAAGAGATACGTACAAGCTCAGGGATACCTACATACACACATCGTGTATAACACAAGCTCTCTCCAGCCTCGGGGAAGCGCTTTCCCGACCCGATTTTGCCGCTGCCGCTCACACATCGCTTCGCAGTAAGTGAGTGGAGCTACATGGGAGCGGATTGGCCCGGCGTAGGTACCGTACTGTACGTTTGAGCCACACACACATATCCATCTACGTACCATCTCCTCACAGCTAAGCGATCTGTACGCTAGGTACGTACCTTTTCAACTTCCATCTTCCCGCTTTCGGTAAGCGGACCGAACAAGCCAATCAGCGTCATGTAGGCTGATTTATGAGCACGCTTCCACTAGGCATCAGGTCTTATAGTCATTTGGACCGATGTCAGGTCGGTCAATTGCAGGCTCGTCAATGTTAAATGCATCTGCCAACCTCGTCGTCCTTTTTGTGAACAAGCCCTTTTCTTCTCTTCATCGTAAACCTCGCAAGCTCAGGCACACAGACGAATACACAAACCATTACCTCTCATTGTCCAATACCATGCATTTCCTCCTCCTTGGCGCCACTGGGCGCACTGGCAAGCACGTCGTGTCCGAATTGCTGTCTCAAGGCCATACGGCGGTAGCCCTTGTCCGGACCTCTGGCAGCCTCGCCCCCCGTGATGGTCTAACAGTCGTCACCGGCTCGCCACTATCAAAGTCCGACATCAAGACAGCTCTCTCTGCGGCACCTTCCCTGACTCCTTCGGCGGCAATTGTCACATTGAACACAGTCCGCGAGTCTGAGAGCCCTTTTGCGCCCCAACTTTCACCTCCACGCTTCTTGGCTGATTCTTGCGCCAATGCTTGCGAAGTTCTGGAGCAGGCCGGCATTCGTCGCATTGTATTCATGTCGACAGCAGGTGCCGGGGATTCTTGGGCCAACCTCCCGTGGCTGTCCAAGGCATTCATGGGGTGGACCAACATCAAATTGGCACTCGAGGACCACAACCTCGTGGACAAGGAGATTCGCCTGACAAAGATGGATTGGACTCTCGTGAGGGCGTCGAGGCTGGAATTCGACGACCCCAAAAAGCAGAAGCAGACCATTGCCAAGGCCGACGTGCAAACGCTGGCCAGCAATGGCGTTGGAATGCGCATGACCGACAGCGTCAGTGTTGCTAGTGCGGCCAAGTTCCTCGTCAAGGTCGCAGTCGAAGGACTCTTCATTAAGAGCGCAGTGGTAATAAGGGATTGATGACGCCGAGGGTGTCGTCGAATAGTTGGGAGATTCTCAGGAGATTGCTGAGACGGAGGAAACATGATGGAAACGCATTTCCCCCAGACATGGATAACGAAGCAAGCACTAAGTAGACAAGCAGTGAATATGATTTAGGATATCGATATCATCCATCCATGCTCCCATTATCAGGAAATCACCGGTGCTAGGACCAAATCTATTATTCTAGCAACAAGCCACTCTCACACGTGACTAGCAGCCTTAATTGACCCTGCAAGGCTTGCGGCCTGGGCTATCCCGCATGGTTAGATAGGCGATAGTCGCATCATGTACGACCGCCATGGGCAAAACAACAACAGCTGCGGCCTCATTGTTTCTGGTGAAATTGAGCACGGTTTACTGCCGAATCCTTATCGCTTGTCGTAAACCGAGCCTGCAAGCTGGCCTGGTGCCTATTTCAACGGCCGGCCAAATTACCATGTACAGGAAATGCCACCGGCTGATCCGCATGGCGCTAGCACGAACCACTACTCAGAGACCGGAACCCGAGGAAACAGCCCCCACCGGGAAACAACATGAGATGGAGAAAGCGATCCCTTAGGATTGACGCAGAGAGGGACCACTCCTAGCCTAGTCCAGCCTAGTCCAGCCTAGTGGTCAGCTCGGGAAACCAGGTCTGAGCTGCAAAAATAGCCCGCAGTACAGACCTAAGAGAGACATGGGGATATGCTCCCAAGGGAGATGGATGACAGTCTTGGCAGGGCAGAGCCAGACCCTTGGGAAGGGTGCCATCGTGGAGCCGACTGACAGACAACATAGCCTCAGAGCTGCGAGGCCCTGTCCGACACCGACACGAGGCAGCTCATCCGGTCCAGCATTTATATGCGACCATGCCCCAGCGATGGAAACGTCCTTGAACTTAACTCGGACCCAACCAAGTACAGTAGCCTTCTTTTCATTGTTTCATCTCCAGAATGTGGTTTCGGCAGAGTCTTATAACGCTGGCCTTAGTCGCCCCGGCCATGCTATCGGCGGTGTCGGCTACCAAGCAAGGCAAACCGAAGGCCTTCGAGTTGACCCTGACGTGGGAGAAGCATGCGCCCGATGGCTTCGAAAAGGATATGATCCTAACCAACGGCCAATTCCCCGGCCCGGTGCTCGAGATGGATTACGGGGACGACGTTGAAGTCACGGTGCACAACAAGATGCCCTTCAACACCACGGTGCACTATCACGGTAAGCCATGCAGCCCACATGATGCTATCGTGGACAGGGACAGAGAAGCTGACGCAGCACAGGTATTGAAATGCTCCAAACTCCCTGGTCAGACGGTGTGCCCGGCCTCTCTCAGCGGCCGATCCAACCCGGCGCAAGCTTCGTCTATCGGTGGAAGGCCACGCAGGCCGGCTCATACTGGTACCACTCGCACCATCGCAGCCAGCTCAACGACGGCATGTACGGCCCCATCGTCATACACCCCGAGGCCAGTGCCGCTAGGCCCTTTGACAAGATCTCCAACCAGCCAGCGACTGTCCGCGCCATGAAGCAGGCCGAGGCCAGCGTCAGACCTCTCGTGCTCTCAGACCACCGACACGTCACGTCGGAACGGGGGTGGGAGATCAACGTGGCATCCGGCCTCGAGACGCCCTGCTATGACTCCATCCTGATCAACGGCAAAGGGCGGGTCGAATGCTGGGCGCCCGAGAAGATGGCCTCGTTGTATACGGCTGAGCAGCGTCTGTTCCTACAGCTGGGCAATAAGACGGCCTTCACCGCGAAGGGGTATGTACAGTACAGAGCAGAAGATGCTCCCCATATTCATTCGTAACCATATTTCTGACGCCTCTGTAGATGCTTGCCGGCCTCTGTCATTGCCAGCGTCCAGGCAAGGGGTAAGCAGACAAACCTGTCGGCTATCCCCTCCGAAATATTTGATGTATGCACCGCCACCAATGCCCCGCGCGAGGTCATAGAAGTTAAGAAGACGCCCAGCGACAAGGAAACTTGGGTCGCTTTCGACCTCATCGGTACCTTTGGCCTCATCACAGGCCGCTTCTCTATCGACGAACACCCGATGCAGATTTATGCTGTCGACGGCAGCTACATTGAGCCGCAAGAGGTCGAGGCTGTCGACATTACTAACGGCGACCGCTACTCCGTCATGGTTAAGCTGGACAAGCCGGGCGATTTCACTATGCGCATGGTGTCCCTCACTATGCCGCAGATGTTCGCCGGCTACGCGACGCTGTCGTACCGCGACCCCAAAAAGGCACAGCCACCGAGCAAAGCGTCTATAGCCTATATCAACGACGTTGGGGCCAACACAACGGCCAATGTCCGCTTCTTCGACCAGGCCAAGATGAAGGCGTTCCCGCCTGCACCTATCGCGCCAATTGCCGACCAGACGGTCAAGGTGTCGATGCGAGTGGCTGGGCAGAGCTACAACTGGGCACTCAACGACACCATTTACCCCATGGGCCTCGACAATGAGACACCGCTTCTATTCCAGCCGGATCCGGAGCGGCACAACAACGTCACAATCACGACCAAGAACGGCACCTGGGTTGACCTCATATTCCAGGCCGCCGCCTTCCCCATGCCTCCTCACCCGATTCACAAGCACGGCAACAAGATGTACCTGCTTGGGCAGGGCGACGGGCTCTTCAAGTGGAACAACGTCGCCGAGGCGGCCAAGGAGATTCCAGGGAGCTTCAACTTTATCGACCCCCCGCGGCGCGATGGGTTCACCACACCGGCCGCTCTCCAAGCGCTCAGCTGGATGGCGGTGCGGTACCATGTTGAGAATCCTGGTGCCTGGCTCCTGCACTGCCACGTCCAGAGTCATCTTCAGGGCGGCATGAGCATGGCAATTCAGGACGGCGTGGACCAGTGGGTAAAGGTGCCGCCCGAGTACTTGAACTATTAGTAATGCAATCGAGCTGTAAGAGTTCTTCCATTTAATGCAATGTGGGCTACGAGATCTCAACCATGGACATAGTTTCATAATAAATAAATCTTGTTTACTGAAGTCGTGATAACAGCAGGCTATCTAACCACATTTTCAATGGAGTGCGTTAGCTTTACCTTATTCCCCCATCTGTAAATCATCACACCTCAAAGGGTTCATCCCCCGAGACAGGGTTCTGAATGACAAAAGCAGCAGAGTGAGCTGATAAAGTTCAAAGTGGTATGACTCAAGACTCCCATCAACTATTTCAGGAAGCGGTATATCTTCCAAGCAACGTTTGGTGGTACAATGAAGTAACTTTTATTCATACCCGAGGTCAACGACTTCAACCAAAAGATCTGTCATCTCCTGAGTTATAGATTTCCAGGTCAAATCTAAAACACCAAGTGGTTAGGGATGTATATGAGGCTCGAAACGCTAAAAGGGTCTCCTGGCAAGCTTGGATGTAAACCATCGGATAGAGACATGTTAGGCATAATATCTTGGCCGCACCGCCATGCCCACTGCATAGCGAGCCAAAAGAACAGTCGGCAATGGGAAAGGTATCGGTATACGTTTAGTTTCACCTTGTTGTGTGCAAGTCATTTTATAGTCTGTTTGTGTTTTACATATCAGCGTTGTATCAGAAAAAAAGTTTCAATGTACACTACGTTACTTTCTCCCCATCATGTGCGAGATGCGCTTGGTATGAACCCACCGCATCTAAATCAATGTCGCTGGAGGCCCTTGACGATTTTATATCCATTCATTTTGAGCCCGAACGCCACCACTTTTAGCGCCCCAGCAGCCACAGTGATCAAATGCCAATGATATGAGGACGTTGCCTATATAACTCTACAAATCCAGTAAGCAAATGTGTCCTGGCCCGCGCGACGCTCAAAGTGGTATGCTTGCGTTCAAATGGGTATGCGGTTTACTGCGTCTATTCCACGCTATCATCTACCGTTAAGAACCGAGTGCCGGGTCTTCGGCGTTCTCACTAGTGCTAAAAGGAAAAACGATGCCCTTAGTTATGAAAACGGCACCAGTGTCGCACTTCAGGTATTTGAGAGGCTTCGGAACAGGTGCCGAGGTCTTTAGCCTCCACGGATCACAAGTTAGAACAAGAACAAAGACAAGAACGCCCTAACTGCCTGGAACATTCGAAGCTGCGGCCATCGCCGCAGACTGAAATGATAAAAGATCTGGTTGTCTCCAACGGACAATACCATCTAGTCTACATGCTCCAAATATTTTTACAGAAAACCTTTCGTTGAATCATCATGATGAAGTCCTTACTCATCCTTGCTCTCACTACGCTCTCTGTTTGCACACCAACTCCCTCCAGTTTTACCCCAATGACCCAAGACCACAAGGACGTAAAAAGAGCCAGTACGTCTATCTACTTTCTTTCTCCATCAATGGCCCTGGTCTTTGATGTCCATCTAACAGGAGGCAGATTCACTCACCACCGGTTACTGGTCCTGCACTATACCCCCGGTGCAGTTTACACGCAGGGAAGGGATGTGCCTAATGTTTGCGGAATCGGTCCCAGGAAGCAGTATTTCGTGATTGCTCCCCACGATGGACTTCTCTCCTGCCAACTAGCACCCCCAGAAACAGGTACATACAATCTGCTTTTCCCTGCGCTCATCCACTTCCATGATTCCTTTCAGTATTCACCTTCCAGCCCCCCTCTCCCTCAGTGTTTTCCAAGGAAGACGGACTAATGACGTTGATATATATGCAGGTTTCACGTACATTTCCGTTGGCGAAGTGTATAACGTATGCGATACCACTGGTTTTGCGAAGCAATACAAGCTCCGGAAGCCGGGCAACAATGTCGAGGCTTGCTCAGTCCCAGACGGATACACGTTCACCTCGATCAGGCGCACACGCAATACGTGTAGCCTAGACGGATTTGCACCAATGTACAGGCTGCACACGCCGGTTGTTGGGTCGAAAGGGTTTAGTATCCCGGCTGGATGGAGACATAGCACGAGTTCGAGCGTCCCGGATGTTTACAATCCATCCCAGGTTGTGACACAGTATACCTTGGAAAAACAATAGTTATACTATGCCACTGCTTGATGATTTTGGTTTAGTCTGATGATTTAATCGCGGATATCCCTGTTGCAGCGTTCTGTTCTTTATCTCCATGCATATGGACTAAGCCGGATGCATGGTTCCGACTTTCTTGTCTCAAACTTTAAACAAAATATTCCAAGACTTCATCCTGATGCTCGGGCCTTGGCTAGATACCAATCCGCAACATACAACGATCACGCCCTGTCTTCGTTTCGCGGCCGCATTCAGTCAAATTCTGTTCCACATCGGACTAAGTTGGGATTGGAGTGATTTGAAGAGAACAGCAATTATTCCCGGAGCTTATGTTATCAGAGTGGCGGCGACTAACTCCTTCAACAGAATCCTTATGCCGCCTAATCGAGTGGGAAACACTATGTTCATTCAGCTTTTCTTCCATTCTAATGTCATCTTTCATCTCAATGTCTCTCTCGGTCTTTCCTACTAATTTGAGTTTATGGCACAATTCGCAATTCGAAGCCAGGTCTGCCAACGGATGTGTTCCCAAGCGCCCACAAATGCGTGTTAAACAAGATCTATTGCCTGCATCTAGTAGTCGCCTTGATTTATTAAGCGAACATCAATATGCAGATATATGGTTGGACTGAAAACGTAAGAGCAGTCCCCTGCATGTTCCGTGCGATACCCAAAGCATTATCGACCTTGCAAAAGCACACATGTAACAACTTCTTGATATCAAGTGAGACGTCATTTTGGGTCATGATAGCTACATGTTGTCTATCCGACTGTGCAAAGGCTCCTCAGCGAACCGGAGTATAGGAAGAGATCCATGATGTACAGGAGGCTGGCACAACCCGTATACTGCTTCAAAGACTGCCTTTGCCCATAGTGTGCATCTCTATCGCACACCCATGCACGTAAGCTGGTTTGCCCGCCATCAGTCAGGGGTCTCTATCCATTGCCCACCTTCCACGAGCCCATACTGATTTTGCCACAAATGCATCAGTTTCGCCTCTATAATGGGTCTGCTAATTTCAGAGTGCCCCCCTGTCTTTCTACTTTCCTCCTGACTAAAGGCGTTGGGCATCAATCATTGACCTTTATCTATCTGGCTCCCCTGGCCCTGACTGACCCGCGGGGCTGAACGGAAAGATAATCAGAAACACCTCGCTGCCACCGGCGACGGGGACAGTGAAGTTTTACATTTGTAAGATGGGGCCTCACCTGCACTCCGGACCGCCCGTTATGCTGCACCCGCTTCAGACGGGCTGTATCCCGAAAGAATGGCACCGTGGGTCAGTTCCATGAGACAAGGTACCTACATGACGGATGGGGCGTTGAGGGGCAGTCAAGGCCGTTTGACTGAGTATCGATACATCAGGGAACAGTAGATGGTGCAGGGGCAGTCGACGCTCCCCAATTGTTGATTTCTGCAACATCTCTTACTACTGTGACCAGTAGGACACGAAGAGATTCCAGGTCATTTTGGGCAACCTGAGAAGTCCCCTTCACTCCTAAGCAACAGTTGCCCCCTTTACTTTCCCCTTGCTCGAAGCCGGCAAGAGCCTGTCTCCACATAGCTGTTGATGCCGTACGAGTCCGCAGTCCGTTCACCTCCTGAATCCCTGCCATTATCCAACGAAGCTAGTCACCGACAGCATCATAAATGATGATCTTGGTGTAAAGCGTGCATTCCACCGATCAGCCTTGGGTATGCAGAGCAGATGATGCCGATGGATATTTGTGGATAAAACAGCTACCAATCAATGGAGAGGGTGCGTCGGTAGGGCTCCGTCCCTGTTCGTAGAGTTCGGTACGAGAGCGCCGTTTCAACAGCCTGTCAATAGATGTATCCCTGTGGCACTATAGCAAACCCGGGGCAATGAACCCGCTAAGCGATGACAGTTTTTCGCCCCATGCAGGCAGACCGGTGTGGGCAGCAGCGGGTGGTGGATGAGCCATTCAGGGCGACCCAGCGTGTCGGCACGAGAGACTGAGAAGCACATTAATCGTAGTAAGCCACCATGCTTTCTTTTTTTCTTTTTTTCGCATGCTGAGCAATGACTCGGTAGACGGAATTTCGGGGTAATCCTTAAGGCCGTCTCGCAACCCGAACTGCCGTCGCATCTCGTCACCGACTTGCGCCCAGATGAGAAGCCATCACGAAAAACATTGAGCTAGCCTCGAGCGCCATACAAAAGCACCTGACCGGGTCGTGTGATGCGCGTCTATGACCCAGACCAGGAGAAGATCAGGGCCACAATAGCTTCGGTCGCCTGAAAAAAGCGTGCACATCCTGAAGCCGGCGGGTCTCGAGGTGGCAGTTGATGCACATTGCACGGCGATCGACCGTATCACCCTTGATTGCAGTTACGCGCCCCCTCGTCCGACGTCCCATCCAAAGGGAAAATCGAGATGAAGGCAATGTCACAGCTCGCCATTTTACGTTACAGCGGCCGGACAGAAACGGGGCCTGGCTGTGCTGTTTAATGAAGCCCCCAGCGAAAAAGTCCATATCGGAAATATCGTCTGCAATCCTTTTACGAATCAGATTCCGGATCCATGCCATTGGGAACGCCGAGACAGCCAGCCGGGACACCAGCTGATTGGCCAGGCTCCTCGGCGGCTTGTCAACAACGGTACTGGCGCCAGCCACACATGTCACCCTGAGCCAGGCTGCTGGGTCTCCTTACTGCCCTTGGTCTAGCTGGGCAGCAGGCGGATGTTCACCCGGCACTGGGTTCACGAGAAAGCATGGCATGGATCGATGACGAATGATTCAGTCCCCGTTCGCTTTGATCTTGTCGAGGGGAAAAAAATCTGCTTGCTCCAGAGGAGCGGAACGGCCGGTCATGATCCACGGCGCTATTCAAGCGAAATCCACGCGCAGAGCAGGCCTGGCGGGCAGTCATTGCGCGCCATCTAGCAACATC